AACCCTAACCCTAACCCTAACCCTAACCCTAACCCTAACCCTAACCCTAACCCTAACCCTAACCCTAACCCTAACCCTAACCCTAACCCTAACCCGAAGCCAGCATCAACGTGACGGTCAGCTTGTATCGTGCCTATGGCGTGCTTCGAATAGCAGCTTTCCCGACGAATGGTACGATGATTCAAGATATTGGCGGTTCCGATGCTCGCTCTATCGCGTTTTCGTCCGGCGTGAAAGTGGTACCAGATATTGGTAAGACACTACCTAGTTATCCTCGTACCTCTCAACGTGTTCTATATTGCTGATCTAGATACCGAAACAGGCAAGGTTATCTCCAGGGATGGTCAATCGCTTACCGTCACTGGTGCAACGACTGTCGATATCTTTTATGATGCAGAGACGGAGTTTCACTGGAGTGATGAGAGCCGGCGTAAAGCCTTAGTTTGCGAGAGGTTGGATGAAGCAGCGTCAACCGGCTTTGAGGAGCTTAAGGGGCAGTCTACCAGAAGACACCAGTCGATGATGAGCCGCGTGAATCTCGACCTCGGCAAAAGTAACTCATCGACGGCTCTGCTACCTATTGATCAACGCATCGCTAATTACGAGGTCGATCCCGATGCAGATAAGGAGTTGATGGTCCTTGTGTACAATTTTGGGCGCCATTTACTTATCTCGTCCTCTAGCGATACCGGGGGTGTCGGCTTGGGGGTGCCGGCTAACCTTCAAGGTATTTGGAATGACAACTATAGTCCTCCCTGGTGCGTATAATCCCTCTCGGCGTGCGTACGGTGCTGATATAGAACCACCTCGCTTACAGGGGAAGCAAGTACACTGTGAACATCAATCTCCAGATGAACTATTGGCTCGCCGAAACAACTAATCTGGCCGATACCCTTCGTCCGCTCTGGGATCTGATGAAGCGCAGCCATGGACGAGGCCAGGACGTAGCGAAACGCATGTATGGATGTCCTGGATACGTTTCCCACCACAACCTAGATCTCTGGGGAGATTCGGCACCCCACGATAATGGCACCGAGTATACAACTTGGGCCATGAGCGCACCCTGGCTGCTCAACCATATGATCGAGCATTACCGCTTCACCGGTGACCGGTACTTTCTGCAGAACCAGGTCTGGCCTCTTCTCGTTGACTCTGTGGCATTCTATAAGTGTTACACCTTTGACTTTGAAAGCTTTCTTTCTAGCGGACCTTCTCCTTCTCCGGAGAACGACTATATCATTCCGGACGATATGTCAAAGAATGGATCAAAGGGGTCTATCGACATATCGCCAACCATGGATAATTCCCTACTACATGCTCTCTTCTCAAGCTATATCGAGGTAGCATCGGCACTAAACATTTCCATCGACCCGAACGTTGGCTCGATGCGTTCCAAATTGCGAGACTTCCAGATAGGGCGGTATGGTCAAATCCAGGAATGGCGAAACGATTATACCGAAGCAGAGCAAGGACATCGGCATCTCTCGAACCTTTGGGATCTATTTCCCGGTCCTCGTATCAGTCCGCTCACTAATAAGACCCTAGCTGATGCAGCGCGCGTTTCCATAGACCGTCGGAATAATGGTACGAGCATCAGGACAGGGTGGTCGCGTGCCTGGATGGCGGCTTGTCTCGCCAGGCTTCTTGACGGTGACACTGCTATTGACGAAGCGAAAGCTCTTCTTCAAAACCATCTCCTACCGAATTTATTCACCCGTATATCGGACGAGACTTTTCAGATTGACAGCAATTTTGGGTACGTTGCGGCTATCACAGAAACCTTATTGCAGAGCCACCTCGGATTTATTCATATATTACCAGCGTCCGCCTCGAAAATTCCAACAGGGTCAGTGAGCGGGTTAGTTGCTCGTGGGGGTTTTGAAGTGTCCTTCTCATGGAAGGATGGAAAGTTTGTTCAAGCGGTAATAAGGTCGCGATTAGGTAGGAAGCTCAGCGTCCGAATCGCTGATGGGGAAGCCTTCAAAATTAATGGTGACGCCGTTGAGGATGTAGAAACGGCGGCTGGCCAGACCTACAAGATAACCTTGTGAAGTATACCATCATGGTCTACTAAAAGGAGACGCATGGTGTCTTACAACTTGTCCAGAAAGTACCTAGGTAGGTGGATGTCCACCAGCAAGAGAACATCTCGCTATGGGATCTCGTATAACTTGGATCACCGAGTTTAGCGGGGTTTACTTGTAATCTTTGCCTGAGTAAATCCATGAAGCTGAGTTGTTAGTGTATGCCCCTTTAAGCAGACACGAATACTACCTACCTAATGAGTAACTTAGGTTTATTTGTCGTGGCATCTCATACTTCGTTGACGATACCAGCTGCCTGATCAATACCGACGCTAGCACCAACCGAAACTGTTGCTCGTGAATTATACTGAACCCGGCATGTTCATTTGCGATTGCTTCGCAAGGCAATTCCTGTCTCTTCTCAATTGCAACCCATTTACCTAGGTGCCGAATCAACGTGACTGTCCGTAGCGAATGCACGGCTACCATATGACCGCGTCTGGCCTCTGAAGTAGGTCAAAGGTTTTTGAACAGACGGTGTCAAATACTCCGCCATTCGCTTTTATAGCTGTGCGGCACGACATTGAAGATGTACGGTCGGTTCGTCTCCGCATAAAAGCGCGTGCCGTCACAGTACCTGCAATTCCGAACCAGGACTGCGGCAATCCCTCGTCTATCAGCCAGTCCACCAGCTGCGATTAACTTAATATCTCCGAGTCACCCAGCTTGGAGGCTTGGAGGCCATCGGCAGCTTGCGGAATCGATAACTACGCCCGCTTCTCTCTCGGCTCCTTACCACCCAACATGTGGCCCTTGCAGGACTAATAAGTCGGGAGTGCAAACCTTTGCTACTTACAGAGCTGCGGTGGTGCTCCTTACTTAGACCCATATTCTTGTTTCCGAATATTGTTGGCAGACAATTTCTCCCAGAACTCGTGTTCACCAAGCTCCTCGGCGGCAAAGAGTCAGAGGACGGCTGACTTATACGTCACGAAAAAGGGTAATTAATGCGCAAGTTATCTTGTAAATATCTGTCATTCATCTCTGAAAAGCGTCGAGTTCTTATAAACGGTATGTTTCTTCAAACGGGGATAGATGGATAGTGTAAATGCTCAGATATAAGGGGCTCGATTGTTCCGCATTGTTCCGCAGGGTGTAACCATCCGCGGAATAAAGAGGCAATGCCTATCAAGCAAACGATACGCAATCTAGTATTAACTCATTGTGGCCCTTTTAATAGGTAGAATGTGAATTATTAAAGCAGACTCATATCCTCTTACGTTGCTATGCAAATGACCATACAACTAGACATTTCAACCCGTCCGCTGCATGGGATGACGATGAAGAGCTACCGCAAGTGCCTGGAAAGGAGAGGCATTAATACATTATCTGAGCAAAGATGATACCAGGCGCTAACCTTGGAAGTTTTATAGATTCTGGACCTCCGTCGCGTGTTGATACTTCCGGCTGTTATAGGTTGAATATAACTTCTTATCCTATTCAACGTCCGATGATGTGTATATCACTTCACTAAAGGTCGGGTAGCTGCATATGTACACATGACTTTCAGATGAATACTATTACACAATACCTCTCCCGTAGCGTTGTTTGCTCTGTGGTAGGGTTCACAAATGATGGGTACCTAGGTGTGGTGGATAACCTGTATCCCATCCGGAATAATCGAAATAAATCAAAAGCCTAGAATAAAGTTTTCCTAATAAGTTACTTTCGTGATTTCAGTTACACTCTTGTTGGCCAGTAAAACTCTTTGCAAGTCTTATTTTACCCTAGGAAATTCGAGGCGGCTACGATTCCATTCTCTCACTTGCAAGAGCAACCTACCTATCAAAAGTATTCACCGCTAAGCCGATCGAAATGAGAGGTTGGCACCCGAACCTCCCCGGTTACCTTACCATCTGGTGTTATCTGGCGCAAGTAGCATACTCGGTTGGCTTCCTGACGCAGGGCTGTCAGTTGAACTGGGAGTACGAGGACGGCGAGGCCCGGACGTACTGTCTCGACCACGTATGTAACATTAACGCCTACACCGCGATCCCATTGGACTGGTGTATTGCAGATGTCGACGGTGTCTTGACTCCTCGGAGGATGTATGCCAATGCCCCTCTCCAATCTTTTAGGATGCGAACTGATCTCCCTATTAAGGGGAAATTTTCGACAGCGGTGCTTCGATTGCAGAGTCACGGAAGATCGCTACCATCTAGGTTGTGATTGCATCAAATTCGACGGAACTATCGTTTACAGCGAGATCAACATAAGTACGCCCCCCTAAATCCTTACTCATATCTAAGCTACTGCATCGTAATTTCATATCGTGTTGAGCGAGCCCCAACGCCAGCCCCAAGTTATCCTATTTTCAATTATAGCTATAGCATGAGAATTTCGACGAAATCGGCTAACGGAGGAGTAAATTTAACTTGCTTTAGATGATGTGCTCTATAACTGGTGGGGTTGGCTCTCCTGTTTCGGTTATTATGAGAAGTTTTACGAGCGTGATTACCCCTGTAAACATGAAATCGGCTGGATGCCCGACGCTTCGGTTCCCGACATGACCTGCGCGCACGGCTGTCCTGAAGTCAAGCCCTCAAGTTGGACTAGGCTTGATATCCCGGCGATGGCAAACGTGAGCTCCGGTAACGCCTCGGATGCACTGGTACGCTTCTCGAAAGTCGCTGGTGAATCGGGACCTCGACCGGAACTTTCAACGGAAGATGGATAAACAAGGGGACGTTCACATCAGTCGAGATGATCTTGTAATCGACACAAGCCAAATCTGTCAACGTGGGGCTGGTATTGGGGGAAGCTCCCTGTCATTCCGCCCAGCTCTCTATCGTTTACGCTTAGGACGGCTATTCGCAGACACATATTAGTCATGTGGTAGAAACATAGATAAAGATAGAGAATGAATTAATGATTTTCCTTCAACGCCTACCCCTTTTTCCTATATCGTAAATCCAGAGCTAAAACTCGTCTACACTATAATCCGCGCTATATCTCCAATGCCCCTGCGGAATAATTATCAAGACAGATTTGCCATGTCGAAACTACCATCTACCGGAAGCAGGCAGATCCCTTGAACTCTGACCGACCAGGAACTTATATTCGCCGTCAACCATAGCCCAATTTTGTGCATCGATATCCCAGAAACTCAAGTCACGTCTCGTCAGATTGAACGTAACCGTCTTAGCTTCGTCCTTCTCTAGCAGTAACTTGTCAAAACCGCGCAGCACTTTCACCGGAAAATCGACCGCAGAGACTCCTTGTGGATATTCTAGGTATAACTGCGGCACGACCTTGCCTGCCCTATCGCCGGTATTCGTGATGTTAACAGACACTGTGACGTATGTCTCCCAGAGGTCGGGATTTCCACCCTCCTCACCTCCTGCGCCGGAGGGCGGTTGCTTAACATCGTACCCGTCGGGGTAGGGATACGGGTCAGACACTATATCGTCAATAGTATCGAGATACGGATAGACATATTTCTCGAGCTTTCGAAAACCATCTGGGAAAAGCGCCTCCTCCTCGTCAGGAATGGTAGCGTCGTATTCGGGCGGGACTGCGAAATCCTTAGGCCGCGGCGCGGGGAAGGTGCTTTTCTTCTTAAGTTCCTTCACTACGCAGTCGCTGAAGTCGAAGGTAGTATAGCTCAAGCCGAATCCGAACTCGAAGCGTGGCTCTATATCGTACTTGTCGAAGTGTCGGTAGTCGACGTAGAGGCCCTCTTTGAAGTCTTGTTGCGGCACGACGCCGTTGGGTATGTACATGATCTTAGCGCCGTCTCCGTAGTCGTCCAAGGTCTTTCCGATAGTCCAAGGTAACTTCCCGCTTGGGTTAACGTCGCCGAAGATGACGTCTGCGAGGGCGTTTCCGCTCTCTTGGCCGGGCAGGTTCGCGAGGAGTACTGCCTTGACGTTGGGTAGGCCGATCCACTTCTCCATCACGACGGGACCGACCGTATGAATGACGGCGAGCACATCCCCGTCACCGCCGTGGCATCCTTGGGCGACTTGGACGATGAGGTCGTCTCCTCCCTTCTGCAAGAAAAGGTCAGGACGATCGCCCTTCACGCCCTCCCAGGCCTTGTACCCTTCGCCAGAGTCGGCGTTCGCGAATACGATGCACAGCTGAGCGTCTTGCAAGATCTCGGGTTGCTTTGCGAACGGCGGCTTATTCGTGAGGTAAGTCGACACCTTCACGCTCTCATCATCTTCCCAGCTCTTGGATAAAGCTTCGACCGGTGTGACGAGGTAGGGGAACTCGACGGAACCAGAACCCCAGCCCGAAGCCAGCGTGCCTTGGTTACACCCACGATCTGGGCATCGGTTGGGTCCTTCGCCGGGACCCGCGTCCTCGCCAAATATGGCGATCTGCAACGGGCCGTCGCGTCGTCGCGTCTCATTGGAGTGGGAATCGGCGCGAGTGAGCGGCAGCAAGCCGTCGTTCTTAAGAAGGATAGTCCCCTCAGCTGCAATCTGCCGCGCTATCGACGCGTGGTCTCCCATCACGTTGATGTATTTGTTTACCGGGACCGTTTCCTGCTCGGTGGGGCTACCAGGCGCGGAGACGCCTTCGGGATCGTTCGTCCACGACGAGAAGTTGGGACCTTTGCGGTCATATTTTGCCTCGTCGTCCTGACCTAGCTGGTACCACGCCGCGACGATCCGGGTTACCATGTCGTTCAGCCTGTCGAGAGGCACCGACCCGTTAAGGATAGATCTCGTCAGCTCGGGACCCCAAAAGGATTTGCCGTTCTGCCAGAACTCTCCGTCGCCGGGCATGGTCATGTCCAGACCAGCCAGAGCGGTGGAGACGCCGCTTCTCTGCGCAAGCCAGTCGCTCATCACGAAACCCTGAAAGCCCATCTCGTCCCGCAGCAGGCCGTTGAGCAGCTTCGAGTTGCCGCAAGCGTACGAGCTGTTGATCATGTTGTAGCTGCACATGACGCTCGCCACACCGGCCTTGACGGAGTCCCCGAACGGCCACAGGTATAATTCGTGCATCGTTCGGTCGTCGATGTTGGAGCTGATCGCGTTCGGAAGGCCCCATTCCCACGGCTGGCGGAAGTGTTCCTGCTCATTTGCTACGAGATGCTTGATGGTAGCCATGACGCCCTCGTCCTGGATTCCTTTGATAGATTCGGCCGCCGCGATACCTTGTAGGTAGGGATCCGCTCCGAAGCCTTCCCAGTTTCTTCCGCCCGCGGGCATGCGACCCAGCGGACCGATGCATGGGCCCAGGATCACGTTGATGCCTTTCTTCCTGGCCTCGATGGCGTGGGCGTTCCCCCATTGGTACATCAGCTCCTTGTTCCACGTCGCGCCGACCGTCACGCCGGCGGGGAATGCGGTGGCGTTATCGGCAAACCGAATGCCCAATGGACCATCTTGAAGGGCCAGAGCCGGGAATCCTACGTGGATTGCGGGGCCGGTATTGCCTACGGCCGGACCCATCGCCCACCCTGTTCCCGTCGTCACGTTCACCTTCTCCGGTAGCGTCATCTTAGCTACCATCTCGCTCGCTTTCCGGTAGCTGTCAGCCCAGCTCCTAGACGACCCGCCTTTCGGGGTCGGGTACCACGGCGGCGATAACCCGTCCGGAGGCGATTGTTTGTATTTCTTGAACGCGAAGAAGCCGCCCGCGCCGAGGGCTAGCCATACTAGGGCAAAGATACCTAGGCAGCCGATGATGCATCTGGTCGAGCGGCCGGCGAGGCACCCGCACGGTTTCCGCAGCCAACGGTTACGAGGCTGGGTGGAGAAGGCACCGGTGGAGGGTTTGGTGGACGTGAGGGGGTCGGATTGGAGGAAGTCGGTCGCGTCGAGGTCCGAGTCGAGGTCGAACGACTCGCGAGCGTCGTAGGAACGTCGGAAACGGTTTTGCTCGTAGTCCGAGCCTAGACTCAGCAACTGCTCTTTACTCGAGTCCATCGTCGTCGAAGGCCCTTAGGCCGCGTTACGCGGAACGATTCGACAAGCCGTCGGTCTGACGGTGATGGTTCGTGACGGTTCCTCTAGACGGATAGCTGATCGCTTCAAGGACCGGTGTAGGTAAACAAGGTAAATTATCCCTCGATACGTCAGATCTTCGAACCAACGAACCTTCGAGTATTAGGTATATATTTGAGATATTTTAGCTGCAATGGTAACACGACAGCAATATGATTACGAGTTCATTCTCTTAGAAGGTATGTATATTGCAACCAAAGAAACGTTGGACATCTACTCTTGGAGATATTTAAGTAGGGCATTGAAACTCGGTCAACGTCGCCTCCGACATTGGAGCTTTTACTTGAAACCTGGAGATCAGCTTGGCGTTGGACTACCAAGCTCCGAGCACTGGTTGGATGAATGTTTTAAAGCATGCCCAGGCTTGCTAGTGCGCCGTGCGTCTCCGGGTTTATCGCTAAATATCGATCTATGGCTCCTTAGCCAGGCACTAGGTAACTAGGGGAACTCCACCGATCGAGCCGTGACATTGGTCAGATAAAGCTTACGTCGCGCGAAGAATGCGGGGTGGTGCCGGCGGGATATTTATATAATTATAAACTACCAGGTACCTAAACAAAATACCTAGCCAGCGATGACCTAGGTATCTAGTTGTCCGTTTCGCCTTGCAACGGCGTAGGACATCCGACGCCAGTTTTCAAGCTTGTCAAACAAGGAACACTTGGATGAGCAGCTTCTCTATAACGATACCGAAGCATTGCGTTCGAATCTACCGAGCTCTGGTTAGAGAGCTTAAGCGCGCTTTCGGCTCCGGCGACGGGTAGACGGTATTCGAAGCTCGTATTATTCGTGGCGGCTTCCTCTCCTCTAATAGCATATGGAAACGGTAGGTAGTCGGGAAGCAAGCCCAACTGCTTCAGCAGCGTCGCTTGATCCCAGCTGATATGTTCGTGGTAGAGGCGATCGCCGCGGATGTTAACCACGCTTGTAAAAGGGATGCTGATAGGTCGCCCGGTTGCCGGAATTCCGGGAGCTCTGGAAATATAGGTAAATAAGTTACTCGACACCTTTTTGCTAAGAGTATCGACACAGCACATACAGCCAATCAATTACGCGGTCGTGGGTAGCCTTGAAGAGGAATTCGTCGACTACGCGATCTATTCCCACGGTACGGCTCACGAGCTCAAGCTCCGTGTCGGGTGGGTTACTGAAGATGAAATGGTGCCTGTAGAAATCGGTCAGGGCCTGTCGCCCGACGCCCCCGGTCAGCGTTGGGATGTGATTCACGTAGGGTTCCTCGACCATGGTCGCCATCGTCTCCTCGACCGATCGCGCTTCGAATTCCCAGTAGGTGTGCTCATCCCAAACCTTCTCGAGGTCGAAGTGAGGTCCGCCAACAAGCGGCTTCAAGAAAGAGAGCGTTCTCGTGTGGGCGACACAGGCTGAAGCATCGTGATAGTCTTCGTGAGCTGGAATGGCGAAGAAAGGTCCCGCACGGGTATAGTAGTGGCGCTTCACATGGCCGTCTCCACCTGCGATGTCTCCTCCGGCCTTCATAGCTCCTGTGACATGTGCTAACAATGGCAGCTCGCTTCTAGTTGTGCTCGCTGACGATGCACCGTACCAGATCACGGCACAGATCTCTGAATAAGCCCCGATTGTTTCTAGTACGGCGGGTTCTACGACAGGCATATAGACTTTTCGTTGTTATACCTTCTGGTTAGCTCGGTCATCGTAATTTCATACATGTCTAAAATATTTCCTCTCGCTCACTCATGATTCCGATTCTCTCGCTTTGGTCACAGGACGACGACCCTGATAGTTCGGAGAGTGCTAAACGGAGACCGTCGCGTATGAAGTCCTTGTTAGACGCCGCGGCTCTCAATTGAGCAACGGCGAAACCCTCCTCGGCCCATTTTAATAAGGGTGGCGGGTCCAAGGTCTTCTTATGCCTGCGGAGATCAAGTCCTTCATCGACGAGAAGAAGCAATCCTGGACCGTGACCTCGCCGTGAAAGAGGTGGTGTGATAGTTAACCTCGAATCCATGTTGACTAGTAAGGTCCTTAGAATGTATCCTAGATGCGCTCATAATAGACGTTCACGCTACTAGAAGGCCATGCCCATAGACTGAGGTATAAGGTCGCGTGTGTAATATCTACCTACCTATATTAGGCGGGGTTATGGACAATAATTTAGAGCCGTCCGGATAGAGTACGCCAGCATATTAACCAACGTCACCTAGAGATCATGGCTGTACTACACTGACCCGCAACGAAAACGGCGTATATTAGAGCCGTCGCTGTCTCTTAATTGAATCTTGTGCAACCAGTCGGGCAAGTCCTAGATATTCGACTTTTGCCAGTCGAACATAAGAGCCTTGGCAACTTGTTGTCTTCAAGCTTCTATAAAAGGACCGACGGTTATACTTACCCGGAACTATCTCGAGACTAAGAAATGAGAATCTCACATAATCCAGTCACGAGATCTGACTGTTGGTTAAATTTACCAAAGTCGCATATTAATACGCGGGTTGTCGTAATCTAGTAAGCTCTGCGCTCAAAAAAATACAATTTCTCATTTCAAAGCTCTATCGGGAAGAATGACAATCTCGTCTCGGGGCTGTTATACAGGATATCATACATCCAGACTAAAAAGCATCATCAACAAGCGTCAACCGTTACATGTTACTCATACCGTTTCGATGTATCGTTTCAATTCCCAGTCCGTCACGGCCTCATCCCACAACCGGATCTCGTTCTCCCGGGTGCCGCCGAAATGATCCACGAAATCGTCACCGAACACTTCGCGAGCGATGCTATCTTTTCGCATAAACCTGTCGGTGGCCTCCCTCAAATTTCTCGCCAGTCGGGCACCTTGGTCGGCGGTGTCTCCCACGTCCTGCTCTTTTCCAAGCGGAGGGATCGGAATTTCGAGCTTCTTCTCTACGCCGCGCCAGCCCAGGGCCAACACGGCCGACATGACGAAGTAAGGGTTCGCGTCTGCTCCCGGCACGCGAACCTCGAACCGAGTCGCGCCGGGTTTAGAAGTTGGCGGTGCGATTAGCCGGACGGACGCGGCGCGATGTTCGAGGCCCCAGGAGACGGTCACGGGGGCCCAGAAGTTCTCGACCAACCGCTTGTAACTATTTATCGTAGGCGCAAGCATGGGCATCACGTCGGGCAATCCCTCCAAGATACCCGCGAGAAAATGTCTTCCGAGATCGCTCAAGTTGGCGATGTCGGGATACTTGGCGTTCTCGTCCTTTTCTTCGCGGAAGAATAGATTCTTGCCGTCCTTATCTACGACGGACACGTGGGTATGCCCGCTGTTTCCCGGTAGACCGTGCCTCGGTTTTGCCATAAAGCAGGGGGTGATGCCGTAGCCGCTAGCTACCGACCTGACGACGTACTTGAAAAGAGATGCGCGGTCGGCCATCTCGGATATCTGGCCGAACTCCAGCGCCGCTTCGTAAACTCCGGGCCCGCTCTCGGTGTGCCATCCTTCCAGATCGCATTTGAATTTAGCGCAAGAATTATACACGTCGTAGTAATACGACTTGTTGAGAGTTGGTCGCGTGACGCTGTATCCGAACATTCCCTCGGTCAAGGGCGGTAGCGCGTGCGGCGGATTGTCGTTTAGATACGCGGTAACGGACGGGGCGGGGGAATCCGTGGTGGATGAGGACGAAGAGGGCACCTTAAATTGGAAGAATTCGATCTCGGCTTTAGAATAATTAGCATCGTCATCATGCGCAAGGCCCAACCCCCAAGCGTAGCATCGAGCTTGAGATCAGCCAAGAGTAAGACGAACCTCCCGCCATGGCGTCGTAGCCCTCCTTTCGCAGCTTCTCGACCGTAGTTCTGAGCAGGCCGCGCGGATCGGCGCACACCGGTTTCGAGTCGTCGTCGAAGAAGCTAACTAAGAAAAAAGGAACGTTGTCCTCCCAAGGGATGCGCCGAAAGCTATTCAAATCAGGCACGGCGATCAAGTCGCGATAACCGTTCTGCTTATTGCTAATCTTGAGCTCCTTATCGTAAGTCCTGTCGTGCATGTCCCAGCCAAAAATGACGCTGCAGAAACCGAATCCTTCCTTGGCTATCGATAGGAACTTCTTCTTGGACACGATCTTCCCTCGTAGCATCCCGTCGACGTCAACTCCGGACAGCTTAACCTTGGTATCATCCTTGAGGAGATCTGGCAGAGCCTCGACTGTGATGGGTTGCGTTAGAGCCATACCGAATTGAGTTCTGCGGAAGAAAAGAGTATAGGGGTCGTGCAGCTGATCAGCTAGTAACTCCGAATCGTGATGTGACAAGAAAATGTAGGTATATAGAAGGAAGGAAGACGAACTGCTCTCGCCATACAAGAGTCGCCAATTGATGTTCAATTGATGTCAAAAAAGTCCAGACGCCACAAGGAGACTATATAAATACTCGACCGAAAGTCTTAGGTAAAGCGGATGTCTATGATATATGTAGCATACTAGGTACGTATGTGGAACATGCACAATTTTCGGAATGCCTCATAAGGAGGGGATAGAGGGGGGGTGGATGATAAGGCTGAAGAAGGATCGTTTTCACTTGCACGAGTTACAAGGCACGAAACAAGGAAATATAGATCTAGATACCTGGAGACCTTTACTAGCCTGCTAGCTTGACCCTGCCTTGCTCGGATTAGGTAGTTTCGGCGTAAACCCTAGCATATGATTGGTAAAGATAAGCTTCCGCGGACCACAAAACTCGAAGCTTTAAGCCGTGTTTAGTCAACTAGTAGGTATTCTACATGTAGGTATCTCGTAGCGGTACGTTACCGGGGGTACGTAATTTGATCCCTGTATTGTAAAGTATCAAGTAATTACGTACATGCTTGCTATCCGTAAATATGCATACCGAGTACATAATGCACCTAGTCGATCACATCAATATGCTCAAGTCATCATCCTCCCATCGCGAACTTGAAAATCAAATGCATGACTCTTTCCGGTAACTTGCAGCTTCTCTTACGTCGACGTTCGATGTCTCACGTAGTACACAGATATACCGCCTTATATAAGGCTAATGGAATGCAACATTTCTCCTAGGGCTGCATCAAGTCAGATTCCTCCTCATCAACCCACCAATCCCCCAGTCTGTCGTCACGAAGTTCTACTCTCAGTCCAATGAAAACGTATATTTGCGTTTTTTATACTCCATTCTACTCCATTTCCAAATCTGACGTGAACTCGGTGAAGGAAAATTCGGCTGACGGCGCGTGACGGTTTTGACGCATATCCGTAGCTATTCAAATCTGCATCCACCCTTCCACGAGCAATGATCCTCCCCCAGGAACGACCCAGACATTGCATAAACGTCGTCGTGGGGATTACGACGGCCTCTGAACTACCTAGACGTCTAATAGAAAGAGGGATATGCTGGAGCTTTCTGACAGTTGGTAAGCAAATCACTGACGACTTGTATGCTAACTCCTGTATGATGGACATATCGCGTAAAGCCCCTATACTTTCCATACCGAGACCAACCTATTAATAGTTGAATATGAGGCTCTGGGGACTCGCTGAGCCTGTGCTACATGAGCATCTACGACCCGAACGATGCGAATTACTTAAACATCGCCTATTTCTGAATCTCCAATTCGGTGCTTGACCGATGCTGACTATCCATCGCGCTTTGGATCGCCTATCGTCCTACTGATACCCGTACCTAGCATACGACCATATGGTTCGTCCTATTCTCGGCATGATGACTCAAGTTGACCATTCACTAATTTTGACCCGGCGCAACGGACCAGTGTCACACGCAGTCATCGCCTCACCGCTCGGAAGTAGGCAAGTTCAATGCATGGCGGGAGTTCCGCACGAATCAATTGTCGACAAGTTCTACCAACGACTTCCCAAAGAGCAGTCATAAATCGGTGTGGCGTACGCGTCAAGCACGCCTCATCCACGCTTTGCCTAGGTACTAGGAGGCATCTGCGGAACTTGGCTAAAGAGGTTGTGGTCCTCGAAATAACCACCGCCTTTTTTACGATGCGGCTAGTTGGTAAGCGTCACTGCCTATGTCCCACGTCAAGGTGAACATCGTCACCGACTCGTACGTACTCCGGTCGTGTTGCTTTGGTAGAGAGATTATACTTCTCCGGGCCTCGTGATGTTAGACTCAACCCCTTTCTTCCTGCAAGAGCATCTAAACTCCGGTTCTCTCGCTACAATTAGGTACCCCCCTTTACGAACGAAAGCTTATGTACTGTCAATCCTCGGATTTAAGCCTCCACGGGTATTCGACACTCTTGGATTTGCCGCTAGAGTGTATGTTAGAAGCTGTAAGTGAGAACTGTTTGCTTATATTCACCACGTATATTGGCAAAAATCGATCGAATTTCTTAATAGAATCTGGAGGTATCTATGTTGTGCTGTTGCTAATCTAGGTCGGTAGCCTCCAAAGTGCAATGGCCTCTTATTAGCAGCGAAGTTGAATATAGACTCTCGTAGCTTGAGACTATACCAATCTGAATAAAAGTCCTGGGTAATAGAACAACGCGTTTTCAAATAGGCACTCTTCTCGCCGATACTTAGATGCGTAGGTAGATACATGAGGACCACTAGCGAGGGTATTGTGAAACATTTAATATGAGTGGCTTAAGCATAGGTACATACCGTGACATACATATATAGGTACCTACATAGTATCATCAAATACTTTACGTACCTACCTTTTAGGTACATACATGCGGAACCACATGATGTTGTTGCGTCAAGTACCAGGTTCGTGATAAGCAACGGATCCATCCGTCATTAGTCTTATCATTGCTATAACGCCGTTGTCGGAAGCAGAGGGGCTTGCATACGGAGTGCCCCTCCAAAACTAGTCCGAGTCGACATTGCGATTACCTACTACGTCAAGGTCTAGCAGAGATATAGTGGACTACCTGGTGGGCCAATGTCTAATACTATCATCTTATCTGAATAATTTCTGATAGACCACTCTTCTCATCTTCTGAGTCGACACCTAGTGAACTACCTTCGTACAGCTGGGTCTTGTATCTCCTCCATACCCCTATAATTTAAGCATAACCTCTTTTCTCGCTGAAACCTATCTGGTCGCAATAGTAATGGCTACCGAAGGCAAGGGCCGTCTGGCTGGCAAGAACGCCATCGTCACTGGAGGCGCTGGGTATGTTTCTTATATGTCACCCCTATGAGCGTAGTGCCGGAGAGGTGATTTGAAGCGTAGTGAAGAAAAAAAAAGTGCTAACACGGTCCATTTTCACAGTGGAATTGGCCTTGAGACATCTATCCTATTTGCCAAAGAAGGCGCCAATGTATTGCTGGTCGACATCTCAGAGCCGGCACTTGAAAAAGCCAAGGCCAAAGTCTTGCAGTTGGTGCCAAAAGCCGGCCGAGTAGAAACGAAGGTAAGCTATTCCCGCTCGATTCCTTCACTTACGTGTATTCAGATAGGCGGGAATAACGCGCCTCGGTATAGCTGCAGATTTGTAAGCTAACATAGGTGTCCTCTTCTTATTACCCTAGGTTTGCGATGTTTCCAAGGAAGAGCAAGTCAAGGCGACGATCGATTCGCTAGATTCGTGGGGAGGACTCGACGTAATCTTCAACAATGCGGGTATTATGCACGCACGGGACGACGACGCGGTTGGTACGCCGGAAGAGATATGGGACCTGACTATGTCGATCAACGTCAAGGGGGTGTGGTACGGGTGTAAGCATGCGGTGCTGTCTCTGCGGCGCAACAAGAAGACCAAGGGCAGCATCATCAATACCGCATCCGTCGTGGCCCTCGTCGGTTCGGCGACTCCGCAGTTGGCATACACGGCATCGAAGGGCGCCGTGTTAGCCTTGACCCGCGAGTTAGCTATCGTCCACGCGCGTGAAGGCTTCCGGTTTAACAGCTTATGCCCGGCACCTCTAAACACTCCTCTATTGCAAGACTGGCTCGGCGATGACGTGCCTAAGCGTATGCGACGAGAGATCCATTTTCCATCCGGTCGTTTCGGCGAAGCCATAGAGCAGGCTCAGGCCGTCGTGTTTTTAGCCTCCGATGAAGCTAGCTTCGTCAATGGCCACGAGATGGTTGTGGACGGCGGCATGACCAAGGCATATGTCACGCCTGAGGGTCCGCCCCTAGTCGCACCTGCGAACAACGCCTTGAAGAATGAGCTATGAGTTAGACTCGCTATTCGTAGACTAGCAAACCGAAGATAGAAAAAATCCGAATCCAAACGGAGACTCCTGATTACATTGTATCACCGACTATATACATGACCACCCATAGGAAATTGTCGAATTTGTCTTCGTAGCGAGGAGCAAAAGACCCAAAAACCACAAAAAAGAAAAAACAGCCGAACTCCGTCGCTACGATGCATACGATCGGCAGACTAAATTAAATGGGAATTATAGACGTTAATTTCATATGTCAATGGAATTGTCCTTCAGTGTTCCCTTCGCCCATGCTCTTACTCCCACTGCTCCCACTCTGGACCGCTCCGACGATGCCATCCATATAACTAGCGCCGCTCCATTTTTGATGCGTCAGTACATCACAGCCTAGGTCCTTCTCGCGCCGTTGTACGAGATTGACGTATGCTAACATGCCATCCTTCTTGTAATCTCTGGCCAACTCGTTGGTGATGGTAGCGGTGCTGTGCAGTCCGGCAAGCGAGATGAGTTGCAGGACGAAACCCTCCTTGGCAATATCCCAGATAAATGACTTGAGCGTCGCGTCTGTGAAACCGTGGGCCATCCAATTAAACGATGGCGACAGGTTATAGACGAGGCCCTTACCCGGGAAGACTTGCCTCACCGCGCGGCCCAGCTTCTTAGCTACTTCCACATTCGGGTCGCCGGTTTCGACCCATAGGAGATCTGCGTAAGGAGCGAAAGCTATAGCTCGCTTCGTGGCCGCCTCCATGCCCGCGCGATAATGGTAATGGCCCTCCCTGGTGCGCGGGATATCCCAGTTGAAGGCGATGGGCTTACTAGCGTACTGATTCGCGAGCTCGCGGCGTTTCGTAATACCGGTGTTGGGGTTTGCTTTAACATATTGGACGTACGAGTCGATTTTTTCTGACGATACGCCTTGGGCCTTCATCTGCTCGACGGCTGCCTCGTCGAAAGTCACCAACCGCGTCTTCTTCACCCAATCGGCCTCGAAAGCGTCGATTTCCGCACCTGATGCGCCGGCAGCTTCCATCTCTTGCAAAGTCTCTGCGAGAGGTGCGCTACCTTCTTCTGCGACGCCGAGTATGAATTCGTGGTCCCGCACGTCAATCGCACTAGAGATGAGTCTCCCACTTTCCGAGTCGGTACGCGCGATGACAAGATTCTCCGTACCCATCACGTCCCATTGGAAGCGCGCGATGTTGAGGCGGTTGATATGCTCGCCGATCGGCACGAGAACCTTGCCTGCCAAATGGCCGCACTTCTTGCCACCATGCAACTGGTCTTCGAAATGAACGGCGGCAGCTCCATTCTCAGCAAACAGTTTCGCGAGCTTCAGCACAGCAGTTAGGCCTCCGTGTCCCGTATCTCCGTCGGCGATGATAGGGCGGAAGTAATCTATGTATGGTGTGCTCTTCCTACCTTCCGGTGTCAGCTTCCGCCGTAGATCCCATTGTTTCCTGTCATGCATCGACTGGGCTTTGGCAAGACGCTGGACCTGATTGGGGACAGTGTTATAAGGATAGTCGCCAAAATCCGGTGAGACTTCGTTAGTAGTGGTGAGGACGGCTGAACAGGCCCAGCCGGAGATATAGAGGACTTCTTGATGTGGCGCTTGCTGCGTCATCTGTACGGGATCGATGGCTCCCACTATTCACGGTGTTAAAAGAGCCAGGTGGTGGTTTTCGTGGAATTAATGCGTAGCAGAATTCGTGTACGTACTAGTGTGGATAGGCTCTCCTTTTGCTACCCTTTCCTTTACCAGGTTGAAAAGCTTTCTTGCCATGAGCGAACTGGGATATGTCTGCATCTGGGAACCACGTTTCGATACGACATCCGCAGCAGTGTATGGCCTCTTTATGCCCTCATATCTAGGCGACGCCCACCACTCCTCGACATCTTTAATCTGCTGTTCGTAGAGAGCATCCTCCGCCGCGCCTGGTTTCTCGGTTTCTGGTAGGAGCTGAAACGAGTCGGACGGGAGGGTCGTCGATACGGGCGGGTTGACGGGAGGTAATGACATTCTTGTCATTGAGGAAGAGAAATGTCTCGAGACGATGCGGACTGGGGTACGAAGCGGAAGTCCCGAGCTTCTGGGAGCTCGAACTATCGCTCGACGAAACATCACGGCTGCTTCTAGTATTGCCAAGCCGATATGAAGGATCACTATGGCGTATATGAGTTAAGGATATGAAGAGATTCCTTTCGTCCCATCATATGCATTCGGATACCTAAAACATGTGTAATTCATTATATATACCTAGGTATGTACCTAGGTAAGTAACTAGATATGTATGAACATCAGTCAGCAACGGTCAAATGGTAAAGCGGTTCTTGGATAGCTCTAGCCTATTGGATGCGCGTGTCTATTCCAAGAATACTTACTTAGTAGTGAAAGTACTTTGGCAGGTGAAAATTGTAGCATCCGACCGACCCGTTTAAAATTCCTAGGTACCTAGATACCTTGCCTCACTACCCCGCCGCCGAACAAATGCCCGATAACCTCAATTTGAGTTGTGCGGGGGCGACCGATTGGGCAAAATGTGCATACTTGCCTTGTCACGGTAATCCGCGGCTTCAAATTGTGCGCCTACAAATGATGTCATTAGCAAAAAAAAGGAGACAGGTCAGGAGCAAATATGCTTCTATTTTCATTGGGCAATTGCACTATTTACACCGTCCTATTTCGCATATCACATGTCCCACTGAGGAACGACAGGAACAACGCCTGCAAGGGTGTCGATCTTTATTGATCCGAGGTCGGTTATCTGGTGTTCGTACCTAGTACCCTACATACATACACGTATATATCTTTATATGTACTTATATGCGCATGCGACATTACATTCATCATCAACCTATGGACGTCCCGTGCCTAAAGTACCTGCACAGGTAGGTATGTATCTGGGAATGGTCAGCGACGGGCAAACGGGGCAAAACGGGGCAAGCCGGGGCTGACGGGTTCCCTCGGTTATGCGGGGAAGGGAGGATAAAGGTGTTACCTAGACCCTTAATCCCTTAAGTCACTCCGCAACCCCAAAGTTACCCTACCATAACGCTGGGGGCACGTATCTACAACATTGAAGTACTATCTGATGTACATGTGCGTAGGGTATGGATAAGGTAGGTACAATGCCTAATAGTACTTTCCGAGGCTGTGCCTAGGCAAGTATCCTGGATGTAAGCTGGAGCTTCCACCGGTTGGTAGTTTCCCCCACATCAGGTCATGTTGTGTTTCTTAATGTTGGAGTCGTGATTTCTCGCAACTCCTTCTTTCCCATTTCTGTTGTTTTCTTATCTTCTGTCTTGTTTTCGCCATTGACAGCATCATTCTCTGTAATCGCGACGGTGTTTGGGAGATACCAATACCAGGGATTCGATCATTCGCGTCTATTGAACTCGTCTTATAGCAATATTCAAGCAGCTACCTTATCTGCTTCGCTTGCCGAGGTCTCCCAACTATTCGTTAGTCACCTATCATAGGAATGAGCAATATGGCGATGAATCTGAGAACTACGACAAGAGCTCTTGGGGGGCTTAAAGTAAGTGAATTTACAAGAAGAGGGATAGCTACTAGGTAGTGAACATATACACATACACATCACTCTCCCACCAAGCTAGCCATAGGGGTTAAGCCGAACTAACTAACGAATTGGATAGCCACGTGTGGCCCAGGTGGTGTTCCTCTCTACGGCTAGGTCGTACTCCACGTCGTCTGAACCAGACTTGAAGGAGACTCTCAAGGAGGTTATTCCCGCCAAGAGGGAATTGCTCAAAAAGGTCAAGGCACATGGATCGAAGGTCATTGGCGAAGTAAAGGTGGAAAACACAATTGGGGGCATGAGGTACGGTTGAAGGTTGCTTTATCTGCTATTTATGGAGACTAATTTTGACGTAGAGGGTTAAAGGCTATGGTCTGGGAAGGCTCCGTGCTAGACGCGAACGAGGGTATTCGATTCCATGGCCGAACGATAAAGGACTGTCAAAAGGAACTTCCTAAAGGTCGGTCGGGGACAGAGATGCTCCCGGAAGCAATGTTCTGGCTCCTCTTAACCGGAAAAGTGCCTTCGGTTAACCAAGTCCGCCAATTATCGCGTGAGCTTGCCGAGCAGGCTCGGCTCCCCGACTTCGTAAACAAGATGCTGGACAGCTTTCCTCAGGACCTGCATCCCATGACTCAATTTGCCATTGCCGTCAGCGCCTTGAACTATACCTCCAAATTCGCGAGGGCATACGAGGTTGGCATAAACAAGGCCGACTATTGGGAACCCACCTTCGACGACGTTATCAGCTTGCTCGCTAAGCTGCCTACCATCGCAGCCAAGATATATCAGAATTCCTACCGTAACGGCGGCGCTTTGCCTGGTGACGTTGACCCCGACCAGGATTGGTCTTACAACTTCGCGTCCATGTTGGGGAAGGGTGGCAAAGAGAACGAGGACTTCCAGGACTTGCTAAGATTGTATCTTGCACTCCACGGAGACCACGAAGGCGGAAACGTCTCAGCTCACACCACTCACCTAGTCGGGAGCGCTCTCAGTGATCCCTTCCTAAGCTACAGCGCTGGCCTTCAAGGTCTAGCCGGCCCCCTGCACGGGTAAGTTCTTAGGTTCCGACTTGGTATTTCACTTTTGAACCCTCGCTTATAACCATCCGTAGGCTTGCCGCGCAGGAGGTTCTGCGCTGGATACTGCAGATGAAGAAAGAAATCCCGGAGAATTACTCCGAGAAAGACGTTCATGACTACCTATGGTCGACACTTACTAGCGGCCGTGTAGTTCCCGGCTACGGACATGCTGTCCTTCGCAAGCCCGATCCCCGCTTCGAAGCCTTGATGGATTATGCGGCCACTCGTCCTGCAATCGCCAACGACCCTGTGTTCAAACTTGTCCTACTAAACAGCCAAGTTGCCCCAGACGTCCTAATCAAGCATGGAAAGACGAAGAACCCCTACCCCAACGTCGACTCTAGCAGTGGTGTTTTATTCCACCACTACGGTTTCCACGAAACACTTTATTATACGGCGACATTCGGCGTTAGCCGAGGGCTGGGTCCTCTCGCTCAGCTTATTTGGGATCGGGCTCTCGGCCTGCCCATTGAGCGACCTAAGAGTATAAATCTAGAAGGAATATTGAAGCAAGTGGAAGGGTGAAAGAAATCATGTTTAACGTTGCACTACTCTGGCGTTATCAGCAGAGCGCCCTGAGTTATAGATTTTCGATCTCGCCGATGAAAGCATTGCAATCATGATTATTCTATAAATTATTTTTGTTCATACATCACGAAAGCTAGTTCGCCAAGGAAGTCGAACGTGACGAAGCTGAGAGCTCGATTCCTGCCACCGCGAGATTGGCATTCGCTAGTTCGTGAAAAGGCTAGGCTGGGTCGATCGATGGTAGGATAAGCAAAGCAATCATTTTGGCATTTAGCGCAATTTCTCAACACTTTTGTACATATTTCATCCTGGTAAGTGATGCCAATAAGATCTGTTTGCACCCGCCTGATGATGCGACAAATATGGTAAATCTCTTACTCTGGGTAGATGAGAATCACTTCTGGCCCCTTTAGCGGGGCGCAAATGTAACGTTAAAAGCTCCGGTTCTCACAAAAAGAGTTGGCACCTAGCTAAGTGATTTGATATTATTCTCGGCTCGCGTGTGAGGGGATTTCATATATTAACCGCGAAGAATATCTGGGTTACTGGATCGCTGGGGATCTTCTAAATTCGGGTTGCACGGAATTTCATGCGAGAGTCACGACACCACGACACGTACGATATTCTCGTTTACTCTTCATCGTCACATACCTATCTACTTATCCATGCATGTATAGCACATCAGGTGGTCGGCACAACCTCAGCTGAAAGTCTAGATCCGTAAGCACCAAGACACTCAGTCTATACGACTCCGTGCGGGAAGGTCGCAGCTTAGATTTGCGGGCATCATCGAGAGCTAACTCGATAGGTACCTAGATAGCCTGGCCCCTGAAGTAATACTACGGCTCATGTAAAAACGTTTCCCATGCTGGACAGAACTATCAGGATTATAATACGTAGGTACGATTCATCTTATCCATTCCGATACAACATGCGTGAGCGGTTTGCACATTGGGTTTAGCGAGGATTTCTCACCAGGGGCCCGCCAACGCGGCTAAAGAGGTTAAACAGTCCCGAACGACCAAACAAGAAGATTTTCATCCTTCTTACGATTATAGCCCTACCGAATCCGCGTTCTAGCCAATGTTCGTTGACGGAGACACCCGGATCTGCATGGCCTAGCGTTGACATGTTTCTGGATTCGCCATACCATCGTAGTCTTCATACCAGTTCCAGAAATAGTTCTTCACATCCATGACAATTCAAATTCGGTGGCCTAGGAGCAAACCCCAGCATTTACTGGTCCGCTATATCGACATCCGGCCTCCACTCGAGGAGTTCTTACACTATGGGCAGTTTGACAGGACGTATTGCCATATTGCTTTAGCCTCCCTATGGGAAACAGCACAGGCTTATTCTGCCCTTAGCAGTCCAATGTTATGAAATACTTATCACATATACCTTGGCACTTACCAATAAGAGGTATGTTATGTCTAGTCGTCTGACATAGTGCACCCCAGTCAGCACATGGGATGAGCAGACTCCATGGATGTTAACTTATCCGGGGCAGCTTGGTTCTCTTCCCGAGTCGAGTCAAAATAGCATCGATTACGATGTCTAAGCTCAGGCATCCCGTTAGTCTCCCTGAAAACGCCCGGGGCCTGGATCTTTAGCCCTACCCTATCCATATATCTCATAACCAGCAACTTGTTTCCAAGGATTCCATTAGGTATGCATGCCTTGCTCGCAGGTTCGAGCCGAGTTCCACGCCGCTGGGCGGTGAGTTGCTTTTTAGCTGCGTCATGTGGCCTGGTTATGAGCGTCAGTCAAGGCTTCGATTTGCTAATACTTCTATAAAAAGAACCCCGTACCGAACCAACGGCGCAGCCATGAGAGCTAGATTTCCCAGAATTAATATGAGTTCATCTATTCTACTTCGACTACCAATTCAACCGCAAATTTATGGGCGAGGCTGGAAGGTTTACTACTAGGGTATTGCTGTTAACTCCTGAGGTCTAGGTTCGCAATCTATTCCCCGAATTAATCATCGTGTCATCTTATGGCTTCTGGCGAGTTGCTATCATGTTGTCTAGATCGTCTTGGGCTGTTAGGACCTATCCCCGGGTCGACCAGAGAATGGGATTCGACCACCCGTCCAGGCTCCAACTTTTGAGTCTAATATGTTTGAGATGACGATAGAACTTTATAAATACGATCTGATCCCTCGACGAAGTGGATATTTTCCCTATCAACATTATCAAGTAGGCATCTACAGATCTCAGTTTCTTCACCTGGGTACCCTCGTCTTCCTCCACTAAGCTCAGCTACTGACCACCATGCGGTCATTTATTGCTCTCCTTACGCCCGTTCTTGCCGTGGCCAACCCTATCGGCATCGTCGGCGACGGGGATACTCCTAAGCCGGATGAGATCACCATCGTCAGCGCTTCCGCCAGTGGAAATGGCTGTCCTCAAGGAACCGTGACGACGGACCTCTCCCCGGAGCGAGAAGTGAGATATCTAACTTAATAATGTTCCAAGGGCCACGTCCGTAACTAATCACCGTAATAGGTTATCACTTTTGGCTTTGACGCTTTCCAGGTGTATACCGGACCTGGCACCGTACAATCGGACAAGTCCAAGAACTGCCAGCTTCATCTGAACCTCAAGTACCCGGGGGGTTTCCAATTTGCTGTGGTCGAGTCCACATACCATGGTTACGCCCAGCTTGAGGACGGCGTGACCGGTACGTTTTACTCGACCTACTATTTCTCCCAAGACGCCGCTGCTACCGTAAGTGGTCCAACCCCATCCTACATTTACACGCTACACCTTGAAGCTTACACGCGCGTTAGACCACGACTCGAACATCAATCGATGGAGGTGGGCTCTGGGCCGACGGCCAGGTATACACCAAGCAGGATCAAATCCCTACGGCATCGATCATCTGGTCACCTTGCGGCTCTACGGGTATTCTCAACGTCAACAACCGCATCGCGCTGACGTCGAGCAATACGACCGCCTCAGGTCAGATCTCCGACGATGACGCTACCGTCGCTTTCACCCAGCAGGTTCACGTTAGCTGGCAAGCTTGCAAGTAGAAGGTAAAATGGTCGAGGTTGATTCGCGTGTACGAAAGGGGGGGGTGAGTGAAGGAGTTCAGGAAGTTTATGAGCACGTAAAGGGGTAAGTACTGTGATCATTGGTGAAGAAGGGAGCCCAGCAGACATTCGTACATACCACATAGGAAAAATCACCTCCGTCCAAAGTATTATGTCTCTTTGAAAAATGTACGAATATTCCAACTTACGTTTTCTGTTCAAGAACCTACACGGTTCTAAGGTGAATTGAATGAGACAACCCGTGTGAAGTTGTATGGTTTGGTAGATCACCATACTCTACCCAGGCATTTGCGTCGATGTAAAACCAATATAGGATCCCCGTAGGCGGTATTAGCTGACCAACAAGGCCATGTGCAGCTGATTACTGGAAATTAGGCGCAGAAAATCGCATTACATCGTACCGTCTAAAATACCAAACAAAATGCTAATATATCCAAGTATCGGGTATTCGAAGATTAAAGACCTCGTAAACCTATCGTTGCCAGCCGAAGATGGAATGAGACTCTGCGTCTTCTCCTTTACAGCGCATTCCCAACTTCTCTTTTTTTAAATAAAGCACTAACTGGAGTTACTTCCAACTACTTATTTTGGTTAGACTTTGTTGGTCGGCCCCCACGCGGTAACTAAAAACAAGGAAAATCCCCCCAGTCACCAACCACCACTGCTTCGGTTGTCATCACCGCGCGTAACCAGGTCTGGGAGAAGCAGGACTACCAGGACCGTGGCCGGGTGCGGGACTGTTTATTCTGGGCGATCCGTACCCGCCAGCCTGAGGCCCCGGGGAACCCATTCGCATGGAGGCGTTGGAGGGTGAAAAGGTCCGGTTTACGGGCGATATAGGCGTAGGGGCTGGGATCTGAGGTGGTTGACCAGGGCTCTGCGTGCGAATGGGTGCGGGAAAGCTATTATTACGCTGCGGTCCGGCTGAGCCTGGAGCAGGACTGCCAATGCGCTGGCTCATCGCGTCATCACGGAGAAGCGGCATGGCAGCACCGACAGCGCCAGCACTTGGGCCAGTCGGGTCCCACGCTTTCTCAGGTGGGCCCGCAGCGCTTCCGGGAGGCGAGTCAGGCACGGCGTATGCTGAGGTGGCCATCGCGCCTTTGTATTCGGTTCCGTCGAAGGCCAGCGCGTCGGGGTCCCTCCCCTCTCTCTTAAACCTCTCCAGCTCAACTCGTTCCTGCTCCTGTCGCTGTGCTAATAAGGCAGCCTCCTGCTTGCCGCGGCGTCTCTGCCTCACGCCAAAGACGACGAGGGCAATGAAAGCAATGGCACCCACTCCGCCGGCTGCGGCATAGACGCCGTTCTTCGTGCTAGACGGGAGGTCGTTCCATTTCTCGGAGAGCGACTTCTCTGGCTGCTTATTGATGTTCTCAACCGCGGTTGAGTTACCACTGGGGTCCTATGTCAGCATAGAATCACGGCGTCCGAAGAGCCGACTTACCTAGCGATCTTGATACTTTCCCAAGTACCAGTATGGTCACCATAGGAGTACTCCTTTCCGGTGGAATAATCCTGTACTAGAGCACTCTTCACGTACATCGTGTATGGCTCGGAGTAGGTCGTAACACCACCGGCCCATTCAATCGTCCCTTGAGGCTGGTCCGGGTCACCGCCCGCCCAAATACCAAGACTGAGCTTCATCGGCGTCTGAGGATAGTTCAACGTGTTGTTGGCATCCGTCGCAAGGAGCGTGCGGACATGCTGGGAGTCGATATACCATTCGAGTTGATCCTTCGTCCACACGCAAGTGTAATTATGGTAGTCGTCCTGGACTCCGCCATTGACTGGATGGTAATCTGCATTGTGGAAGTCGGGTTCTCCTTTTCCGAAATAGTTCGTCGACACGTGCGTGGTATTCCCTCCCATAAACTCCCAGTCGACCTCGTCGAGAACATCAGAAGACCACACGATGGAGCTGATGATTCCGGTTCCGGGTGCTGCTTTCAGGAACACCTCTGTCCTGCCGAAGAAGAAGTAGAAGTTCGATATTAGGGTGGGTGATTCGCCTTTCTTGCTGATCGTGAAAGCGGCTCCAGTGTCGTAGTTATAGTCGACGGTTCCGGCAGTCGTATTAAACGTACCCGCAGGCGGCGTGGCGTTGAAGTAAAACGTGTGCGTCGTTCCGAGAGCTGGATCCGCCGGACAAGTCGCATTAAGAGGGTTGCAACTGGTGGTGAGCTGGCCAGCGACGGGATACACGAAAAGCGAGAGCAACGAGGCGGCTGCCACCAAGAACGAACGAGTCGACATCGTGACGAATTATCGAGGGCGAGCCCTCGTATTATGGCAAATTAAGCAGCAATTCAATAATTGGACTTGAAGCTTAGGCGTCTTATTAGAAAGAGGTACGGCGCAGAAAGAACGTGTTGATTTCTGTCCTTTGTTTAATGACTGTCGGAGCTTGCCTCTGGGACTATCTCCTTGACTGCATACTCTCCAGTAGCAGGCAGTCAAGTCTCTAGAATTGGAATAGTAACGATCGTGGACGAGCGAGTTTGGTAGATGGTCGGATAGCTCAGGAGTGACTACAGGTGCCAAGAGGTTGGTCGGAATACCGGATCGCTCAAAACGAGGGGATTAAGTGACAGAAATGGCGTATATGATAGCCCACGGGCTATAAATTAGGTAGATAGTAAGGATCGTGGGTGTCGTTTCAAAAGGTCGCGCACGTTGAGTGATAAAGGAGCGTAGGTGCGCAGCTTTTCGACTCGATATCCAAAACGGAGAGCGTGAAATGAGGGACTGAGGTTCAATCGGGTTAGTGAGCGGAATGGACGAATGGGGGATCTAGCTAGCCCCTTATTCGACCTGTTTTCTCCCTTGGCTTGGAAGAGGAAATGGTGATTGGGAAGGTCGAGGAAGGCCGCCGGCCGCCTCTGGAAACCAGTTTTATCATGAAAAAGGGGCTTCCTCGCTAGCGTAACATCTCGGGTCCACACATAGAGATCCATTAGTTAGATAAGGTACCTGGTTTCCCCTGCCAGGGGCCGCGTCGATCTTGCAACCGATGCTGTTCGACGCCATACTTGTTCCAGCCTAGTTGATCGGCATTTGACAAGCTAAGGAGGACGATCAATTTTCAACACACGGAATTAACAGCCGGCGTGTTGAGAAGCCGCCAAATATTTTATTTTAATCGTTGCTTTTTCCATCCTGTGTCTCTGCGCAATGCCTCCATTAAGTGAGCATATGAGGAATAGCCTCGAGCTGAGATACATATATCAAAACCAATTGTCTTACTTTGAGATATGGTCGGATTATTTTTCCCGTCTCTCTGCATTAATATCCCATATCCCACTTTCGACGAAGTTGACGCAAGCCGACGGTAAAATAAGATTACAATGCCACGTACGTTGTTACCTATAGAAGGGCCTTGTTATAATGCCGAGTGCCCTGAGTAGGGACCTGCCAGCTAGGTTTGTAATTACCTACTAATTATAAGTATGCCAGATGGCTAACCACCGCAATAGTATCATGAGATGTTAGCTTGTGCCTTTCGTGGTTACTAGTTAGGGAAACATCTTCCAAAAACCTTGCTTCGATCATTCTTCGATATGATGTGTAAAGAAGGTAAGAAACTAAACCAACAAGATCATGCGGGGCCCCGCGATTTTGGAGGCAAGGAAATACTTGTTTGTAAATGATTTTCTCTGATATGTCAACGCCATAGATGTATTCAAAATAGTACATACGACATCAAAGAGTGTACGAGAACTTCCTGACGAGAAAATAGGTACTTATGCGGTACGTACTCCATCAGTTTCATGCATTTGGCAAAGATTTTGCTTTTTTTCACGGCTCCCGGAGTCGCAAATACTTGTTGCCAAATAGTTCCCACATCCACTTTCACTCTTATGTACTCTAAGGGATATTTATCCATCAATTTTTCATCGGCAATCCCTCTAATATCTAAGAGGGCATCCATGCTCTGGCGAGAATTCTATAAACCAGCTGGTATCTCCATAATCCCCCACAGAATATTTTATGAATCTTAACAAAAAGATCTACCACTTAATATATCCAAGGCTCCCACAAATCCTTAGCCCCGTCTATATGCTTTTATAAAAATTTCCATCGTCGTCCACATCCAGCAGACTGCTAAATCTAACAACGTCGAAAGAAAGTATGTTTGTGATGAACCGTTACCACGAAAAAGTCATGAGCGCGGGATTCAAGGCAAGAGGTAATAGGAAATGACTACTTGCGACAGTTGCCATAGGGAGGATGGCCACAAAGTCCGTAATGCGCCAGTTGTGGGGAACGATGGGCGCGACGGCTATGACGACCATACCTACGATGAAGAGTAGGGAGAAGAGCATGGAAAACTTGAACTTCTTCAGCACCTTAGGGACTTCGATGAAGAAGTTAGAGAACTCGGCCTCCTTCGACGTCGCGCCCCAGGTCATGTCGATTTCGAACATGTGGGCCAATATGGCTTGGCTCACGTGTAGAGAGAGGCCGCCCAAGAAAATGGCTAGGAGGAACGTCCACTTGAAGTTTTCGTAGATCGCGTACATGAGCGTGCGCTCTCCAACCCGGTACCGCATGACGGCCAGTGCAACGTTGCCGAGGCCGTTGAAGACGATGATGATGGAAAACCAGACCTGCCAAGAGTCGATGTAATACTTGTCCAAGTAGCCGTTAAACCATCCCATGATGAAGTAGTTGACGGATGTCATGATCCACGCGGCTCCGATAGCGTAGTAAGTACCGATGTATGAGATGATGGTGACCTTCGACGTGAAGCGAATGTTGGAGAAGAGGAATCGGCGGAATAAAGGCGTGAACGGACCTTTCCATATCCACTTGCGGATCGGATGGAAGAGTAACTCGTTGCAGCCGTACGCATACTTTTCCCATCGAGCTAGTTCGTCGTACACGGTTAAGGACACGCCTTCTTTAAATCCTTCGCCGGCCCAGGCGGCGAGCCGTATGATGTAGCCACTGCATTGTAGACGAAGAGACATGTCGAAGTCCTCGGAAACATGCGACTCGGACCAGAACTTCTCGTAGCCATCCTCATCTTCGTATGAGACTTGCTGGATAGCACTCCATCGTAAAATGGCGTTGTGGCCGACGAAAGGGGCGACATCACCGTTGGACACCGTATATCTGATGGCGCTGTATATGAGATTGGTAAAGAAGGTAATACCATTCTCGAAATAGGTGTGGACGACTTGCATAACGCCAGACGAGAACTGCATGATGCCGACGTCAGGGGACTGTTCCATTTCAGAAACGGCATCCAAGAGGCAATCAGAAGGAACACGCGTGTCGGAGTCGACTAAAATTTCCCCGGTTAGTTTGATGGTGTGGCTATGGAAATTCAGGTAGGGAGACGGTATCTTACTAATAAGGATATAGTCGCCGACGCGAACGTTGCCGTCGGCCCAGGCTCGCCCATCCTCTTCAAGCACTTCCTTCAATGATCTTTCATATGCTAAAGCTTCGTCGGCTTGGGACCATTCGGGGCCACGATCGTACAGGGAGAGCTTCTCCTCGACTTTACAAGAAATCATAAGCGCGAAGTTCATGTTCGATGCCTTCTTGAACTTGCCGCGGCGCAGGAACCCGTTCTCGCCGTGCCTAGGACGAGCAACCCAACCGATGCTATGGTCGGCGTAGAAGTCGATACGAGCTCGTCGCTCTTCCTCGGAGATGAGTTGCAGGCCATCGTCATTGATAAACAGGTTTGCGGAACCGCCTTGCAGCTCATAGGTGCTGATGGCTTGTTTTATTGATCGGACGGTGGGCTGAATTACTGCCGCGAGACCTTCCTTATAAACTGGACATTGTACGGTCTGTAGTTGTCACAGAGTTCAGACGTCAGCATTTAGTTCATCCAAGGGTATCGGCTGGAAATTTGAGACAGGGTACCTCAGCCCTCGGCCCCCACACAAGAGTTGAGGGAACGTCAGATAATGCAGGCACGAATGTATCGTGGCTCGGACAAGGCCACGAGCATATCATATAAAATAACTTACAACATGTGGTAAAGTCGGAGTCCGTAACCTCGGCGGCGGCCGGGCGGAGTAGAATTTGGAGTTGATGGTAAGTTGGCGGATGGGGCCAAAGATTTGAGCCAAGCAACCGACCATCACCTGGGCAAAGAAGAGAGAAAAGAAGACCTGAATTGGGAAGAGGGCCACCAGACCCAAACGCGCCCAACCGTTGTCGACGTTTACCTCGATGGCAAGCTGTCTCCAAGCAGCCCCCAATGAAACGGTGACCAATACTATGACGATAGAGACGAGATATGTATTTAGGAGATGGATTGGTCGCTTCTCGGGCTTGATCTGCCCACTCTCCTCGTCTATTTCGACTTCCTCGGTTAGATATCCGGGACCTTTCTCTCCATCGTCGTCGCCGACCTCGCCACTCTGCCAGACGAGCTCCATCAACTCGGACTCGATAGCTTTGGCTCGTTGAACAAGGTGTAGCGCATCATCGTCCCAGACGATAAGTAATGCCTCTGATGCGACAAAGGCGGCAAATTGATGCTTCCTCGCTCTTGCTAGGTCATGGAGTGTCGGCAAGATCTGAATCCGAAGACCGTTCATCAACGGTACATCGACTGCCTCGGGGGACCACGATAAGAAAGTTTTGATTACTCTCGAGTTTACCGTCATCGCGCACTGCAGAATAGTCAGTAGAAATATACCAAGATGCAATGACAAGGGAGAATTACCTGAACGTTGAGAGCGGCACAAGCCATCGCAAAAGTCGAATCTCCTAAGGCGGGAGGGCAGGCCATATACGTTCCCTTTGATTTGCGAAGGAGAACACCCTCCACATCACCGCTCCCATCGCTAACCCACAGGTGCGCGCATTGCTGTTGGTACAAGTAATTGACCATCACCTCATGCTTGATGTCGTCTAGGAAGACTGAGCTATTGACTGAACGCTCGGAGATTGACCCTCTGGACGAGCCAAAGTTTGAAGGCGGAAGATGGAGCCCATACTCATCTATACCCGGTGGACTTGAATGTCCCGTCCCGGCGAAGAGTTCCGCTGCTGGCGTGGGTGATGTCACTATCTTCTTCGTATTCTCCTTAGGCCTCTCGGCTCTAAAGTAACTCGACAGACCCATATTTACGTGCTTGCCCGACAGTATGCTCGAGGGTTCCGTTTGCCAATTGAGACGAAGTAGTCAACGAGATGATCCACCTAGCCTTCATCAGGCCAGAATTCCTTGCGCAGCTTCAACAATATGGGAGCCAAGTCTCCGCAGATAGAAAACGATATGGCTTGTAACAACTATGTGCCAAAGCACTATTATGATAGCCACTATAGCAGATCTAATTTTTCTAGTTAGTAACTGAACATCAACTCGTATTAGATAAATTGTAATAAAATCAGAGGAACCGGAGGATTCGATACCATGAGGAAAGAAAACGAATGGGACTTACGGCAACAATAAGTGAGGGCAGCTCGAACGTGTAGAGTCACTGGGTCGATGGTAGGTCACCACGTCTGGGTGGTGGGCGCTAACCGAATATACTACCAGTTACCCACGATCACGTTCCTCTACTACAAGGTTGGGTGGCGGATTTCGAACAGGCCAAGAGGAAAGTATGGGATATAAGATACGAGGATTATGGAGGACTTAATGGAAATGGAGTGGGAAAGACCACAGAGATTTGCCAAAGTTGACGCCAGTTGCTCCCCGTGGCTTTAGAGTTGAGAAGACTAATGCAAAAGAACACTAACACGAATTCTTCTTACAGGCCACGCGCTGGGACAAAATAGAAATGAGTTATGTCGGTCTAGTCAACCTGAGGTCTACACAGCTGCTCAGATAATGATTTAACGAGAGACTAGAACGAATGTAGTGGGCAAGTTGTCTAAACCATTGACATGTGGCGTTTGAGACGAGATAAAGGAGGCGTAAGAAATATAAACCTAGTAATAGTAAAGTATCCGCGAGTTTTTCTAGCTCAATATGAGAGCGGCGGTCTGGCCGCCTCTTCTCAATGGGAAGGTATTTCCCACCCCACGTCGAAGTAGTCATGGTGTACGGGCTTGAATAAGCGGACAGAGACCGGTCAGATTTTTCAATCTTCGGCCCAGCAGCTTAGACGAGGTCTGTCGATGGAACAGGGGTTCGGAAGGAAAATATCGATCGAAAGCGTTATTTTGGTCAGCCACGTGAGTACCTGGCCAGTTTGGTGAGGTACTTGCTAAATCGCTGGCATGCAGCTAAGATCTCGATATGATTTTGTTGTTTAGCTCGCACCAAACTCTCCAAGTACTACTCCGCTAGGTACTAGCCATGCTTGATATTACATGGTACTCCATACCTACTCTAATGGGGAAACGTTGCTATCGTGAGGTAGTATTGACAGAGATCTTGGCAAGCATGGTTGTCTCGGCCCACTACGACCCAAGGGCCTACGAACGATCCGATTAAGACCACCAAGTTTTATCTCTGGTGTACGTTGGGCGTCAGGATCTAGGAGGCAGTGGCTGTTATACGAAGTTTGACTCGATAGTTCGGGGAGGTGTTCGGTAGGAGGCTGATAATCAGAGTCTATGACGAGTAGTGGAAGTAGGTAGTCTGCTCGAATGGTGGTCTAGGCAAGCCGAAGTCATCGTGAGAAGCAATAAATTGATGCTGAGGTTGCTTCCCCAGACCCTTGCAAGCTGCGCCTGTAATCCTAAGGAAATATCCGCCCAATGTTGTGCTCGCGATGGCGCATCATCTTGGGCGCCCTACATCGCGATAGATGACCTCCAAATTCGATTGAATAGAATAGATCCATGCCTCAATGCGGTACAACGGGATACATTGTCGTGATACGACTTGACAGGACCGAAGGTGGCGAGAAGTCGAGATGCCATTGGTGTATACTTACCTACGTATGTAAGATTCTGCGTGCTGCATGCTGCATGTTGTAACACCCTCGCGAAAACAAGGGCATCCAATAGACAGTATGGACTTCTTAATCTTCTTTGGTGCTGTCACTTTTCTCGTATTCTCGGTGCAAACTGCATGAAGACGAGACGCTCCTCGGTTCGACTCCGCGTTAGCCTAGATACCATTCAACGGCCTGTGTAGCAGAGCAGAAAGCCACGGTCCGATTCACGCCACATATGGTGCGCCAGCGTGTCTCCCTACCTAGGTAGTCGATGGTTGTATCGTCGTTCAGCCTTCGATATTAAGTTGTTACCGGAAAGCATGGCGGCTAGCGGTAAGCGGCAAAGGCCCAAGGTTGGGTCTAGGTAGTTGATTGGCGTCCCTAGGTAGGTAGATACCTAGATACCTACCTAGTACCATTTGCAAGAAGAGATCTCGTCATTCGCCGCAGATAAACACTAGACGGAGCGGGATCGTGACGGGCCGCGTTAGAGCAAATTTAACTAGGTAAGTAGATACCCAGGCCGCCAGGTAATCTGTTTAGTTCGAGCTTATAATATCCGCTAGTTCAGCTCTGTATTTTATCACAGTCTAACGCTTACGCCCCCAATTTGGTTCGAGAGGGTATGGCCTCGAGCCGGCTATGGATCCTTATCGTATTACGTGCATATGGTTCGGTAGCTTGAAGCTTCTGTTTTGGTACTCGAACGCTTATTTACCCACCTGTGATAGGTAAGAAAGGGTAACAAGAGAGTAAGACGGGGAAAATAGAATCATAATTTGTTGTATCTGGGGCAATCACTTCGTGGAAAAGTACTGGAGCTAAATAAAAAATATCATTAATTTAGGTACGTATTGTCACTTGCAGATTGGTCAATATTTAAACATCATTAGCTAACTTAAAACAAGCATATACTTTGACGATCCTCACGCTAAGCCATGCGTAGCCTAATGTAGATGATTCCCGAAGCTAGGGAGGTAGGGAGGAAATACGGCGCCGAAACAACATTGAACTTGGATGACATGGCAATTGAATCGAATTGTTCGCTATCGCCTAAGATATTTACCTACTATTACCTAGGTACCTACATACATAAGCTTACATACATTGATATCATAGATTAGATTTATCAGCGTGATATCTCATGGTGTCTACAAAATTGAATCGACTGCCAACGTCGTTTCCAAGTTCTTCGAGGATTTCCCACCTATCCATACCTAGTTAGTAGTAGTACGTACCTAGATAGCTTCAAGGGTCTCATTCTAGTGATCTGAGACCCCTAAGCCCTGCAAGTGATTCTCTGAGGAAAGTTAAAACAACGTCTTTTTACTATCTCGCTGCCTGACAATCGCACTGGTTGTACGTAACATCTTTTAAGTGCGCCGCCGTGAACCATGGAAATCTGCATTACATCATGCGGCTACCCGAGACATAAATCTGTGAATAGGTACCTCACTAGTAGAGCATTCCCATCAGCACTAGCGACGACAAGTGACTTCTATAACACCCAATTTCCACACATTACCTTTGTATTCCAACCCAGAAAAAAACGCCAACGCGCCCGTGCATCGAAACATATTCTATAACTCTTCATTGCCGTCGCACTGTTGCCACATTATGACCTTGCTGACCTGCATGGCCGGGCTTGTCCATGTGGGCAACCACGTGTTCCGCGCATTCCAAAAGTCCTTCTTTGCGTTAGGGCTGCCGTCGATCCAAGGCTTGCCGCTCTGCGCGTCCTCAAACCATCCGTTGGTACCGCCGACGGCAACGTTCAGTATAAGGTAGAATTCTTGATCGAACGGCGTGTTGTCACGGCCCGTCTGCGACCAGTTATCCACGAGCCGTGTACCGTTGCTGGTGGCCTCGGGGAAATTTCCACGCTGCCAGAGGGGCTGGTCAAAGTTGGTGTAGAGAACCTGGAGGAGACGCGAGTTGACGTAGGTGAAGAGATACTTTTGAGACCACTCGAGGCCGAAGGTGTTGAATCCAGCCGAGTACGTGGTGTGCAGTGCCTCGCGCTTCACGTTAGTTCTCCACCAAGCGTCGTTGGCTTGATCGGGTCCCCAGTGTAGAGTCGAGGAGATGATGTCGTTCCCGCCTTGGGCGTACGTCCAATTATTTCCCCGGCTCTCCATAATGTCGATCTCGCCGCTGGCTGGCCAAGGCCCATACGTATCTTTGACGGGCATCATCCAGATGGCCGGCCAGAGCCAATCTCCCTGTGGAAGTTTGGCCGTCACCTCGACGCGCCCATACTTGAGGGTTGCCCCTTTCTTGCTGTTGATTCGGCCGGACTTCGTCGGAGGCACGATGGTAGCATTGCCAACGGTGGTGTTGGTGGCTGCTATACAGTCAGATGGCACCGTTGAAGTACAAGTACCATCCTCCAGGAGATTGATCAAGGAGTCTTTGTCAATCAGATCCGCATTCTGGAGTGTAGGTTTGATGAAAAGGCTTCCGCCCTGGACATAGACGTTCTCGTCATTTCCTGTGGTCTGCTCAAATTCGCCATTGCTATACGCCGCCGTCAGTCATGAACCAAATATGTCGGTGATCTGGGATTCCGTCTTACCCGAAGCCGCCTACCTGGACCTCCTTAGTCCAGACAGCGTCGTTAAAAGTCGCAAATTCATCCTCAAGCACCAGACAGTAGTTGTGTTTAACAACACTTCGTATTCCGTCCCATACTAGAAATCCAGAAATTCCTAGGCCGACAAGTATGCCCAGGATGGGAATGATAGTAACCCACTTCTCCTTTGGATCCTTCTTGTCAAGCCATGGCTTCTCTAATTCACCCTTTTTCACCCTTCGCGAATGGAAGTATCGCGGGCCGGAGCCCTGCACAGGGATATCAGAGCTTTCATAGCTAGAAGCTGGCCGTGAAATCGACGGCGATGCGAAAGGGTTTATAGTGCCCAGCCTTCGCGACGAGTGGGCGTCTATTCTTTCATCTCCCGAAGGGCTCCTGTCTGTGTTAGGTGTGCCTGGCCGGAAAGGCATGGGAAATGCCATCGAGTTGAAAGAAGTGCTACCAGCATGCTGCTGGTCCATCGTAGCGGTTGATTAATCCCTGCAGCGGGACAGCTCTGTTGGTGCAGATACAACAATATCAAATATAAGTAATGTTATGAGAAATTATACGAAAAAAAGACTAAGTCGTATTGTCAAAAGCTCGTCGGTGCTAGGTCTGAAGATGTTTCTAAGTCCTAAATCTTAACGGGGAGAAGGCGGGATAAGAGGACGGATGTAGAAGCATAAGAGATAGGCACGGATATTTCAATGGAGCTAACCTTCACGGCGTGCTTCCACTTATGCTTAAACCTAGGTTGGTAGTCTTCCTGTGCTTCTATAAGTCTAGAGCTATCAGATTCAATATTCTTACTACGACCACCCATAGAGCTTGATACGTACCCAAGTACAGTTCGTACACGACATGTACTCGAGCATGCAGGGGTATATAAGATCGTAGCGCCAGGGGTTGACCACTTTATTCTTTGACTAGCCCAAAGAGGTAAGCTGGTGGGGCATCATCACAAACCTTATCACTTCTGTAAAGTTGAGCTAGGGTTGCCGAGCTTCTGGGCCATAGAACCTTGCAACCTTGATAGAGTTCGGTGGAGACTCCGGGAAGCGAGTCCCATATATTGAAAGGGGCCGCGAGGTAAGGTAAGCCTCACGAACCATCATTCATATCACCTGAACGCCACGACGCCACCGCTTTGCGCTATTGTTGAGACGGATTAACTTACTTATATGGGAATAATGAGATGACCTATTGGGTATGCGATACCTATCGACGGATGGCGTGCATTCAATGTTAAGCCGACGAAATCAAGTTTGTCTCTTCAATTGGTGAAGAAAGAAGAGAACCTTTAGCGAGCTGAGTTACGGAATGGGGATTCGAGACTCGGGGCTTAGGGCTTGAGACTATTGGCAAATTGGCAAGTGCGGCTGGGCCCGTTTGCGGGATGCTTGAACCCACGAGTCAAACTCATTCGTCGATGCCCACCTAGGCAGGTCATAGCTGATCACATAATCGATAGCACCGAGAGCCCAGTTGATTGCTAATTTGCCGCTCGAGAACCGAATCCTATCCAGAGACTTGAGTGATCGGAGTCAATGAAATCCCCGGCGGGATCTTTAAGATATTTGGTGTGAACCTTAGCTGTCGCAGAGAAGGCATGTGCGAGCCTTTGTAGCCTTTCATCAGCAAGCCACACGAACCTAATACTACGGCGATATATCATGATGAGCCTGGGCCGCAAGGAGGCATCTGTCGAGGATTCCGAAAGTTTCGGTGTGGACTTAGTATCACAGATCTGACTATATCTAAGAAAGAATTTCGGAATATAAGAACGAAGGCGATGGTTTTAAAGCACGCATGGAAGTTTTTGCCGTAACCGCTTACTTATTCACTTGCGCTACCAACAATTTGAACCAACAACGCTCGGAATCCGCCCAATTGAAGCCTTCGATGGCAACTACATATTATATCATACCCACCTTGAATGCACCCAGATCCCTATTCCTCGGTTAATCCATGGTGTATGGAAGGCCATTCCTTTATTCAGACATTTTCCATCATATTCAGGGTGCTAAAAGATCGTAACTGCTACATCTATCCACATCCTCTCGTACGCTAGCCCCATGGTTGTCGCGGTTCGCTCATTGGCGAGCAACTTAAACAAGGGGCAATCCCGCATCATTCTACCTGAAATCTAAGGATCAGCAAACAATTCCTTTCGATTTTCTCGTATATGTAGATACGAATGAAGGATTTCGTATTCTACGGTTCTTAGCTTACAATATGGAAATGAGATCATGATGTTGTCAGAGGTTGCGGAATAGCCTCAGGGGTCAGATCTCTCGTGAATGGATAACATGAACAAATGTAGGTATGAAGTTTAATAGCACTAAGAAAATGATATTATCACTGCAACTAAAACTATGAAAATATTCTTAGGCTCGCATAAAAATCTAGGTAAGTACCTATTTGACTAAAAAGTGACATTAAATGCATAAAAGGGGTAATGGATAGGTATAATATACCTCCTATAACTACCTCCCTACTTAGTAGGCAGAAGTCTCCTTAACTTTGATGAGCAGCTAGCTTCAATTACTTCAAACTGTGCGTCATCTCAGGTAGCTACTTACTTGATTTACGGTAATAGATAACGTCAAGCCCCTATTGTCGCGAGGCGAAACCAAAGGGCTAAGGAATAACGACGTTGTTGCGTGAAGAACCCTAACTACCTTCTCACTCCCTCCCAGGGGGTGCGGTATACATACATACATACATACATACATACATACATATATCTTCTTTTTCTACAGCCAAAGAGCTAACTGCCAACACGGCGGCCTCGTACAAGCCGACTCCCAATCCTTCTGGGCTACTAGCTAACCCTGGCGAGACCTCCGGCTATCAGCTCTCACATAGGAGGCTTCTGACACCTATCAACTTTTTAGAATAATTAGTGGTTATCGTACTTGTGAGGACGTAATATACCTATTTCTAAGTCACTCGTGAGTAAATCTGTTATGTTGATGTGTGAGGTTTTCTCTCGAATTGACATCGTTAAGCAATGCCAATATAGTGTACTGTGTTAGTTCAACTCGCCATAATGCTAACCTTGGTACTCAGCGAGTATTTACCTAGCCTAGGTACTGAGTATTACACTATGGATACTATCTTGGATTCTTACTAACTCTAGCGCATGTCAACTTTTATCATTCCTTGGAAGTTATTATGCCTAGCTAAAAATGATGAATTGCGACTTTTATATGCAAAAGCCATACCAACTCACACGGCAATGTAGCTTTCTGAAAGATAGAAATTTTGGAAACCCCGAGATATCTTAGAATAATAACTGCGTAAATACAACCAAGTCTCCTGCGATCCGTAACATTAAAGAGGGGAATTGCGTTCTCGTTGCAACTTTTAGATTGATAATGATTGAAGGACCAGTCGTCAGAAGCTAGTAGGTAAACAGTTATATCATGTAAATGCTATATTTATGACATCGGTGGTGTGAATGGAAGGGAATACGGATTCATGGAGTTGACCTAATGTAGGCAGTGTAGCTAAATTATACTATATCCCAGAGTGAATTTTGTCCCCTATGTTTAACTGATGACCTAGGTAGGTATTCATCTCTAGGGCTCCTTTCCACCGCATTCTCGTCTGCTGTGGTGAATTAGAGTATGACTCTCGACTTCGAGTTGGACAAGTATTGGCTCCTCTCGTACGCGGCATGGCTGTCGGAGATGAGACTAGATAAAGCCCCATTTCGCTTTACTGAAGGAATTTGCGTAATCTAAGTAATCATATAATGGATTCTCTGCCTATACTGCCCCCTGTTTCTAAATCGTTATCCCATGCCAAGACTTACCGCGTGAGCTTCAATGTAGTCGACACGTACGCCGGGGTCTAAGCATACCCTGCTGAAACTTGAAACTTGGAACGATAGCCATTTTAGATGTTTAGGTAGTGAACGAGGCGCATGCTGTGTTGGTAGCTTAGCATCGCCATCGACGGTACCTATGCTAGACTTAGATGACGAGGTTTGGTGCCGCGATATATCAGTAGTTGATACCTATATCGGATATAGGAGCGTAGGACTTTTCGGTTACCTACCTACTTGGGTACTAGGGTGGTTCCAGGTCACCGAACTTGCAGGTACTATATCACCCTATGACGGGGATTCAGTGTTACAGTAAGGTCGGCTGTCCCGTACCAACGCACAGAACATAAAAAGGCAAGTGGATTGGTGGGCCGGTATTTCGTGAGGGATGACAACTATAGGGCTGTATGCCGTTGCGGCGGGGGGGAAGTCAAGTTAAGCTTGTGGTGAGCATGGGGGCAAGGTGTACGGGTCTGCCTACCGACGAACCTGGATTAGATCTGGGTCCGGAGATTTATCATGATGAATATGATAGGTATCTTTTAGGGAGTCAATCCGATTGATGGGAATACAGATATGCCATGTCAAGCTCCCAAGAACTCTGTAAATAGTAACTACTACCTAGGTACCTATGTATGTACTTCGTAGTTCATCAGCGTTTCAGATTAACAGATATGTCTTGAAGAGGCCCACAACGACGAGTGACGTTATAGGTGTATCTAAAGGAACAGACGATGCAGATCCTTTTTTTTCGTTGGGCTGAAGTGGGCTCAATGATCGTTCTGTCACGGGACCGAAGACGGAAGCGAAGTGAAAGAATAACTATCCTTTTCCTCTCCCTCTTCTCTCGTTTTCGTTGACCTCTACCACAGCCCGTTACCTCATCTAGTAAAAGCAGACGAATGCAGCACCAGAAGGAACACCTAACCCTATAGGAAGATATGGAAGCTGTAGTCAGATCCAGTCTGCATATATAACTATCTAGCAGGTAAAAGAGAGTGTCCGATTGGCCAATCCTCCTCAGAGTGGCTAAAAAGATCGACGGCCCCCACGCCAGCTGCACATAAAGGAATGTCCCACGAAGAAATAAAATCGGTCCACTATCCGTCCTGCCGTCCTAACATTTATATCCTTTCCATTTATACCTCAGCCGTCTATCATTGGAAAACCGACGCCTTGTCAACATGCATGGAACTTGTATGAGAAATGTAGTCAAATGCCGCGAACTGCCCAGGAAGTACCCTCTACCCAGAATTGTTAGAAGATCAATAGGAATGCAATCCATCGTACACTCGTAATAACAGTAACCCCGTTCCCCACTCCCCCCTTTTTGCCTGTCTCCACTCAAAAAGGGGGAGCCTTCCGCGAGGAAGGAAGATGCTCCATCTAGTAATTCAACGACAACCGAAAACGCTGACCAATGGTTGAGGAGATCTAAGAAAAACGAAAGTACCTAACGGAAAGGGATACAAGAAAAACTTAAGGATTGGGAAAAAAGGAAATTGCGCCGTTGCCAATCTAGTGACGAACGCCCCAAATTCTATAGACGAAAAGGGAATGGGAAAAACGGAAATAGCAAAATCAAAGTCAGGTGATGGATACAGAATAATCAGTCGAATAGCAGGCCGCCGCAAGGGACCGGCGCAAGGGCACTGCCCTACGCAGTGTAACCCCGCGAGACCTGCAAGTAAGCCAGTACTGCCGCACGCCAATCGCGTGTGTCGAAGGATATCCGGCCGTATGATTCGCCGGTATCCCCATCAATAAGCGGCGCAACAATTTGGCTCTAATGAGCCTACGAGCCGGGTGCCTGCCGAGTCGAGCACGGTGTCTGAGGCTTCGAGGCCTAGAAGACGCGGTCCGGTTAGTCGAGTTGTCTCTGTTACCCGGTTCGGGGAGTCTCGGGAGGACGATCTCCCGTACGGCGGGCAAGTATCCTGAAATATGGAAGATATCCCATAAGCTATAGTAAGGCGCCGATCGAACATATTTGTGCATGCAGATATTGATGACGCCGGGTTCGAATGTACTGCCGACGTTCCCGGGCACGCGATTAATGACGACAGACCCCGGGCGGCGTCGAACAAATCAGGTCGAGATTTAGGGACCTGCCTTGGCGATGACGCTCGTAATAAATCTGGGTCATTCCTGACAGCTGCAGCGCCAGCACGTAGGGAAAAGCTTGAACATGATGACTCGCTCACGCTGCAGGAACCGAGATATGGGGCGCCCAGATCCGATTCGTTCCAAGGGGCAATATCATAGACGAGAGTATGCAATCCCGTTTCACCTCGATCATCTGAATAGTTGGTAAGCTTATCGTCGTATAGCTCTCCCTGGTCGTCGATGTCTGTACCTTTGCGCGAATCACATGACGTCGTCAGCGTAAGGGGCACGAAGGCATCCGGTTTAAAAGCCAGGTGTTCGTTCAGTAATCGTCTCGACAAATGCTCGCCAAGGTAGCTAATTTCGAGCTTCCCACCGCAGCGGGTCGCCTCGTTAATGAGACTTTTTGCGGATCTGCGTGGGCTAGGCGGCGGCGTAGGTACATCCGGTCTAGGACCTATAGGCCCTGGTCTGTTACATGATTCGGAGTTAGCGGCAATTCGTATAGCTACCCAAGTACCGATTTTCTCGGTGAGTAGGGCAAGGTACTCCGCAGAAGGTACGTAAGAACCCAAGCCATGTTTCAGAGTGACTTGCTCTCGAGAAGATTAGTAAGGACGAGTGGTACCAACCTAGGCCCTGGAGTTGGCGGGCGAGGGGGATGAGGAAGCGATACTGGCACGCCTAAAGCGAGCCAGACGTCGACCAGTCGAACAGCAACAATGGAGAGCTGTTCAGCCACGAGTCCTCGAAGCAGATCTGCTTCTGCTGAAGAATTTGGACTGGGTGGCGGCGTCGGTACCGGCGGACGGGGAGGGATTGGGGGTGGCCGTGGAGGCGGCCCTGGAGTTGGGGGACGAGGTGGGTCTGGAAACGAGATCTTGGGTAGTCCCATCTTAGATGATTCCATAGAGTACGGCTTAGGATTAAACTCGTAAAGATTGAGATATCCTGTTCTATCGGCGTTAGCATAAAAGACCGGTGCTGATGATGGCAACGAGGTAGAAGCTGATGCGAGAAGTCGTAGCATCTCGTTACAGTCGACGTGACTCCTTGAAATCGAACCAGTGATAGTGCTTGTCTGTTATCTCGATATTCTGAAGGGTTGAAGTTGCTGTGAATATGGTCGTAACAAACTCGTTCGGACATGGTTCCATAGATCTATTATATACTTCTCTCGAAGGAATAGGGCACGGCGGGTCGGCTCGTCCCTTGGGATTCGAGATCCTACTGTTGGGGAATCGTACCGAGAAGTTGTCGTTAACAGCCCTGGCGAGAAATGAGTAGCCTACCGGTGTTTGCTGTACCAAGCAGCGTGAAACCAACATAACATCCTACCGCAACAGGATCAATTTGCGATAGGAGAATTCGACCTGCGCCTCTCATCATACTAAGATTCGGGGTTAGGCTCATCTATACAGGTACCTATTTCCATCTTAGAAGGATGGATGAACAGGTGAAGTCATCGCAGCCTTTGATAGTGGGTATTGTCCGAAAAGCATACCATGCTTCCGTCATCTCGTCTTCGCTTTCGGTTGGCAGACCACTCTCCTCTAAACCCAATAAGCTCCTCGACCGCGAATTCATTGCACATGAGAAGCAAGTAAAAGGGGACACTGCTGAACGCAAACTTGACGCCGCTTGAATCTTGCACACGGATTAGGCTGTCTTGTAGCCCGGATCAAGTCTGACTACCGACTACCTACCTAGGCAACTAGCTTATGGCCTCAATGTAGTTATTCGGCGCATGATATTACTCGATGAGAGTTTTTCGGTGATACGAATAGACTTGGCAGTATGAATCACATTTCATGATGAAGCGACAGTCGTAAAATTGGAACAAAGGATTCCAGTGAAACGAAGATTTCGATTTTTAATATTCCTTAAGGCTATCATTCTAGGTCCCGAGTAACCAGCCCAGCCAACAAAGTGCAACTCGCGAAGATCGTAAAACGGTGAGACGACAATCGATCATGAGGCTCATATCAGCCCTGCTCGTTGGCCGTTCTACGTCAGCCGAGCCTCGTATAACCGAAGATAAACGCGTTAGGTAACTCTGTTGGTTACACTGTACAAAAATGCGTATATGATGAGCGCAGGATAGACGACTTCCGCAGCAGCGTTGTAAGCTAGCTCGCTTATTGAAGCCATATGTCGTCTAACGCCGCAGAAGTTTCCGACTGCCCTGCGGGACCCGATCCCGTAACCGGTACACGATTGGGTTCCGAAGCCAGCACGATGGCCATCACACGAACCCATTCGCTACTACGATTCGATAGGCTATATATCATTTGTTAGAACCCGACTCTATCGTATACGCCTGAAGGCAGAGGGATACAGGGACGGAACAGATGGTTTGCTCCTCGTAGGACTTACGCATGCGCGATTCCTCGCTGGAGTACAACGTCCCCCGGGTTGCAAAGCGTCTCGACGGGCTCGCCATAAGTGGGTTTTCCGTCGATTACGTCAAACGGCTTGGCTGGGGTCAAGAGGCTCAGGGTCCCGTTCAGCACGACGAGATAATCGGTAGACGTCGTACGGTGCATCACACCCTCCGAGTTTGGGGCGATGTCGAGGTAGTACATGTTCAGACCCCCTGGCACTATAACAAACATTCGGTCAGCCATTACCGTTATGGGAGATGTCAGAAGCGGGTCATAGACCGAGATATCTATTACAGGACGCAATGATATCTGGATATGCTGGAACAGGCAAACTCTTAAGTGCCTTGGAAGTTGGAGTCTAAAAGAGCAATCGGAGACGTGGTGGGAAATTCACATACACACGATTCCCATGCCGGGCACATCATCGAGTGCTAGATTGCCACTGCGGTATTCGTCAGCTCTCATCTATCCACGACATCGCGGCCCCTTCGGAGCCATGGTCTAATTTAAGGACGAGTAACACGGCAAGTGACTCACTGTCCGTCGTTGCTAGTCGGTACTCTCTTGCTAGATGCCACTCGCGCTCTCATCAAGACACCTCCCATGATAGGATCGGGAGGGAGGCTGTCCACGAGGACCTCTACGCCGGGTTCCGAATGCGCTTTTGCGGTACTCGATTCGGCAAGGGGGAGGTTCGAGGCGGTGATGCGCCTGGGGGCTGGTAGGTGAGCTGGCGATGACATCGTTCTCGGTAATATGGCGTTCTAATCAGCCTTGAGGATGAATAAGGTAAGTGTCTATAGGGCTGAGAAGTTTAATCTGCCTGTGACTATTCTGTATTACGACAATAGTCGCACAGAGCCGGTATATATAGAATTTCGAGACATATGGCCTATGTAGGTAACCAAGGGTGTTGGCAGGCAGGACTATAGTGTCGATGACAAATGGGCTGCATTAATCAGCAATAACTGACCCTCAACCCTTACCGATTATGCAATGCAAGAAAGGATTTATAACCAACCACCCAATCCCCAGGATTCGTGATTGGAAATTTAAGTCTTTGAGGTTGGAATAGCGATGGAGACAACGTGGAGCTCGCGTCGAAAATATGGGATTTCATAGTGGTTCTACGAGGATCTGAGCGGCGCAGACGAATAGGATAAGATGAGATGGATATTATGGAACAAGGCACCGGGGAAACTTTTTGACATTCCAACTGATGAATTTGTAAGGCGATTCAGCTGAAAACCAACCCAGGGGGTCATCTATGCACGCGAGTGCAATGTGATTGCCATCGATATCGATGTATGTGCTAAATGGATCATGAGCATCCGATCCGAAACGGCATAATAGGACAGAGCAAACATACTACTACCAAATTGGTAGCCCATCATTCCATCACGGACTGCTTTGACTTCAACCGTATACGAGAAGCTTCCCCATCACATGTCAAGGTATCTCGTGCTCGATAAACGCCCGTCGACATACAACGCGGCCTATGTTGTCCCAACCTAACGGTATCCTCTTCCACGACTGCGAGAACGGCTGCGACCTCGGAAACTGTCATAGCTGGGACTACGACGTCGATCATCATCATGGCCGTTGTAGCTTTCCTTCCTTCCGCCTCGTCGTCGCGGGGGAGATCGAGATCTAGAACCGTACGAGCCGGACGGACTTCGGTTACGACGGTGAGGAGGGGATCGGGATCTCGAATAGGAACGCGGACGGTAAGTGTCGAAGTTGTCGCGGCCGGAGCGACCGTAACGGGGAGAACGCGGTTGTCTCCCCCCGCCAAATCCCGCTCCTCTTCCACCGCTGGTAGTACTACCGGTGCCGGCGCCAGCTCTGCCGCCAACTCTGGGACCGGGCGCAGGATGGCGAGGGTCAATGTTGGCGCCTCGTGTCGCGGTCGGGGGAGAAGGCGAAAACTTGCGTCGGGGGAGCACGATGGACACATTGATTACCGTGCCATCGAGGACGGCTTCGTGCATGTGAGCAATAGCAGCCTCGGCATCTGCCTCGTGAATGTAGAGAATGTACGCGGTTCCACGGTTCGTATTGACTAAGAAAGGCCACGTTAATACCTTGCTATGTTCAAAATAGATGCAATGGAGAGATTTTACTTACATTGTCTATTCACAGGCATGTCCAGGTCTCGGATAGGACCGTACTGGCCGAAGATCTCATGCAGATGTTCCTCATTGATGGTCTTGGTCAACTTCTCAACCACAATCTAAAGGCCAAACACCTAAAATTAGCATGCACGCCAAGACTACGCGGGAGAATTGGTAGGTATATATTGGTAGATGCGCGACGATGGAGTCACGCAAAGATATATTTAGGGAGAATTGACTGACCTTGGTACTTCCTCTCAACGGGCTCTCACTCCTACCCCTGTCATCTCGGCCACGGCTCGGACTCCTGCTCTCGCTACGAAGTCTGCCATTACGGCGAGAGACTGGTGTTGGCGATCTGATAGGGGACCGACGGTGGCGAACTGGCGAAGGCGAGCGTGAATAACGCGATTTAGGCGTCGGGGAGCGCGACTCGTAACGATCTCGAGAAGGCGATCGATAATCCATTTTGATGAATTATCTTGAGTTTGAGGGTCGCCTCTATTTTCTATAGAGACGGGAAGTATTGGCGTGCAGACGATGAATAACGCAAATGGGCAACCTCGAGATCCAGGGTTGTACGCAGTAAGTTGAGAAGAAACTATGGTAATGAAGTGGATTTTGACCTGGGAAGAACGAGGAATGGGTGGGATTGAAGCTTTGGAAGCTTCGCCTTGAGGTTGCAGTTGCTATTGCTATCTAAAATCGGTCAAGCCAAACTATATTCGTAACTTGGGTGGGAAGAGTGGGTTCCGTTTGCTAAATTCAGGTGCAGCTGGTGCAGTCTGGAAGTTAAGCTCGACGCCACGTGACTCATAATCATGCAGGTATGTATTAAATAGATATATGTACTTTAAGGTAAGCTTACTATGCACAATCATACATATGTACAATGCATAAATACCGAAATCGACAACAATGATTCCATCAATTACCTCGCATCTGAACCTCGCATTCGCACAATTGCCAGTCTCTCTCGAGTTTGACATCTGGTATATGTCCGCGCTTCTTTGTTTATAATATAATATTAAAGGAGATTCACTATCCTAATATACGTATCTAAAGTTCGGGTTTTCCCTATCCGTCAAGTCCTCAAAGGCATGCGCTAGCCTCTCGTCACGAGCCTCGCTGACACCGGCTGCTGCCAACTGATCACGCTTCTTGTTTTGCCTGGCAAGATAGAAGCGGAAGACCACCAGGATGATGACGAGAAAGGCATAACAACCAAGGTGGGTCGAAAAAGCTGTGAAGTACTTGGGAGCTTCGCGAGAGAGAAAGACCTGGGGACCGATAGCATTGCCAGCGGACCAAAAGACGAAGTTTGTGGCTACCACTACGCTCTTCTTGGTTTGCCCACCAACGTTTCGAGACATCATCGAAAGACCAAGGGTTTGCGCAGCCCAGAAAGATAGAGTGATATAGTAGGCGATGAGCAATCCTACGTGCTGAGGGAATGTATGGTTGGGAATAGTCATTAGTAGAATGGTTCCGACGAACGACCTAGACCAATAATGTCAGTCATTACCGTACCGCCGTCTCTAGAATGAGGGATGATATGGAGACTTGCGGTATAATGAAGCCTAGCATGGTTAGGATGTTCTGGTTGAACCTCTTGACCAACCAGACCGACCCTAATAGTACGATAATGATGTAAAAGCCGAGAACCATCGACAAGAGCTGCGTCTGGAGGTTGGTGAATCCAAGGTTACCCGAGATGATCAAGTTTGCGAAAGCGCCGAGACCACTAGTCGGAAGAGTCGTCGTGAACTGAATTCCGGCGTAACACCAAGTTTGAAAGTCGGTCAGGGCGTCCCAAACCTGCTCCTTTTTAAAGACGCGATTCTGCAGACCTGTCTGGTTTCCTCGGACACGTTCTACCATCAAACGCTTGTCCTCCTCACTGAAGCATTTAGCACGCATAGGGGAATCGGGCATCCACCAGAGAACGAATACTCCGAATATGACGGAGATGACCCCGTAAGCCAGGAAAAGCCACTGCCACGACTTGAGAGGACCATCCGTGATCAAGGTAAAGCAATAGGCAAGAAGCCCACCCACAATTTGTTGCGCACCGTTCATCATGTACCAGTATGTGACCCTCGAGGCCTGCTCTTCACGTTTGTACCACATGGCGGAGAGGATCACAAACGCAGGCTGGCAGGCCGATTCGAAAAGTCCCAGGAGCGTACGGACAGCCACGAGCCCAACAAAGTTCTTGCAGGCGGCGTGGCAGGCAAGTGTAGTACCCCAGGCGATGATCGAAAAGCTAAGATACTTGGCAACAGGAACTTTGGAGATGATATAGTTCTGCAATTCTCATATCGTTAGCATACTGTTTCAGCTACCGAGATATCCCAGGGAGAACCAAGATTGAGCCCTACCTGCGGGTACTCGACGACGAGTATGGTTATATAAATACAAGTCGTCAACCACGAAAAGCTTTGGCTTACTTTCCCCTCAGGAGTAAGCATGCCGGTATCTTTCGGCAGACCCATGATCGAGGAAAAAGACAATGTGCCTTTATCAATAGCCTGAAGGAAATACGTCGTGATCATGACCACCAGGATGCGTTTATCAATCATTCTTCGAAGTCTATCGTTTTCTTCGGGCGATATTTCAATCCGAGCTGACGACGAGTATTTAGCGACTTCTTGGTCGATCTTGCCATAGTCTTCCCGTTCCCCCTTCTCATCGACTTCGTCCGCCGCCGAGCGTGCCCGCTCCACCTCCTCCATCGAGTACTTCTTCGCATCATCATCTTGGTGAGGCGACATGGGTTGGACTGTGTCCAGATCCCGAACTTCTGTAGACGACATGATGAGGGCAAGTGTTCAGCAGGCCTGGTGGCAGCGGCTATGCACGCCGCAGAAAAGAAAACGCCTGAGAGGAGACAGAACGGAAGTTGAAGTGAGATGAGGTGAGGTGTAGAGTCGGGAGAGATGAGATTTTTATTTGCGTCTCGCACCACTCACCCCCGACCCTCTCGCGTGAATAAGCCTGTCTTGTCATGGCGTCGTAACGTCGCAAGCGAGCTATTCAACAAGGGGTCAGATGGCCGACCATACTGCGTGCGTTCATTCGCCCACATTGGCCTGGGTCGAGAACCACCTCATCGGATTAACATGAAAGTGGGGGACTTCGTAGGAACAACATTCAACGAATCATCTCAGATACTATTAGTCGACTATATCCATCAAGGCACTGGTGCTTATTTTAGTGCTGCACTATTTCAGAAAGAGTCCGGGCAACCTGGGCAGTCCGGGGCTTTCTGGGGTTTAGTTCTCCAAAATCTGGGGGATGGGGATGAACCCCAAGGGCCGTAGCTTAGGCCCGAAAATCCTGATGCTTTAAACGAAGCTCCAATTTTTTCGGATGAGACGAGCCTAGAAAAACCGGGGTCTTCCCCTCAGAGAGCTTGCACTCGGCGCTAGCTAGGCCGAAGCCATCGCCAAGGTCGGTCCCAAATTCTCCATCGGAGTTCAGCTGTGACTGTACGGCTTAAGAGCAGTCTTCGTTCGGTATAAAAGGACCCAGGGCCTTTTCTTATACGCTGTTTCATGTATGCAGGTACTCTAGCGATGAGTTTGCGAGGTTCCTATCACGCGGGATGAGATCCCTAAGATCTGATGGTTAGCACAGAGTGGGTGGGTACTGAAGCGATATAATACCCCGACAACTGGAGACGCTTAAGACGCTACCATAGTACCAAGATACGATAGGTAGGTACGCATGCGGAGTGCGTAACTCCTCACGAGGGGAACTCTCGGATATCTATATCGATTATCCCTTTTTCTTGTTGATCTCTTAGATAGTTTGGGGAATCGATCATACTTAGTACGACAGATCAAATCGAGTGCTTCATCTGGAAAGTGACGGTCTATCAATTATTCATGAACAGAGAAGAGGACCATTATCTACCTATACGTCCATATATCGTTCTACAATTCGCCTCCTAAACGTTCCTGTCAAATCACCTACCAACTTAGACATATCTAGACATCTGCGAGAAACATCATCTTCTAGCTAAAATGCCGGCAGAAGTCCATGGCATTAAATCGAGTGATGTTCACGCCAAAATCCAGCTCCTCATCGATGGGCTCGTGAACATCAAAGACAAGACGGGAGAATTTCTTATGACGCTCGCCGATGGCCGCGTAATTGATACAAAAGGATGGAATGATTGGGAATGGACTCACGGGATTGGCCTGAATGGAATCTGGGCTTACTACTCATTAACTGGGGACGAGAAGTATCTCAAGATCATCGAAGACTGGTTCGCGAACCGATTCGCTGCTGGCGGCACTACGAAGAACATCAACACGATGGCCGTATTCTTAACCCTAGCCTACGTATACGAGAGGACGGGCAATCAAACCTATCTTCCCTGGCTAGACAGTTGGGCAGAGTGGGCGTACCACGACCTAGAGAGAACCAAGTATGGTGGTATGCAACATATCACGTATTTGGAGGTCAACGACCAGCAGCTATGGGATGACACGCTCATGATGACTGTTATGCCCCTAGCCAAGATTGGAAAATTGCTAAATAGACCTCACTACGTTGATGAAGCGAAGAGGCAATTCTTAATCCACATCAAGTACCTATTTGATACGAAGTCGGGGTTGTTCTTCCACGGCTGGACGTTTCACGAGGGGGGACACAATTTCGCGAATGCCTTATGGGCGAGAGGAAATGCATGGTTGACGATCGTGATTCCCGAATTTTTGGAGCTGCTAGACCTACCAGCCAACGACCCGATCCGGACGCATCTTCTAGATACGTTAAACGCGCAGTGCGAAGCTCTCAAGCCGCTCCAGACGACTTCGGGTCTGTGGCGTACGCTCTTGGACCAACCAGAGGAAGAAGGCTCCTACGTCGAATCCAGCGCGACGGCCGGATTCGCCTTCGGAATTATGAAGGCGCAAAGGAAGAAGCACATTGGGAAAGAGTACGAGGCCGTAGCCATTAAGGCGGTACAGGCCGTTCTGGATAACATCGACGTCGACGGTGAACTCCTGAACACATCTTTCGGCACAGGGATGGGCCATACCTTACAGCACTATAAGGATATTCCGATCACAAGCATGCCTTATGGACAGGCTATGGCTATTATAGCCTTAGTCGAGTTCCTCAGGGTGTTTATTTAAGTATCTAGGTAGGTAGTCTAGTGTATAAAATTAATCTAGTAAAAATGCAATCGGGCTTACCAACCATCTACCTATTTGATACTAACCGTACTCTATTAATTACTAGAGGTAGGTACCTCTTTCACTTAGTTGAGAAGGGATTTCTTCACGAAATCGACTTCGTCTGCCGTCCCGCAGACTAATCCCGCGGTTTCGTTTAGGTCTGTCAATTGCTTATCCAATATGTCCGTCCCATCAGCTGGGTCGATCGCTTTTCCTCTCGCACACTCGATGATCAGAGCTAAGGGGAACAGCTCGTACAGGCGTCTCAGCTTTGCCTTGCTAGCTGCGGTGACTGGAGAGATGTAGATGCCATGTCCCTTGACTAACGCATGAACTACGTCCGGAACAAGCCCGCCGCTGTACCTCAGCGTGTATTTGTTTTGGATGAAATGGGAGATTAGACCCATGTACTTCTCATCGTCTGCCGCCGCACGGAGGTTCGCGGGGGCAAAATAACGGGTCTTGAACGGGGATTCCGCCAGCCGGACTACAGGCCGAATGACTTCGCAGTCACGTACCCCATTCTCGCCAATTCCTATTTCCAGGCATGCTGGCTCCGACCCAGGTGTGCGGAGCGCGATGATGGCTGTAGTGCGCGGCCCATAGACGCCAAGCACAGCGGCCACTTGTCTGCTTGCCGGAGGTTGGTTGAGCGCTGTTTTCCCCTGCCAAACACCGATGATGGTCCCGACTGTCCAATTTGGCGCTATGATAGAGCTGCCATCCAGAGGGTCAAACGCGACCGTATATTGCTCTTCGGGAGCATTAGTAGCAGATTCAGATCCTTGCTGATGTGGAACATCTCTTTCCACTGGGTCCTCTTCGCTACTGGCGGTGGCCACGAAAGCGCAGCGTGAAATAGCGGATCGGATGTTATTTTCGGCCAATACATCCACATTTAGCTGGTCGTCGCCGAACGCATTCGCGCTGCCCGCCTGCGAAACATAGTGTGAGCTCCTGAGAGAACTTGCTATGTCCGATATACAGTCAATAAGCGTTGGTAGTACTGACTCTATCAGCCCTCTATGTGCCTGTGAAGGTACAGCAGATCGAAGATGACGGAGCAGTCCGGAATCAGTCATATTTGTGTATTTGGTAATTCCGGAAGTCTTGATGATTGAGTTGTCTCTTAGGTGAACTAGATAAATATGAACATTTAGGTCTCGATCTCATCTAAAAAGCCTCAAAATTATGCAATTACCGGGTCCTTAAATACAGTTCAAGGCTCGCATAAATCCTTATTCGTCTCACAGTTATATATTCCTATGTCATTAAGGACATGATTATTTGATCGTACAACAAGCTCCAAGTTGCGGACACTAGGTATCCAATTTCAATCGAGTGGTGACTTGGCTAGTGAAGCCTTATAATGTCAAGATTTTGGACGAGATTAAGTAGCTTAAATATGGATGTCCATAGGGCCCCGGAATCAAGGTCAATCGTCACGTACTACATACCTAGATAGGTACCTAGTGTGCTCGACGGACTAGACAGAATAGGGGCTAAATAGAAGTTTGGGTGTAGAAGTTCGAGGAACCCTGATTCGTCAAGATATTAAACAGGTTGGAGAAGACTACCTCGACATTTGAAGCGTTTTGTCTCGTCATATACCGGATTTCATGATGGATTTCTTAAGATCTTCAACTATACCGACAAGAGTGTCTTCTCGGACGCGGATCGCACTTCGAGCCAAGTCCGGTACAATGACTAATGTTCCGCGTTGAGTTATCTAACAAATCACTGTTAGTGTATAAGCACCAACAATACGTAGGTAGGTAACTAACTCACATGCCAAATATATAGAGGTTTGTCATGGTTTAGAAGTAGTGACGTATGAAGTCTTTCTATCTAGTGTATGGCGACAGAGGATCTCCTGTTCGTGAAAGTCGTGTTGGGTTTAATCGTCTAGGTACCTATGAAATGTCGTCCATCCTCACAGTCCGACGACATCTCTGTCTTTAACAACTTGTCGTGAACACGCATTGGTTAGGTAGAGTTCACGCCTCCTTTTCTCGGCATGATTCAAAAATCATATACCTAGGTAGTTATGGAGGTACAATGTCCAACCAGCGCTGCCCCTAACTCGTTGGCGGTTATCCAAGGGAAACCCATCCAGTCGATTCCAATTCTCATGTTGCTTTCGAAAACGGGCTCCTCGATCTACACGAAATCATCGCCAACCATACTGTCTACCTTTACCATACTAGGCGGCAGGACTGCCAGTAATCGATGTCAGTCGAACATCCGTCGCCCCAGTACTTGTGTCCGCAATGGTGACAGCCCCATTGCCTGATTTCCTGATAATCCCACCACATATCGTTGCCAGATCGGACGCAATGACTAGGTCCTTGGATGATAATACCGCAGCCGAAGTCGGTGGCTTTCCCGTGGCAGACACCGAAATGTGGTTTTCCGCTTCTGCAGAGGAGGTAAGTTAGCGAATGAATCCCGATATTCTCGCAGTTTTCAAAAACAACAATAACCTCAGGATAATTGGACGTACCCGATAGCTCCGTAGTTGAGATCATCGTTGCGAATGAGTTTCCGGTTTATGCCCAAGTCGCACCAGACAACCTTCACGGTGGGACACATGATACTTCCGCCGCAATCGTAGCTGACGTGATAATCCCCACGGTGGGACGCCGGAGAGAGTGAAGACGTGAGGTTCTGAGTCCCATCGTGAGAGGTCTCGTTATAAGTAGTGTTCTGCGGGATGACCAGAGACATGGCTCCGGCTACATACGCCGCGACGATCGATAAGATTGAAAAACGCATGTTGATAAATTTGGTAAGGGCTCTGATTGCAGAATTATGTTGGTTCTGGTGTTCTCTGGGTAATCTGTTTTGTCTTGGGAAATGTGAGGAAGGAGAAGGGAGTAAGCTGGGATCTGGCTCCCCTTTTCAAAGATCTTGGTTTTCGCAATGAGACATAGCAGGCCGTAGCGATCTGAATTTACTCTAAAGTTAAGTTGTGGGCGTGCATCGCACTTTCATATCTAGCCTCTGGCGCTCGTCTTGTTCAATTGAGTCGTTTTCTACGTAAATCAGTAAAATGTATCACGTCAGATAGGCCAAATAGGGGCTCTGAACTCAGAGTTAAAGTCAACAGGATGTTATCCTTCAGCTCTACACTAAGTCAATAATATTCCCCAATAACCTTAACTAGGTATCTAGATGTGGCGTCGTGAGAGTCTAGAAAAGTTAATAGTTGCCATTTAAAATGGTACTCGACATAGTTATCAGTGGGATTTAGAAGTACCTCGTTCTATAAATGTCGGTAAGTTAAGCCCAGAACCGCATCAAGTGTAAGTTCCTTCAAGCTGTTGAACGGACTCCTTCCAAACAGCACCGATGTCATTCTGATAAATCCAGGACATGTCCTTTCCACCATCTGTAATAATCTTATTTTTAACTTGTTCGTCGAATGTTGGATTCCCAAGAGCCTTCAGCTTTGCGGCGCGTTTATCGGCCTCGGAAGCAAGATGCGCATACATCCGCGAATAATAAGGTAATCGAATAGCATCAAATAGGGGAAGAGCCTTGCTGGTGTCATTCTTCCAATATTCAAGGGCCCGCGCTAAAATGTAGCCGTCCTCAATTGCAAATCCGGCCCCTGATCCAAATGCCCCGGATAAGGCATGAGATGAATCCCCGACGAGCACGATCTTATTATCCCACGCAGTGAGTTTCGCCAGTTCGGGTCCAGCAAACGCAGCGAACTCGCGCCAACCGCCAGGAGGCACTCTTGCGAGCGCTTCCCTGATTTGGGGAAGATATTCCTACTTTCTATCAGCCAACAAATACAATCAATTACTAAAAAAGGTATCATACCGTGAAGTGTGATTCGACATGAGAATTTTCTACAGGAACACCCCAGCTTTTCTTATTCGCGCTATGGATTTTCGGATCTTGCCATGCTCTAGAGGCTATTTCCCAGAGTCCTTCTCCGACAGGAGAAAAATAGACGTGCGTAGTCGGTGTATGCCACCAACCGGTAATTTCGAAGCGAGGATCTAGGTCCTTTACGTCGTCCCAAGGTAGAAGAGTTCTCCATATAGTTGTTCCGGTAAACTTGATTTCGTAATCTGTCCATGCTGTATCTCGGACGACCTATTTTGTTCACTGTAAGAAATTATGTTGTTTTAGCACCGGAGCATTGTCTTACAGATCTAATACCATCAGCACCAACTACTAGGTCAGCTGTCGTGATAGTCCCATCTTCAAAATATAACTCGACACCTTCGTGGCCCTTGTCAACCATACGTGCTAGTCTCTTGGATAGTTGCAGTATGCCAGGCTTCACATGAGCTAATAAGGCTGACTGAAGCTTCGTCCGCTGAGTGCGAATTGGAGGACGTCCAGTCTCATCCCGTACCTTCTCACGGCGAGTTAGTTCTTCCCCAGAACGCCCGTTCCTTATTCTAATTTAGCGACAGCATGTGATATGCGCGTAACGACTCACATGTTAAGGACCGTCCATGTCGGATGTCCGCTGGTCAGCGTATCCGCAACGCCCAGTAACTCCAATGCGTTCCATGTATTTGAGCCAATACTTATGCCAGCACCTGCTTCCCGCAGTACCGTTGCCTGTTCGTAAATATTCACAGTAACGTCCGGAATCTTAGACAGGGCAATGGCTGTTGCGAGGCCACCGGGGCCACCTCCGATGATGGCCACACGCAGATGGCGCCGAGATGAGTTCCCGTTCACTGTCATACTGTGAATTACTGCCAAGGCGGATGACAATTATCATAAATTACGTACCATCTTAATTAACATAGTTATACTTAAATGATAACCCGCACGTTAAATCAACTTATCCTCAAGAATTACAAAGTCTGACCAAGCAGTATAACGTCAACCATCACGTGAATGACGTGCGAAGGGCTAACTCCGTGCTTGAAAGTGCTGATAAGTCTAGAGCCGTTAGATGGCTTCATAGACATACGATCTTATAGAGATTTGAGCGGGGTTAGAGAGAAGAATCCCGATGTATACCTACCTAGGTATGCTGCAATAGTATATTACGAGAGTAGGAAGTCTTTTCGCGAAACTGTACGTCATGGTAATCCCTGTCTCATGAACAACTCAATCAACCACCAGATTGACCCAAGCGTCAGTTGTGGGAGTTATATGATTGGTCACTTGGAAGTGTTTCGATTCATATATACCTAGTACCTATATAGACAGATGCAGGTATTCATGGCTTACAACGCTATTAATTCATTGATAACTTGAAATACTCATGACGAAAGCGAAGCCCTTTGTCAAGATGGTGTTTTCATGTCTGCGCTCTTAGTCGCGCATTTTATATCATTGGATTGGAAAAAAGGGCAGTGTACCGAAGTAATGAAAGAAACTTCAGGGCGAAGACGATTAACATTAGAAGTATTTGAGGCTATATCATGCGACTTGAAAATAGGTAATTTCTCGTGCCCTTCTATGAGCTGTATGTAGATTCTGAAGTCAGGAGTAAAATGGTAGAGGGTGATTGAATCCAGGTGATAAGGTACGATAAGAACAGTCGAATCAGATTAATTAGCCAAAAATAGAATCCCGATGGTTCGCAGCTGGTCTTGCGCACAAGCCAGCTGACAGGTAGTTAAAATTGTGGCTTCTGAGCTACACAAGGGATTTGATTAGTCAATCTTGGCCAGGTACTAGGCTAAATCGGATAGTGGCTTGATCTTCTGCATGGAAACTGCACATGTGGAACTGTTGATGGAGTGTATCTAGGTATCTAGGTACCAACCACGCGGCCGCTAAATGGCAACCCTGGATTCCATGTTCCAACATCAATTTTGTATTTGACGACAATGCTCCTTCACAGTCATCCAAACTAAGCCTGGCAATGAGCTCGTCATCATATCCTTATAGACGTGCAATTTTCCGATCAAGATGCCTCTCCAACCAATAAATACCAACGTTGAGAGGGACGGGTCCCTCCTCTCCCCCATCCGCTACGACGACGACGCCATATCATTACATAGTCGAAGCGACCAGGACACCGATAGCGAAGATGACGAACTACTAGCTGCTGCGCGGAATAGCAAGGAGTTACGCGCACGTGATCGCATGGTCTTGATGGAAGAGGAAGAGTTGGACAAGCTGATAACCGACTCGAGGGCTCGACGCGAGCGGGAACGGAGAGGTAGCAGTATTCATAGGCGAGGGAGCAATCTTGCACTACCCAACCCCATACGCATGCTGAGGGGCTATAACCTCACAGGATCGGGAAGCGCAATAGATGATGCTGGGAGTTCTGCGGAGGACTTACATCATGAGAAACGAAGAAACAGACGAACACGCCGTAAAGAAAAGAAAGATCGGTTGCTCAGAGAAGCCCGTGATGGCGAAGATGGCGAACTTATGTATGAAATGGAATCAGGGGGAATGAAAGACGGAAGTACTACCGGCGACAGTAGCGACCGGGATGATAGCGACGAGCTCGATCGTAAACGTCTAATTCAGGTATCGGATGCCAAGACTGCGAAGACGAGACGATGGAAGAAATGGCTGTTGATACATGCTACTATCATAGTTGGCGTGGCTTTCCTAGGTCTCGTCATCTGGAAGCTCGTTCAGAGCAGGAAAACAGAAGAACAAGCACAATTGGTGGTTCCTACTCAGCTGGTCAGCAATGGTTCTGCTCTATTTCTGCCAACTACCCTTATAATCAGTCTCGACGGGTTCCGAGCGGATTTTCTAAACCGAGGTCTGACGCCAAGGTTGAATTCCTTCATCAAGGAGGGTGTTTCGCCGTTGTATATGACCCCATCATTCCCCTCTGTTACATTCCCGGTAAGTTACCCATCCCCGAGCCTTTGTCGCTATTCCCTCGACTCATTTTTTTATAGAATCATTACACACTTGCGACTGGTTTATATCCGGAAAGCCATGGAGTGGTGGGAAACACTTTTTGGGATCCGGACCTGGAAGGGGAGTTCTATTATACCGACCCGGACAAAAGCCTTGATCCCAAATGGTGGGCTGGTGAACCATTTTGGGTCACCGCTGAGCAGCAAGGAGTCCGCACAGCAGTTCATATGTGGCCTGGTAGTGAAGCACATATCATGGGGGTAGAGCCGAGCTTTTTAGACAAGTACAACGGCAAAGAGAAACTAAACAACAAAGTCGATCGAATCCTTGAATTCCTTGATAAACCAGGAGTGGAGACTCCAGACGCGGATCCCAACGATATAAGACCGCAAATCATAGCGGCCTACGTTCCTAACGTCGACGCAGACGGTCATCGCTATGGCCCGAACAGCACTCGGATACGGTCGACGATCCACTCAGTCGATAAGATGCTGAATAGACTTTTCCATGGTCTCGAGAAGAGGAATCTCACCGATATTGTCAATGTAATCATCGTTTCTGATCACGGTATGGCCACAACGGACGTTAGCCGCATGATTCAAATTGAAGATCTGGTGGACATAGAGAAAGTAGAGCATCTCGATGGATGGCCCTTAGTTGGGATCCGGCCAAAGAACCCGGATGACTTACAGCTACTATATGAACAAGCTGCTGAGAAGGTCAAATCAAATCCCAATTTTGAAGTGTACTTGAGAGACAAGGACATGCCGGAGCGCTACCACTTTAGCAACAACAAGCGCATTGCACCTTTGTGGATTATCCCCAAAACAGGGTGGGCGATTGTTAAGCGGGAAGAGTTCGATATACAAGAAGCCAAGGCTAAAAATCGCGTCTACCACCCAAGAGGACTCCACGGTTACGATCACGAACATCCTTTGATGAGAGCCATTTTCGTTGCCCGTGGGCCTGCTTTCCCACACCAACCTCATAGCAAGGTGGAGATATTCCGTACGTAACTTCTCTGCCATCCCCTCGTCGTTGGAGTAATCACTGACTGTCCGCAGAAAATATCAATGTCTATAACATTCTCTGCGACTCCGTTGGTATGAAGGCTATGCCAAACAATGGAACGCTGCATCTACCACTTAAGATCACTGGTCTACACGACCCGGACGCAGCCCTCGAAGAGCCAGCAGATCCCGTTCCTGTCGAGACAACACCCGAAGGAGAGATCGCGACGGGGACAACATCCGACCCCCATCAAGTGGAGACAACTTCTGAAGGTACTGAGCCCTCTTCGACAGTTGGCGTAGACCCCGCAATCGACAAGCCAGAAGAGCAAAGTCCACCAGCAAATGATGAGAATAACAGCAGCGGATCATCATGGTGGCAGAATACTTGGGATTGGGTGAAGGACAAGTTTGATGGTTTAATTGATACGGTCAAGGGAATCGGTAAAGGATCCTCTTAGGGTGGTCTTTATGCTTTACTATTTTTCCTCCTTTTGATCTTGGTGTTCCTTCCTTGATGGAGGTCACGCTGTACTCGGATACTTGTATACTGTCCAGGAAATTGGTGTTGGTGGCGTTTTCTAGTTCCTCCTAGAGCGTTGAAGTCTCCTTGCATAGAGCTTGTTAGTAGATTTTGGTAGAGTAGTCGCCTATGGGGAAGACATGGCATGGAAGCGACGTCGTTATTTTGGATAGTTTCAAAACAGCGAATGCCGATAATCAACGTTAATAGTGTGCTTGGGATTGGCACCATGTATTATCGTGGAAATTTGATAAGCTACCTGCCCATCTATATGTGTGAACGTAATTAAGTATGTCCATATATGTACCTTGGGAGTGGGATACAGTGTACTTGTTTCTACGGTATCTCTTTAACTGGCAGTTGTCTACAGCCAGGGATTAAGAGGCAAGATACACCTAAGCACCCACAAAAGCTCGGTCCAGGGCATCGCTGGTACAAATGGCACAAGACAAAATATAAGTAAAATCAAGTACCATTCATGCTCTACATTCTGGGTCTGGTCCACCAAGTCATGTGAAGCTGTATTTTGCCTCCTAATCCCTGGCTGTAGACAACTGCCAGTCAAAGAGATAAGTCGTGATTCTTAGAATTAGACGCACACCTGAGTTTGGGGGTAGGAACGAGACATTTGTGATGAATGAGTCAATACATAAATTGATGACTCTTCTACTAGAGCCAGGCTGGTACAATATTCTGAACGAGTCATACTCCTCAACGTTCAGTTTCTATTCTGTGAATACCGCAACCACGGTTAAAGTGAAGCTTAAAAAGGGCAGACTGCAGATCGAAGCCACAGCCAGGGGTACTGAATGGGACCCTAGTTATGTCAGCCGCAGGGTGGCGTGGACCCGCCCTCCATCTCCACCTGCCCCAACGACGGTATCGCACATCTACGTCATCACCCCTCAGACCCCTGAAACTTCCAGACCCACCTCGCACGAGGCTGATTGAGCATTTGCAGTAAGGCTGAGCAAAATTTGAGATTTCTCCAAAAACCCACCTTCACCGATGACGAGCTCAATGGACCGCAGCCGAAGCCCCGCGAATCCGATTTGGCATCCTTGTACCTGAGCACACGATGCTAGTCGACCGCGCCGCGATATTGATCAATAACCCCGAGCCGCGCCCGCCCTAACTACCCAGGTAACCTATCCGCCCAATCGGTGGCTTACTTAGCCATGGCAGCACCCCTCAAGGCCGCCGCCACGTCGGCCGGCTCCTTCGTCCCGCGCGCCGTATTCGAAGTCTCGCCCTCGATAACGCGGTCCTATTTCCTAGGCCACCACGCGAGCGCGCTCTCGTCGATGCGCAAGATCCTATCGAACATCGGCCTAGTCCTCGAGTGCCGCGACAGCCGGGTGCCCCTCACATCGACGAACCCGCTCCTCGAGACCGCGCTCGCGGGGCGCGACCGCATCATCGTGTACACGAAGTCCGACCTGTGCGCGCCCGCGTCGGCGAGCCGGTGGATGGAGAAGCAGAAGCAGTTGCTCATCAACTACCACTCCGACCGGTCGGGTATAATTTTCGAGGCGGACGACGGCGACGACACATATAGTGGGGAAAGAAGGAATAGGAATAGGGGAGAAGGTGCCGGTCCGGACAATACAAAAGTCGTTTTCACGGACGAGCGCAACCCGCGCACGATCCAACACCTGCTCAACGCTATTAAAACCCGCGCCACAGCCACGGACTCGTTGACCGGGCTCCGCGCCCTGGTCGTCGGCATGCCCAACGCCGGAAAGTCTACCCTCCTCAACGCCCTGCGGCGCGTCGGCCTTTCTCTGCCGAAGGCCGCGCGCACCGGCGCGCAACCGGGCATAACGCGCAAGCTAGGGACGCCCGTGCGCGTGATCGGAGAAGACAGCCGCGCCGGCATCGAGCAAGGCGTTTTCGTAGTCGATACGCCCGGAGTCTTCGTCCCGTACGTCGGGGACGCCGGGGCCATGCTCAAGTTATCTCTCGTAGGCTGTGTGAAGGACGGCTTGGTGCCCGTGGAAGTCGTAGCCGATTACCTGCTCTTCAACCTTAACCTGCGCGATCCGAGCTCGTACGCGGCGTTTTCCGCGCCGACGAACGATATCCAAGAGTTTCTGGACGCGGTAGCGAGGCGAACCGGGAAGTTGCAGAAGGGTGGTGTGCCGAGTCGGGAACAGGCTGCTGAGTGGGTGGTGCAGCAGTGGCGGAAGGGGGAGCTGGGTCGTTTTGGGCTGGATGATGTTAGCGAGGAGAGTTTGAAGGAGAAGATGAGGAAGGAAAGAACCGGGGAAGAAGAGCATGTTAGTTTGAACCAGGCTAGGAAGAGGGAGAAGGAGGCCAGGAAGGCGAGACATGCTGCTAAGAGACAAGCGGCTGAGGGAGCTTGACCCCTTTCATATAAGTAAGCATAAGATGGTAAGATACGAGCACATAGCTGAGAGTCAAGCAAGAGAAGGCTCATGTCTCTACTAAATCACGAAGGAGAGGTATGCAGACGGATATTGATGCTAATATTGGTTAAAACATATTGGCATTGTACATTATTGGTGTACCTAGTATTTACACTGGTGACGCGCCAGGTGATATAGATATCGGGGTATATGGTAGATACAGCGCCGCGCCGGTAAATATCAGAAATCATAACCCACTCCAAAGACGGGCGTCCTTTTCCAGATACTGGAATATCTGTGCCGCTCGAAGCCCGAGAACTCCTCCAATCAACCCAGTCGCTTTTTCGTTAGCACAGCCAATTCTACACACGAGACCCTATTTCGAACTTTTTGTTACTGAATAAAGAAGAAGCAAAGGAAAGTAAAAAAACGAAAAAAAACACTCCTCTTAATCCATCCCTCAACTGTGGAGGATAACGCCTAACGATGCAGATATAAGCTGATACAGGAAGCCAACCTTGGAACGCCGAGTAAATCCCTTCACATAGGTGTGACAAGGCTATGTCAAGGCACAAACTCCTGCTGCCACTTTACTAAATCTCGAGTCAAGATGTCCATCATTTCGATACAAGACATCTCCTTGAACTCCTTTAGTGGCAAGGCATTGTTAGTCCCGTTGCTTGCCGGTCTGGCTAGGTTTGTATTGGTGTTTTCTCCCCTGTTGTTACTGTCGCCGTTAACTAGGATTGAAGGGACTCCGTTGACTGATCCATTACTGCCATTATCGGGGTGAGAACCGTTCGCTGGCTCCGATAAGGGTTCGCTTGCCAACTCGACTTGTGTCCTGGTAATGTATTCCAGGATGTTGTTCGCGCGTCTTTTCATATCTGTCATGGTGATCCTAGAATTCATGCCACCTTTAGACTTGCTCTGCTTGCTCGTAGTCTCCTGGCCTGATTTTGTATGGGATGTCCCATTTTCGTCGGCGTTTCTCGTGATATCACGCGACACTGACCTCGCCGGCGATTCATCGTGATCGCGATTATCACGGTCTTTTGTATACTGATTCCTGCCCTTCTTTTTTTGGTTGGTTGCCTTTTTCTTATGTGAATGTGTAGGAGCTGGAGCGGTGGGAGGTGTGTCTGGCGCAGGCTGCGATGATACGGGAGGTTCCGGGGGCTGCGCCGATTCTGTGGTTCTGTTTGCTGCCGCGCGAACTGATAAAGGTATTTCTTCTGAGGGGTCTGAGTCTACGTCTAAGTCAGCTTCTTGTTGCGCTTCTTTCGGGAGTAAGAAGATATTTACCATCAGCTCGGCGACGTTCGGCACGGCCTTTTCGCTTATTAGCGGCTTCAGCCCGTTTCCGTTCTTGCTCTTCACGCCGTTCATCTCTCTCGGCTTTTTCGCGCTGATTTCGAGCGGCGTTCCGAGACTTCTTAGACGACCCATTTCGAATGGCCGACTCGTCCTCAGACTCGTCGGGAGGAAGTGACTGAGGCCTTTCCGTTTTTGGAGAGGGAGATTTAGAATTCGTCCGTTGTCGCTTGATACTTTCAACCTTCCTATATACTAGTGAGTCGATATTCCGGACTCTGTCATTCAAATCGGGGCCATACTCCTCGCTATCATCTCTGCCTCGTTTTGGGCGCCTTTGCGGAGGTTCTGCGGTTTCGGGGATTGCGTCTTCCTTGCTTGCTTCAATTGCCCGTCGCAGCTGTTCTTCTTCATCATAAGCGGCATCCCGGCTGTTCATGGTAGAGCGCCGTTTGGACGTATGCGCAGATGCTGAAGAACGTGAGTTTTTGGTAGAAGTACCCTTAGGAGATTGCGCACCATCCTTGGCCGTAGAAGCGGCTCGCGAGGCGGCTCGTGAGGGTCGGTGGATAGGGAGAAATATGGAATATTTTTGTCTGGGTGGCATAATATTAGCATATTAAATTGCGGTTGAGTTGGTGACGGTGAAGTTGGATATGTAGGAGGGAGAGGGAGAAGACACAGTTGGAGATGCATGATCGGCAAAGGCGCGACCGTCAGCACTCCGCCGCAGCTGAAGGACCGGCCACCCAAAAACGACCAGCATCAATCTGCCCCTAGACCCCTAGGACTTGATGATTCGACGAGAAGACTCACCCATTGCTCGCTGTAAATATTTTATGTAAGTCCTTTCTACACTTTTCGCAAAAGTACTGAACATCTTCCGGATTAGATTCTTCCGTAAAACCAACGCAAGCGCCGTGTTGCCATGTGTTGCAAAATTCGCATTGTACGAAAAAGCCGGCCATGTCGTCTGTAACCTCGATGGCAAAGATTCTTTCATGGTCAATTGCATCTTTCAAAGTATGCTTCGAGTCCTCGTCGAAGGGAGGTGGCCCCGGGTACTCGTCGTGGCCGCAGATGCAGCGGACGGCCTCATCCTCCTCTTGAATCTCGTCGCCAACAGGTGCCATGTCGAGTAATTCCAGCTTGGAATGTTTTTCGCGCTCGTCGTCTTTGCCGCGCGTGCTTCGTCGGCGAAGGAGGGTATCGTCGTTGGTTGTTGTAGTGGAATCCTCGGGAGGTTCTGAAGAGAGAGACCCACTGCCGGTAGATTTTTGGGGGGAGCCGGTCTTGGTAAACGCTCTTGTGCTTCGCTCGGCACGGCCAGATGCACTGGACGCACTTGAGGAATTGTTCGATTGGGATTGAGTAGTTCGCGCGCGAGAAGAGCGTCTGGTCGGGGAAGCACCGGCCATCGCTTTGTAGCGTAGGCGTAGGCGACTAGTCGAAATGAGACGGAGGAGGGGTTTTGGTTGAAGGAAGAGTGGATAAACGCGAGGTCGATCCTAGGAGAGGATGTAATTGGGAAGGAATCTCTTAATTCTGAATAGAGATTAGAGCAGGCTGTAAGTGATTGGTCGCGACAAAGAGTAGGAGAAGCGGAGGTGGTTGGATGAGGATGAGAAGACCAGAGACGAGTGCTAGGCGACCGCAAAGGAGCTTCGTGAGGAGATTTCTGGCTACGCGAGGTCAGAGCAGAGAGGATAAGAAGCTTGCAGGTATTCCTTCAAGGCTATCATGACTGAATTCGATATTTGAGAAGGGTTCGGCAGCTAGAAGCAAGAGGGACAATAGAGGGGAAAGGGTAAAAAGGTAAAGAGTAGTGTTGGTGAAGGCGAACAAAAGTGTAGTGTCACTTTTTTGGAGAGAGAGAAAGCAGCAGCAGCAGTAGCAACATTGTTACTAGAAAGTATTTAGGTATTGTTCCTAGCTTGGCCCTCGCTCGGCGCGGGCAGAGACTCGCGCGACCAGAGCGACCAGTCCATCAGTGTCCCAGTATCCACCAGTCTAAACTCTGAACAGGGCCCCCCGGTAGCTTAGTTCCTTCTTTTTTCTGCTTTTTGCTTTTTTGGGTTAATTCCTAGCTTGGATCCCCAATTGATCCGGGCTCCCATGGCTCTCATGGCTCTTCATGGCTGCAAATGGCTGCAGTGGCTTCTGTGGCCTGCGAAGTATCGGGGCTCCATCGGTCCGTTCTTTCCACCTATTCCATCTATTTTTTTTTTCCTCTGCTCAAGTGAAGCGCGGGGCACAGTTTTCGAAAAACTTATTCGTACCGTATTTTGCCCGATTGGAACACCCGTTGCATCTGATTGTATTTTGAAATGATCTTTTAGGTATCGATACCTAGGTTCAAGGGTAAAATCCCACATGATGTAGTTTACTTATGTAATACATCTGGGATCCAATATTGAAATTGTCCACGGTATGTACCTAGGTGGATGTGGTGATGACGGGTTATTGGTCACACGCCAGCAATAGCATCCGGCATAGAGTCCGACAGAATATTGCTCCGGAGGTTTGGGATTAATTAACAGTCTACTGTCATCCCACTGGATTCCGTTATGCGTACCTGCGTAGTAGCTTCATGTTAGGATGAATGGACTTTCCCACATTTCGTGGAGTGGAGGGATGAATGGATGAGCAGAAAAATGGAAATATACCTAGGTAATAAATATTTTAAGACAATTAGAATTGGGTGAAGAAACCTTACCTCAGAGGTAGGTACAGTACACAATTATGTCATGTGGTGGAGGGCAAATACAGTGCCTGCATAAGATTTCGGCCAATCTGAATCCCATGTTCGTCACTCGCTGTTGGCTGGTTATGGTGGGCTACGTACCTACTGGGCATGTACTTGGTACCTGACTTAGATTACTAATGGGGTGGAATCAGGGTTGATTGGCCCTTGTATTTCGTACAGTTACATGTGTGGTACCCTTTTCTTGTGGCACCGCGGGAAACTGGGCTTCCATTGCAATCCCTCAATCAATTACATATCGCCAGCACAACTTAGCACAACTGATCTTCTTACCTTGTAGGTACCTGCCACTTTATTCATCGTTGCCGAGACTTATTAGAAATGACCCTTCTGCTTCTTTCTCATCCTCACTGCAACCTGGACCTAAACATCTAAAAACAACCTTCTTCACATTTGTTTCTGTAACGTCTTTGCATACAATTGTCTCGACATTCAGATTCCGTCTCTGCTTGCACGAGGGCGATCCCTACCGTATCCCTATTCCTGTGCCGATTATCCCACCAGAAAGGAGAGCATCTTGAATACTGGACGTCTCGGAGTTGTCCTGCGTTGCATTGGTCATCCAAACCCACCATCGTCAACCTCGACTCTCAAACCAGCTCCGTGGGCTAAAGGCTACCATTTCTGTATGTCCAGACCACCTCCTGAGTGTTTTCTGCTTTCACTTAGTAGTGGTACACTTACGGAGAGGGCTAAGTGGCACTTCCTGCTTAAAATTACATAACTGCTTTCGATAGAATTGACTACGTTCTTTTTCCGGGGAGTTTGTGTGTTAATGTGGCTACGAATACGTAGAAAAGGAGAAGGTCGCTTCAACGAGCTAAACTACGAAACTGTGTCCTCGCCATCTTCGAGTCCGTTTCGATCAACCCGTACGATAGATCCCAGCGCAGATAATCCACAGTTGCTTTAAGTAGACGTGACGGGCGAGGTCCATTTTGAAGTGGCAGCTGGGCTGTCGGTGTTACGATTGTAATAACGGGATGTGATGGGTATGTCATCTTCCCAGCGCGGAACGTCTTGGATTCAAAAAGATGTCCAATGCCACTTGTCGGCCTGCAAGAATTGCAGGTTGAATCCAATTTTTGTGGTGTTGGGAGTCTTCTACTACCTCTCCTTCTTTTTTTCGCACTGTTACAGAAGAAACAAACACTTCATATGCTAGCAGTCTGACCTTTGCAAACGCTCTTCCACACGCATCAAGGACCCTTTAATGTTTCTTTTGTTGCCATGACTCCCTTCCTCATATCTTTGGTCAAGGCAGCATGGCTAACACTCTTGCGACTTTGCCGCGGAGCAGGTCAATCTGAAAATATGTCTCCCGAATCATCTTCATCGCTGTACCCGGACCGGCCCATTCGACCTCTTCCGAAACGCCGATTGCGCGAACGGCTGTCGCCTGACGTTGCTGACAGTATCCAGTATCCGCCAGCGCCTCAGACTACAGCTCCTCTGTTCGTGTATCCGTATAATTCTAAGGAAGATTTGGCATCTCTAGGAGTTGATGCTCCGAACGTTGCACACCGAGAAAATGCAGCGGAATTGGGACGAGAGGCCAGCGCGCGCAGGAATGGCGTGGGTGTCGAGCAAGATGACCAGTCATTAATCGGACAAGCACGTAGGGCACTCATCTCGCGACCCCTCCACGATTCGCCGGGCCACGCGGTTCGTGCCCCGCTACGGCAGAGTCAGCCTCGACAACCGAATCCGCAGCCCCCACCTTCGACTGCATCTTCTGTGGATGGCTACGATTCTTTTGAAAACAGCAATAACAAGAAGAAAAGGAAGATTCCAACTGCCGGCGAAACAATTTTAAATGGGACGCACGTGCTGAACGATCTAGGTACGCTGGGAGTATCGTCGCCTACGTCAGCGGGCGATGACGGATCTTTGGATGCGTCGGGGGTAGCTTCTACAGCTTATTACCAATCGGGGGGTGCGATTGCGGGTGCTCAAGGTCTTTCCGGTCCTGGAAGAGGCAGGTTCGGTCGAACACGCAACGGCAGGAGCCCACTGCGAGCTCTATCGGATTCAAACAGCAACTGGGGCAACCGGAACTCTAATAAACTTAGGCCAGGCGGTATTCAATATCCCTCGCCGCCTGCCGGTAAGTTCAGCCACATGAAACTTCCTATTTTCTTTCTTTCGTCCCCTAGCAAATCAGCATGGCTTTTAACAGATGTTTTTGAAAAACAACATTAAACAACATCAGCATTCACATTAACATTGAGACAAACACCACTACTACGTTATTTCCAAATATTTAGTTGCTGACATTATCTCATCACATTTTAGCAGAGAATTCCGGTATTATCTCCAGCGCTATAGCAAGCGCCGAGAAGCTTCAAGTGCCACAAGGTCAAGAGAATATAAGTCTCCTGCACCAAGAGACCTCTGCAAAGCCCAGTCCCACATCAGCACAATTTACCTTTACATTCGATTCTCAGAATCCTGTTTCTTGGCCGGGGTCGGACCCAGCCCCTTCCAACTTCAGGTCTTCGCATCCTCTGAATCGATCATCTCGCGCAATGTCAACTGCCGCGGGTATGGGTGCTGCAGGCTCTATTCCAAATGGGTCGGCAGCGTCTTCGGCTGGTTCGGGAGATATGCCGCCAGGAGCCAATGCGATGGGCAACGAAGCGGGTAGAGGAGCAAATCAGGCGAACGCGGCTCCAAAGAAACCGAAGCGCCGTGGCAATTCACTTTTACTAGCAGCTAAGCAGCGTCGTCGAGAAACGGCATTTCAGAATTTTCACCATCCCCCGGCAGCAGATGATATCTGGATCTGCGAATTTTGCGAGTACGAGCGCATTTTCGGCCGCGCCCCTGAAGCTTTGATTCGACAGTACGAGATCAAGGACCGTCGGCGACGTCGAGAGGAAGCAGAACGCCGTCGATTACTAGAGAAGGCGAAGATGAAGTCGCGCAAAGGCAAGAAAGCGAACAAGCTGCCCGCGAAGAACAACTCCACAGACCGCCACGCAGCTTCCGGACAGCAAACTTCTCAGCACCAACCCGTACCCAATGATCAGGATGAGGATCAAGCTCTACACCAGCGCCAGATTCACGAGGAAGACCAGGAGGAGCTAGGTTATGACTCGGATGATCACTACGAAGATCAGGGCCCAGAGGCAGAGCCACCAGGTACAATTCCTGTCCTAACGCAAACACGCGGGGGCAGAGGCGGCTCTCGAGTGGAATCCAAAGTGAAGCATGGCGGTTATTGACCGATATCTTGCTACCACCTTGGACTGATCGGGATATTCGGTATCTTAGCATTGATCTTAGCATTGTTCTCTACTCTCATTGCATCGCCGAAATGGTTCTTTCTCATCAAGTTCCTAAGGCTTCTTGTAACCTAGACACAGCACCTTATCAAAGACTATTCCAGCCTCAATCGCCTCTAATCGCCATAGCTCACCGTTCTATTCAACCAACACGTCGCATTCGACTAAAAGCCTACTGGTATTACTGGTTTCCAAACTTTGCTTTAACGTTTCGATCCGTTCGTACCATTCCTGTCTCAAGAAAGTCGTTGGTCAAGATGGTGAACGAACAATATAGGTTAGAATAAGCGGACGGTTAAGGCTAACGGTTGCTACCAAATTCGATACCAGCGCATGTGGAGTATTAAGACAGTTTGCACTGTGAGTGCCATGATCAGCATGCCCCGTCAGACAGTTTTATTGATTAAACTGCCTCGAGGCCTTTTAGACCAGATAGATCATAGAGCACATTAGCCTCACATGTATCTACCTTCTACTCCATATTGTGCTCTCTGTTGTGTTCTTACATAGTCTCATTGCCTTGAATACGCATCAATAAGTGCATATTGCCAACGTTGAGATTGCCTGAGCGAAACCCGAATCATTATGGCAAGACGTCGTAGTCAACGTAGTATGGGTAGCGCACATGCGTCCTTTCAATATATTACGTAAGCTAATACGCAGCACAGCATTGGAGATCAATATGTGACAATACAGGTATCCAATGTGACGCGAAACTGCACCTTCTCACATATATATACATACATATGTAGTATACGCAGATCGCTCTGCCAGGAACTGTGAGTAGGTATATGAGTTGTCTGGTCTAGTCATTGAAGACTACCTGAGTATAGACTGCAGAGACCTTTCTGACGAGTGTTATGATGAATAAGTATCTACCTAGTACGTATAATCGCGTTGTCCATTCAGATGACGTCACAGGAGGCCGAACATTTTACAGTTTGAAATTAGGTCCCGCCGTCCACGTTCACAAGTTCATGCATAATAGTACTTAGTGCGTAGTGAAATATGAAAGTGTTAGACTTATACACGTACGTAACTTACTAGCTCAGATGTCTTTGTAGGTCATCTGATAATATGAAGGAGACATGTCTGCGATGCCGTCATACGACCAATCTATTGGATATCGCAGTCTCATCGAATCGAAGGCTTCCCAGGATCTTAATGGTCCCACGAGGCGGTTGATATAAGTATGAACCCAGTATCGAGATGTAATAGAGACAAAATAGGAAGCGCATATATGTAGAAGAGTGGGCTAGGCACATTATCCTTAATTTAGGTACATAATTATAGGTACTATTGATGTATTAGTGTCGCTTAGTCACTTCGCTGGGGTGTTGTCATCATACCTTAACCTTAATGTTAAACTTCTAGGATCCCCGTTCCTGAGAGAAGCTCCAAAAGTCTTTTTTTTTTGTTCCATCGCGCCGGTAAATCTCATTCTTAAGCCTGTATCGCCTATTTCCCGCGTTCATCCACGCAATAACCCGTTCAAACCCGGCATAGGCCTATAGTCACGATTTCAAACACATATACTTGCGCAATAGTTGATAACTATATTCCATGCGGTCTCTATTATAGTCGATAACCCAGGCCTAGAGCCTGCGAGCGATCCGGTGATCCAGTCACGATGTTTGGCAGCTCGCGAAGGCATCGGCCTCCCAACCCTGTAAGTCTTTTACTCAGACAATCTTAGTCTCTGCCCTGCCTCGATTCATCGATTTATCGAACCATCACATTCCATTGTCTTAGAATTCTATATCCCAATTAAATTATTACACGAGTCGTGCTTCTTTATCCTCAACCGGCACTAGGGTGAATGTCTTTCAGGGTACCTCGTGGTTGGTCGATGGGAAGCGCGGGATCTTCCACTACGTCGTACGGACGATTCATTCATAATGACGATACTATTAACCTACTGCCACCCTGCAACATACTTTATCTCTGCTTTAATGCGCATCTCAAAATACTAATGCATATTCGTTCCCTTCTCAGCCTTTAAACTCGGCGACTGCAAACCCAAATGCTGCATCAGCCGCCGCAACCGCCTTCATGTCCGCCTCAAACCAGAAGCCTAGTAGATCGTTGTCGTCGGCTGCCGCGGCGGCAGCACTACGGGCGCGTCCTCACACACCGACAAACGTAGGTGAGGTTCAGACGAAACGGACGATGCGTCGAAGTGCTTCGGTGTCCTCGGCAGGTAGCGCTAGTACGGGTACCGCCGGTTCGCGCCCGACTGCGCAACTTCAGAGAAAGGGTAGCTCGGGAAGCATGACGGAACGGTCCTTTCGGAGTCCTTCGCCTCATCGAGCCGGTTCGATACACGCACCAGAAGAGCATCCTCCAGTTCCACAAATCCCAGCGGGTCATAAGAAAGCGGCGAGCGTAGCTTCGTCAGGGGTAGGGATGCAGTCTTTCCGGACCGCATCTCAGAAGATGAAGGTTGGACATTCATCATGGTATACGGAACCAACAGGCGATCCCAGAAATGTAAGGACATCTGATGCGCCGATGAAAACCAACAAGCCCCAGCTTCAAAAACCTCAGGTCGCTGCTACTGCCAACCAGAGGCCGGATAGCAGAAACTCGGTAAACTTCTCATATCCAACTGCCTTTCGTGCCCAGTCGCCACCCGCTTCCCCTAGCTCTGTTCAGCAACCTCAACTTCCCGGGCCGCCCACTCGCACGCCCGCCTCTCCACCAAGATCGAATAGGGCTTCCATGTCTTCGATCGGGAGCGGCAGGTCTGACCAGCAAATGGTGTATGACCGAAACTCTAGGAGGATGGTTCCAAGGACAACGGTAGATAATGCCGAACATTACGTCAGGGAGACGACGGAGAAACAGCCGAAAAAGAAATATGGTGGAATTCAGAAAGAAGGTGGCCAGTTAACAAAAGGAACAGTTGCGAGAGTTAGGGGTACTGCCGTGGACGCCGATGCGGGTGAGCGCGACTTACCAAAACGAGAACAACCGGTCGTCGAAGAGGCGCCGACGAAGGAAGAGTCGCAGCTGCTAGAGGAGCCCGCAGTGAAAGCTATTATCACAGGATCAACAGGAAAATCAACACAACACCAAGGGGAGCTTGACAGAAATCAGTCATTTCAGCCACAAGACCAACAGGAATCCGGAAGTCCACCTCCATCTCGGTCTACTCCCCACGATCCGAGCACCAACTCTCCGGCCGGCCGCGTTTCGATGCAGAAGGCTTCTGCCGGACAAGGGCCCAAGGAAATATCCGAGGAAGTTAATGACATCCCTCTCCCATCACAAAAGGTTATTGATGCACTCGATTCAGTACCAACTAGACAGTCTATTTTTGAGCAACCTGAACATGTCCAACTTCTCATACAAGAAACGGATGAGACAACTAATCAGACTTCATCCGATATCCAGCATCCGAAACAAGCTCAAAATCTTCTTGATAATTCAGCGGAGAAAAAAGCATACGTCGCTGAAAACAAGCCGGTTCTTGAGCTATCTAAAGAGGGGAGCAGTATACGAAGATCCAATTCGAATAGCCCGGCTCGTCAGGCCCATTTTTCAGTAACTCCTTCAGACAGTCTCCCAGTGCGTCATACTCCATTGCCACGATCGGCCTCTCCTATCAAGTCGGCTCTCAAGCGTACCAGTCCGACACGTAGGGAAACGTCTCCGTCTGACAAAAGCTCAGATATGTCAGGGTCCCGTGGTGCTTCACCGCACCAGCAAGATGAAGCTGCAGCCCAGCGTAAGAAGTCGGTCCGCGTTAGTTTCGATGACCGAACGATGGCCACGGTGGTAGGGGAGTCCGCTCCTACTGGAGATACGGATGAGTCCACTCCACCAAGTCCGCAGCAAACCAGGCGACCTTGGTACAGCAACATTGGGCGAGGTAAGAGGAGGGAATTCACTCTTGAGGATGACGAAATCATGAAGCCACGTCCTGCGTTACCAAGCTTTGGCAGTATTAGGGAGAAGAAAACGAAAGAAACCGGTGAGAGGCCACTTGTACGGCCTTATGAGCCAGCCTCTTCATCCGCGACGCCATCCTCGCCGGAGGCCCGTCCGTCTACCTCCGGCGGCCTCGGCGATACAGCAAAGCCCGAAGAGCTATCTCTCGGACAATCAAGCGACCAGGCCATCGGTTCGGTTCTTTCACAAGCACAAACTTCCCGAAATGCACCAAACATTTCCAGATTTAGAGAACCATTACCACCAGTTGTGACTTCGGTCGAAGGCAGCGGTTACATGTCAGATAGTGTCGGAAGCTCTGATTCTGACGACCTTCTTAATAGTGTCACAGGCGCAAGCGACACAGAGGAGGTTCCTAGCACGCAAGCCACTCAATTAGAGACTAGGGACAACTCGCAAAACAATTCAGTTATTCTTGAGAAGTCCGCAGAGTCCGAAGTAGCGCCAAAGACGGTTCAGGTACCGCCACAAGAAGTTCCACGAATTGCCGTCATCCAGCCTAGTCCGAAGGTTCCAGAGGAAGGCACTTCAACCGCAAATCCAATAGGAGATCAAGACTTTGATGTCCCAGGCGGGTTCCCAGCTGATGGGTCAGAAGCTACCCATGATGCTCAGAATACGTTGAACGAAACCAAAGATGAGGCCATCTTCGAGCCAAAAGCTGCAATACATCCTGTACAAACCGAAACGCTGCCTCAAACTACACTTTCTACAACAACTCCGCTGGATACTGGAGACGATGAGTCTACGGATGACTCGCATTCAAGTATATACAGTGATGCATACGAGGATCTCTCTGATATAGACGGAGACGGTTTTATGTCTTTAAATGCTGTTGTTGAGAAGCCCATTAACGAAGCTTCGCCGTCCCAACTTTCCGAGTTATCACAGCAGCCGCAAGCCCATAAACAACTTGAAGCTGCTACCAAATCCTCGGAGTCACTGCGAGGTAATGATTGGGAACAGGCTAAGGCTTTTTGGCGTAGCTTAACAGCTGAGAAAAGGCTTCAGCTTGAGCGCGAAGCGATGGAAGAGGCTGGTACGGAAGGCGATGAGGAAGATGTTCCACACCCTGTGAGGAGAAATAGTAACAGGAAGAAAACCACACAGCAACAGCAACAGCAAACAACCACTGAAGTTAAGCCCGAGTCATCGAAAGCGCTGGCGGAGCCTATCGTACTCGTCAAGTCAGAGAAAGCTCAAAAGAGTCGGCCTCACTCACAGCCAAATCCCGAGCCCGCCAATACGCAATCGACTTCATCGCGAATGCGCATGTCCCTACGCGCAGACAAACCTGGGCAGGCAGATGGGATTCGGAAAACAATGAGATCTCAATCTGAAACGGGCCAAGTCAAGCAACCTACCGCACGCCGAGCTACACAGCGTGAAACACCTGCAGCTACTTCGAAGCCAAGCCAACGTCAAAATGCTACCGCTACTACTCAAATATCACCTACAAATAGGGTGAGAAGCTCCTTGCCCGACGATAAACCCCCTTTACAACGTCGCGGGTCAGACGCAAGCGACAGCAGCTTTAAACGCAGTCGCGCGGCACGCAATGCGAGCTTCGGCTTTCGTAGTTCCATGCGACCATTATCTTCTCGCCAATCGCAAGATGCACCAAGAGGCTCCGGACGCTTCAGCTTACGATCGCTATCCCCGACAGGTTCGTTTCAGCAGAGCTTAGCAAGCAATGCCGGAGGTGGAACTTCGGCACCCGCGATGCGTCGCACATTACGATCTGGCAGCGCGTCTAGTCAAGAGAGAACTCTCCCTTCTATTCATTTCCCATCATTTGGTCGTTCGAGCAAAAATCCCACTGCGAAGCGCTCCAAGAGATCGAGTCGTCTCGGCGACTCGAGTGATGACGATGAGGGCGGGATCGTCGGTTTCCGGAGCCGCTTTGAGGATTCGAGCGATGAGGACAGCATCCGTCCCAATTCGTCTTCGCGGAATCGTCCGCTCTCGAGAGGCATTCTTCGACCTTCCACTGCTGGCGGCGCACCCGGCTTTAGGAAATCTACACCCGTGCCAGAAGTAGACGAAGATTCGCCAGACCTACCTGACAGCGATGACGAGATGCCCAGTCCCTTGCAGAGCCCGCGAGCCCGGCCCCCCATTGGAGGCGCATTCCAACGCTCGAGTTCATCAGCGATTGGGACCGCCGCATTAACACGGTCGCGCTCCGGCCGAGGCAGTTTCAATACGTCCGTATCTCCGCCTGCCGTATCAGGTAAAGAAAGGCGAAGCTCCCTAATGGGAATACTGAGGCGCAACAAGAAGGCAGACTCGGCAGGCAAGATCCAGCGCGCGGAACCTACGGAAAGCGCGGCCAGACGTGACACCAGGCTAGAGCGAAGCAGCGAGCAGTTAAGGGGCCTCCGAGGCGATCACCCGTCTAGTCCGAAGCTGCAGAAACGGAATTCACTAAGACGAAACGACAGTTGGCCTCTAGGCGAACCTGGAGAGGGTGAAGGAGTGAAGCGATCTAATTCGGCGGGCAACCTACTCGACCAAAGCATCGCGGGATCGGCCGCCCAAAGGCCGGGTACCAGCGGCGGTGGACGGAGCACCAGTTTAGGACTCCCAACCGCGTACGATGACGAACGAGACAACGTGACTGTGGACGGATTAGGGCAGAGGAAGAAAAAGAAGTTCGGGGCGCTGCGCCGAATGTTTCGGCTGGATGATTAGAGAGCATCCTGCGCCGAAGAGAAGCAGCAGCAGCAGCAGCAGCGTAATGTGTTGATGAAGAAGAGGTGCCGTCGAGCCGATTAGTTATGGTGCGTCGGCTACAATTGCGAATCACAGCTTTCACTTTGTCGTTTTACCAGGGCCGCGGGAGTTGCGGGTCCGGCCAAGGGCTCGGAAAGGCCTCTGAGAGGGCAATAATTTCTAAAGTTGATACCCATTTTCTTGTGTGCGACGGACATAAGCCTGCGCTTGCAGCTACATAGACTTGCCCAGCCCACGATACTAATAGGGCGAATGATCTTTTTTCTTTAATTAATTTTTCGCTTTTGCTGTTCAGGATAGGGGGCGCATATGCAGAGTCCTCGTAAGAAATCACGCGTTCGAAGGCGGGGTCAAATACTTATCGCGGGATTTTTGGTTCTTTCGCTCAATTTTTCGAGGCCGAGTGTGATACCAACGTACACGAAGCTACTTGCAGGATAGGAAAAGACAGAAAAAAATGCGCAGCTGGCTAGTACACGCGAGATGGCTGATGAAGACAAGAAAAGAGGCGATACCTACATATAGTACGATGCGAACTTGCTTAGCTCAGCCTCGCTCAACTTTATACTAACCCCTAAAGAAAAGAGCAATTCAACGAATTGGACCCGTCTTGTTTTTGGTCGTCTTATTTTCAAAGCCGGGGAACGGAGAACTCTAGAAGCTATCGTGAGCCCGGACCTTTTTACTAGCGTAAGACGGGGTAGGGCAAGGGAACCCCCACGCTCGTGTTGCCCCATGCCATGAAAAAAAAAGTAGTAAAGAATAAAAAAGATTAGAAAGAATTCCATTGGGGACAAAAAGCCCATCGTGACATCGTGACCCCGGAACGCCGGAGGCGGCGGAGAGAGGTCCTACAGGTTGGTAAGTTGCCCCTTGGGGCTGAGTAATAGGCAATATAATATTACTACGTACCGAGACCGAGATAGACACGTAGAGTCTTAGCAATACAACTGTACCGAATAGATTACATCGAGACCGGTACAGTGGACTGGTGGAACGGAACAGGTGAGTTGCTGCAACTGCACCTAGGTGAATATGTGAGTAAATGAGTAAGTGGCAGAGTGGATGAATGTATGATGTAGGTAGATGGGAATGATGTTATCGACTTGTGCAATTGTGGTGCGCTGTTGGACAGTTCAATAGGGGAACTAAACTCGAAGAGACATCGATCTACGGAGGACGGGACAAGGGGCATAAGCTGGGCTGGCGGGCTGCGGTGACGATGGGAAGACAGTCACTCACCAAAGTGCTAGAAAATCGTGAGGTGAGGTGTCCGGTTCTCCAGATGGCGGTAGGCTGAGTAGGCAAGTGAGCGACAGCAAATCCCACGAAGATGGTTCCCGCATCCGATGGGCCATGAGATGGGGCCATGCCCTACTTATGGATACCTACCCAGGTGCGTTAGCATCCATGGTATATAGGTATATGGATACCGTATGGGTAATGTATGACAAGCGGCTACATTATCGATCGCTCGCATGCCCACACACGCATCCAATCTCACGCTGGAAGCGGCCTAGCAGCTACGTGTACGGCGTAGGCGAGCTCGCCCGGTGCGTATCCTAGTTGGCTGCCCCGTTCCCGGGGAGGCTTTTTTGATGTAAACATTAATACGCTAGAAGACACTAGCGTTCGAAGTTGAGGTTTCTGGTGGATTGGAATTACATAGCGTAGTATGTATGTTGATGGATTTTTGCGGGGCAACGGCGTCTTGGTTCAGCGGTGCTGTGCTTGAGTAGTTGAGGTGGCCCACACCCCTGACGAAAGCTGCAAGGAAAGCTTGGAAGGTGAAAGAAGGAACAGAAAAAAGAAGAAAGCTTGGGGAGCTTTAGAATACCACCTATGTAGTACTAGGTAGGTAGCAAGGAGTAACCTGGGCTTGGGCGGGCGTTGCCCACATGTCGGTGTCTGAAGCTTGATATTGGCTAGTCACAGGTGGTCGAAGTTTTTTTGGCGGTGGCATCCTGAATCTTTCGTTTATTGTGTTTCGGTGTACGAAAGCTGATTTAGGATGACAAAAACTGGATGAGGGTTGAGGGGATGATGGACGAACGAGGATGTGTACATACAGTGATGTACACATGATGGGTGAAGACTGCGTATGCGTATCCTGTCTGCACCAGCTGCACCCAGGTATGCTTTAGTATGTTCGTGATGAAGATGGGCAGATTGATAGGGTAACAGCTCATATGTCACGTACATACATACTATCACCAGCACCACCACCAGATAGAGTGTTGTATAATGGAGGATGAGATAGGATGAAATAGGATGAGACTGGTCTAGCCATTTGAGTTTCAGCAGTCTCAGAAAGTCTAGAAAGGTCTTACAGAAGTTAGTTCCCCACCAAAAACGCCTGGAAGGCACCCCTCCAGCCATCCAACCCTCCATTAAATGTTAAATCCTTAGACGTCCTGGTGGTTATTGCCATCGCAGGATCGGTACACTCGCATACTACATAGTACTTACCTGGAGCCGCCTAGGAGGAAAAGAAGTAGCACTCGAGGTACCTAGCAGAGAGCAGGGGGAGGTAAGGTAAGGAGGGTAGGAGGGGTGCTCCACTACCGGTAAGGAAGCTTGGACCCCAGACAGAATTTAGAATTGATCGTCCTAAAGGCTACCTGTCCATGCGCACCTGGGCTGCTGGGCAGGTGCAGAGTGCAGGGACAGGTGTAGGTACATGGATACATCAATACATCATCCATAAACGAGGACCTTGAAAAAAAAGAATTGAAAAATAATTGTTAGTGAGCCCCCGGAGCATCGTGAGTTTTCAACGGTCCCCCTGTGCAGGTGACCTTTTTTTCTTGGGCGGTGGTTTAGTTTTTCCTCGTGTCTCCCACTGTCTCTTTTTTTTTTGTCGTGCTTGCTCATCTGAACACTTCCCATCCCATTCTCCCTTTTCCAATACAAATACCTCGTCGAATTCCACAATATCGAAGAGGGGATCTACTCACGAAATATTGATTCTGAACATTCTAAAAGCGGTATAGAGCTCCATTCTGACGATACCTACTAGACAACGCGCATACGTCATTTCATCTGCCATTGTCCAATCCATTCAACAACTCGTTTGTGCAAACTTGAAGCTCTCCTCTACACATCACTCACAGCTCTCACCCATCCCCTCAACATTTATTCACAGAAGTATATCCATTGCCGACAACTCATACCTGTATCCATACATACAATCCATATTAATCTCTCTCTTTTCTTCCTGTAATCCTCCTAGATCGGCGACAAACCAATTCTTTTTTATTCTCTACCTTCCACTCCTCCGTCCTCCGCCCTCCACCTAAAACCCTCATAGACATACATACCTACCTAACATACCTCCTACCTATACATATACCTATACCTATAACACATAATGCTATCTCGAAACCTCGTACGCGCGACGGCGCGAGCTGCCGGTGCTGCCAGCAGAGTCACCGCCCCTCGAGCCACCACTCTTCCTGCTAGCGCTGCCTTCCTTCACAACAACAACAACCCTCTCAACAATGCCGACAACAAGGACAAGAAGCATTCCTCGCCTCCTCCCGGTTCGTTCGCTCGTACAGACGATAGTATCACAGTCGAGTATCCTGAGGAAGACGCCCTCCCTTCCTCTACTCCCGTCCAAGGTCGCGGCGGTTTCCACATGAAGCGAACTCTCGCTTCTTTCTCGCTCGAGGGCAAAGTCGGTGTTGTGACCGGTGGTGCTCGAGGTCTCGGACTCGTAATGGGCCAAGGCATGGTTATTAGCGGTGCCAATTTGGCTATTGTAGACATGAACAGTAAGTTAATGTGCCTTCTCTTCGTCCTCCATTTCACATACACTCCCCTCAACAATTCGCAAATGCGCAAATTCGCAAATTTTCGCGGCTTTCGCTGCTGCTCCACCGACTACCTGCCCTTTTTCCTAGGGTTCCCCTTCACATGTATCCTACCCCCTTCACCGAATGTGCTCTCCAGTTTATTGATCCCCACACGCATAACCTATGAAGACTTGCGGTGTGTCATAGTCGACAGTGAAGGCGGATACTGACAATTCCTTTTCAACCAAACAGAGGAAGAGGCCGAGCGCCAAGCCGTTGAGCTAGTTGAGGTATTCCGAAAGGAAAACCCCGGCGCAACCAGAGTGCCCAAGGTCACTGCGCATTACGCCGACGTGTCTGATGCCGACTCGGTGCAAAGCTGCATAGATGGAATCATCAAAGAACACGGGAAGATCGACCACCTCGTCACCAGCGCCGGCTTCACTGAGAACTACAATGCCGTCGACTACCCGATCGACCGCATGCGCAAGCTTTGGAGCGTTAATGTCGACGGCACATACCTGTTTGCCATCACCGTCGCCAAGCATTTGATGGAGCGCAAGAGCCCGGGTAGCATGGTCTTCATCGGAAGCATGTCTGGCGCCATCGTCAACGTGCCCCAGCCCCAGGCGTAAGTTGCTCTCCAATCCGATTGACCACCGAGAGATGGTGGCGCAATTTGCGATAACAAGCGCGACTAACCATCTTCGATTTCCAGTCCATACAACACCGCCAAGGCTGCTGTCCGACATATGGCTGCCTCTCTCGCTGTTGAGTGGGCGCACGCCGGTATCCGCGTGAACTGCATTTCGCCCGGTTACATGCTAACAGCTCTGTAAGTAGTACCTACCGCGTACCTGACCAAACCCGCCATGTCAAAAATGACGGCAGCTAACGAAAGCTCTCAAACAGCACCGAGAAGATTCTCGATGACAAGCCGGACCTGAAGAAGCAGTGGACCTCGCTTATCCCTCAGGGTAAGATGGGTCAGCCCGACGACTTGATGGGCCCTGTCGCGTTCCTGCTATCCGATGCCAGCCAGTATGTCACTGGCGCCGACCTCCGCGTTGACGGCGGTTACACGCTCACTTAAGCGGCGAAGTCCTTTTTCTTGGGCTTATACGGAGCGAGCATCTTGGGGCGAGAAGGAAATAGATGGTGATTTTTCAAGGGAGTTCCGCGGGATTTTTTCTTTTTTGATGAGAATAGAGGAAACCCTTTTGATTCAGCCAGATAATTGACTGGATAGGGAAAAAGAGACCACTCCACACCACCAATAGTTGGTTTTTATTCTTGTGGTTGTCTAGCCGGATAACGATTTGTTACCTGGGCTCGAACACGACAAGATAAAACAGGACAAAAATCATAGGAACGCAAAACTGACAGCTTGCATTTTTCGTGCGCCGTTAATACAACAAAGGAAAACTGATTGTGCCATGCGTTTGGTTTGCTTGTGCTACTCGATCTGTTGTCGATAAAGCATATGTAGATGTAGATGTCGGATGTTCGAAATTCACTTGCTCTTCGATTTTTTCATTCTTTGGAAGGCGAAAAAAAACTTTTCGAATTTCAAGGAAAACGAATTAGTTATTTAAACTAGGGAAAGGGGAGATGTTGGTGGTTTTTGTTTAGTCGTCGACGATTCAATTCGGGCCTACCAAGCGCTTGTGGTTCCGGCGCATTTTCGTGCGGTTCGGTCGCCTTTCGCCTAACGCTTACCCGGAATGCCGACCTCCCCAGTCCAGGTTTGGGTTTTATTCGGTACCGGTTCTGGAGTAAAAAAAAGTAAACTTCCCCGTCCACAATTACGACGTGCGAGCTAAATACCCGGCTCCCGTTGAACTGGCAGATGGGGGATGGTTTTAATGTATGCCATGCCGGTAGTTGCGTAGTATGGTAGGGCAGTCAATGGGGTTGTTCCATCGGAACTACCCTCGCCACGTTCCGCGGGTGGTGTGGTTGGATGGTTGGGTGACGCTGTGTCGCTACCACGGTGAGTCGTGCCAAGACTTCTGACGGCGCTCGTGGAATTGAGCGATTGGTATTAGCTGGTTGTATTCATTTATATATAGGAGTTGGGTTGAATAGGTATCGGCTTGCTTGATATATATTTTGCTCTGTGCCTGCCTATGTAGAGAGGAACAGTCAAGGTGAAAGATTTCATGAAGATACACAAGTAGACAGCAATAGACAAAGAGCTGAGGTCAATTATATTTCCTTTCATCATAGTTCTTCTACATCAAATCTATAATGTTAACGTAAGTACCTGTACGTACACCTAGGTCAGTAGTAAATATGTATTTGCTATGAATGTCATTGACTAATGCTTTTACCTACAAACATGGAGATCATTCCTTTTAGCTTATTACGAGAAAAATCATTTCATGTTGCATACCTAGGTAGTTTGCTTGAGGGTGTAAGTGCTTGAAGGGAATCTTTAGTTGTCTAATATTTAAGGCATGTGTGTAAGTTTCTCGTGTTTATTAACATGCCATCAAGCGTAGGTGTAGTATACTACTCAGTACTCGTTAGAGATACTTGCAGTTAATTCAGACAGTTAGGTAGAATAATACTTATGGATACGGCATATTACTTCTAAACGTATGTATTATTACGATCAGCTATTATACATATTCCAAAGTGATTATTTAGTTTATGTATCAACAACAACTCAGCTCAGTCACTTCGTTTTTCTCCAACATAACATTCATAATTGTTAACACTAAAAGGATATTGCCATAAGTATATCTCCCGCGAACGAGGATAATGGCTAAACACGAACAGCTAAGTCCTGTTTCCAGAGGCTTTACATACTTGCTATCTTGTCAGGGGGTAGGCCCGTCGTTGAAGACTATGTCGCAAAGTGAGTGGGAGTAGCAGTTAGCTTGCCTTTAGCTCGTTTGTAGGTGGTGAAAGACTTTGATTAACGCCTGTCCCTCTCCTAAAGCCCTCTGTGGCCTTCGGCCCCTTATATAGTCGTCGCAGGTATTATATAGGCTGCAGCTAAGTAGCTGTTATCTAGCCCCTTACTCATAGCCCCCGATATATCTTGTGTTAGAACGACGTAAATATAGCTAGGTAGAGAATCCAGGTAGTCTTTTGGCATATGTTGCGAAGACGCTCAGGCGCCTCTACAATCTTCAGTCTTAGTGTGTCTGATGAATGGGACTCGGGAGAAGTCTAGATCTTGTGGAGGCCGAGTAGATATACCTTGGTAAGTTTTCTAATCTAACGTTTGATTGATAGATCTACGAAGAATTGGCATGTTGCTCTTACATTTATAAGACGAAGAAGGATGAGGAATATAAGGACAAGTAGATGAAATTCAGGGTCAGGTGAGTACCTAGGTACAAGAGTAAAGGATTCTACCGGAATTCTACACCTTTTCACTGTACATATGCCCGATTTATAATGAATGCGTCTGCGAAAGCATGATAATGTAAGTGGTTAACTTGAGTAAAAAGACCTGAACGTCCGGTAATTCAGCATCACAGGTTAGGTATTTACAATGTAATAAATTATTTTTATGCAAGACAACTGCGATGGTCATAAGTGATAAGTTACATATATCACTTTCATAGCCGGTCGAGAGCGACGAAGAGTATGATATATATTCTTTCCCTTATATCTAAAATGCTTACCCGATGCTGGAAATGATAAGACATAAAAATTAAGATAAAAACCGATTCATTATTTCAAAGAAAACATTTATTATGAGTGAATCCGAGCGGAAGGGAACTCATGGGAAAATTCTTCCAAGAAAAAACAAAGTCAAATTTGTCTCATGAGGCCCACTATCAAGTCCCGTCTCATAAGTCTTGTCTCATAAGTCTGAGAAAGGTTTATAGAACGGCACAGCCCAATGTTTCTCATCGATTGCATGGCTTGATGGATCACAATGCCGTCTCTGACCAGCTAAACAAGCTTCATGGCGCAGTGGAAGCGCGCCGGGCTCATAACCCGGAGGACCTCCGATCGAAACGGAGTGAAGCTAAGAATATTTTTTTCCCTACCTTTTTCTCGTTGTCTCCTGATTTTACACGATAGCGGATCTGCCAAGCGTGATGTGGATCTTAGCTTGATAAAAATTTGCCTGGCACCCGAGGATAGAATCGTCAAGTGGGCCTCATATTAATGTATTAAAAACGAACTTAGCGGCTTGTACAATGCTAAAGAGCTAAAGGACGATACCTGGAGATGTAGGTAACCGCAGTATCCAATTCGAATTTGAAACATGCGTTGGACTGGTTACCTTGGTACATAGATCCATGTGAAGGTATTGAGAGACAAAACGATGTTACCAACAGGTTCGGTGGAGGAGGTAGGTACCGACCTATGTAGATAGCCTTATTAAATGATGATATCGACTTCTTCAAATAACGACCACGAGGGTTATAGTAGCAGTCACATCTCACGATTCGTGTTCTATGTTGGCCGACAACACTTGGATTGCACGGCATTAGCGACTGGGAAAGATGTATTGAACGTATTGGTGATGGTTCAATGTGCCCTTAAAGCACCTTAGGATTTGGAGGATGAGTTGAAATGAGGATATCGTATGATGTCTCTCAAGTCTGCGTCTAGATCACTACCGCTAAAACAGATGGAACCTCTGAAATGTGCGTCCTGGTCAGCATCGACAGGTCAAAACGTCAACTCATCTAGTATATGTTCCTAGTCTACAAGTATCCAATCCAAATCCAACCCAACCTTCATGGTATCTATATAGATGTGTAATGCAGGAACCTAATCGAGGTTATATAGTACCGAGGTATACTTAGTACAAGATGACTTCGGGAGCGATCCATCCTGTCGGGTAAAATGGAAGGAACCTTATTGGAGATAAAGTTGAACGTGACGTCAGGGCCATAAGGCCTGCTGTAGGACAAAACCTAACTTGGGGTATCACATTAAAAAGAGAAGCCATATCTTATGCAACGACCTTCCAAAAACCCACCAAATCCCTTTCAACTCCAATCGGCATGTCTCACAAAATGACTACCACCTAGCACAAAACAGCCGCCTCCGCCATCGAGGTGTGATGCCATATAACATATTCCCTCTGATTCGATGCCCACCCATCCTTCGTGGGACCACGTCGTGCCGACAACGTAGGACGTGGGGAAGTTGATGCCTTGTCGCACCACACTCGCCTTTATATACAATATCGTACCCCCAACACTGTCTACAGGCAGCAGATCGTCGTCGGATGTCCCCTTGATTAGCTCGTCTAAGTACGTCCTGGTCTCGACGAGTTTATCTGCGGCGGTATCGAGATCGCCATCTCCAACAGGTCCCATCAGCAGCGGTACCTGCCGGTTCACCGTCCACGCGTTCTTGTCGTAATTGGGTGTTATGGTTTGTATGCAGATTGCCGTGATGATACCGACATCGTCGCGCGTCTCTGCGTGACCGATCATCTTCTGAATTACACCTGGGGAAAACTCGACAATATCTGCGTCGACCCAGATCACGTGCGACTCATCCTGTAGGCTTCGTGCCATCAGGTAGTTGCGGGCACTAGCAATGGCTCCACGGCGTAATCGCTGGTACTCGTCTTTGTGCCGATCTTCGTATGGGATCTTAGCAGCAGGCCCACCGCCATCACCTTCGCGATAAAACAGCGCCACGCGCGCAAATGGAAGCGGCATAATCGCTTCTTTCGTCGCCTCGAACTCTTCGCGTGACGATGTCATGAGACCCAGCGACACCCGGGTCAGGTCTAGGTCCGTCGATACGAGCATGTCAATAAAATCGTATACAGTGCGTCGGGTAGATCGGAAATCGCGGCTCCATGAGTGTCCGTCCCTAGTTAAGACAAGAAATAACACGTCCGGATTTGTGTTGACAATATGTTGGTGGTAAAATACGGTCCCGTCGCTCAGGGTCTTTTCATTCTTGCCGACGGCGAGGTCCAATGGCACGCCATCCCAATGCTTGTAGGTGGGCGGGTGATTACCCCCCAAGCACGAGGAGAGCGTCTTGCATGACCAAGCGCGTTTCCGGGGCTCGAAAGAGTGAAAAAGAACAAATAGTCCAAGGGCAGCCGCGATACCAAAGATGACCACTCGATTAGGAGCAAATCTCATGCGGTTGGCCATATCGCCATGATCAGTCTTCAAGGAAATTTGGTAAGATCGAGAGAGTGTGAGAGATTGGGAAGTGGCGCCGGCATTCTTTTTTAGGGCTAGAGACTTACGAGTCAGCAAAGAAAAGGAGCTGAGGCAAGGGATGGCTTTGTGGCTTGGCGCATTACTGAATATGTCATTGATAGTCGTCGAAACTCCTGCTTCAGCCTCTTAACAGCCCCTTTTCCTGGGCGGTTCCCCATATTTCACCGCTTAAAAGTACCAATACAGAAGCACGTGCTGACGCGTACAGGGAAGCTAGAGAAGAACTGAAGAATTAGCGTGAATTGAGCGATTCAGGGCTGTCAGGGGTGGGCACCTTAAGTAGCGGTACCTAATGCTAAGAACCAACCAAGTACTTAATTACCGAAGGAATGTTAGCGAACTGCAAGCAAATGGTAATCAAATGTTGCGCACGCGACACCGAGCCCGCCATTGGGTAGTGATATTCCCCTCAATCCGTCCTGTCCGTCCCAAGGTCCGGGTTCTTCCTTAGGAACGGTACGTACGTAGTATCAAATCAGGCTAACATAGGTATTGTTTCACCAAGATTGCTTCCCGCATATCCAGATAGGTATCTAAGCCTATCTGCCAAAATTTACTTTTATTTTATCGAAAAAAGACTTCAACTAATTATTATAGATGTTTTCTTCAGACAATCAGTTTGGTGAGCCATCTAAGCTTTTTACTCGGCAGCTTGAACTTACAACACATTTCATTGTTGGATCAGCATGACATCAGCGTAAAGTAGCATCTATGCACCATTTTATGCACGGCGCCCAGGCAACATACTATAATCCCTGCCAAAAGCCCGGTGTGGCTAGGCATGTGTGCTGTAAGGAAAGCCAATGACGTATCGTCATTCCTTGAGCAACCATATTATATTTTAAGATTCATCCTGATAAGGCAACAATACCCTATCGATATGATATAAAGACGCTTGCCAACTGTATTCTGGGGCTCATTATAGGACGCCATTAAGCGCCGCTGGGTGTTACTATTGGGATTGGGGGCTGAAAGGCGTACATACAATATCTTCGAAATGAAATAGGTACCAGGTAGGTAAGAGGTAGATAGGTATGTGTATTGCCTTCAAGTACAAGATAGCCTCACGAGAGTCTGCTAAGTGCGGAACTTAGAAGCAACTACAATTTCCATCCAATCAAATTGGTATGAGTAGTTAACTTCAATTGGCCGCCTTGTTTGATGCTCTGCGATTACTACTGTTGGCAATTAACTTAAAGGACATCCCGGAGTCTACTTACTCCTGCTGTCCTGTAAGTGCAACCATCGTAATGTATATAATACCTGTAAGAATCCTTCGGCCGTGAGTTCATGTCATGCGAGGTGGCTAATTTCCTGTGATAGCACTAAGGAAATATCGCGAGATTGTAAGTACGAGAGGGAAGAGTTTGGTATCACTTGTACCCAAAATTCATCCATCACGGGCCGTGACAAATTATGAGGCGTCCATTGAGTTTACCTAGTAGCGAGGTACCTATTAGGGTCACACGAACTTGACTTTTAGCCTTTATGTTTGCCGGAAGTCTAATAATTTACGCATGTCATGGGGTCCAAGATACACGTGAGTTTTGCATTTTGATTTTTCGTTGGTCAATTCTTGGTTGAGATTATTAAGTACCTATCTCGAGATATTCTTCCATGAATCTTATTTCGATAAATGGCTTTGGTTGCTTTCATACAAAGTAGGTACATACCTCTGGGAGCCGAGTTGTGACTCCCCTCGCCACCTCAATCATCAGCACACTACCGGATTGGTACCTAGATACATTCTAACGAACTAGGTGAGGGAATCGCCAGATTAACGGAAGAGAACTATTCATTGGCACCAAAGCTTTGCGGTACATGAATGGATACAAGCATGCATCCGTATCTAGGAGTTTTCCCTCCCTCTCTTTACTATTGAGAGAGTACGGTCCAAGTGCGAAATCTTACAGCTTCGCATGCCATACTACGTGGTTAACAGCTCGTTGGGGTGTGGGTTGGTGGCATTAGCGCTGTAGGTAAGGCTGAACCAGACTGTCTGGGGTGAGCTAATCCCGGTTTAAAGGGTTCACGGGATGTTACAAATTAGATTCCACCCCGCCCGCCCGCATCTCCGTCCCTCTTCTAGGTTACAAAGCTCAGTATATTTATGTACTCTATGATATTTGCCAGAGAGTATCTGCTAAAGTGATTTTATTAGAGAGACTTGCGATATGTTTACCTTAGGTAATCTTGGATGGGTCACATAAGAAAACTTCTTTCATATTATTTCACACGCTAAAGCCTCTTGAACGAGAATCTCTGAGACGCAATATCATATAAATCATATCTACAAATCCCTAACTTCATAGGATACCATACATAGTCAAATTTCGCTTAACCCAGCAACCGGAAGCGCCTTACAATGCATAAAAATGCCTAGACAACACAAGTAATGTCTAATAAAACTCCACAAAAACCATCGCCTCTACGCGCCGGCGCCAGCAGTAGATTGCGTGACGATAAACTCCACGAACCCGATCTTCGAAGCCGTGATGACCGCTGCCAGGGCAAACTTCTCACCCAGCACGCCCGTGGCCCCGCTCTCGAGGAACTGGAACTTGAACACCTTGTTCCTGCTAAAGTGGCCGTTCGCCGTGTACACCGCGACGACCTCCTTCCCGTCGCTCGAAGCGCCCGCGGACCGCGTCGCCCTCTCGCCGCCGGGGCCCAGGGACTCGCTGCCTAGCCGGACTAACTTGAACCCCCTCCACGAGGCGCTATCGAGCGCCTTCACCTCCTCGCCGCGGCTGCTGCGCCACTCGAAGTGCTCGACCCGCACGTCCTTGCCGAGGCCGACCTCGACGGAGAACGGGTACGTGACGTGTTTCTTGAAGCACGTCTCCTTCATGGTGAAGGTCGTGGTGGTCTCCCCCGAGGCGGCGGAGTCTGAGAGGTAGCCGCCGCCGGGGATCAGCTTGACGATGGTGGTCCTGCCGCTGCTCCACCGGCTCTCGGAGCCCGCCGTCGCGATGATGGGTTCGGAGCCCGTGGGCCCCGCGTGCATCTCCAGCAGTGGTTTCCCCGAGAGCCCGGTGTGCGTCGTCACGGCGAAGAAGGGCTGGTCGGCGTGCTCGCCTAGGTACATCATCCGCGACCACTTCGTGAGAGGGGGGAAGTATGCGTTGAGTGATTGGGGAATCTTGTTCGTTACGCCTGAGATGCCGGAGCTGCTGCTACCACCCGGCACGGCTTGGTATGATGGTGCCGGTGCGTCTGATCGGGCGCTGGTCTCCGTTGCGGCGTAGGGAGGTGGCGCAGCACTGCCGGCTTCATATGCGAAGTCTGCTTCTGTCGGGTTGCCCATTTTCTCGACTGGTCGACTAGTTTATCTTGATTTCGATATTAATGATATTTGGTATCGCGCTTATACCAGAGAGCTCTAAGAAAATTTGAAATGGCCTTCAAAATTCAGGAACGGCATCCCGACGTCTTTATAATTCGTAGTAACACATCATAGCTACTTAGGTACACAGCCACGATTGGCTAATACGGCGATACGGCGTATCTGCAAATAGGTAGCACTGAGCCTCCCGCGTCTGCAGGCTAAATCCAGCAGCACCCAAACCCTGGGAGCTGAAATTTAGCGCAGGGCTTCCTAGATATAGCGGTCTTGGCTTTCCTAATATGATGACATCCTGTATTTGGATTGGGTTGCCCCCGATACTACCTACATATAATATGCGACAGTCAATTGTAGTTCATTTCATGCTATTCAAGGTAAGACTATCCAGGAATCAGTGAGTTTATATATTTAGTCTTAGCTGGGCTTCTAACGGAAATCGTTATATGACTAAAATTTCATACGATAATATCCCCCAGCATGGCTCAATAGCCCAAAACATCGAGCCTATAAATTAAGAGCGCAGTAAAGTCAATACCGACGTACCAAATAATTCAAAGGAGCGTCCATTGATATTGACAAGTTTTTCATTGATAGCCCACGATTGCTTTGTTAAAATATTGTCCTTATTATTACACACAACCTTAGTTCTTAGGTATACAATGTGCTCCCAAAATGAACAATACTCTGTCTAGAGGTTTCTGATTTGGGTATTTATATCGGTGCTTTTCTACAGAACTTGGTGACTTTTTTAAGCATCAACCATTAACAGGCCCAAACCGTCCTACGTTTGTTACAACCTCGATTTTTAGATTGATAATTTGATCATGACGAGGAGTGGCTACGACATAGGCGGCGTAAAGAAGCCGGAAGCCCCGCCTAAGTTGACTGATCCGAAGAAAGGCAAGGAAAATACCCTGACCAGCCCGGTCCAGGTGCAGAAAACCACCAAAGAAAATGCCCAAAATGCCCAAAATGCCCAGAATGACCAGAATGAGGAAACAATGGGAGAATTGAACCCAACCCCTGACGACACCCAAAGCAGTGACGGTAACCATTGATAACTCATGTCAAGTTTCCACGAGTTACCCCTACCTTTAGATATAAGGTAAGTCAATCAAGCCAAGACCAGAAATACCACTTTCTATAGGAAATTTTGTGTACTTGGATAAGCAATACGAATCATTTTCTCATCATTTTATTCTCTTAATTAGTAAGTGCTTGTAAATATGTACATGAATGTTTGAATCTATTGTCGTAAAGAGTTATTGAGCAATGCGATCCGATGAGCCCATGAAATGCATAGCTCTCATTTATCAAGGATTATATGATATAATAAATGAAGAGTTGGTAAAAGGGGGATTAGGTAATTGAATGCGTGTAACTGTATTGTGTAATCGAAGTCTCGGATTCAATTTGACTTTGACAATTTCCATCTCAGTTTTATTCCAAGACAACATTGTTTACCGAGAAAACCAATCATCTATATAAACCCGTGTTGGTAGAACGGCGTTCTCTCATCTAGACACTACGTAATATGAACAGTCATTTGTGTCTGTGCCTTCGGCCCTTCGCTAACAAAAATCGCCAGAATGTAAAATACGATTTACCCGACATCAACATAACCTAATGACTAAATACACCTTCAATTTACAAATGCGGTTTATTAATCATCAGCTTTCCTTGATACGCGTGTATGTGACATGTGCGATCGATCGATTCAAGTTTCCAAGTATGGCCTGCATCATGCACTGCATCCCGTGGTTGAGTCTATCAAGCTGCTTGGGTGAGGGGACTCCCGCTTGTTCCAGAATTTGTAGATATTACTAAGGCGCATACATGGATTCTGCACGTGGAATACTATGGGAATAGACCGTTAAGCAGGCGGCTGACAGGGCACCCGCAGAAGATCCAATGGCTTTGCCCGACTTGGCCGGACCTGGCTGCGGGGATGGACGGTGAGCAAATCACATCGCAATGGTTGCGTCGTCTCGACTTCACCACTCCCGCCCGAATGGTCCTAGAAGCAAATACCGGCCAGCCCAATGCCAGCCTTCTACGTAATTATGAGCAAACCTTCAAGGATATCTCGGCTCGCCCTTCCACCAATAATGGCACTGATATTCTCAGCTTTCGCCGAGCTGACGTCGCTCCTTGCTATCATTGCTGGTTCCTTTCTCTTACCCCTTTGTGCTAAGAGACACGAGCAGCGAAACAAAGCAGCAGCTTTTTCCTTGGCATTTTCATCCCGCAGGCTTCTTCCCGGAGAAATAGGCGCGCTTAACAGCTGATACTATTACTCTCAACAAGGTGCTTGCCTGAGTTGAAAGTCTATCTATACAGCTAGTTAGGAAGTCGTCCGTATTACGGTTGGATCTATCAAATCTTGTGGATATAGCAGGTGGTGCGGATGTAAATCTGTGAAAGGTTCTTTGTTTTTCCGCTGCGGGATTTTCACGAGCTCTAATATAGAGAATACCCCTGATTCTCATCTAGGCTTGAGACATCTATGAGATACAACTTGCCGGAGGAAGCAGGAACATAGGCAACTCTCTCTCGCTGCTAGATCGCGAGCCATGGACTTCCTGTCTCACCCAAAGGAGCACGGCGGCCCCGCCGAAGACGATGTTGAAGCTCAGGGAGCCAGCCACTCTAACGGGGCGAACTATACGGATGAACAGCATGACGACAGTCGAGTTGCCGAGCCCGGCGGCGATCAGAGCAGCGATCACATAAAATTTGGAGAGTTTCGTATGAAAGTACCGGCCAAGAGCTCAGACCTGAACGAATATGAAGCCCTTGATCGATTCATTACAACCTTCGATGTCGAGCGTAGAGCGAGTCTCGCAAGTGGTATTAGTAGAAGACGCAAGCAACCAAAGTGGTGGCAGTTCTGGAAGTCTAGAGACGGCGAGTTAGAGGATGAACCCCAACCTACCGAAATCGGCAAGCCGCCAGACTCATGGCTCGAAACCGATATCCGTGACGGGTTAACTAATGCCCAAGTGGATGAACGGCGTAGACGGTTTGGTTGGAACGAGTTGATGGCTGAAAAAGAGAACATGTTCGCCAAGGTTCTCAGTTATTTTCAAGGACCTATCCTTTACGGTGAGCAAAATCCTCGCTAGCACTGCATGCCAGCCCATGTATCAAAGACCGTCGAAATTTGTCCTGATAAGTGATTTAGTTATGGAAATCGCGGCGTTACTGGCCGTTGGCCTAGGAGACTGGATAGACTTCGGCGTCATTATCGGCATTCTTTGCCTTAATGCATTTGTCGGCTTTTACCAGGAAAAGCAAGCAGCAGATGTGGTAGCCAGTTTGAAGGGCGACATTGCCATGAGAGCCCATGTTGTGCGCAATGGCAGAGAAGAACAGATCCTAGCTAGAGAATTGGTTCCTGGAGATATTGTAAGTGTTAGATGCTTTTTCCGGTTGGATATCTACCTACCCATCGAAACCAGTTGAAAGTATGAAGAGAACATCAGTGCTTACCAAACACAGATCATCATTCAAGAAGGACAAACTGTTCCAGGTGATGCCCAGTTGATCTGCGACTATAGTAGACCTCATGACTTCGATCAATTCAAAGAATTGAGAAACGAAGACAAATTTGGCGACGAGGAGGAAACTAAAAACGGAAATCAAAAGGCGAAGGATCAGGAGAAGACCGAAGAAGACGACGACGATGAGTCAATTCATTATGGTGAACCCCTCGTGGCTTGCGATCAATCAGCCATCACCGGAGAATCGCTTGCCGTGGACAAATACATGGGCGACGTTTTGTATTACACAACTGGGTGTAAGCGAGGGAAAGCTTTCGCTATCATGACTACATCCGCTAAGTACTCTTTCGTCGGACGAACTGCATCTTTAGTCCAAGGGGCTAAAGACCAAGGTCATTTCAAAGCCGTGATGGACAGCATTGGAACCTCGTTGCTGGTGCTCGTCATGTTCTGGGTCCTTGTTGTATGGATTGGCGGCTTCTTCCATCATCTCAGGATCGCAGAACCTAACGTGCAGAATCTTCTGCACTACACGTTGGTATTACTGATCATTGGAGTCCCTGTGGGTCTTCCTGTAGTGACTACGACGACACTCGCCGTTGGTGCTGCGTATCTAGCGAAGCAAAAGGCTATTGTCCAAAAGCTTACGGCTATCGAGTCCTTGGCAGTATGTCACCCTAAATCTTGTCACATACGTAGATCGCTTACTCAACTATTTAACAGGGCGTTAATGTGCTTTGTTCTGATAAGACTGGCACTCTAACAGCCAACAAACTGAGCATTAGGGAGCCGTTTGTCGCCGAAGGTCAAGATGTAAACTGGATGATGGCCGTCGCAGCCCTGGCAAGCTCTCACAATATTGCATCGTTGGATCCAATAGATAAGGTAACGATTACGACGCTTAAGCGCTATCCGAAAGCACGCGAGATACTTCGACAAGGCTGGGTGACAGACAAGTTCACTCCATTCGACCCTGTCTCCAAGCGAATCACGACAGAATGCCATCTGGGAGACGATCGCTATGTCTGCGCAAAAGGGGCTCCGCGCGCCATTGTGAACCTCGCGAATGTCAGCGAAGAAATTCGTACTATGTACAACCAAAAAGCCAGGGAGTTTGCTCTACGGGGTTTCCGCTCCCTGGGTGTGGCGTACAAGAAAAACGACGGGCCGTGGGTCTTGCTGGGACTGCTGTCCATGTTCGATCCACCTCGCGAAGATACGGCACAGACAATCATCGAAGCGTCGCATCTTGGTGTGCCTGTGAAGATGCTGACTGGCGATGCGATCGCCATAGCAAAAGAAACTTGCAAGATGCTAGGACTAGGCACTAAGGTGTATAACTCCGAGAGATTGATACATAGCGGCTTGACGGGTACTGTTCAGCATGATCTTGTGCAGCGGGCTGACGGGTTCGCCGAGGTGTTTCCGGAACACAAGTATCAAGTTGTTGAGATGCTACAGCAGCGCGGCTCACTAACAGCAATGACGGGCGATGGTCAGTGTTTTTTGAGTTGTCTGACCTTGAAATATGACTGAAGTGGCGGCTTGCTAATTATGAAATCTCTCACAGGTGTTAACGATGCGCCGTCTCTCAAAAAGGCTGACTGTGGAATTGCGGTTGAGGGTTCATCTGAAGCTGCGCAAGCTGCCGCGGATATTGTATTCTTGGCACCAGGCCTTAGCACCATTATCTTGTCGATTAAGACTGCTCGCCAGGTATACATCTCTCTCCTCGAAAGTATCTCTGTCGATGAGTCGATTAGGGCCATCCTTCGAAAGGGGTAGGACGCGCTTTATTCATTTATCATGCTAACTTAGAAAACAGATCTTCCAACGGATGAAAGCCTACGTGCAATACCGTATCGCCCTTTGTCTCCACCTTGAGATTTACCTAACGACGTCAATGGTCATCATCAACGAAACCATTCGTCCGGACCTCATCGTCTTCATCGCGCTGTTCGCCGACCTGGCAACGGTAGCAGTCGCATACGACAACGCCCACGTGGAGCCGCGGCCGGTGGAATGGCAGCTGAAGAAGATCTGGGTCATCAGCGTGATCCTAGGCTCCCTCCTCGCGGCCGGCACCTGGATCATCCGGGGCACCATGTTCCTCGCCAACGGCGGCGTGGTCCAGCGCTTCGGGTCCATACAGGAAGTCCTGTTCCTCGAAGTCGCGCTGACGGAGAACTGGCTGATCTTCGTGACGCGCGGCGGGCGCACGTGGCCGTCGTGGCAGCTCGTCGGCGCGATCCTGGGCGTCGACGCGCTGGCCACCATCTTCGCCCTCTTCGGCTGGCTGTCCGGCAGCGGCGGCGGCGTCATGCAGACGACGCCGCCGACCTCCTTCCACGACTCGCGCAACGGGTGGACCGACATCGTCACCGTCGTCGTCGTCTGGGCCTACAGCATCGGCGTCATGATCTTCATCGCCATCGTCTACCTCGCCCTCAACAGCTTCTCCTGGATCAACAACCTCGGCCGCAAGGACCGCAATAAGAAGGATACCCAGATCGAGAATATCATCGGGCACCTTAACAAGCTTGCTGGTAAGTTTGGGTGAATTCATGGCCATGGTAATGGTAATGGCAATGGTTGAACTAACTGACGCTTTTTACGTAGTCGAGCATGAGCCGGACCCGAAGACAGGCCGTGATAAGTACTTTATCGTGGAGAAGACGGCTGCTGATGAAGAGGATATTTAGTGTGGAATGATGATAATGAGGATAAGTGGTTATTGTTTCCACCTGATAGGAATTCGGGGGGCGGGTTTAGATGGGAAGAGGTAATGTTGATTGGCGTAGCTTTGTTCATATCGTCATCTACTTTGAAAAAGGAGTTGTCAGATGTTTCAAGCTGTAGCACTGTGGACAGTCATCTCTTCAACACCAAGAATAATAAATGATAATTCTTACTCCGACTACTTGAAGCATGAATGAGAGCAGAATCGCCAGCAACACCATGACTATTAGGTAATAACCAAACGTAGAATGCTCACACAAGTTCGGCTAATTAAGCATATACGACAATAAATATTATGCATCGAAAAAGGGTATACTATGAATTGATATCAACCGCGCCTACATGACACCTATCGCCAAAGACAACAGTATCGTATCCATCCTATTTTGTCTCGCCTCGTCTCCTCCACGCGGCGAAAGAGAAGAGCACCAACTGGCAATCCGAGAATAGTTTACTTCAAGAAGCCCTAGGCCACACGTAAAACGCCCATGCCTGTTATGCAAATTCATCTCGTCCAGGAAATATGCCCCGTTCCGTCGTTATAATAAGCTCCTACCATTAAAACAAGACCTTCTAGTAGTTGATAGTTGGGGTATAATCTGGTCGGATATCCGTTTGAAGCGTTTTCCATGCGTAGGTACGTGCCTTAGAAACAAATATGCAGCCTTTCCTTTGCCCTAGAGACCTCTAAAGTAATCGATTTGAAAGTAATGATGACTGATCGTCGTTCGATCGTTCCTAATGCGTACTACTCGTAATCTCTTATTTTTCCATGTGTCCGCTATTTAGCAGCATCTCCAGGACGATCTGTTGGCCTGCAACTTCTGGATGCGCCATGCAGATCTTGACGGTGCCCTTCGAGTCGAGTCCGTTATCGACAGGAGTGAGGTTCATGGTTTGTCCATTTGCACTCGAAAAGCCTCCCGTGGGCCCTCGAACACCGTAATCGAGAACCCTCACATCTCTTCCAGCGATGATCTGGCGTAACCGACCGTTCTCGGCATTGCGCACCTCTACATAATCTTCGTTGAAGAGCAAGAGGTATTGGCCATACATTGTCGCACCCCTTGCCTTCTTCTGCTTTCCGGAGTATTCCATGATGACGCTACGGCTAACGTCGCCATATTTATCCACGTAGACAGCGCAGTCTTCGTAAGTCAAAAGGAACTCTTGGTCGTTCAGACGGAACATGCCGAGTGGTCGCTGTTCCTTGATGCGATTTGCAATATTAGCAATCGCGGGCTGCCTCACATCGGGTATGGACATGGGTATTTTCTTGTCTAGTGTCAATAGCTCGAAGCCTCTGGCCGTCGAGACGGCGATGTATGTGTGAAAAATGTTAAGCGAGTAACATTCCGTAGGGAAAAAGAACTCGTCGTAATCTCGGAAGCTCTCGGTCACCCCTACTCCAGCCTTTCTGCTACCACCGAATAGACGAGATTTCTTCTCCGTTGCCTTTTGGAAAACGGGCTCAAGCACCTTGAAAGTGCTGTGCAGATTTTCCTTCTTCTTGTAAAATACTAGCATCCGGTCCTTCATACGGGCCGTTGCGAAGAATGATACATCTTTAGCTAGGCGTTGAGGAGAACGGCGGGGGTTATCGTTCGAGGGGGCTGGAAAGTTAGAGGGGGGCGACACCACATCGAGAGGATAAGAAATAAGATTTCTCTCGGACAATACCAGGACGACGGAAAATTCTTCGAGCACCGCGATCTGCGTAACCCGGCTCGACGCAACAGTCTAAGAAAAGGGTGAGTAAGTGGCACAAAAACATGAGTAGGTAGATGTCATTACCTTATTCCAGCCCCTTTGATCACTGGCCTCTGATACACAAACGCCCATGTCCGTACCAACTGCGACCATATTCTTGCCGAACGCAGAGAAACCGGTAGCACAGTTAACTCCGGCTCTAGAGATCGGCGGAGGACCGCGACCTGATCCGCACGCTTTTTCCACCTCCCGAATGGCTCTATCAAGGGGAGTCCCACGAATGTGCACACCTCCTACATACTTGCCGATGGCAGCTACTGGGTCATAAGCAAAAGCGCTGTCAGCCATGACGCGCAATTTAAACGGTTCCGCATTCTGAGCATGCAAGGCCTTGGCGTGTCGCGTCTTGGCCTCGATAATCCTGTCGCACCAGTCCTGACGTGCTTGGGCTGACGGGGCGAATAGGGTGTAAACTTCGTGCCCTAGATGCTTGATACGGAAAGGATAGAGGATTCTCCCCTCGCTATCCGCCGAATTAGTAGTAGCCAATCTAGTGACCGCCGCCGAGCCGACGGATGAGCTGGTAGCTGCATGATCTAAACCGGGTCGTTCGGTACCGTTCGACACTACTTTGTTAAGCTTGGTATCTATGGTCGGATTTGCTGCTCTAGTCAACGGGGTTGCGATACCCTTCTGCTTGGAGATAGGGTCATCTTGACTGCTTTCGAGGAACAGCAAAGGCATAGGAATAGGCTAAGAAAGTTAGTAAATGACGATCGTGACGAGGGTGGGATACTGACTTCTTTGGATACGTCGTATTTCTTGTCCTGCCTGCCATCTCTTGACACAACTAGTTTGGCGAGGATCAAGTAATGATCGAACAATAGAGCATGCGTATCTACCCACCGCACGCCCTTCGAACCCATCCGCTGGAGATCGCCCTGGAGGATAAGTTCTCGACCAAGGTGGTCCAAGTGAAGGTCGGCATGGAAGCCTGGTCGGAGAACAAGCATCTGATCTAGTTCGATCATCGTCACCTTCTTTTGCATTTCATCGACTTTCGCATCGCACTCGAGGGTCATCGATTTGACTTCTTCAATAGCTCGCTTGAGATTTGCCTTTTCTTCGCTATCATGTACCATATGTTTCAGTACCGTCTCTAGGAGAAGAGAATATCTCTGCAGACGTGTGATAGGATCTTTCAGATAGCTGGTCCAGTCGAGACGTTGCGATCGAGGATGTGCTCGGTTATCGTCAAGAAATTGCCTGAACAAGAAATTTCTGTCTGCTTCTCTCTTCACCTGATACCGCGCATAGGGGAAGGCGGAAGCGTAATCGACGTAAGCACCCCTGGCCTTTCGAACCCATTCTCTGAAGATGTCGCTAAAGCCCACGATCCAGGGGCCCTGTTCTTTTTGTCGGTATTTCAATTGGGCCAGCAAATGATCCATGTTAACCTGCTGGACTGCGTCGACCTTACCAAATACATTGCTAACGAACTTATCGATCCGACCCTCAGCAATGATCCTAGGTTGAGACTGAAGGAGGCGGTCTCGATACAAGACGCGAAGAACGTCGAGGCGATCCATGTATACTTCTTCCGATGTAACGATCTCGTGAAGGACATTTTGCCGCGAGACTTCCTTCTTAGCCTTGCCTTCGGTGCTCTCCTTAGTCATGTGGTAGAACGTCGCCCAGTCGACTGTTTTGACGTCATTGGACATGAAGTCGTCCAAGTTCGCTTTCTTCAGAGTCCTAGTGCAATGATGAGAATAGCAACGCGCGAACAACTCGTGCCCAGTTTCGTCGTCGTCGTATTCGTGTAATTTCGGTGCGTAGCAGCCAGAGCCGGTCAGCTGCCATATCACACCAGTGATGGAACCGGGTCCAAACTTGAGCCACTCTTCTTCGGGAACAAGAATGCCAGCCTCTAACATCGAGTCCGCAACCTGGCTACTAAGCGCCTCAGCATCCGCAACGTTCATCGTAGGAACCTTCAAGCAGAACAGCCTGACAAGGCCATCTTCGAGAGTCTTCCTCTTCAAGTCGGGTTCACCATCGGCCATCTCGCGAATCCATTTAGCGATACCGCTCAAAGCCCACGGTTCCGCACAGGAACGAACGTCAACTACAGTCAATTTCTCTGGCTGGAATTTTCGTCGCCGGCCGCTAGGTAACGTTATTACATCATAATTTATCGATGATGCTGTCCCTGTCTCGTAACCCTCGTACGGCAATCCTTGCTGAGCTGCTAATTGTTGTTGCTGCCTCATGTGCCTCAACCGCGCATTCCGTTCCTCAGCAGCATCGGTCTTAGATCTACCCGGAGGCTGAACCAGAGGGGAAGTACTATGGCTAGATAACGATATAGATCTTTCAACTTGCAGCTGCTGCGCGTTCTGGCCATATTGGGCGTCCGGCCCAGAGTATGAGCGTGAATCTACACTGAGGGAATGTCCATGCTGACCCTGTCCGCTCGGTGATTGGGTCGACAACATAGAACTGCTGTCCGAGCCGGCAGGAATGGCCGGGAGAGGTCTATTGGAGAGGCCGGGGTGGTAGAACATATCCGGGTAGTCGTCTTTGGGAGACTCGCTACCGCTCTGCCTCGAATGGATAGAAACACGCTCGTCTCCTTCATCGAAACTTAGACGATGCGCAGTTGGTTGCTGTAAGCCGCCAGTGCCCTCATAATCCACGTCAGCCTGTTCGAAGGCTGGATATCTGTTACTTCCATGGCTCCTTTGCGATGTGTGGTTGCTACGACTTGGTAAGACTTGAATTTCCCCAGGTGTTATGTCAGAAATCGGAGGGGATCCAAGATTGTTGTCATACGTTAGGTTTCCTGCGTAGCCACCGCCCGCGAGTCCAAGATCCATCCCAGCATAGTCGCTATCGCTGCTCGGCTCCTCTTTATGGGTTGCCAGAGTAGGTTGTGCGGAAGCCTCTGGTTGGCTGAAGTATGGTAGCGGTCCACCAACTGTACTAAATCGGCGATCGTCCTCTTCAGCTTGCTGTAGGGCCCAAGCCCCGGCTGCGCCCTCGGGGTCGCTCTCATCACCATCATAGTCTTCGTATGCATACGGATTAGTCGAATGATTTCTGTTTAAAGTCGACGCATTCGAAGAGTATCGATTTACCCCGGAGGGTTCCTCCTGGTTGGTGAGCGTCGTCGCGGTCGAATGATAGCTCGCATTGGACGTCAGCCTCCGGAGATTTTGTAAATCTCCGTCGGGCAGAGCGCCGTTACGTTGGTCGAACCCCGTTGGCCGTGAACCATTCCTCCCAAGCTCGGCTTCGATATCGTGTATGATACTATCCTGCGCGGAATATTCTGGTGATATCTCGGACGCTAGGGCTCCGTTACGAGCATACCGGTCTTCTGTATCATCGACCGGCCGGCTCGGCAATGGCGCGTTCGTCGGATGCCGCGTCAAACCAGTCACTAGCTGCGAATGCGCCGGAGGAGATGGCAAAGGTGATACCGCCGAGTTCGATCTCGATGCACGATTCAAAAACGAATGCGGGTCGCTAGCGGAGTAATTCGGACCTACGGGGATCTGCGAATGAGTTGGATACGGCGCCTGGTCAGACGTAGATGAGTCGGAAGAATAAAATGTAGCCGGCGGGGTCCTAGCATCGGTCGAATAGCTCGCACCAAATTGTAACTGCGTAGAATCATAACTGGTAGTATGATTCGAAGCCGCGCTGCTTGTGCCAGACGAGTATGGCAAGCTATAGGTTGTCTGCTCATAACTAGCACCGTAGGTGGTCGGTGTAGTGGATGATTGCCTCTGCTGAGCGGCGCCGGAAGAATATGTAGGTTGGGCTTGGAAATAGGGTGACTGGTTCAACGGCGGCGAACCATAAGACTGGCTATTGTAGTTGGTATAACCGGCGTAGGTTGACTGGCGCTGAGGTACTGCCGAGCCAGAATATGCGGCGGGATTGTAGGGAGCGGGTGCAAAACTGCTAGGCGTTGCTGTAGTAGGACTATACGGAGCAGCAGCCGTCGCATTTGGCTGCTGCCACCTGTGTGATGGGTGCGGGAGATAGGGTACTGTGGTTGACTGAGATCGAGCGAAGGCTTGAGGATTGTACGTCGACGGCGTAGGAGGCGTCTGAGGCTGATACTGATGTTGGTATCCAGCCATGGCGACACTTGAATTGCCATAGTTGGATCTGTTAGGATCACTTGGACTGGCTAGAAACAGCTCATCACGACTACCGAGACCTGCGACTGCAGTATTCAACGTTGGCTGGTAACTTGGGCGAGTAGCGGTCGAGGCGAAAGCGCCAGAATCATCACCATTGTTGAAGCTTGGCTGCCGGTGCGGGTATGCTGCCTGGTCTTGCGAAGACCGATTCGCAACAGGGTATTGTACCGGGGGGACATGGCCGTACCGGCGCTGGTCATTATCTCGAAAGGACATGTTGAGCGGCGCAAGGAGGTCGCTGCGCAAAGGCTGGCTCTAGAGTAGGGTATCTCGGGTACCAACAAGTACGTCAACGGCGATGTCGCATTGATGAGCGTTAATAGGTTGGAACTCTATTGTGGCCCGAATTTGACAGCGTGCATCCTCATAAGCCCCAGTCTTAGAAGAAGCCTAAATCAAAGTTCGTCTTCGGGGAATTCGAAAGACGCTAGACGGTGCAAATGGAAAGCATCTGAACGGCACACCGTGGCTAGTGAATGAAACGATAAGACGTTGTCTGTGATGGTTGGTTTGTCGCACGTCACAAAATTGAAGGTAAAAAGTCAAAGGTCGACCCGTAAATGTCGTAAAACCTTAGCTACCTAAAAAGAGGTACCTACTACGTGAGAGTAAGGTGGCAGGGTGGCAGAGTGGGTGCTAGAGAAACCGGACTTGACGATGTGCCGAGACGGTTAGAAGAAATGGGATTATAACAATACAGGCTGAACGTGACTCGGATTGAGTCGGTAGGATGTGCGCGACTAGAAATTAAGAATTGTCAAGATAAATATTACCCATTCTGTGCGCAAGCATATAGACGTGTAGTGTGTTGTAGTTAGGTAGTGTTGTAGGAAGTGAGCGGATGGGCGTTTGACGGTTCATGGAAGATTGGGGATGGGGCAGTTAGGTTTAGGTCGAAGTGGTCGAAGTAAGTGCAGCAGGTGCAGATGGTAAAGTGGGCTGGGCTGAATTGGAAAGGATTGGGGCCTGCTTCTCCAGCTGTTGGCTTTTGGCACTTTTTTCTTCCAGGGTCTCCCACGGCTTTTTTGGGAAGTGACCCTCCCCGGTAAGAGCGTGGTCCGGTGGTGTAATGATGTACCAAGCACTCCAGTATCTGCAATAACAACGGCAGGTCCAGTGCTACCACAGGACGTACTAGGTACGAATGTAAAGGCCAAGCCACACCTTTCACACCAGAGTAGAGGGGCTTATAAGAAGGCTGTGCATCGCCATAACTTACCTACATATTGGCCTCCCATTTACTGTTTTTCTTGATGTGAATAATCTTCTAGTTGTTACATGACTCTTTCTCTCTAGGAAATTGTGGACTGAAAAGAATTGGGTTTACACACTGCCGCAAGATAGGAAGAGTTATCTGTTGACAAATCAGAGGTCCAATTAACATCACGTCCTACCCTGTCACAGTGCGTTCCTTATTTGGCGATACTTATCACAATCCTTCAGCAACCACAAGAGCCACATGCTTATTTGAATCGTTTCTAATACCAGCTGCTGCAAGGTTTGCTTTTGAAACAAATAGCTTCGGCGACCAATTCCAACATTTGATTCCTTTACAGTCATGGTTATCGATCATATAAACGAGGTCAGTTTCGCTCGAACTCGACATTGGAATTACAAAACAGTCAATATCGATTGTAATTTTACAGGCCACCCACGTGGATGATGACCCATTATGCACTATGAGTGTATTTAATACTGTAGCTGGTTGGTAGTGCTGGCGTTTGGACTCTCGCCAAATGACTGAACGCTACATCAACATGACTTAAAGGTAAGATCGTCGCTCTACCTTGCGAATACCCTCCACCCTTCTAATTCACGAATTGCTAGCATTGCTACCAACAGAACAGGTATTGCTGAATGGAAAATATCTTATCTCTTAGGCAAAAGTAGCAGTCTCGCCGGTGCGAAATTCACATCTCTCTAGTTTCTGCTTACAGGATCATTGGCTGCTTATACGAATAGTGCCGTATCACCGCTACCAGGTATGTAAGTTGGGGAGTCAGGACTATTATCGAATGCATGGCCTTAACTCAACTAGGTGTTTTCTTTAACCTGGGCATCTGCAACACCAAGTCCTAGGTAAATAACGTAACATTTTTAACATCCGAGTCGATAATGTCACGCAACCGGCTGTATCGACTTCCAGTAACATGCGGCCACGTCTTGCCCGCCGAATGTCGAACATGTCTTTCCGCCGCCAAGATATTCTCCATATACAATTACGAACCTGTGCTACACCCCGTAACGGCTTGCCATCCCTTCATACCATAGCACATACGCATCCGAAAGGGATATTGGCCGATGCCGAGTAGGGGGTATCGGAGGTATGTTTTAAGCTAAGCCTAGACGTTATACTTATCCCCTAAGGCCCTAAGACAGTTATTGAAAGTTGAAACCCGCCATAGGGCTGAACGGGTGATCTAAATTTATCTAAATAACGAGGTCCAGTCCAATTTAAGTTTCCACTCGCAACCGGACGATCAACCGGTTGAATGTGCCGAGCGGTCCACATCACCTTAAATTGCGAAGACTTTCACTTGGAAGTTTACTATGTACCTAGCTTAAACCCTCTTTTTTCGCCCCTATTCTGGAAAACTTCGAAACATGCGATATGTATAATATAACGTCGATAAACTTAGCCTCTGAAGTGCATGACGGCTGCGGCGTCGCACCGCAGAGAGTATTCGAAGGCAGTGAAACATCCATAATGCCATCCATAATGTCGTCATGGCGCCCCCCATAGTCATCCAAACCCGCGTGTTGAGGTAGTCACTAAGGCAGTCATCATAGCCGTTCGCGCCCCAACCTCGCAGTCATGACAGGCGATACGACGTAAGATGTATTGGGGTTCCCGCGGTCTAGAACATCGTTCCCAGGTGCCACGGCTATCGAATCGTACAAATCGCGGTCTCTACGTCACTTATTTCTTTCGAAGAGCTTCGCCTTCACATACGTAGCAGTGGCCGCATAGCACGTGTGCACTAGGTATCTAGCAACGTAAGCCCGAGCCGCAATAAGGCGGATCCGGAATTGAGAACTCTTTTGCTTCATCACGTGTCACCACAGCCCTCGGTCTGAGGTTCTTCTAGGCTTGTCCTAGTTTCATTACGCGGCAGCTTTAAGTACTGCAACCCTTTTGTATTCCGCAAAGGTTACGGAATCGGTAACATAAGATGCACCCATATAAGCAGGATGCAAATATTGAAACCGCCTATAGCTTCACAACCCAATGCTTATTGCCAGGATTGTTTATATTTGATGTCGCAAGCAAGGTTTAAAAAGCTCACTGGATAGGTGTTTGATGGACAAAAGATACCCTTCATGTAATACCACCACTGTTAACTTGGAAATCGAGGGGTCGAGTTAAGCAGCTGTTTACTAGCCTGGAGGCATACCTCGTTCTTGTACACTTAAATGAGCTTTTCTCGGGTCTTTTGCACTTGCACTTGAATACTTGCTATAGACAGTTGTTTTAAAGTGCTGTCTCTAAGCGATGCCTCATTTGTGTTTCATCGGCCTAGATACTCATACGATGCATCTCATCTCAACTCAACTCTTCTTTATCGACCTACTTCGTCCCATCTTCGAAGCATTTATCACAATGCACATCTTGACGTTACTCAAACGAGGCGGGGCGGGGCGACTTTTCCGTTACGTGCGGATAGGACAGCAGTCCGCGGCGACTCCGATCAAGATCCCACGTCGTTACCCGACGTATACGATGCGCACCTTTATATGTATGTGACCCTAGACGTATCCGTAGTTAGTAACGCATAATGGTCGGTTAGAAGTCAATCCATCAAAAATTCGACAAACGATATCGAAACGCCATCTCGATTCTTAAACTCAATGAGTACTTCCACTCATAGAACATCCCCCATCCCGAGGAAGCCAAGATGGAGAAAAAAGGGCAAAATTCTTGATTGCGCAATATCTTAGCTCCAACTCCGTGCTCCGTCTTCGCTCTGCAGCTGTAGTGGAACCAGGGTAAAGTCCGAATCCAATAGTAAAGGCCGAGCTTGTGATGGAAGGATGATATCATTTGTAAGCACAAGTCAACCAGTTATGACGGCAACGACGACGTGAAGCGGGGCATTTCTTTATAGCACCCCCACCTTGACAGTAAAAGAGGTATCTCCCTAGCTGCCCTTAGCCTCTCAATATAGCGCGATTGCGTGTATTACTTAGCACTCTAAGCAAGTATCGAGGGAAGTGTTAGGTAGAATGGAAGAAGGCACTCTTACCTGGTGAAACGGTTTATGTAAGGTATTGTTAATGGTGGAAGGTGCAAGGTAAGGATAGCCGGCTTAGGCATCGCTTCCCGAGATCCTCCCCTCTCCTCATTAGTACAAATTAGAAAGAACATAGGAGAAGGCTCCCCCTCTTCTTCTCCCCCTCTCCTAAAAAATCGAAAGCCATCCCATTACCCAGATCAACATTGAGCACTTCTACTAGAACTCTAGCTTTAACAACCCAGAAACAAGACAAAAGTAGTCAAAATGGTCAAAGCAGGTACGTCGGATAGTCTCCGTTATTTAAACTACCTTCAATTCCATCATTTCCGGATTTAGAATGGCTGCATGAGCACGATTGCGCGCATTTCGTCGACTAGTAGTCCCTGCTGTACACCAAGGCTGCGACGGGATGTCAGGATGGACACCTTGTTGGACACGCCAGGGAACGGCCTAACGAAAGTCAAACCAGACAGTTGGGATCATAATCTTCCAATTGGGGAATTCTCTGTCAGATCTACTTGCCGAGACCCCTGCCGTATCTTTTTCATTTCAGCCCAGTTCAAACCAGCCATCTGTGAAGGTAGTTGATAGTCTGAGTCAATGCTAACAACAATTTCCCTATAGTTGCTGTCATCCGGGGTGACTCCAAGGTCACTGGAACCGTCACCTTCGAGCAAGCCTCTGAGTCCGACCCTACCACTGTCTCGTGGGACATTACCGGCCACGACCCTAACGCTCAACGTGGCTTCCACATTCACACGTTCGGTGACAACACCAACGGCTGCACATCCGCCGGCCCCCACTGTATGTGATGGTTTGGAACAAATTCTGGCGAGGCTTGACCGAGAGTATGATGACTGATATTGGACATAGTCAACCCCCATGGCAAGACTCACGGCGACCGGACCGCCGAGACCCGCCACGTTGGAGACCTAGGCAACATCACCACTGATGCTCAAGGCAATGCTAAGGGTTCCGTTCAGGACTCCCTTATCAAGCTGATCGGACCCGAGAGCATCATCGGCGTAAGTGATCTAAATATCTTCATGTTCTGATAAATCTGCTAACTCAAGGCAAAGCGAACCGTCGTCTCTCACGCTGGTACCGACGACCTTGGCAAGGGTGGCAACGAGGAGAGTCTGAAGACCGGCAATGCTGGTGCCCGCCCTGCCTGCGGTAAGCTATTTCAACCCCGATTGACATTGTTATTGGCATGGTAACTGACAAAAAATTAGGCGTTATTGGCATCTCCAGCTAAATTTATACTGGATGAGAAGAAGGCTTAGGGATGAAATTTAGCTTCGTTGAACAAGTTCAAACGTCATGTAATTGGTCATACCTAGCTAGCTCTTCGAAATAAATTCCGTGGCATTTAAACACCTTTTTCTGAGACTGAGATCTCATACTCATAGTATTCGACTAATTCAGACTGGCCTATAACCGTAGATATAGCCATAGAGTATCCAATGCATACATCCATTAGTACCTAGTATGTATGGTAGTGGATATATGGATGTGAAGCCTGAAACCTTCGTCCATTACCCCTCCATAGGTAGTTCCAGATAGGTAGCTAAATGCTGGTTATAGAATACTAGCAAACATCCATAGATATTGGACGAGTCCCTTAGCCTCCTACCTAACAGGATAGCTCACGTCCCTCTCTAAGTTGTTAACTTAGAGCTATGACGCTTTCTATTTTTAGCATCCTTCATTGCTACCGGTACTAGGTTATCGTAGATCCCTTTTCTATCTACACTATTAAACCTAGAGAAGTGCAAAGTTTGTCAAGGCCAGTAAGTACCCCGCTCACATTCTCAGACAAAGGAGGGGCAGATGGAGGGGAAGGAAGGCGCTGTCCCGTTTTTTAGATCTCCAATTCATCGTAACAGCTGGGTGGGCACAGGCTATCTTGGTACCATAGCGCCTTACCAATCCGCTCGCTTAAAGGGGGAACCCCTGAAGTGAAGCTCGAATTACCCCCAAGCTCTCCACGAGTCAAGGCTTGGCCTTCCCCACAAGTTGGTGAAAGTTGTCAAAATCGAAAGCGCACACGACATACATTTACATTTTGAGCTTCAGGTCAACGTCTCCTAAAGCATTGGCTTCTTCCATCCCACCTAACTCCCGACCTAAACCCTCTAAATCTTTTTCCTTCCGTGGAGAGCATATTCCCTTGTCAAACTTGTTTTGGTAAGTACAACAACATTTTCATTACCCATATTTAAATCTGGCTTCTACGGATATTCTCTCTTTCATCCCAAGCTCTCACCTATGCCCCTACTTGTGATATAACAAAGATCCAAGATGGACCAAGCAAGAAAGAAACATGAAATAAATGCATGGCACTTGTCGGCACATTTACTCTGATCATGTAACTTGCCGAGTAACACATTCCGAGGCTGTTGCTTTCCCGCTTTGCTACAAGCTAAGTTTGTCATCGCCGGCCTGCATGAACAGGCGGGAGGAAGCATGAAGACGGTCTACCCATGTTAAGAGATACTAGGTATTCACTTATTCCGGACATTATGGACCCAGGCAATACGCGCCTACTTCTCAGTTCCAAAGTTATCACAATCTTATCAATGATAATATTACGTCCCAGTCTATCACAGAAATCCAGAGCCGCGAGAAAGACATCGTCTTATCATGTTATGGATGTTGAATGTTGCACAGTCACGCCTGTGTTGAAACATCATAGCACTATTCCCTCATGAAAAGATGTGAATCATACTATGATCACCTCATCCATCACTATAGGCTAGAATTTCTCATGTCTCTTAACATTGTCATATTCTTTGCCATATTTCTCAATAGCCATTTGTACATCTATTTTGCATTGAATATTTAACAACATGAATTTCCAACCATCCTACCAATGGGAGAAACCAAGCCAGAAGAACACTGCATCGATTTACTAACCACTGGGACAGATTTCCGGAATTCGTTCCTGCTACTCTTTGTCGTCTTCATCTTGGTCATCTCGCCATCAGCAACATGGCGAAACAATTCTTTGCTAATGTGAAATCTGTCCTTAGCGGTGACACATTGGTATTGACTAGCCAAAACAACCCGAATGCGGAGCGTATTTTCTCTCTAGCTTTCGTCACCGGCCCACATCTCAGAAGAGAGGGTGACGAACCGTTCGCTTTCCAATCTCGGGATTACCTAAGAAAGCTGGTTGTTGGCAAGGTTGTTCAATGCACCATTCTTTACACGATCCCTACGTCTGGCCGAGATTATGGTGTTGCTCAGCTCAAAGATGGAACTCAACTGCCTGACGATCTGGTCAAAGCTGGCTGGCTGAAAGTCAGAGAAGATGCGGGCCGGAAAGAAGAATCCGAAGAAGTCCTCCAACGTCTTGAAACTCTTCGCTCGCTAGAGGCAGAATCTAAGAGCGAGGGCAAAGGACTTTGGGAAGGCACTGGTGGAATGATTGATGTCCAGAATGATATAAGTGCCCTAGATATCAACGAGTGGAAGGGCAAGGCGGTTGACGCAGTTGTCGAGCGTGTCCTGAGTGGCGACCGACTACTTATGCGCCTAAAGTTGTCCGATAATAAGCACTTGCAGGTTATGACTCTCGTTGCTGGTATTCGCACGCCGACTACGGAAAGGGTCAACCAGTCTACCGGTCAGACGCAACCTGCCGAGGAATTTGGAAATGAAGCACGACAATTCGTCGAGCAGAGATTGCTTCAGCGTGATGTTAAGGCCGAAATAGTCGGTACTAGCCCGCAAGGACAGCTCATCGCTGCCATTCTGCACCCTCGCGGAAGTATTGCGGAGTTCCTGCTCGCTGAAGGGTTGGCGAGGTGCAACGACTTTCACTCTACTCTTCTCGGGCCAAAGATGGCTGCTCTGAGAGCAGCTGAGAAGAAGGCCCAGGGAGCCAAACTACGCCTGCACAAAGACCATGTGGCGAAGGCTGAAGGCGGCAGCTCATCTGACATGATTGTCTCCAAGATTCAGGGAGCGGATGCGATATTCGTTCGGACGAAGAATGGTGCCGAAAAGCGGATCAACCTTAGCAGTGTTCGAGGTCCTAGAACCAACGAACCCTCCGAAGCTCCTTTCAGAGAAGAAGCAAAGGAATACCTCCGAAAGAAGCTTATTGGTAAGCACGTAAAAGTATCTATAGACGGACACCGACCTGCTAGTGACGACTTCGAAGCTCGCGATGTGGCCACAGTAACCGAAAAGGGGAAGAATATCAACCTCCTGCTGGTTCAAGACGGCTGGTGTTCTGTGATTCGACATCGCAAGGACGACACCGATAGAGCCCCGAATTACGATGAGCTACTTGCAGCCCAGGAAAAAGCGAAGGAAGAGAAGAAAGGTATGTGGTCTGGAAAACCGTCAAAGGCAAGAACATACGTCGATGTCTCGGAATCGGTGCAGAAGGCCAAGATCCAACTTTCTACCCTGTCACGCCAGAAGAAGGTACCTGCGATTGTCGATTTCTGCAAGGCTGGTTCTCGATTCACCATCCTCATTCCCCGAGAAGGAGTTAAGCTTACGATGGTTCTTGCTGGTGTTCGTGCTCCCCGAGCACCTCGACTACCTCAAGAAAAAGGGGAACCATTCGGGCAAGAAGCGCTTGATCTTGCCAACCGTCGGTGTAACCAGCGTGATTGTGAGATCGATGTTCACGATATTGATAAGGTTGGCGGGTTTATCGGAGACCTTTACATCAACCGTGAAAGCTTCGCCAAGATCCTAGTCGAAGAAGGCCTCGCATCTGTCCACCAATACTCGGCAGAGAAGGCAGGCAATGCTAATGAGCTTTTGGCCGCCGAGAAGCGTGCTAAGGAAGGGCGCAAAGGCATGTGGCACGATTGGGACCCGTCACAAGAGGAAGAAGGCGAAGAAGAGGTCGTTGACGTCGAACCATCGAAAGATGCTGCCCCTACAGACAAGAAGGCTGCTGACTACCGGGAGGTTGTCGTCACCAATATCGATTCAAATGGAAAGCTCAAGATCCAGGAGGTTGGCAAGGGCACCTCTGCTTTAGAAATCCTAATGAATGAGTTCAAGAAATTCCACCTTGACTCGAAGAACAACAAGCCTCTCGCCAACCCTCCGAAGGCAGGCGAATTTGTAGCGGCCAAGTTCTCCGCCGACGGCCAATGGTATCGTGCGCGAGTCCGATCGAACGACAGGGCGGCTAAAATTGCCGAGGTCCTTTACATCGACTACGGCAATAGCGAGAAGATCCCGTGGTCCAACCTCCGACCATTAGACCAGCCGCAGTTCACGACGCAGAAGCTCAAGGGCCAGGCCACAGATGCGGTGCTCTCTTTCATCCAACTTCCCACCGCCCCTGACTATTTCAATGACGCGCTGAACTACATTGCCGAGGCCACTGACGGCAGGTCGCTGGTGGCCAGCTTCGACTTCGTGGACACGAAGGAGGGCTTGAGTTATATCACCCTTTTTGACGAGAAGAAATCCGGCAGCACGTTCGTCGACTCGATCAACAAAGATGTCGTGGCTAACGGCCATGCCTTGGTTCCCAAGAAGCTGAAGGCATGGGAACGCGGACGAGCTTCGGAGGAGGTACTGAAGAAGTTGCGCGAGGTGGAGGCTCAGGCCAAGGCTGACCGCTTGGGTATGTGGGAGTACGGTGATATCACCGAGGACTAAAACAATCTCAGTACGGCTCATTTCACCTCTCCTGCGTACAACTTCCGTTTTATAGACTGTTGTCTAAAATCATGTTGGCATATATTTGCATTGCATGGGGAAGACAAAAAAAAAGGCTGCATCGTGGTTTGCGATATCACTTTAGATAGGTACATAAGTCACAGCCTATCTTAGTGGAGAGTAAAAGCATGGGACAGATATTTAGTATTACTTCCAGAATAACTTGCTTCACATTTTTAGAATTGTTTGTGACCTCATTTGCGACTTCGTCTACTAATATGATAGGTAGCGAAACCATTTAAGTTTTATAGGGGCAGTCATCTAGGACGGTGTATGTAGGTCCCATCTTCCTACGAGAATTCGCGTAATCATTGGAAATCCCTTTGGCTACCCGGATGGTTGCTTACATGAAGTGAATTCCCTTCCTTAATCCGCTAGCGAAACGGGGAACGCCGATGTTCGGTGATGAAGTAAAGACGCTCGCAAGATTTGCCAAGGATCTAGAATGGATAGGAATTTAAATTTATAAAAGCGAATCGGTTCCGGGGCAAAAAGAGGGATCGCGTGAAAATGGCCGGATTCCAAAACCCGGAAACTCGGGAAAGCAACGGGTGAGGATAAGTATAGCTGTATATTTACCTACAACGTGATGATTTGTCCGGGCCGATAGGACATATTATTAAGTTTGAGCAGCAAATATGTATATCAAAAAGATGCTCTGCGTATCGTGAGGCACTTGTTGTCGTAAAACTTGTCTTGGTAGAGGGTATCAAACAGACGGAATTGTGCCAGTGGTCAATGAAACCCCCACGTGGAGGGGTCGTAGAAGTCGATATGTCAACTTGGTTGGCTGAGTAAGGCCCTGCCGACCCCGCGACCCCTACGTTGCCATTCTGAGGCTCACAGTAATACATACGTAACCTATACGTTTCTTCGGTACATAATAATATTCACGATACTTGAGAAATATTAAGTGATATTGAGGAAACCTGAGATCATTGCTGAGATGAGATGTCTATGTGTTTGCCTTTATTAGACATAAGATAACTCAATAACTCAAGTACACACTTTCTTACGGGCATATGATACCATATGATGAGTGATGGTTGAATTATCAACTTGACTTTTACAACGCCACTGCGATAGGACCGGGTGTAAGTTGCCTGGTGGCTGACGACGGACGGCAAGGAGCAGGGGCACTAAATTGTTGCTAGCTTTAGATCGAAGAGGAAAGAAAAATCAAATCTACGGAAATCAGGTGCTTCCACTATAATGGTGTTAGTGTGCGGGTACGGGAGGGTACATGCAAGTGACTATAAGCGAGTATATGCGAGTGTGCGAGTGGGCTGTTTGCTGAGTACCCCATGGTACTGTGGGACATATGACGCTTGTTCCATTGAAATTGCCCCGCCATCGCCATCATAGGCAAATCCGATATAATACTAAATAATAGACCGTTTTCCCCAACAATCCACTACCTTCAACCTCAAACACTTAAGTCTCTACAACTATATTTTCAGACGAGCTGCCCTCTGTTGCTTGTCCCTCTAGATTCATTAATTCTACATTTATATTACCGAATTTCCTGATACCACAAGAACAAAATGTCAAGTGCTCTCGACCAGCTCAAGGCCACTGGCACGGTGAGTTCCTTTATTTTACCCCTCAACCAACTTTGCCCCTCCATATCGTGAGCTTTGGGACTTTTGTCGGACGAGTTCGGTCGTCTCCTATGTCGCTGAGGAAATATGCCAGACAAAACATAGCGAACTACACCCAATACACAATAACTTCACAACGTTTTCAACGATTGCTAACATCTACTTTTTTCTAAACTAGGTCGTTGTTTGTGACTCTGGTAAGCTATAGTTAAACCCATTGTCGAATAAATGAATGCGGCGCTGACCGAATATTCCTTCAGGTGACTTTGCAAGTCAGTATATCCCGCATTTCAAAGCCAGACTGGCAACCTCGGGTCGACGACAATTGAGCCAATTCGTCTCATTTGCGACCCTGTTTTGCCTCTTCTTAGCGCCCAGTGATGAATACTAATAAGAATATCAGCCATCGGAAAGTACAAGCCGCAAGATGCCACCACCAACCCTTCTCTCATCCTTGCCGCGTCTAAGAAGCCCGAATACGCCAAGCTGATCGACTCTGCTGTCGAATATGCTAAGGGAAAGGGTGGTGATCTTGATAGCCAAGTTGACGCCGCTCTTGACAGACTCCTAGTTGAGTTTGGCAAGGAAATTCTAAAGATCATTCCCGGCAAGGTCTCGACTGAGGTTGACGCCCGTTTCTCCTTCGACACCAAGGCTTCGGTTGAGAAGGCCCTTCACATCATTGAGGTATGTGCTTGTTTATAAACTGAGATTGGTATATCTTATTTAAGTTTGCTAATGTGACAATTATATAGCTTTACAAGGAGCAAGGTATCTCCAAGGACCGCATTCTGATCAAGATCGCCTCGACATGGGAGGGTATCAAGGCCGCCGAGATCTTACAGCGTGACCACGGCATTAACTGCAACCTGACTCTCATGTTCTCGCTCGTACAGGCAATTGCCGCCGCTGAGGCTGGTGCTTTCCTGATCTCCCCCTTCGTCGGCCGTATCCTTGACTGGTACAAGGCCGCGACTAAGAAGGATTACGCCAAGGAGGAAGACCCCGGTGTCAAGTCCGTCCAGGCTATCTTCAACTACTACAAGAAGTTCGGCTACAAGACTATCGTTATGGGTGCTTCTTTCCGAAACACTGGCGAGATTACCGAATTAGCTGGCTGTGATTACCTAACCATCTCCGTACGTCCTTTAATCTCGATCCTATTCTAGTAGAATGAACTAACTAGATGTCACAGCCCAACCTACTTGAGGAGCTGTTGAACTCGACCGCAGCTGTCCCCAAGAAGCTCGACGCCTCTGGTGCCTCCTCCCTTGACATCTCCAAGAAGTCATATATCAGCGACGAGTCCCTCTTCCGATTCGACTTCAACGAGGAGCAAATGGCTGTTGAAAAGCTACGTGAGGGTATTAGCAAATTCGCCGCTGACGCCGTCACCCTAAAGGACATCATCAAGAAGAAGATCTCGGCATAAATTGAGATGCCGATAAAAGGGGAGCGGGAGTCATTGTGCATCGAGTAACTGGCTGTTTGCTTGAGAGTCTCTAGAATGCATGAGTTTTGAGCCTCTTCGTTTCCGGGTTATCATTGGGACATCAATTGTAAAGGATCTTGGTAGAGCATAAAGGTTGGCATGTTCTACTGGGTGTCCATAGTAAAATAAAATTAGAGCCGGCGAATGTTTATGATTGATCTATGACGCCTTTACAGAACATGAATAGACCAAGTTTGTGTATGATTCCCTTCCTGTCGGATGCTGTCAAATCCATGGATGCTCCCACTTGTAATGTTGGTAATGTATGTAGACAGTATACTCCTTAGCAGAAATGGAAAACCCCAATCGCTATGCAATCCCCGTATGTACTTGGGTATATACATAAAATGTCCTCAGGTGTGATAGAAAAACCACAATGCACCATTCAATGTTTTCATCCATCTAAACGCGTTCTAATCGCCAAACCCCCAAAACCCCTGATTGCTCAAAACTAGGCAAATATTATAATTATTCCTACCTCTATTATTTATGGTCTTTATGCTTCTTCTCATCTTTCCCCTTATCCTTATGCTTGCTCTCATCTTTCTTCTTTTCTCCCTTCCCCCCTTTTCCGTCGTCCGTCCCGTCCTCGCAAGGCACGCTGACGATCCGGTGCGTTATGCCGTTTTTCTTCGCTTGTTCGCGTACGTCCTCGTCCTCATCCTCGTCGCTGCCGCTGTCTTGATCCGTGTAGACCGGATCGGACGTAGGAGTTGAGGTTGAGGCGGAGACGGACTCGAACACGAGCGCTGTCAGATCGCCGCCCTTGACGCAGCTGCTGTCTAGCCCGAACGCGTACCGCCGTATGCTGAGCCCGACCTTGGCGTCGTGGCCGTAAATCACCGTCGTCCGGCGGCCCTTTTCCTCCTTGTCCTTATTCTTGCCCTTGCCCTTGCCCTCCTTCTCGGTCCTCGCGTCCTCCTTCTGCGCCTCGTTCCACACCTTGGCCCACGGCCGGCCTTCGCGGCCCTCGCTCGGTTTGAAGGGCGCGTGTTTTCGCGAGGTTGAAAGGGAGAGTGATTCGAGGGATGGCGCGTCGGGGTTTGTAGCCGAGTTTGAGTCGGGGGAAGGGGAAGAGGCGGAGTGCGAGCGCGGGCGCGAGATTAGGGTCCGCATGTTCATGACGGCCCACGGGTCTTGTTCTTCGAGTGGGACGCCTGGGACTAGGCCCGCGTGCACGACGATCACGTCGCCGTAGCGAGGGGCTACGGTGCCGACGCGCAGGATCACGGGCAGCTTCGCGAGCCAGGCGACTTGCGCGGTGGTCAGGGTGGCGGCAGTAGAGCGGTCGAGGGCCGAGGACTTGGAGACTTCTTCTTCTTCCCCTTCCGCCTCCTCTCCCGAACTACTTTCCTCCTCCGCCCGCCTCTCCATCTCTGTCTCCGTCTCCCTCGTCGCATGCTTCCGCCCACCCTTTCCACCCTTCCTATGCATCTTCCTCCACGCCCGCAGCACGCGGTCCTCGTGGTTCCCGCGCACGGCGTACGCGCCGATCTCCATGGCGCGGCTCACCACGCCGGCGCTGTCGGGCCCCTTGTTCACCATGTCTCCCGCGAACACGACGCGGTCGCCGCGCGCGGCGTCGTACCCGGTCTTCGCGAGGAGCGCGTCGAGCGCGGACAGCTGGCCGTGCACGTCGCCGATCACGATGAGGCGGCCCGGCTTGTCGGGCTTGGGGAGCGCGGAGGAGGGGAGGTCGGCTAGGAGGCGTGGGTGTGTGAGCGAGGGGAGGGCTGAGTCGGGGTGCGCCATTGGTGCGAAGGGGTTTGGTGGGAGGGAGAGAGAGGCGGAGAGGGAGGTTGGTGAGGAGCGCGTGTAGCAGAGGAGGACGAGGACGGCGAGGGTGAGGAGGATGCTGGTTCCTACGAGGTGGCGTCGCTGGAGCAGGTTCCGCCGCTGGGTTCGGGGCGGTGGAGGGTCGAGATGGCCCATTGATTGGGAATTGGGGGTGATAGGTACGACGACGGTACCGCTACTTTTCTCGTGCTGGGACTATCGGATACCTTTTCAGATTCCAATGGACTTTTCTAGACTACACTTCAAGTGTGTTCACGGAGCGATGATGATGATTCAAGCTGTGGCGAAGGCTAAGGAGGTGAACTCTTTGATATTCGAAATCCCCGACGAGGACCTACTAATATACTAGATGTGAATCCAGCCATGGAGTTATACTAGGTAGTCGCACACATCGTCATAATATGTGCTATGTTTTTAAGCTTGGTGGAGAGGCGAATGGACGAGAATAAAACTTTCAAAGTTTCGTCATATGCGAGTCTCGAATTTTCGCCAAGGCCGAGCTAATGCGTAGTAGGTAGTTCTTTATCGGATGCAATGCGTCCGTATGATATCCGGATAATTGCATAGTGATTGTGTAATGGGATAAATGAGTAACTCGAAGCTCGAAGTGGAACTCGATACTTGGATAACCTGTATATCATATAAAAATCGGATTGATCATGTATTGGAGCTGATTTCTCTCGAATTTGGGCCTATCAGTTTTCCAAGTTTCACTCGGCATATTTGGAGAAAATCGGAGATTAGTGATTCGTCTTTATTCAAGTAGGAAGTTGTCGCACTGCATAGGAGGCATGGAACTAAAGCGTTTAGTCAGTTCAAGACATCAGGATCTCAATGTCAGACAGAGTCTTAGATTTCGCGTGGTCTAGAATGATCGAGGACGAAGCGGTTGATCAGCATCACAGGGTATGTAATTTACCGTTTGAGAAGAGTTGACCGTAAGCCACGCCTAAAGGTAATGATCCCATCCGTCCCAGGAAGAGGAATCGAGAAATGCCCGTCCAACTCCAACGCCGCCCAATGCTTTTTATATATGACCACTCATCCAGAATACTACTCCTCTAGACATACGATACGAATTGAGAGTCATTTCTTTTGCGCTTCTTGTTCTTTCCGGTATTTCTCATTCTCCACTTCTCGCCAGTCTTTGGGTTCCGGTTCGTTCCCATCGGTCCTCTTTGCGCCGCTAGAAAAGGCTGATCTTCCCGCGTATAATTGATACCCCTCGCCTGACTTTTCGGCGGACTCGAGCTTTTGAAATGTTATGGGCTCGTTGCCGCGGAACCGTTTACGCATGTCGATCATGCCCCTCCTACACTCGCCGAATCCCCTCTTGAGCTGTTGGCATCTCGTCGGGAGCGTCTCGGATAGCGGCGAGCGCAAGCACTCGGCTGCTGTATGTCGTTGTACCATCACACACTCGGACTGTTGCAGGCAATCCGCCAGCGCGGCTCCTAAGCTGGGCTATTAGTAAAGGATCCGGACAAGCGTACAAGGGAATTGGCGCTTAGGTAAGTTGACACATACTTATTTCCTTACATGAGCTAGGCATCTTGACTTGAACGGGTGAACCAAAACGTAGGAGTCACGATTCCACCAATTCGGTCGGGCGGGATGAATCTAGATGAATCAGATGTTGCCGTCGCAAAAGTTGCGAAAAGTTAGTTGGTCCAAGCTCATAATTAAAACTAAGCCGATTGGTTCAATTGCCAGTTGAGGGACATCCATAAGTTTGTATAAAATGTGCAATTTAAATGCAGGGGTAGCTGTCAATGTCATAAGTCATCGTTCTAGGATATCATCCATGGATAAGTGGGGAGTGCAAGGGCGGTATGTAAGGAAAGGAAGCTTCTTGCCAACGGTTTGAAAGGAAATGAGGAAAGAGCCCTGGATAATTATTCACTTTAATGATTTCAGTATTATGTCTTCTTAAACTATATTCGAAGTCTTTTTCCTTGGAATATTCTCAATTTCTCAATTTTCGCAATCCTTGGTTCCAGTTCTCTTTTCTCCTAATAGTTTACTTCTATCATGGAATATTGATACACTGTAGTTGTCTGTCTTTGTTCAGTTTAGCTCACTGTGTTCGCTACAGTCGTATTCACATGTGACATCACCAATAGCTACACCATACACCTTCGACGGATAATTCCTTTCAATCGCAACGCCTACCTTCTCTAAGAGCTACTATTCTCACCTTCATATATATACCCTCTCGACCAAGAATTAAATAAGTAGAAAATGAAGGCCTCGCTGGGATAGCGCAGCGCTAAGCCTACACCTACCGAGCTTCTACCCTTCTTGAGCTAAGTGTTGTACAAATCATAACATTGAACAAGACCAAAATGCCCCTACCATTTCTTGGTCGATTAGACATGTTCGTAGCTCTATACCGATAAGAAACTAGTTGTCGCTTGGGAGATGCTAATACGTCAATTAGAGCCGAGTATTTCGCCCTCGTAGGCTCGTTCTTACTCGTCGGTCTCGAAGTCTTCGTCCGAGTGTTAACACTAGCTTTACGTATGTAGATACCACTATGCGCGCCACTCCGCAGTGCTAATATCCCGTATCTAGCAACTTCGTTGTTGAACCTCTTCTACCGAGCCTCGCGACGGGCATTCAATAGGTTTACAACCGAATCGCAGAAAAGAGCGGAACAGAGAAGGAAGTGTACGACTCGCTCGCCCTCCAGACTATGTTGCTAGCCAAACTAACCCCTTGCGCCTAGCTATCTCGACCTCCGTTCGAAATGCCTCCGATTTCGTTGATCTCTGTGCCATGTTTGGCTATACAGCCGAGGAACATGTACTACAAACTAAGGATGGGTACCTGCTCGGAATACACCGCCTAGCATGGAGAAAAGGCGAGGAAGACATGAAGGTCAATGACGGACCTGCTAGTCTTAAGAAGCGTGTTGTCTACCTTCACCACGGGCTTTTGATGAACAGCGAGGTTTGGGTTTGTCTCACTGATGCGCAAAGGTCTCTACCTTTCGTGTTAGTGGAAAGGGGTTACGATGTTTGGGTAAGCTCGACATGGCGGATTTGCGCAAGATGGGTATACTAACAATGGAAATTAGCTGGGCAACAACCGAGGGAACAAATATTCCAAGAAATCAGCGAAATACTCCCCGACTTCTACCGATTTCTGGAATTTTTCGATCGACGAGTTTGCATTTTACGACATCCCAGACTCCATCAATTACATCTTGGAAACTACAAAACAGGCATCTCTGTCTTATATTGGCTTCTCTCAGGGAACGGCGCAAGCATTCGCTAGTTTAGCTATACACCCTAAACTTAATGAGCAGGTCAATGTCTTCATCGCGTTGGCTCCGGCCATGGCGCCTGCCGGGTTAAACAACGGGATCGTTGATGCTCTCATCAAAGCTTCGCCTCAGGTCTTATTCCTCCTCTTTGGCAGACGTTCCATTCTTAGCTCTGCTACGATGTGGCAGTCTATATTGTACCCGCCCATCTTCATCAAGGTCATCGATATGGGATTGTCTTTCCTATTTGGGTGGAAGACTAAGAACCTATCCGTCAGCCAAAAACTTGCCGCCTACCCACACCTATACTCGTTCACTAGCACCAAGTCGGTTGTCCATTGGTTCCAGATTATTCGCAACCAATCTTTCCAGATGTATGACGATGATGTGCAGACGCCTCTATCCGTCAACGGCTTAAACAAGTACACGAAGGTCGCCAAGTATCCAACCCGCAATATCAAGACCCCGATTGTCTTAGTATACGGAGGTAGCGACTCCCTAGTGGACATAAAGGTTATGATGAAGGAATTGCCTAACCGGACGGTTGCTACCGAAATTCCTCACTACGAGCATCTTGATTTCCTCTGGGCTCGCGACGTTGATGCTCAAGTCTTCCAACATGTCTTCGACGCCTTGGAGAATTTCAGGGGCGCAGAGCATTCCGTAGAGCAGTTCGAGAGTTATCAACGAGCGCGTAGTGTCAGCTTGTCAGCATCCAATGAATTCAAACAGTAAGTCCATCGTCAATTCAACTTTTAACTTTCAATTTAACAATAGTCAAAACAAAGAGCTAATCAATGGTAGCGCTCGCATTAATAGCGATGCCCCCGAATCTGACTCGACGTCCGTGCAATCTAATGGACCTAATGGACAGGCTCAGGAGGGCAATGGTAGATCCCACAAGGCGCGTGAAAGACCCGCGGATCACTCTGATTTCACCACAGAACCAATTCAGTCCCCGAACGCGACAGACGCCAATCTCGCCCACCCTATTACCACCATCGCAGAAGACGTCAGCTCGCCTTCACCAGAGAGATTGACCCCGATTGGAGGTCAGGATGGCACGAACGACTTGTCCGACCCTATGACCCCAACTCCATCAGGGCAGAAAAAGAATTTTCGTAGGCGTAACAGCGCGGCTAGCAACCTCAGCCTAGATTCTATGAAAGGCGGCCGAGGCATCAGGGTCGGCGCCGCGAAACCTATCACGGGGAGTAGTAGCGACGAGGGTCGGAGGCATTCTGGTTTCGATTGATACCCTAACACGCAAGTCGTGAGTTCAAAGGCGTGGTATATATAAATTGGGCGGACTGTTTAGATTGGCGCTTGTGCATAGAGGGTCGACCCCTTCGTGGTCCTAGTCCTCGGAGTTTTGGGTACGGAAAGAATGTGTATAGCTACCACCTAGTTGCGAATACGTATATACATTATACAGTATATTACATCGCGAAACCATTGAATGTCGTATCTTGTATTAGCCCTCCAGAAAAGGGACGGTAAAGGGGTATGAATGAATGAATAGGTAAATGAATGTATTGGCCAGCGGCTAAGAAACAATATGCCTCCCGGTACAACCAGTTAATTCGCCCTCCTATAAGCCTCATTCCCATTACCATTGCCATTGCCATATCTCTATCTTAGCCCTACCGAAATTGTTGATACGTTACAATATCCGCTACAATTTACCTAACCTTCCAATTTCCGAGTCGCACGTTGTGTATACCTGCCTATCTTACAATCCCCAGCTCCTTATCCCCCTTTTCTCCTCTCAAACATCGACGTCAATTCATCCATCAGCCCCCGTCCCACCCCACCTAACCTTCATACTACACGGCACAGGAGCGAACGCGCTCTGGTCCATCGTCATATACCTCCTTAACCCAGTCCACTCATCCCACCCCCCCTCGCCGTCCTCGCGTCCGACCTGTCCGCGCCACGGCTCGTAAGCCAGACTCTTGATCTCGCCCCGCGGCCCCGGCGCGCGGCGCAAGTTCGGCGTCGTATAGCCCAGAACCGCCTTAAAGGCAGCTAGCAGCGCGACGCGCGTCATGTCCTCGCCTAAGCACGCGTGCGCGTGCGGGTCCCAGAACAGGTACGAGGACAGCGAGCGGTCGAGCCGTAGCTCCTCTGGCGAGGTGTAGGCTTGGCTGTCGTGAGACGCGGTTACGAGGTCGAGGACGGCGGGTTGGCCTGGGGCGAGCGTGTATGTGCGCTGGCCCGCGGCGCGGTTGGAGGCGAGGTTCGGGATCGGGTATGGGCTTGTCGGGTCGGAGGGGGAGGGGAGGCAGGGGGCGTCGTCGGTGATTTTTTGGGGGGCGCTGGTGCGGGAGAGGGTGCGGGTTTGGATGAGGGTGTGGTGGAGGCGGATGCCTTCTAGCATGCTGTGGGGGTCGGAAGTTAGTGTTTTGAGTATGATTATAAATGTTGGTAAGGAGAGGATAGGTGAGGTAAGATGAAATGAGGTGATGGAACTTACTAGTGTAATAAGATCTCATCGGCTTTGGCGGTGTTCTCGTGAGCTAGATTGTATAGCTTCGGTAGATGCGATCTGCCTTTCCCTAGGAAGTAATCCAGACACAGCGAAAGCAGACCCGTCATTATCGTGGCCCCAGCAGCGCTACAGAGTTTCGTTAGTATGACATATCATCCACCCGTATAAGACGTTATAAAGCGTTGAAGGTCTGGCTCACCTAGCGGGCATAACTGTCCCGGCAACGTATTCCTCGACCGTCTTCCCTTTCTTCTTCGTCATTCGAGAGAGCAGGTGCTGACCATAGTGCGGTAACCCGGGCCAACCTTTCCCATGCACAGCATGATGTTTGTCTCTAGCAGCAGACCCGAAGCCTAGGTGGGAGAAGATACTAGCAACCCAGCCGGCGTTCGCATTCGCCTCGACCTCAAGCCGCACCAGCTTCTCCAGCTCCAGGATAAGTTCGCGTGACTTGGACCGCAACTTGAACGAGTTGACGGGGTCACTGTTGAAGAAGACGTTTGAGAATTCAGCTGTAAGCAGTTCGTGTAACTCATGCTCCGAGTAGATGCCGTGGGGATGAGTCTCCGCCGTTTTGATCGGCAGGGCGAAGAACTCCGCGATGAAGCGCGTGTTAAGCGGAATGATAACATCCCTGACGATATCGACCTCGAATTCTGGATTTGTTCCCCCAGCCTTGAGAGGGGTAGGCGACAGCTTCTGGCTAGCCTTCTTTAGTAGACTTTTGGTGGTTTGGTCGAAGAAGTGTTTGATCTCTGCTTCCCACCCCTTTGGCTGGTAGATAAACTCTTTTACGTGCTTGCGGCTCTGGTCATTAGCCAGGCCGTCGCCTGGTAGGTGAAAGCCATTTTCAAAGGATTTCCCGAGTGACCTGGAGGTGTGGGATACCTTTTCGGTTCGGGGGACGCAGAAGTCTTTATCGTTATTCAAGACTTGGATCACAGCCTTGTGAGATTTGATTACTACAGGGTTCAACTTCCTAGTTGGTTTATCCCACTGCGATGTTTCGAATCAGTATTTTTGTTTTAAGCAGTAGGTATGTTTTTGGGGGAAAGGGGGTTGTCTAGAACTTGAAAATTCTTAACCTGAGTATAATAGGGGGATAATAGAAAGCATTGAAATATATAAACCCCTTACCGAATATAGTCCAGACGTTCCAAGCTTATCATGGATAGCCTTGTTCTCTGAAGGTACGACGAAGGGGAAGTGTGCTTGAATACTATTGCTCTCGAAGTGGAACGGGAATGCACGTAGTATCAGCTTGTGCATCACCTGTCCTTGGTCGACCTCCAGATCGAACTCGGCCTCGGTATACCTAGACAGTTCTCAGCTTCAGACCTCTCCACAGGAAGCAGTATGGATTTTAGTTTGACAGAATGTTACGTACCCCCAGTTCGTCAAGTTTGAAGGGGTATAGTCAGTGGTATAGAATCGATCTCCACGGACAAGCGCCACGGCATCAGAAAGAATCGCCCGACTTGTGGTATAGTTCGCACATAGCCCACTACCATCCCTAGGCGGCTTAGTTTTCTCGATTACGAGGCCCGGATATAATTCAACCGAGTCAGGCGAATCGTACAAGGCCTTGAGCTTACTGGCAACAGCCGGATCCGGGTTGATCTCCTCGAACGTCGCATATTTCTTTATGCCAAAGTGCTGCCGGAATTCGTTCAATGTGGCTACATGCCATTTTCTCGCCTGTTTGATCCCAAGAATCTCAATCACTCGGAAAGCGCTGGGGACCTGGTTGGCACCAAACGCGCCCGCGACATCCTCGATAGAGGATGACAGAATTTCGACGAGATCATCATCGGAATATGTACCATCATCACCCCTCTTAAGTTTGGCAAATACGCGTTCGACTGGATCATTAGGGATACTGTCCCGAAATTTGCCTAGAGCCTTCAACACCTCCTCATAGCCTGCCTTTGCAGGATCGGCACCACCAAGCACTTCGCGGAATTCGTCAGTCACCCATTTCTCATCTCGTTTCGACAATGCACTGTGCCATCGATAGAGAAGGTTGAACTCGACCGAGACTTGGTTGCCAGTAGCCTCCGCAGCAGGTTTGCTGTTGAATGCGTTCTTCTTCTCTTGTGTCCGGGGATCGAGACACCAAGTTGAATTTGTACGGTTCAAATTCAGGATCGTCCGAACGTAATCTTTCAGAACGATGTTGACGTAAAGGCCACAGGTGATAAGCCGTCCTGTTTGGAATAGATCATTGTCATACTTCTCCCAAGCATCCTTACTTTTATCATCAGTAGAAGTCGGTTTTTTGAAACGACCTCCTTCGTTGATCCTTGTTTTACTTATTAGCATAGGTGTACTAGCATATACTTGGTCCCTGCCCCATCTCTACTATGAGAACTTACGCTGCGAGTTGAGTGACAACATGGTTGTGGAATCGATTGAACATCTGAAAACTTTGTGATTAGCGAAGATTCAGTATGACATACCTACTCAAGGTTACGTGATTCAAATACGCTGAAACCCGATACTCAACCTTTCAGGGATACTTTCAAATAACCCGTGAGATATATTGACGTTACGTTTTCATGAACCACTCGGATAAGCTAACCAAAACGCGGGATACTTACGATCAAAAACACCCCTATCCCAGGAGGAAAGCCGTACGGATTGACAGACGAGAAACAATCTGGCTTGAGTAATCCATCTTTGAAAGTCCGCATCATCTTTTGCTCTTCGGCGTTCCGGCCATATAAAGGTGAGAGATCGAGATAAGATGAAGTCAGGTTATTATCTTGATTTTTGGAATCCTTGTGTAGTAAACGTTTAGCCTCCAGGCAAACTAATAGAACTCCGAGATATTGACGACTTACTGTTTGAAATATGTCATGGGTGATAATTGTAGCAAGATAGAATAAGATGCTAGATATCTTGTTAGGGTGCTCCCGAAACGATTCTCCGTTTCCTCTATTCATAAGGCTATCGAAGAGGAGTCCAGGATCCGGCAAGTTTGGGTCCTGGAAATACAGAGCAGGGGTAGTTCTTGCGTAGTTCGTGTTAGCAGCTCCCATGGCAGGGAGATCGAGGTTGTTGCATGAGCCATCTGCTTCACGATAAGGAGCTCCCCCGTTCCTGACTTGAGCTGGAGGATGTTTAAGTCCATTCCATAGCGAGTTGATGAAGACGTCGGTAGCCTGTTTACCTGCATGGGAGTGAGGTGGAAGCTTGGCTAGTAGAGCAACGAGACGTTCTTGTAAGAGGGTGTCGTCATCTTCTTCCCCGGTAATTGTAGATACTAAGACATCCTTAAACGTTTTGACGTCTTTGAAGTTCAAGTGTCGCAGGTCTTCGATGACACCGGTCTCTTTGGAAGTATCATCGTTCTTGGGGTTGAGCTGGTATTTTGGAACAGGACCAAGGGCCCTGGCGACAACCTGTGCAACCTGAAAGAAGCCAGAAGACATGACTATGGTACGTACTGTGTAGGGCTACACTAGGAGATATCCTGAGAAGCTCCGGTGACAGCCAGCACGATATAGGATCCTTAGTCCATATATATAAACGAAACCTACCTACCTAGGTAGGTATGGGTCGTGCGTGAGAGGGTTGGGAAAGGTGTCAGTTGAAACCTTTCATTGTTATCTGGTCGACCAGAAGCCACATTGTGCTAGTAGCTATCCCACCTTGGCAGCCTTGGTTGGTACCTTAGGTAGGCTAGGGAGGCAAGGTAACGTAGAGCAATGTGGGCAGACTCGAGGTAGGCTAATCCAGGTTGAATTAGTGTAACCCACCAATGATAACAGGAGCAACCAATGTGATGAAAGGGCAACATCAGCCTCACAGAAAGCGCCAGTACTGAATAAGGTTGGTATGTTACATCGTTTGTCTTAGATATCTGAGACATCTGTTCGCGGGTGACTGCCAATATTTACCAATACAGCCCTTCCAACATCACCTGTCTTAAATCGACACATGGCAGGATAAATCATATGTGCATGTTTTCTGGAAGCTTGGATAGGGGTAGCTAGGTGCTATACAGGAGGTAAGGGTGTCACATGTCAATATCTCTAGCCTCCTCCCTCCGTTAAACAATTTCTTTTTATGGCTGAGTGGCTTTGCGCATATCAAACCATCTAAGTCTTGGCAAGCCTCATGCCCTTAAGCCACATTCCGACCCGAGTAGGTCGTTAAACTGCTCCAGCGTGTCACCTTGATCGCCGTCGCCTCTACCCACGCCATTCTAACAATTAGACATCAAACCGACCCAACTCGAATTCCTCATATCCATCAAAGATACATTCTTCTAGAGATGGTTTAGATTCTCATATATTGGTACTGTACTATTATGAAGCGTTGTGTTCTATTTCTCATATCAGTATCAAATCTATCTTCGCTCACCCCTATTATAAGTTCAAGGGGGATCCGGCGTGACTCCGATTGGATACGAGTATAGGTACTTTTTCAAGCCTGAAATATTATAAAATTAGGTATGTACCTGTTGGTAATCGCAGATCTAAGAAATCGTTAAGCGACTGAGCATGGCTCGGCCCGACCCGATCAATCCTCGGTTTGAGCTCTTCCGCTCATATCTAAACTTTTTGAGGTATGTGTTACCTACTCGGTCGCTTACTTAATGTATGTCATTGGTTGATGAACTTTGTGTATCGTATAGCTTAAACATCAAAATTCCAAGGATTAGTCACATTCTGACATCTATCATAAAAATTTAAGCCACTGTAGTCTTACCGTTCCGTCCTCGGGTAACGACAGCGTCAGGTGTCACAGCTTCATCATCAGACCAGACCAAATGGTTACAATCTCGCATCCTTCGGAAGACGACATACGTAAAGCTGGAATGGCAATCGACTATTCAAAACTACCTAGGCAATAACGCCCATTCGCCAGAGCTCTACCAAATATTTACGGCGACGACAGCCTATAGGACAACTTCCCTAGCGCCTACTCTCTCAATTCTAGCTATGCTAACGATAGCTTGCTTTTGATTTGTTTGTTCTACTCGCGTTTTCATACCTAGCTCTTATGGGAGTAACCGTTAATTGACGGGTCTTTGAACACCTAATTTGCAGCTTGCGGAAAAGGGGTTCAGTAAGCGCAGCACACATATCTTGACGCCACAAACGTCACGATTGCTACCGCAACCCCATGTTAATATAACTTTGGCCCCGTCCAAATCAACATCTACACATTACGATTGACTATTATCCGTGTTGTTGAAGTATAACTAGAGTGTATATAGAAGTCGTAGTCTCACGTGACGATGGCGACATACTGGGCGATTATGGCGAATATTACAGCAACGCGGTATACCCGTGCGGGCCGCTATGCCCCTCTCTCAGCAGCGATCACCACGTATGAGGCCCATTCGTAATCATGAACGATGAGCTCGAGAAAATATGAGCGAGGAAAAGAAAATTAAATCCGTGGCTGTAGTTGGCGCCGGTGCTGCCGGTAGGTATCTTCACATTGAGATTCCGCGTAAGATGCCAACTAACGTATAATTAATTACCTGAAGGAGCAATTACGGCGGCAGCTTTAAAGGCCGAGAATTACTTTGAGCGGATCCGAGTCTTCGAGAGGCGGGAAACGCCCGGCGGAACATGGTACTTTTTATATTTCATCATATGTACCCCCCTCATCACAATCGCTCACATCAAACAGGATATTCGACCCGGACCCTCAACCGGCCCTCAAGGTCGAGCCGGGGAAGCTACCCCCGGAAGTAGATCCGCCCCTGGAGATCCCCCAAGATCTGCCCCGGGTCACGGCGCCTGACCGGCGAGAGCGGTTCTCCAAGACGCCGATCTACAACTCTTTAACGTAGGAACTTCCCCCAACTTACTTATTCCGGAGTGCCATGCTCCTAGACGCGAGGACCTCCGCATTGACATCGAATCCTAGGACCAACGTCCCAGACATCGCGATGTCCTTCTCGGACCGGCGGTTCGCCTACGGGCCCTTTGCGCCGCACTACGTTCCGCGGCAGTACCTCGAGAGTTACTTCTCCGCCCACGGGACCGATAAGCTGCTGAGCCTCAACACCACCGTCGAGGACATATCCAAGCTCCCACCCGCTACTACCACCGCGGAGGGCAGCGGCGGCGGTTTCGACCGCTGGAAGCTAACGCTCCGAAAATACGACCCGGCGCGGCACGTGGACGCGTGGTGGGAGGAGGACTTCGACGCCGTGATCCTAGCGAACGGGCACTACTCGGTCCCCTACGTACCGCGCGTCGACGGCCTCGAAGCCTACGTCGCCGCGTACCCGGGCCGCGTGCAGCACTCAAAGTACTACCGCTCCCCCCTCCCGTACGCCGGAAAGAAGGTCCTCGTAATCGGCAACTCAGCCTCAGGCCACGACCTAACCGCCGAACTCGTGTCCACAGCCTCCCTCCCCGTCCTCCAATCGCGGCGCTCGCCCTCGCGCTGGGACGGGGACACGCCCCCGCCCGGCATACGCTGGAAACCCGTCATCCGATCCTACTCCGCGTCGACGGGCTCAATCCACTTCTCCGACGGCACCACGCTCCGCGAGTCGGACGTAGACCACGTGATCTACGCGACGGGCTACAAGCCGTCCTTCGCGTTCTGGAACGCGGCGCGCAACGGCGGCCCGCTGTACGACTACGCCGCGAACAAGCTCGTGGGGAACTACCTGCACACTTTCTTCCGGGCGTACCCGACGTTAGCCGTCGTCGGCGTCCCGCGCGTTCTCACGTTCCGGTCCTTCGAGTACCAGGCCGTCGCCCTCGCGCGCCTCTTCAGCAGTAGGAACGCGCGTCCCCTTCCGTCGGTAGCAGAGCAGGAGCGCTGGGAGAGGGAGCGGGAAGAGCTGACGCGGCGCGAGGGCAGGAAATTCCACGACGTGGACTGGGAGTCCGGGGAGACGTTTGCGTGGCTGGAAGCGCTGTTCGATATAGCCGGGTTAGGCACGCTAAGGGGTGAGGGGAGGATACCGCCTGCGTTGACGGAGGAGATGATTTGGGCGATTGAGCATGTTAAGAAGTACCCTGAGCCGGGGAAAGGAAAAGATGCGGATGGGGATAAAGATGGCGAGGAACGTCAGGACGGGGAGTGGGTGCTAGTTGAGAGGCAACGTAAAGACTTGTTAGCTTTCATATAGGTAAAGTAGAAGCAGCGGTGTGCGTGGGCAATTAGACTGTAGGTATTTGGATCGAACCCTCTAAATTGTATATTCCGGTATCCATGTCTATTCGTCCTAATTTTTGCATCTACCTAAGTAGTGTGTGACATAATGCCCGAGCATGAAAATTGTAACATTCTGGCCTGAATCGGCTACGGTCCTACATACGTCAAACGAGCCTGAGCAAAGTTGCTAGACATGTGAAATACAATGAGAGTGGTTCGCCTGCGAGACATTGATTCTTGTGGTACGCCTAAAATAACCTTCCAAAAACGCCATATCGCTTCGTAACTTGAGTCATAGAGTCTGCATCAATGAAGACAGCTTAGGGCATAGGAGCCACTGGGGTATTGAAAACATCGTTTCTCCAGCCACCTGCCTCAAACTGCTCGACGCGGTCTCCGGCTCGGGCGGCCTCTTCATGCCAGATCTTGACGACGCTCCCGGGGGCATACACACCCTTGAAGATACCACGTCCCGGCTGCTCAACGCCCACTCTCGCGTAGAGATCAGGGTCCTCTTCAGGCACCAATCTCGCCGCGACAGCCTTGATGAAAGTCCACAAGTCTTTCGGATCCGCAATTCTCGTGGCACGCAGACGCTCTCGGGCGAACAGTAGCTCACGATTCGCGGCATGGAGCAGATCACCGATAGCGGTAGCGAGTTGGGCTTCCATAGTCGCCTTGATGATAGGACGAAGGACTGGTTTGATGAGCCAAGCTAACCAGGAAAGCTTGCTCTTTCGGAGCTTGTAGTTCAACTTGTGCACCCTCACGCGCACTCTGCGAAGTGTCAGAATATGTTCTAAGCGCTCGCGGCAAATTTCAACCTCGAGGTGAATATCAATGCCACGTTCGTCCAGCGCAAAATCTGCGATGCCCTGGTCCGCAAGGCGAAATAAACCACTGTGGGCGCGCAACCAAAAGCCAACCTCATCTGCACGCGCCGAGAGACCATCGATCTTGATGAGCATAAGGTTCTTCGTGCTAGCACTGGTTCGGAAGCGGGCTTTGCGGATCTCGACGTCGTTGTAATTCTCGATCTTTAGTCGATAAGGGAGGAATGAGGTGTTGTTCACGGTCGCGCCAGGTTCGATGATCAGATTTTCAAGGAGGAGATCCATTGCTGGCGTGCTGACTTCGAGACGTGGAATGGGTACATGTTGAACGGCAGTGATGAGAAGGGGGATGAAGACGCCGAGCGCATCCTGAATCAATTCCGAATTGGTTGCTGCGTCTGTAGGAGAAAGCACGCCAAGGATACAGAGGGTGGTCGTTGTCAGGTCGGAAATGTCCTTGTCTTTGGCAACACTGTGGAACGTGATAGAGAGTTGCTGTAAGAGTTCAACAACATCTTGCCGCAGATCACTCTCCGATCCGACTTCTCTGCTCTTGTCTCTCAATTCCTTGAGCTTCTCGTCGGCATTGGTGAAGAATTCTGGGTCGGTGAATAGCTTCTGTAAGCTATCTGCGATTTCTTGCAATAGATTCTCAAACTCGGGGTCCTGATCTTTATGGCCCATGACCTTCTTGAGGAGTGCTTCACATTTTTCCCATTCATTCCTGTCACCAAAACTCTTGACAAACTCCCACAGGTTTGTTAAGGCACGGTCCGTCTCCCGGTTTTCCTGGACATCGTTTTGGGCGACTTCAAGTACTTCCTCGGCAGCCTGGGAGTAGATTATGGCGTAGCGCTTGATGAGCAATGAAAGAGTCGATACAGAATCAGAATAGTCTTTACGCTTTCGAAGGTTGGTTACGACCTGCTGTAGTCTCTTCAAAAGTGCATGGCCTTCATCACCGGATAGTTTGTCCTTGACACTTTCGACTGTAGTGCTTGCAACCTCAGCAGCTTGGTCCGAAATGACCTGAGTGGCATCCTCGAATTCGTCCTCTAGAAACTGCGCTGTTGGAGGCTGGCTAGAGAAATGCTGGGAAGATCCGGCTGCGTTCTGTTGTTCCTCTTCGGAAGGTTCTATGTGTTCGCCCACCTCTTTGGCAGCACTACTCAAGGCAAAGGCCGAGTTACTGAACACTTCCCGACCAACTACGCTGAGATCGCCGAGGAATGTTCGGAAATCGGGATTCGTTAGTAGAAGAGATCCGACAGTCTGAACGCTCTGATAGGCTGCAGCAATATCGGCCTTAGTCTTGGTCTTCTTAACCCTAGAGGTAAGGTCATCCACATCGACAGATATTTGGCTCTTGGATAAGAACCAGACGAGATCCTGAAGCTGATCCTTGTCGTTTTTGTGCTGGAGGAGGGTGATGAACTGCTGTAGCCATAGCTTGGTTAGACGAACCAATCGGCGGCCGCTATTGGATAAATCGGGGTTTTCTGGGTTCAGTATGTCGCTAGCCAGAAAGGTACGGAGATTGACGATGGTCTGTTCGGTGCTTGGCATGAATCCCTTAGTCAGGGCCTTTAGCATCTGGTAGCTGTGAAGCTTGCGATAGAGCTCCCGCTGCAGATGGGTGTCCTGCTCATATTGAGGAAGAAGAGGTTCTCGTTCGGGATCGGTGTCCCTTTTCCTAAATCCGAAACACGAGGACATGATTGTTCTTTAGTTCAGTCTTTTAACTGACCTCGAACGTGGTCCCGTGGAAGATCGATCTCTTCCTCCCACTTTTTCTTTTTCTTGGTTGAAATAGGAACGCGTCGTAGGACATGGCAACAAAAAAAAAACAAAACACATTAACTTTGATAATTGTTAGTACATCAGGTGTTTAGGTGCTCAGGTAGTTATGCAGTGACGAATTAATGACGTCTACGTGTAGGATAATGACAGCTCAGGCGCGTATTATGTATTTTGTACAACCGTACTTATGTAATTGTCCGGAGATCTACCGGTCCTGTGTGGACTGCTTATTCATCACCGAAATGTGGATGGAGATAACCTTTAACCTTTTATCATCGTTGAGGCTCTATGGTCCGTCTATTAATAAAGGACACACAAGATTGGGAGGTTGGACTTTTTCTAATTTTCTGATAGTAACCTGCCGCGTATTTGAAAATAAATCGGATTACGAGTCAACGAATTTCCAAGCAGACTAATTAAAAGACTGCGTATACGCCTTGCTTTGTCGAGTTGTTCTGCCGTTCTTCATCGTTGAAATAGACATCATCAACGTTGACGCCTCTTCCCAAATAGGAATGGTTTACGAAGTTATCCTAGTACCCCCAACCTTTTAGTGCGCCTTATCGTCCCGACAGTCTGACACCCCAGACTTCGTTTGGCTTTTCAAACCCACGACCAATGCGAGTCTGTGGCAGTGTAAACGTGAATCCCGGCCTGTCACCCACGAGTCTACCATACATGTCTACATGCACACAGCGAATGGGACAATCTGCGGCTGAATCAAGAAGCTCATCGCGACTCACCATGACACGTAATCGAGCAAATAATACCAAGTTGTATGTTACTATCCAATCCTGGCTTCCATATACGGACACCTTTTGCGAGGTACCTGCGCATACTACATCAATTTCGATCCTATTGTCCTATCACACATTATAAATGTACCCGTTAGTAGAGATCAGGCGCCCGCGGGCCCCGTTCTCCATGAACCGTCGTACCTAGGATGCTTTAACGTACCTACCCACTGCGTTCGAGTCAGAGGCATATGGAATTTTTCGTGTCTGCACTAGCATCTAAAACTTTGACAGATTAATCATCACTATGCACTAGTATAGGCACATGGATGAAGGGGAGAAGCAGGATCCGTATAATACGTAGCCATCATCTCCATTAGCCGACCCACACTCGGCCTCGCGTTCGCATCCCAGCCAGAAAGCACCGAAGGCAGGGTCTGATTGCCCGGGACGTATGCAGTTGCTGAGCCTCATAGGGGATATATATCTATCTATACTACCTACCCAATATAAATATTCTCGTAGCGCACACGTCGGGACCCGACCTGCCTGATCTTTCCCTTCTCATTTTTGAGCTATTAAACCACATCATGTTCTGTTTTCACTGATAGACCCCTTTCTCTCGCAACCATATTAGCTTCTCGCTAGGTTTGGATATAATATATTTTCCTTGCCTTCTGTTTCTTTTCAGATTTACTAGAAACCCTCTTTCTCGCAATCAGTTTTCGCCCAACACGATGAGTGATCAAACAGGAGCCGGCGTCAACGCCAGCGCCAACGGAACGCATAAGATCTCCTTCAAAGATTGTAACGCAACGATATGTCCCTATGACCAGTCTTTCTACGCGTACCGGATCGATATCGTTCCCAATGCCGTCTTCCTAGGTCTATTCACCCTCTCCCTTCTCTGTTTCCTCGGCGTGTATGCCTTCAAGCGGCGCGGCGCCGTCTTTACCATCGCCATGGTTCTCGGTCTCATCAGCGAGATCATAGGGTATATTGGGCGCATCATGAGCTGGAAGAACCAGTGGAGCGAGAACGGCTTTCTGATCCAGATCTGCTGCCTCACACTTGCCCCTGCTTTCCTCGCTGCCGGTATATACCTGTGCATTCGTAGGATCGTGTTCGCCTTTGGTCCCGAGAATTCGAGGATCCCGCCGAAGTTTTATACGCGCATTGTATGTTGTTACATCCTACCTTCACCCTACCCCTTTTTAATTTCATCTTATAGAGGACCCCAAGGGATAAAAAAAGGGAGATAAGATTAAAGAGACATCCAAAATAGACTAACACCCTTCTAGTTCATCCCCTGCGACATAGCCTCCCTAATCCTCCAAGCCGCCGGCGGGGGCATAGCCTCGAACGCCTTCCACACAGGCAAATCCACCGACAACGGGGACAACATCATGATCGCGGGCTTGTCCTTCCAAGTCTTCACTTTGCTCGTCTTCATGATCCTATCCCTCGACTTCCTCTTCAACACGCTGCGGCGGCGGCGCGCCCTCGGCTCCGAGGCCGCCTTCTCGCAGGACCCGGAGCTGGTCGCCGTCCGCGGATCCCTCATGTTCAAGGCCTTCCTCGCCGCGCTGGCCCTGAGCACGATCTGCATATTCTGGCGCAGCGTCTTCCGCGTCGCCGAGCTGAGCCGCGGCTGGTCGGGCCCGCTGATGGCGCGCCAGGACCTGTTCATCGGCTTCGAGGGCGTGCTGATCACCATCGCCGTGTGGGTGCTGAATATCTTCCACCCGGCTCTATGCTTCGGCGCTTTGATGGACCGGAAGTTTGGGGACGATTCTAAGGCTGGCGGTCGCAAGAACGGACGAGAGCAGTTCGAGATGATGCCCGAGGCGAAGCCGAGTACGGCTACGAGCTCGTCCGATACTGCCGATGCTGAACGCGGTGCTTGAGCTAGGTTGGTTAAAGTGAGTTGATATTAACGGCGTTGTGTAGATCTGCGTGCGTATGGGACATATACCTACTTGAATTTGAATCTTCGTTTAGATAGACATGTGCTGTTTTATCAGCTTCCTCATTGTATGAAATCTAAACGGCCCAGATACCGGATTACTGTTGATAGTTTACGGCTTTCGTTAGTATAATATGCAAGTTGGCGTATAGAGTAACGGAGGCTATCCAATCTGGCAATTAGGCTTTAGAAATTAATCCATACTTTTCGAAGTAACTCAAGATGACAGTTGCCAGGTATCACATTCAAGCATCGGGGACAATTACGATATTGGCACATGCAACGTGCATTAATTGACTAAATAACGGCCTGGTAATGTGAAATGCATTTGCTCTGTAAGATGGCTCAGCGAGTCATCGTGGCCATCCCATGCAAGGGTGTCGCGACTAGACGCATGCAGATATACATACACGCCTTGCTCAACGACTAGTTAACACCTCGCGTTATATGTGAATAGCGTCTCTGATCTTCTGCTTCTGGTTTTCTTTTCTCTCTTCCAATTCCAGGCCTACAACACGACCCGAAACCCCTCTGCTAAAGTTGATCTACCGTCATTCCTGTCTGGTAGACCTTGCGATTTTTTGCAACCTAACTCCTAACTAGTCAAAAGTGACTATGGGTATCGTGAGCCCAGAAGCAGATCCCATGTCCGTAAGGTTGTCGAAATCTCTTATCAAAGTGTCGGATACTGCTATAATATCTCATAAGGAGATGGTTGACTAGACTGAAGTGGCCACGCGATAGCAATGACCCATTCAGCTGATGTAATACGCACAAGAAGGTTGCAAGGAATGAAAGGGGCGGGCATAGTCTACAAAGGGATGTTCCAGTATGAAATAAGGGGTTGCTGTTTGGGTGAACTACGAGGTTGCCTAGCTGGTACCAGCATCGAGAGGCAACACTTTAGACTTGTCCTCCAGAAATTCTTGTCTGTGTTTGACGATAGCTCTTGTAATGCGGTCGAAGTCCTTAACTTTGTTGGCTTTCAAATCGTTGAGTACCTTTTTCAAACCCTCGATGAATCGGTTCCTCGTCTCTCCGGTAAACATATCGGCGGAGCCCAGCTGTGTTATAATTTCTGCATCTGAACCACGGCGCCATGAAGTCAGTTATCCAAAAGGGGGGATGTTTCGCAGAAAGGGGTGGCAGTATCAGGAGGGGTTGATCTTAGGACTCACCGGGAAGCACCATGCTCTCAAAGTGCTGGAATTCGCAAGAATTTCCATCGGGGCACTGCTCTCCGGCCAACACACGCGGGCAGATTGGTCGCATGGGATCAATTTTAGAGCTGTAAGTCATTGACTTAAGACCGCCCGCTACCTCATCAAAGTATTTGGGATGGAACCTATATGCACGGAAGTACCCGAGAGGACTATGGTATGATAACAAATCCTCTAATCGGGGTTTCTGTTCAAGTTCATCCTGCGCATCGGTCAGTAACGGGTGCTCAGGAGATGAGCCGTTGTGTACTTCTCCACTAGGCTTTTCCATCGCTGACAAAGCCAGATCTTGGACCGGTTGATATGGGTCAGCATCATTCAATAATTCGTGGGTAGGCATGTCATTATTGAGTGGAATGTTATCTTCTTGTAGTGAGAATTGTTTTGAGGTGTTATTCTCGGGCTCAAGGAGGGGAACGTCACGAATAGGGGAAATGGGGGTTGACTGTGGCCTGTATGAGTCATCACTGCTGGGGGATGAGACGTAAGGTAATTGCTCCGGAATGTCCGCCATTTCGTGATCTTGTTTTTGCACTTGGTTCTCCGTAACAATGACTATGGCGTCAAGGTCGGCTGTACTGTCTTCCAGAATCATATCTGCGGATGCGCTCTCAGATGGTGTGTGGTGATCACTAGGTGACGCTGGAGATACGTGATCATCTTCAGCAAGATTCTGTGGAGATTGGATAGCGACGAAAGGCTGGCCACCTGAAGCATTGGCTCGAGGTGGTTGTAAATTAGGTTGGACATCACTTGGAGTTGGTCCTTGGCTTTGGTTATGTATGTCCTGACCAGCGGTGATGAGTGCATCTTCAGCTTGCTTGATGCTCAATTGCTGTCCGTTTGGGTGCTGTGGTTCAACATGATTCGGCTCAGTTGACGTTGCTGCACCTATATAGATTTGTCAACATCCGCATGGAAGAGATGATGCGGTTACTTACCAGGAAGAACAAACTGAGCTTGCACGCTCGGCTCAGGAGTTAATGGTCCTGAAGAATCTGCCAACTCCTCGATCTCAGCCGTTAGCTTCCTTCGTTCCTCAATGCTCGCCTGGATCTCGAGTTCAAGCTGCGCTGCTTGGGCAACAGCCTGCTTGAGCCTCTCCTGTTTCTCCTGGAGGTCGGCATCGATAATCGGCAATTCGAAACTTACAATCCTATCGCGCCTCTCGACATTGCCTCTTTTGGCCTTCTGTAGCGTTTCTGAAACTTCAGAGATCTTCTGTGGAGGAGTAGACGCTGCTGAGGACCGAGCCCGAGGCGACTGAGAAATAACCATCTTCGCAGCCTTCTTAGCTTCTGCTTCTGCAATCTGCCTCTTCGCCTCCTCGATGCGCTTGTTCAGTAGATCAAGCTTGATTCCGGGCACTGGTGGCGTCGGAGCAGTAGTTGAACCAGGGCTAGAACGTTGTTTCCAACTAGGAGACTTAGATAATGGTGGAAATGATCCTAGAGGGGTTTGTCCTGATGGTTGATTGGTTATTCCGTTCGACGAATTAGGCTCGTCGATAGGTGAACCAATGTCCATTTCCACGTCTTCATCATCACTGACATCAATTATCAACTGTTCTTGAGTACGCGATCGCTTAAGTGTCCCGGCGGGACTGGAATAATTATCGAAATCCGAAGCAACGGGCCGTTTCAAGTTGCGGCCGTTCTGTTGTACCGGCTGAGTGACCAAGGATAGACCTGGAATCCCCCCTTCCCTAGGCAAGCTCTTTTCTGTGGATACAGAACGCCGACTCGGCTCTGCTGCTGGAATCGGCGCTGCGGGAGTTTTGGAGGATAGTTCTTCGTGGGTTTTCGATGCAGCGGTCATACTAGGATTACTTGCAGGCACGGCTTGGGGTGTTGCGGGCTTGGCTGGGCTACTAGCTGCCAATTTTTTATCAGCCATTGCTTTTTCCTGTGCCTTCTTTAATGCAGCAAGTTTTTGGTGGAGAATTGCGTTGTTCTCAGCTCGCGTCTTAGGCTTTGCTGGTGACATATTAATAGGAGCCGTTGCGCTCGCACTCGTCGTGGTGGGCTGAGACGGCGGGGCTGTAGTAGACGGCTGGACGACAGGTACGGTTCTCTGGGCTCTCGCCGCCAGCTTTCGGGCAATTTTATCCTTGCGCTCCTCAGCAGCTGTCTTCTGGGCTGATTTCGCGCTGTCATCTTTATTGGACTTAGCTGCAGAATCGGCAGTAGGAGGTTGCTTCAAGTTTGATATAGCCGAAGATGGATATTTGGTGCCCTGTGGTTCAGGAACGGCCTTAGTAGGTTCAGAAGGAGCATTTGGAGGCTCCGGGTCATTCGTGGGTTTTTGTACCGTAGTAGTTTTAGGGATAGAGGTTTCCAGGCCCAAATCCGCGAACAAGCTCTTCATCAACTTCTCATCAAAACCCTCCTCGATATAATCTTGATACCGAACTTTGAACGACCATAGACCAAGGATAGCTTCTTGTGCCTTCTTCTTTGCTTCTGCTACAGACTGGAAGGAATAAAGCAAAGAGCCTCCTGTAGGGGTAGAATGGGTAGCACTATGACCATTCGTAACAGATCCCGAATAAGATGTGCCATTTGGTAATGTAGCACCAGTTGTCGGCTGCTCTGAGGACGGCATATTGATACCTGGCAGAGACTGTAACGGGGGCTGAGTATTTGGAGTTTCTGATGATAGTTAGATTTGAATCAAACGAGAACGCGTACTACAACTTACGCTTAGACCCATAAGATATGGGCTTGCTCACTGATGCCCTGCGCTGAATCTCTCTAGGAGACAGGTAAGGGGAATAAGAGCCAGACCTCTCCCGTTCTTGATCGTCGGCTTCCACGTCTTCGCCCGGGGAATATTCCTGTTCGGCTGCGGGCAGTGATGTAGATGTACTATTAATGGCCGTTTCACCTTGAGGTGTTGCACCATCATAAATTGAGGAACCATCCGCATCCCCCACACTTCCGTTCGTATTCTCCGTAGCACTTGGTTGCCTAGGGTACGAGGCAGGTACGGCAACGTCAACCGTATCCTTTGGTTCATATAGATCATCGAACTCGCCTTCGCTAAGCTCTCCTTCTTCGAGGGTGTGACTCGCTTGTCCCCGGGACGACACAGGTAGTTTGTCTTTCTTAGACGATATGGTGCGATTATTATCGGGCGTTTTAACATGAAGAGTCTGATGCGACACGTTCTGTGGTTGTGCATTCCACGGTGTGTTGCTTCCAGATTCATATGATATAGGTGGTTGAAAAGTTCCCATGCCTAACCCAGGTATGGTGCTTGCGTTGTATTGATAAGAGTTATTAACGGTCGCATAATTGCCAAGAGTGGCATAGGGAGGTTGTTGGGAATTTACGGGCGGTGGTTGATTAAACGATTGAGGAAAAGGCGGGTGGGTGTGTGAATGAGGTTGCTGGCCTTGCTGGCCAGGATATAGGCCATATTTGTACGGTCGTTCAGACATCGTGAAGACGGTGGACGCGATTCATTAGGGGAAACCGCCGAGGGTGCTGAGCGACAAGACGGGATTAGGTAATAGGTAACCCAAGAACAAACAATATTCTAAGTTCTTGGAATAATATCTGTGCTTGTCCTCGTCGCAAAAGATGAATACGTTACCGGCCTAGTCAATTAGACGCCAGAGAGATGAATCGATGAAGGTGACTAGTGTAAGGGTATATTGACATCGCAAGAATCTTTGACGCGTATGCTTCAGATCAACAGATTAATCCGTACCGAGGAAAAATCTGGAAAGGAAGATGGTAAATACCTGTAATTCACGTTGACGTGGGACGGCCGAGATCAAAGACGATGATGCAAGACCAAGATTTCTTTCAGGGAAAAAATGCGAAAGTGGATGGTTTGCCTCGAAATCGCGTTTCGGTAGAATCGTATGTACGAAGCAAGGTTAACAAGGTTTCTGCAAGATTTCGGAGTGCCGTTTGGATGGATCATCAGAACAAGGACAGGTGTGGGTCTCTTGATTATATAATGCATGTTGAAGGCAAAATTCTACACTAAGCTTTGTGAGTCGAGGTAATCCACAATCTACGGCACCACATAAATCCGACGACCAAAGACCCCTTATCCAAAAAAGGTAAAGTTCCCGCAACGGAGCCAAACAAGTTGTACCTGTGGGTACCTTCCACCACGTATCGCAGTACCAGTCCCACGCAGCCCACGATGAAGATACGCTAACTCTGCCAAGCCCGAGCACTGTTTACTCCAACCACGGGCGGTTGCCATGTCGCTCCTGCATGGATGTCAACAATTAAAACCGGCGGTTTGCAACATCGTCATCGCTAGAGAAATACCAAAACAGAAGGAACGAATTTCCTAGGAAGACCTAAAGAATTAACTTCACTCGGTCCATTCGTTTGATACCGTCACTTTCCTTTCTTCTCATATGAACCAAACCCGATTCTTTTCTATGGCACTGTGTCTAATTATCCCCGATTCTCGCGATTGATGTGGTAGATATTTGAATAACGGCCCCGGAAAACAATTGCAGGAATTCTTTCTAATGAAATTGATTTTGGGGCGCACGATATCGCATATACCCTTTGGAACTGGAATTGGAACTTAGACATTGATCGCCTTCAATATGTCACAACGCAATAACCCTTTCGCTAGGAAGAATTCCCTTTCTCCCTCGCCGGCTTCGAGTGGTCTTGGTCGACCGAAATCCGCCATATTCCCTTCTTCATCCGCCCTTCTATCCAGGGTCCCTACGCCCCCCTCACATAATCGCACCCAGTCACAAGCATCAATAGGTGCTACTAACCTCGTTCCTGTTGGCACCAATGGACCTCGAAACCACCGTGTCAACTCCAAGAGCAATACTCCAAATTCGACGACGTTTGCCCCGTCGTTTATCAAGACTGAAGAAATGCGGAGAAGTCTGGATACCGTAAAAGGAATCGAAGGAGAAAATGATTTCTCTGGCAAGAGATATGTCTGGCTTAAGGATCCACAGGCTGCCTTCGTCAAAGGCTGGATCGTCGAAGAGCTCGGAGAAGGCCGTATATTAGTACAATGTGACGATGGCACCGTAAGTCATAGTAACTCGCATAGGAGCAGCAGATATACTAACTCAGACCTATAGCAACGTGAGGTTGATAGTGAGAGCGTGGACAAGGTCAATCCGGCCAAATTCGACAAGGCGAACGATATGGCGGAGTTGACGCACCTGAACGAAGCGTCTGTTGTCCACAACCTTCACATGAGATACCAAGCCGATTTTATATACACATATTCTGGACTGTTCTTGGTCACAGTGAATCCTTACTGTCCTCTGCCGATATATACGAACGAGTACGTCAATAGGTACAAGGGTCGGAATAGAGAGGATACGAAACCACACATCTTCGCCATGGCTGACGAGGCCTTCCGAAATTTAGTTGATGAGGGCGAAAACCAAAGTATCTTAGTTACTGGTGAATCCGGTGCAGGGAAGACCGAGAACACGAAGAAGGTCATCCAATATCTCGCTGCGGTGGCTCACTCAGATTCTTCCACGAAAGGCAGAGGACAGCATTCTACCCTCTCGCAACAAATCCTACGGGCTAACCCCATCCTCGAAGCCTTTGGTAATGCGCAAACTGTACGAAACAACAATTCTTCACGATTCGGAAAGTTCATCCGTATAGAATTTACTCGGAATGGAGCAATTGCTGGCGCATTCATAGATTGGTATCTACTGGAGAAATCTAGGGTTGTTCGCATTAACTCTCAAGAACGGAATTACCACGTTTTCTACCAACTCTTAAAGGGTGCTGATCGTCAAATGAGACGAGAATTCTTACTTGAGGATTTTGAGGTTGAGGATTTCACCTATACTCGCGAGGGTCACGATACGATAGCCGGTGTCTCTGACCTTGATGAATGGGAGTCGCTGCTTGAAGCGTTTAGCGTGATGGGCTTTACTGACAAGGAACAAGACGCAATATTACGCACTGTTGCAGCGGTTTTACACTTGGGCAACGTGACCGTGGTCAAGGAAAGTCGCATGGCGGACCAAGCTCGCCTTGCCCCAGACGCCAAGGAGGTAGCCGCCAGAGTGTGTAAACTTTTGGGAATTCCCCTGGAACCCTTTCTGCAAGGATTGCTCCATCCCAAGGTCAAGGCAGGACGTGAATGGGTGGAGAAGGTTCAAACTCCTGAACAAGTACGCCTCGGTATTGATGCTCTCGCCAAGGGTATTTATGAACGGGGCTTCGGGGACCTTGTCAAGAGAATCAACCGTCAGCTTGACCGGACAGGGCTAGGAATCGATGATTCGAAATTCATTGGTGTGCTTGATATCGCTGGTTTCGAGATCTTCGAGGAGAACAGCTTCGAGCAGCTCTGCATCAACTATACCAATGAGAAGCTGCAGCAATTTTTCAATCATCACATGTTCGTCCTAGAGCAGGAGGAGTATGCGAGAGAGCAAATCGAGTGGCAATTCATTGACTTCGGTCGTGATTTGCAACCGACTATCGATCTCATCGAGTTATCAAATCCTATTGGTATTTTTTCGTGCCTTGACGAAGACAGTGTCATGCCAAAAGCCACCGATAAGTCATTTACAGAGAAACTTAACTCGTTATGGGACAAAAAATCCAACAAGTACCGTACATCGCGTCCAGGAGCTCGTCAGGGGTTTATTCTAACCCACTACGCGGCCGAGGTTGAATATTCGACTGAGGGCTGGTTAGAGAAGAACAAGGATCCCCTGAATGACAACGTAACCCGACTATTAGCTGCTTCGACGGACAAGCACGTCGCGAATCTGTTTACAGACTGCGCCGACACCGATGATGATATCGGCGCTTCTCGAAGTAGGGTAAAGAAAGGGTTATTCCGAACAGTTGCGCAAAGACATAAAGAACAACTATCAAGCCTCATGTCTCAACTTCATTCTACCCATCCCCATTTCGTTCGATGCATTCTCCCCAACCACAAGAAACGACCCAAACAATTTAACGCACTCCTAGTCCTTGATCAACTGAGATGCAATGGTGTCCTCGAGGGTATAAGAATCGCTCGAACTGGCTTCCCCAACCGGCTCTCATTCGCAGAATTCCGACAACGGTATGAAGTTCTTTGCAAAGACATACCAAAGGGTTACTTAGAGGGGCAAGCAGCGGCAGCATTTATGCTAGATAGGCTGGGAATAGACAAGTCTCTTTTCCGTGTCGGTCTCACCAAAGTGTTTTTCCGAGCTGGTGTGCTTGCCGAGTTAGAAGAGCAGCGTGATGCCTTGATCACTGAGATAATGTCTCGGTTTCAATCCGTTGCTCGTGGCTACATTCAACGACGGATCGCCTTCAAAAGGTTGTACCGCACGGAAGCAACGCGAGTCATCCAACGGAACTTCAATGTATATCTCGATCTTTGCGAGAACCCTTGGTGGCAGCTTCTTATTAAGATGAAGCCATTGTTGGGTGCAACTCGCACAGCTATCGAAGTGAAACGGCGAGACGAGAAAATTAAACTACTCAATGATAAGATGCGCCAAGAAACAGAAAATCGTACCCGGCTTGAGGAAGAACGACGGAACTGTCACGCGGAATTAATGCGAACACAACAAATCCTAGAGAGTGAACGAGCATTGGCGCTAGACAAGGAGGAGATATTCAAGCGCTTACAGCTTCGCGAGTCCGAGCTCGAAGAAGAATTACAAGGTGCCATTGACGACCAAGAGAAGCTTGAGAATCAACTTGACGATCTTCTCGATGCAAAGAAGAGGGCTGAGCATGAGGTAGACAGATACCGAGCTCAGCTAGAGCAAGCTGTTGCTCTCATCGCTCGGCTTGAGCAGGAGAAGTCGGAACTAAGCACTCGAGTTTCCGATCTTGAAATGGAAATTGAGAGCCTGTCTCAGAAGCAAGCTGACCGGAGCGCACAGGAGGCTGCGCTTGAGGACGAGGTTAAGATGCTTCAGAGTCAATTGTCTCTGAAAGATCGTAAATTACGAGACGTAGAGGGAAAGCTCCTGAAAATAGACCAGGACTCAGAGATCAAGTTAGTTGCCACTCAAAAGGAATTACAGGCCCTCAAATCACGAGAACAACGCCTCACAAAAGAGCATCGGGAAGCACAACAACACCTATCGGAACTATCGAAGACCTCAACAGACTATGAGGAGCTTATAAGGAAGAAGGAAAGCGAGCTTGCTCTTCTTCGTTCAGACAACAAAAACTTTCAAATGGAGCAGCGTAGTTTCGAAGAACAGAGAAAATCACTGCTCTCGGAGAAAGAGAGAACAGCCGATCGTCTGCGCGAGGTCCAAGCCGAAATGGTTGCTATGAAATCCCAACATTCACAGCTTCAGCGTGAGGCGGAAGATGCCAAGCAATTGCTCCAAGCAAGGCTCTCCGAGGATGCCCAGGCAAACCAGAATCGGGAAGTACTGGAGTCACAAATCAAGGATCTGAAAGACCAGCTGTATAAGGTTCAGATGGACTTAAGCCGGGAGCGCCAATCGCGAGATGACGTGGCCCTCCTTGCTGAACACAAGTTCCAGGCTTTGCAGGAAGAACATGACCGTCTCAAAGACTCGAAAATAACGATCGAGAAGGAGCTCTACCTACAACAGGATACTTTACGACGCACCATGGAAGCCCGAGCAACAGCTGAAAAAGAGCGAGACGAAGCCCGTGATGAAATTCGACGATTGCGGGTCGCAAAAAGTCAAGCCGAAGAAGCAAGGTTGAATGCAGAAGAAGCGGGCGAGCGCAATGCTACGCGCGCAGCCCGTGAACGGGAGGCCAGTTTACAGAAGGATCTTGACGCAACATCAGAACGACTGAGATGGTTCGAAGGTGAGTGTGAAAAGTTGAATCGGGAGATAGAGGATCTCAACAAGTTCATGATCTCATCCGGAGAATACGGCCTCAAGAACGACCAGGCCAAAGAACGTCTCGAACGTGAATTAGTCACTGTAAAGGGTCGTCTAACCGCATCCGAGAATGACAACCGTGCCTTGCTCAATAAACTGCAGCAAAAGGGTCTTGAAATCGCACGATCCACCTCGAGAGCTAGTGAAGCTTCAAGAGGACAGATTTTAACCCTCCAGCGCGAAAAGGCCAGGATGGAAGAGCAGCATGCCAAGCTCAACAAACAGCTTGGAGATTCCTCTTTGACCATAGCCGGGCTCGAGAAGAAGATTGAGAAGTTACAGCTCAATATTGAAGACCTCAATCACGAGGTCGCGCGTGAAGTCAAGTCTAGCCGCAACGCCGAAAAGGCATCATCAAACTACACGATTCAACTTGCCGAAGCAAATCGGACCATCGAGTCTGAACGCCAGCTGCGGACACAGGCTCAGGCAACTGTGCGGGCTATGCAAACGACCGTTGACTCTCGAGACAAGGAATTAGAAGAGCTTCGAGCACAGATGCTGCGTGTCCTAAAAGCCGTTGACCCAGAAATCTCAATTCCAGCCCAGGGTGACGCGAGTCATGATAAGATCATGAGTCAAAATTTCGATATGCTTAGGAAGATAGAGGAATTGCAACAAAACCTCCGTATTCAAACTGCGGCGCGAACCAATGCGGAAGCACAGTTAACGGAGCTACGTGCAAACCGAGGGGAATCGCCAGTAAGACCCAGGCTAGAGGAGATGCACCCTAACGAGGCTCCTTTCAACGGCTCCCCTACGCAAAGGCGAAGCAAGTTCAACGGACGACGTAATTCAAACACAACCACGCCAACTCGCAACCGGGTCACCAACGAGAATGATTTGATTCCGGACTCTGCTAGATCGGACCGTACGGCAGACATTCTCAGCTTCAACAATAAGCAGGATCTCAAGACCGAGGTCGAAGAATTACAAAACCAGCTCCAGATAGCACAGATGCAAAACCGCCACCTCCAAAGCCAACTTGAACGTATTACGCCGCCTGTGCTAGAGACAAACCCCGATGACAGCCCATCTGTTCGTCGTATACAGAAGCTGGAGAAGGCGAATAGCCGTTTGCATGATATGCTCGACGACTCGTCAAAGAAAGTCTCTCAACTGGAGAAGTCAATCAGGAGTGGCGAACTATCCGTACGAGATATTCAGACTAGATCTCACGAAGAGATCCTCGATCTGCTTAATAGCCAAGAGGAATCTAGACGTGCGCTTCTCCACACTCACAATGACGCCATTGCTGAGCTAGCTCATGTTAAAGAGCATTTTGAAAAGATCAGGCACGAGCGCGCGAGGTTCGAGGTCGAGCTACGTGACGCGAAATCTGATCTGCAAGAAATGACTCTAGCTCGAGAGCAGGAAGCTTCTAGTCGCAGCCAATTACTTGAGGAATTTGCAGACCTACAAATCCGACTTGACGCTGAAAGCTCCGAATTGGCGGATGTAACTTCAAGCCTCGAGATGTACAAGAGCCGCGCAGACGAATATTTCAGCAAGCTAGAACAAGCTGAAATCGCTGTTTTGAAAGCTACGCGGGCCGAGCAGTTCGCCAAATCTCAGGCCAAGGAAGCAGAGGATGCTTACGCCGAGATTATGTCTCAGCGAAACAAATCCGATGGAAGTATGGAAGACATGCTTCGTCAGAATCAACGTCTCGAGGAGAAGTTGGAGGATATCTCCACTGATCTCGAAGCCGCTCTGCAAGCAAAGAAACGCCTCCAACATGAGCTAGAAGACTACAGAAACCAGAGAGCTATTGACCTCGAGGACAAAGAGTCAAGCATGGAGCAAACACGCAAAAAGTACCAGGCAGAATTTGCTACGCTTACCAAGGAACTCGACCTGGCTCGAGAAGAGAAGCTTTTCAAGCAATCCGAGATCGCCCGATTACGCGAGGAGCTCGACGACCTCCGTTCCAAGTGGGACGATGAGGTTCTCAATAGCACAACATGGTCGAAAGAAAAGTCGCGCCTCGAAGCTACGCTCGCAGACGTCGTCTCTTCGCGCGACGAAGCTGTTAGCGCACATAACGAAGCTCAGGGCAAGGTCGTGTCTCTCCTTTCTCAAGTCCGAACTCTCCGCAGTTCTGTGGATGACATCACTGCCGAGCGCGACTCCCTTGCCAGGGAGAAAGCCAGCATCGAAGCCAGGCTCAAAGAAGCCAAGGAAGGACTTGAGGATTTGGCTAAGAGCGAGAGTCCGGCGCTACGCAACGCTGCTAATACTGACAGAGAAATTCTGGAGCTAAAATCCAGCCTAGCTCAACAGGAGGACATTGCTGCTGCTGCAGTGGAGAAGATGCGGCGAGCTGAATCCCTTGCCACTGAAGTGCAAAAGGAAATTGCGGCTGAACGCGAAAGCAGTTCGGAGCTAGCCAAACAAAAAGCGGCTCTCGAGAAGAGCCTCAATGAAGTGCAAGTGCGCCTCGTCGATCTAGAGACTAAGGGATACTCAAGTGGCAGCCAGGATATCAAGTTCTTGCACAAGCGTATCCAGGAGGTTAGTACACCATCAGACCCCGACCCCGGACCTCCCAACGAGATGCCTCCGTTGCAGCCTCAAAAACGACCCCTCTCTTCTCTGTTCCGCAAGCTCACAAGGCGTGCCGCTAATACCACATCTCCACAATAGCTCGAATCACAGCTTGAGACTCAAGAAAACGAGCGGACGAAATCACAACGCTCAGTTCGCAATGTCGATCGGACGGTGAAGGACCTCCAATCCCAGATCGAGCGTAAAGATAAACAGGCAGTGCAACTCAACGACGACGTAACGCGACTACGTGACAGGGTTGACAAGCTTCTCAAGACGATTGACGAACTCCAAGCTAGCGAAAGCGATGTTCAATTGTCGGCGCGTCGAGCCGAACGAGAGCTAAGGGAGGAAAGAGAGAAGACCCTACGGCTTGAGCGCGAGTTGGAAGGCTGGAAGCACCTGAGGATGGAGAAGGGGAGCGTGAACGGCAGCATAAGAATCGGCACACCCATCTTCCAGGAAGGCGGCAGAAGGCTCAGCGCCTGGAGGAACGGAACGGTGCTGGGCGGCGACGCAGACGACACGGCGAGCATGAGTGGGACGGGCATTGAGGTACCGAAGAGGAAGAGCAGTATCGGGCACGGAAGAACGCCAAGTCTAACCAAGGGCTTTTTATGAGCTAAGTTGGGTCGAATGAGTGACGGAAGAGGGAGTTCATAATAAAATAGGGCATCGTTAAGGGCCACGCGGCGGCGTTTTACTTTTCTGTGTAGTGTATTTTTTGTTTTACGGAGACCACTACCTCTTGTATGTACGTATAAGCATGATAATGCATCGGAATGAGGCGGGGGATAGGTTAATGAAATGCTATGGCATCGAGTTCGCTTTTGCTGGCGGTTGAAGATACAAGTGAATATTTTGAGACTGCGTATTACGTGCCCCTTTTTCTCTTCGGCCAATTTTCTCCAATTGTAGGACAGCCGCTATCACGATGAGATGTCTGTGACACGTAACCAATTGGACACTTTATAGTCTCAATGCTAATGGTCATTATCACCAATAGAAAGCTGTGACTATTGTGCTAATTGAGTTTTTATAGGATGAGGTAGAGGGTGGAATGTAATTGAGCGCCTGATGGATTGACCACCTGACTAAGATAACTTCGTCCGCATATCGTGCAGGTGGTGCTATATCTCGTCTTGGACGACTACATACGTATCGTAAGTACTTTGTGGTTCTGCCCGAATTTGGACTACGGGACACGCTTCGAGGAATCTCGTTGGTGCCACGGTTTGCGGTGGCCGGAGGTGACGTTTGTCAAGCACCAAAGCACGTAGGTATCCGTACGTACGTGGAGGTAGCACGACAACGGCCCTTCAGCCTCGTTTTCGTGATATCTTGTGCGATTTAGTGACTCATGATTGCGATCTCCTCTTCGAGGGACAGATCATGGGTTTTTATGTTTTTATTCTACTTTCTCCCTGGGGAACCTCTACCATGATATTCCACGTCTGGCTGTTCTCTTGCTTAGGAGAAGATATCATTCGCAGGCTACATACCCTAGCATCGCCATCCATATTTGACATCATAGAACATCAGTCCACCGTCGACGCCGATGGCCCAAAAGCCGGCCATCACGAGCAGAGATGGGGAACGTCCTCGGAAAACCGCAGGTCTTATACATCACCTACGACAACAAAAAATGCTCTCCTAGCTCTTCCTATCCCCAATACTACTACTACTACTACTACTATGACGATGATTACGAATACGAGTTCGCAAGCGACGAGGCAGTCTACGATTCCTATGACTATGATTGCTGTCCGTGGTGTGGGCTCTACCCCGTGGAGCAGGAATATGAGGCCGAGGAGCCGAGCTGGGAGGGCGCGGTCATAGGGATCGTGCGGCGGAAGAGTTGCGTAAGTTAGGAGAGCCCGATACTTCCCCCTTTACGCCCTTTATAAATCACCTCCTTTTTCTCACATATACATAACATATACCCCTCCCAATTTCGTCTCTGGTACCCCTATTTCCTGCGATATCAGGACCAAGACCCACACATCACGATCTAACACAGTCCTCAATTCCGCATACAGACCGACCGCAATCACTGGGCGCTAGCCTTCCGATCCGATATCGACGTATCCCAGCTACCGCGACGGATCAACGGGTACCGGACGCGGATCCCCAGCCGATGTAAGAGGACGTGCTCCTATTGGCAACCCGTCTACATCTTCACAGAACAGGAGTCCCCGAACGACAGTGGTTCCTTGGAGCCGATAGAGTTCGTTACTGAGGATTAATTCGATGAGATTACTGTTTCTTTGGCGGCGTTTGAGTCAGCTTACCTAGGTATACTTTGATATGTGGTTAAAAATTACGAGCTGAGGCGCTCAGGAGCAAGCCAGGTGTCAAATGAAACCAAGAATTTCTACATATTAATAACGGAAAAGGTAAATATTTTGCTACTTGCGTTATATGTATGGGAGCACATGGATATAATTAATGCTGTCTGAAATAGACGTATTTCAAATCTATACTTTCCTTTCCATTGGTAGGGAATAGTATTACATACTTGCAGTACTCTTACCACATTGATCAAAACTTAGATAAAAGCAACCCGTCCATTATTCCACAAATCCTCTGAAGGGCTCGCAATGAGAAGAAAGACGATATGTCCGTAATCCCTTGACCTTGATCTTGTTCCTTTTTTGTAAAGCCGTAGTAGAAGAACTTCCGCATTAAGAAAACACATAGCGCGGCAAACCAATTCATCCCTTCTGTTCCCCATCTCATAAATAGTCACCTTATTCGACTGTCGAATTCCATTCTCCTATCATTTCGCGCCACGCTCTCCGGAACCACTTTTTCTGGTCTTTGTAGATAAAGTGCTCAGGAGCCCAAATGGTTTCTGCGATATCGAGGACGTGCTGTGGATGCGGTACGGCTTGGAGCTTTTCGAGACTCACCTTCCCTGATTGGAATTTCCAGATCAGACCATAGTAGAAGAACCTTATCGAGTATTGATGTTCTGGATGCAAGACGACATAGAGGTTCTCCCAATCCTTTCTACCCTGTGAGTCAATTACCTCACACTGCACACTTGTTTCGTCCCATCGAATGTCATTTATTCCCTGAAAATCCATTAAATAGCCTTCTTGGTTGTATCTGGGTATCGTGCGTTCCACTATGCCGATGGTATTGGGGTCTCGGCACTTTGCTCGAGTTCGAGAAGCCACCGATCCGATGGAACTGCTCTCCTTATTCCATGATATACGCAGCTCTCCCGGGAATTGGATCCTAGAAGCGGTGATTGCAGTTTGGTTGAGCCAATTGTTTTTAGCCATCTCTTTAAACCCCTGGGGTCCATCATGGCCAATGCTCTCCCTATTCACTCTTACTGCAATACTCAGATTAGCAATCCATCATGAAAAGGTAGCAACTCTACGACGGGAATGATATTTTGGCTTACTTGCGTTATCAATATCATTGCCCAATTCTACCAAACTCCAATGGTCAATTTCACCGGGGTCAAGGAGTAGCTCGTACCCGAAGAAAGGTAAATCCCACAGGAGACATTGACCTCGCAATCGTACAGTATCCCTAATTCGCCACACGAAGTCGCTTAGGATATCCTCGGGTTCTCCAGTATTGTAGTCGCGAAAATCTAACCTGACACATAGCTTGTGGGAGTGAAGACTATCACAATGACTAAGCATTGTCAATAGATTCTTGTCGAGAATCATGCCGTCCGATAGATAGGCCCTAAGTCCGGGCTCAACGTCCCATTCACGCACGGCTTCACGAGTGACAAGAATTCGGCAACCCTCGATTTCAAGGTTGATCCATCGAATCTGCTTGCGTCGCTGTGGTGTAATAGCTACTAAGTAGGCAAGACAATTTTGCTGGGTTTCAAAGTTGAATGCGTTGACCTTGTAGAAGGGATTCCATCTTTCAAGCTCAGCGTAGATGGCTCGGCATGTGCGAGCGAGAGGGACAGTCGCGAATTCTTTTGGTATAGAACGAGGATTCTTGTCGACGAACTTGTTTGAATAAGGTTCGACTTGACATGGCATGATTAGTTCGTCGACATACACTGCAAACTCGTAGATCATGAGATGGACCTTGACATATGTGAGTTAGATTTGCTAGGGCTAATAGAAGCCGGTACATGATACGATGAAGTGATGACACATACCTCCGGGGGTAAGACCTTGAAAAACGGCGACTCGTTATTCAACTTGGATAATTCAAGATTGGGATGTCTATCGTCATTGAGATTGATGATAAATTCACCAGTGGAAGCCATGATATTTTAGTAATCGGGGTGGTTTGACGGCGACCAAGTTGGCGGAAGATGGAAAATGCTAATGATAAAAGTGGAAAGAAATTTGGACGAGGAGATTTTCGATGGATTGAAAGGTGCGTTGATGATGATGATGACAGTCTTTCGGAAGAACCAAGTGTCCTGGTAAATAACGAGACGATATGTTTGCAAGTAAATGAACGTCAGTTAGGATGAGATGTATTGAGGGAAACTCAACGAGATAGTGAATGAATGACACCCGGCAATGGGGATGCGTGATTGTATGTGAAGTATTTTCATAAGTAGTGGATGTATTGACGATCGAAAGATTGGTTAACGAGAGCGTGATATCAAATATGGATAATAAGTATCTGAGTTGAAGATGTTGCGAACGAGTAATGAAAGTGTAGGTAGGGATGATGGTGTTTTTATAGTGGTGAGAGTAAAGAATTCCATAAAACTGTAAGTCTGGATAAGTATCTGCTGTTTTAAACATGGAAGTGGATCAGTGTTCAAACTATAAGTCACCTCTACCCACGGTAGTTGGCTGAAAGTGCAACTGCTCTAGCTGGTGAATACTTGCTCATGATGATGGTCCCTGACGAGAATGGAAAGGGGGTTCGACGTATAAGAGCAACGACTAACGTGACTTCCTGCCCGGAAAACAAGAAGGTGCGAACCTAGCTAAGCCTTCTTAACATAAGTGCATGATAGATGAAGCTGCCGCTAGAGTCAAATTATTAAATCATATTGGATATTCCGACCCGTCTTTTGTACAATGACGCATACCCGTCTATCTTGAAAATAGCCATATCATCTTGGCATATCGGAAGTAAAATCAAAACAACGTGAAGTAATTATCCCTTGAATTGAAAGGGAAACCAAGACCAACGTTCTTCAAAGGTTCCAAATAACATCATAAAAATTGATAGTACAACTTCCCTCATGATATCTTACTTTTAGGAATCAGGTTTGACCGTAATCAGGGGTTACCTTAACACCTGTTAACTCCTTTATACCATTCTTAGTTGGCAAAATCTAGCTATCACCTATCTATCGTGTAATATAAGGAGCTATGGACTAAATATTTCATCTATATGGATATTTTTTGTAGCTAACATCTAAGATCACAACCAATATCAACCCACAATTGTTATATCAAACGTAAATATGTAGGTGTCAAGCGTCATCTGCATGCTCAGTTTCTAGCTCTTTGCTAAACTTGAGTACAGTCAAAGATAATCACATCACCCCAAGTTTCTCCCTAATCACTCCCTATAACTATATACCTAGTACTTAAGGTCCAGAACCCCGAATATGTCAAGTAGTATATAAATATCAGTTAAGGTGAGTCATTTGTTGCGGAAAGGGGGAGGTTTTTCAGGTAGATGTAGTACGGCATAGACAAGTTTGGAAAACAGTAAACCATTACGTAAAACACATAAAACGATCACAGGTGCACGCATATAGGAAGACAACAAGGAATTCTCAAGCTCAGCGAGTTTCTTAACTGGGGGTATTACTATTACTACAGGGTCCATCCACGCTTTTTACACACATCCTTCCTCGCACCCAAAGGGAAGCGCATCATACGGGTTTAACATACGAGCCCCCATCTCGAGCCACGTCTAACCTCTCGCCCCTTAACCCTCGCCATCGCAAGGGAGCCGGGAAACGGAGAGGCGAAACCTCTACTGAGCTACCACGTTTTAAAGATGACCTTTTTGTTTGATTGTGTGCCGGGTGGTATTAAAAAGTAGAGAAGAAAAACCCCAAAAAATCTGTCCCTTTTTCCAGGTTTCCCCTCCTCTCTCCCAATAAAAAAATATGCAATTGTTCGTTTCGTAAGGATCGTAAGAATCTTATGTTGTTGACGGCGATGGTCATTGTTATACAAAGAAGGAAATGGTTGTGTTTTTGCCTGCGAGGCTTGCTGTGTGGGGTTTGTTTTATGCTCTTTCTAGAATTTTCATGTTGCTAGATGTTGCTGCTGCTTTATAGAGCGGCGGCGATGATCATGCCGACGAAGCCGACGAGACCCATACCAGCGCCGAGGTGAGCGGCACCGGCCGTGACGATCGCCGAGGAAGGCGAGGAAGGCGACGCGGAGGTCGGGTAGACGACACCAGTGCCGGAAGGAGCAGCGGTGACGAGAGTGGTGGAGCCACCAGCGATGGGGTAAGGAGCAGCGCTACCGGCGCCCTGAGTGGCAGTCGCGGTTCCAGCAGTGGGGGCAGCAGCGGGGGCAGTGGCGTAGGTGCCAGGGACGACAGCGACACCAGTGGAGCTAGCGCCGGAGGTGATGGTGCTGAAAGCGACACCGGGGACAGTCAGGCTGGTGCTAACGGTGACGGTGCTGCTGGAGCTGGGGATGGTCTCGCCAGCCGCGTTGGTGCAAGGAACAACGACAGTGGTAGCGACCTGGATGGTGGTGACGGCACCAGTAGGAGCGGGGGCAGTGGCGGTCAGGACAGAGGTGATGGTCTGGGCACCAGTGGCAATGCCGGGGTTGCTGCCAGCGTAAGGAGCGCAAATACCCTGGAAGTAGCTGATGGCCTCAGAGATGACCTCGTCGGACTCACCGTAGGCGTACATGCAGTTGAAGATGTTCTTGGTGAAGGTGGCGTCAGGGCAGTAGCAGGCGGCGTCGGTGTTGTCCTTGCAGCCAACGCTGAACATCCAGGTGTTCAAGCAAGAGGGGACGACACCAGGGCAAGGGAGAGTCTCGGCGGGGCCGGCAGGGCTGGTACCGCTGGAACCAGCAGGCGAGGTAGCGGAAGAGGCAACGGGGGTCGATACGACGCCGGAACCAGCAGGGACGGACGTAGCCTGAGCGGGAGAAGACTCAGAGGCGGCAGACCCAGCGGGTGCAGTGGGGTATCCAGTGGCCTGAGTAGCGGGGCTAGAGGCAGCGGGAGAGCCAGCAGAAGGACCAGCGGAAGAGACGGCTGAGGAAACACCGAGGGTCTCAGTCACGGGGCAGACAGTGGTAGAAACCGGAACAGTGACGGTGGTGAGAGCAGTAGAGTGAGCAGGGCAGTTGGTGACAGTAGGAGCACAGCTGGTGATGGTCTGGACGGAAGTAGTGAAAACAGTGGAAGTGGTCATGTAGCTGGTAACCGAGAACGCGGACGAAGAGGCAGCCTCGGTGCTGCTAGAACCGACGGCAACGGTCGAGCTGGAAGCTACGCTGGCGGAGCTGAAAGCGCTGGAAACGGCACTGGAAACAGCGTAGGAGCTGGAGGCAACGGCCGAGGAGCTAGACCCAACAGCAAAAGAGCTGGACTGGATGACCGAGAAGCTGGAGCTAGCGCTGGCACTGGCAGTGGGGAAGCTAGCAGAGTAAGAAGAGACAGCGGGAATGCTGGCAGAGTAGCTGGATTGAACCGCAGAGCTAAAAGCGACAGAAGACTTGCTAGGCTTGCTGGTGGCGTAGGTCGGGGTGCTCACGCTGTAGGTGCTCTGAGCGGGCTTGGAGGGCTTAGGGCCAGAGCAGTCGAAGCCGATGGAGTGGATGCCGAAAGAGCAGGAGTCCTTGGGCTTGGAGGGCTGCGAAGGGTAGACGACAGTGACGTCGGTAGCACCACCGCACTGGGTGTTCTCGACGGTGGTACCGGAGGCCTTGCAAGCAGATCGGTGCTTGCAAGTAGATCCGTCAGGCATAGAGTAGTGGAACTCTAGGTCACAGTCGAACTCGGGAGTGACCTGGAAGGTGGTGATGGAGGTCTTGGAGACACCCTTGCTCTTGTCGCAGCTGATCTTAGGGCTGCTGCTGCTGTCCGAAGTGGCCTTTCCGGTGATGCACTTGCTCTGGAAGCTGCCTCGGCCTACCAGCTGGTCTCGCTTGCCGAAGGACGAAGCGCAAGTAAAGCCGCTCCATGTGAATCCCTTGTATGAGGAGAATCCACCGGTAGGAAGGTCGGACCAGTTAAGACCGCCGGCGATGTCGGGGGTACAGGTGTTGTTGGTGTTGTCCGGGCAGCTAAACTTGGGAGCGTCGCTGAATCCGAAGCCGGTGGCTGTGACCTGGCTGAGGCCAGCAGCCAAGGCGACGAACGATACGGCGTTTCTCATTGTGGTAGAAATTCAATCCTTAAGAGGTAGTAGACGATAGTTGGTAGTATATAATTCCTGCTGTGTGAGCGAACGAAGTTATTCTTATAACGACTGTATATAACAGGAAAAGTAAACGATGGATGGAAGCAAGCAAACGAATGACCTTGACTTCCGGAAAAGAAAGAAGCGACAGTGATGTCTACCTTAAGAGGAAAGAAAGTGATGATGTAGAACAGGTCCTTTTCGAGATAGATGAGGAGGAGAGCAACCTACATATATAGCATCTCATGATGGGCTACTGGGAACCACTCGTTTGGCGAGGAACCTATCAAGGTCGCAGTGCGGACCCTGACCCGAGCCTGCTTGGCCGCGACCTGGGGTTGTTTATTCTAAGCACCTGTGGAGGAATCGTGTACTGCATTCCATGGTCAATAATGTTAATCTTGTACCTACCCATCTCTTGGTTCGAGACCAACGCCACTCAAATTAGCTCTTGTATACATGGTATTTTACTAGTTAAAAATAGGCCTTAGAGCCATTTAAGTACACGATTAAGGTATGGTCAAATTTACATCTCACTTACAAGGCATAGCTCGATGATAGAATCGAATCAACCATCTTCAGTCATATCATGACCAGAATGCATCAACTCGTACTGCCGTTAACAATATTGACCTCTTCATCTTGTATAGTCTTGGCCCTTGTTCCAGGATCAAGAAACCAGCCGACAGGGTGGCCTCCATCCAGGAGAAAGAGAGCCGAAAAAGGCATGGCATAGCTTGCATAGAGGGGAGGAAGTCGGATGAATGTACGCCAGGGATTAGAGTGAAGTCCAAAATGTCTTGCGCTCCACAGCAGGTGGACCGAGTCGAGAGCACAGAGCGCGCGGCTCCGAGCTGGGATGTCTTGGATCTTGGAGTGGTATTTTCAGGGGGATATCAAGGATTAGCTGCAGTCTATCCGCTGTTCCTGGCCAGTCGCGCCGACCCCAACCTGCCCCCCTTAGCCAATAACAACCCTTGCTTGCTATGGATTTAGCTAAGAACAGTTACCACCATTAGACTCTTCACGAATCAAGTCTAGGTTGCACTTAATAGCTACTAGGTAAACATAGGTCACTCTTGCTGGCGTTTGGCTATAGGAATACTAACATTTGCTAGAGTAAGCTGCCAGAAATATCCGACCTAGGTTGGCACTTGTCACAATTCTTCCTAAAGTCAGCTTGAAGGGATGTCGGCTTGCTGAACCGAGATTCACAATGTCACATAGGCCAGGGTAAATTAGAGCGGCGTTGGGTGAGATGCGCCATGATCAGATGTTACTATCTCCTATCCTCCAAAGAGCAAAAGCAAAGCGAGACTGGCTTAAGGCTCGGTGTCTCCTTACTAAGAGCGATGGTGTTTTGTTCAACTTGAAACAGACACAGCCACTCGATCTTTGCCTGGAGGAGTTGACCCTAATGCAGGTACAGAACCATCGTTGAGTTGCATCTGCGACCCAAGGATTATAACGTGGGACCACCGATTCGACCGTGAGAGAATATTCTTTTCGACTGATTAGATCTTGAGGTTCCCTGTAACGATCAGTAGTTTGGTGCTGATGATGGGTCCACTATCGCGACAATCTATCGATTCTCAATGCGATCTCCATGTATGTATGTCTCACTGAGCACTGCCCTACCATTGACCTGGGATGGGTTTCCATAAAACACATCGGAGTTTGGCTGATATTCCGTTTCCTTCTCTCTGCCTATCATGCGTGTGTAAACTATAGCAGTCCCGACAACCAGACTTCGTATTCTCAGGTCGGACCTCCGCAAGACCTTCATGCGCTGAATGAGCTAGAAGGAGCATGAAAAAGAAACCTGATGTGGCTTGGTAAGGCTTCAGAGAAAACAAGCAAGTGTAACTCCGAAGGCCCTAACAAGTACAAAAACGGCAAAGATCGAGATGGTGGAGGTCGCTTGTAAGTGTCGCAAAAGAGAGGACCTACCTAGGTGCCTAGGTACGTATCTGGATAGGGGGATAGGGGAACACTATAGCTGGATAGGGGTATTAAACTTTTTTAGACTCTTGAACCTCGCTCAAGTTGTCCTCAATCGGATACACTAAATACTTAGCACCTGATGAAACTGGATTTTCGGGCAATTTTCGAGCTAGGGCGACAAGCAACTGGCCGCCGGATCTGTCAGCTAAACTTTACTTGGGTGTAAACAGGGCAATTGACAGGGATTGATAGGACCCTTTCCTTGCTACCGCTGGGTTAGTCCCTAGATCCCCTAGAAAAGGCAAGAGCTCGGGAAGGAACACCAAACTCCAGGTTTCACCAACACCCACCAGTTCCCTTTAAGCGTACTATGTACAGTTTCACCATTTTCACCTTTTTTTTCAGGTGAATCGTATTTTGAAGACGTCTGATCTTTTCTACCTTGATACCCACTATATCTCGAATCACATAGTGCATGGATAGGTATCTATCTGATTTAGACAAGGAAAGGTTTATGATCGGCCGCTACATACCGAGAGCCCGTCATGACGGGGTTTCCTTGATTCAGACCACAAGGGGTCAAATACGAGCCGCACGCATTACCTGACACCAACCCCTGGCCAATGCGACTATATCGACGATTGCGGTATCGTTCCAACTTTGGCTTCTCTTTGGCTTCCTTTCTCCTTTAGGAAGTCTCATCGTTGCTCATTTTGTTTGTTACCTGTAAGATCCAGTATGGCCTTAGGTCTATCTAGGCAATGTTTGCATCTACATAGTTGAGAATTGCTCAACGCTACAAATCTGTCGCATGCTACCTGTTTCATGGAGTCTCACGACAAAGCGCATCTTGGTAAAAAGCACACTCATCTTCCTACACGAAGTGGGAATACGATCATGAGAACGCACAGTCCTCAACTTTGATATATTGGTTGAGCTCTCGGCTTCTTCATCTCGTTAAAGAATCGCTATGAGTGATATCGTGTTTATGATCACATCTGGGACTGTGCGGCCAATCTACCAGATCAGTCTAACCGACGGCCTAGAACCTATAGGGGATCGCCAGGCACACCTACCTGTTTTGGTAAATCACTAGCAGCGTCGAAAGGCCGGAGCTGTCAAATGCTAGGGTCTGATCACCGATAGTTTCTCAGCCTTGGATATCTGTTACCTAACTTCGATATATGTTTACGGAATAACTCCCAAGACCAAGCGGACCTTCACTGTCCTACGGAGAGATACCCTTGTGCCGCGCTGTACTAGACGCCCTCTTCCACTATTTTCAGCATAAGTCTCAGGCCTCTCAGTGGGGAAGCATAGTAGGCGAGTGTTCCGAGGTCCAGTTAATAAGAATTACCTAGTATATTTGGTATATGCTTGACACAATAAACAGGATACTTAGATGCCATATTGACCAACTACACAAAATTCTGGCTTTGACAAATAGCACTGTACAACTGACCTTCGCTTTAGGGGTTTATCGAATGATCGAGCTCAGGTTTTTCCGTTCTGGAAGGAACCTTTTGATTAATACTTACCTAGGTACCTATCATTTACGGAACCATCCAAGGTCACGAAAAGAGACACGCCTACCGGATAAAACGAAATTACCTTTACTTTCCTCGCCAGTCTGCGCGGGTGTTAGATAACAATGGCAGACGGGCGAAATTACTCAGCGCCATAATGGTGTTCGCGACGCCACGCAGCACCGTATCGCGACGAATGCTCTTCAAAGTCTCTCCAACGATTCATCATTGGCATTGAAAAAAGGCTCTAGCTCTGGAGAGGCTTTGGAGCGTGCTATTGAATATGATCTAGTAGCTATTAATAGCTATAAAATATCCTGATCAGCGCTGCTGAAAACAACTTTATAGCACGTTTTCGGCTCTCGGCCGCTTTGCTGATCCCTATTAAAAGCCTTACGACGATCCGGGGGGAGCTAAATATCAACCACATAAATCCTGCAGGAACAAGGTCTAATTGGCCCCAGCACAACGAGCCGCCACGAAGATCGATCTGGAGAGATCGAAATTAATCGATTGATTGCTCTCATCCCACTATCGAATCTTCGCTGCAGAGTCGGAGTTACGATTCAAGCCAGATGGCTCGAAATCTACGGATAGAAACATTACGATGAGCCCGCCAATTTTCATCGGGTATATTTAGCAGCATTGAAACTACGGGATCTTCGCCCAACCAGCTACCTGGTAACTATTATGCTGTCAAGGTATGCTTCGAGAATTCCGTGCTAATACAAATGCGCCAATTATTCCGTACCGACAGAAGCATTGTGTTCACTATCCTGGTAGCCATGACAGGTTCACCATTTCCCCATATTCGCACGCAAACCTCCCAGAACCTTGTTCGCATAGCATTCATGCGTTCCGAAGGCATTCTTTCAATGCTGTCTGCATGGCTATTGCATGGCCATCCCCATATATGATCGGCATATGTCCGAACTAATTGTCGTCCCAAGAACATGGCTGGCCCGCCAATATTATTCGACCAAACGTCTAGCTGCCGTGATTCATGTATGCGATCTGATATGTAGCCGCACGATGAAGATGTCGTTGGTCCATTCGCTTTAACCATGACACAAATGCCCAGGTATGCACATACAATATTTGAGGAGGTGGCTATGTTTCTTCCTTCAAACATTTCATGCAGGTAAGCAGGCAATTGAATTGGGCAATTGTCATCAGGTCGGATAACTGCAGTTCTTGGAAACGTAGTAGTAAGCCAATCACAGAACAGGATTCCTTCTCATACTAAGAAATCTAGCTATGCACATAATCAGGGGAAAGCTACAGGAAACCTTCCGCTTAGTACTTGCTTGGTATGTAAGTATGCTTGGCAAATCGTCAAACTTCGGTTCGTAGGATGAATAGTGTTCTGACAATAGGTAGCGCTTCCCCCTTTCATTTACAAAATTCACAAAAGAGCCGTACCTTACGCTTACTTAGCAGAAGGGCCTCGGAATTAGTGCCCCATGTAATAATAATACTGGAATACACTGTATGCACTTTATCACATATGGATGCGTACAGTGTATCACAGTATTATTACTACATGGGGTACTAATTCCGAGGCCCTTCTGCTTAGGTAGGTACTGTTACTTGCCTAACCTACCGGAAGCTGTCAGCGCGCTGCATCGTCAGCATATCAAGAAGTAGGTAGATTAGTAGGTAGGTACCTAGGTATGTCAGTTCGGGGCCGAGAATGTTTCTGACGCCAGCGTATAGCTTCCAGCTCGAATGTTTTACCCTATTCGCAACTTCTGGATAAATTCAAATGCTATTTTTACCTGCGGAAATGATATAGAACATCCGCAAGTAAGACAACATGAAGAAGCATAACAACGGAAATTTCTTTCTCTTTTCTTTCTTTCTTTCATGGCTAGCTGCCTACCTATGCAGATGTTGTGTGGACGTTCCATTGGTCCTCTCGGGATATTACTCTTGTAAGTGGCGCTTACACAAAATAAGCGTTTTTAAAGCGCTTTTTTTTTTTTTTTTTGTTTCCGCTCAGCGCCCGCTTCCTTCCCAAGAGGTTGTCTCAGTTCACAACGCGTATTCTAAGAGGGTACAACATTCCCCATTCCCAATCTCCACTAAACGCCGCGCTACGCAAAAAGCAGCCCGGGCGGAATCTACGCCAAAAACGTCTCCGGCGGCTAGGGATACGCCTTTTCATGGCGATGGCGCTGGCGCTGCGGGTGATCCGATCGATCAGATCACCTGCGCGATATGATCGGCACTCGACAGTTTTTGCTTTTTGTTATTGCGTGTCTTTCTTTCCGCCCCCGCCCCTATTCCTCGCAAGCCCGATTTACCATGTCATCACCTAGCTAGGCACGAAATGCGTAGATCTACCGCAGACTATCTGCTCGCTACCCCCTTAGCCCCCACCACCACCAGCCCGCATCCTCCTAAACCTCTCCTCAGCCGCGCGTGCCCTCCTCTCGCGATCGAGCCTCATCCTCTGCTCGGGCGTCAACCCGCGCGCCTCCTCCTCTCTCTTATCCTGCGCCGTCTTCTTCACGCCGGCATCTAGCAGGCTTCTCCCTCGGCCCTTACCACCCCCATTCGCATCGGGGACCTTCGGGCCTTCGCTTTTGAGCCTTAATTCCTCAGCTTTGCGTCGCTCGGCTTCTTTCGCCTCTGCTTCCTTGCGCTGGCGTTCGTCGCGCTTATCCGCTTCGACTTTCGAAAGCGCCGGTGGCACCCTCGCAGCCTCCCAATCCCACTTCCCCTCGCCAAGTTCGTCGCGTGCGACGCGGAAAGCGTCTCTCGTCGGCCGATCTCCCGCGAGCTCGAAGGCCGTTTTGCCCTCCCTATTCTTGAGCGTGGGGTCCGCGCCCCCCTTCACGATTAGGCCTAGGACGAGCGGCGCTGAGTTCTGGTTCGCAGCCAGGTGAAGGGGCGTGGGAGCGTGGTAGTTTTGCGGCGAGTCGGCGGGTTGGAAGAGGAAATTTGCTGGAACATCATTGCTTTTGAGGTAGGATAAGAGAGCTTGAAGCTTGGATCTGCGGATGAAGGCTTGGAGTTGTGACGTATGTAGTAGCGCTGTCTCTTCCTCCTCTGACAACTTGGGGGCTGCTGGTTTCGCAGGTTTGGAAGAGGCAGCTTTAGTAGATGTTTCCTCTTGTGTCTTGATTTGTTGATTTGGGTCGATCTCGCGAACTTTCAGCCGAGTTAACTCGATAAAAGACCGCATTAGCTCGTTCTGCGTGGCTCGTCGCGTGCTGAAGGGGAAACCCCGTATGCGTGGGTCGTTAGCTCGTAGGACTTGGTCTTCGTAAGGGCCGAAGAGTGTTCTCCGGTTCGTGGCTCCCGTTGCGCGAATGAATAGCAGCTCCGATGTGTCCAGTAGGCCTTTCCAGTCCTGTAAGAGTAGTCGGACCTCATCTGTCAGGGCCTGCTCGTTGTACCTACGGATACTAGAACCGGCCGAATGCGCGTTCCCTTTCGCATTGTCATTTGCCGATTGCGAGCCACCTTGTTTTCTTCTTGTAGTGTATCTGTGAAATGTTTTATGGGCTAGAACCGTGGCCTCTCTATTCAAGGGGCCTGTTGACCCATGCTTCGTTTGCCGCGGCGCCAGAGAGACTACCATAGCTGCGAAGTGACCACCGCCGATCATGCAAAGGAATATATGCGGACCTTTGTAGACAGCAGGTGCAAAATTGCCGTCCGGGCCGGGTTTGGGTACGGCTATCGGTTGTAGTTGTTTCTTCTTAATGATATTGACGATATTGCTTTCATCTCTAGATTCTTCCAATTTGAATATAGCTCGATATACGCCAAAATAGCTATTCTGGGGAAGGATGGGAGAGCTAAACCAAAGTAATGGTTGCGCGCCACCACCCCTCTGTCTCTTCGGAGAATACCCATCTTCATTATCTTCTTGGTTGTCATCTGTACCACCACCATTCTTCCTATCGGCTAAGTTGGCCTGCTTTTTCAAGAGGGTCGTTAGGAGATTGCTCTCCTTCTCATCGTCTTCGTCCTCGTCGGAATCAGGGGAGTCGGATCCCGAAAGGCTTTCGTCGAGGTCTGCGATTAGTTTCTCGAATTCGACTTCAGAGACTGGGCTCTTTCCTCTCAATTTTTGCTTCAGGTTGTAGTGGTGTAGATCCGACTTTAGATGGCCGCGTTGGTCTTGCACGGATGCAAACGAGAGAGCGCATAGTGAGCATGACGGTGAGCCTACTACCGAGGAGCTGCTCGGTACATCTTGTGTCTGCGGTGTTGCCTTGGTAGACTCCTCTTCTATGCTCTGTGGTCCGGCGTCGGCTGCGTCCTGCTTTAAGGAGAGGGTGCTAAGGACCTGGTCGGGTAGATCGTAGACTACATGGTGGGGTATATGGTTAGAAAAGGTTCTACAGTATCTTGCGACGGTAGGTAGAATAGTCAGATAATACCATAGAGGGGTCGCCTCAATAAATCATCTACTTTTTGATCCATTGCCGGCGACTCCGACTTGACCTCTCGTTTATCTAGAAGTTTCAAGGAGCGAAAGAGTGTTGGTGTCTTGGTAGAACTCTAGATGAACTTAAAGAACTTAGAAAAGAGAAAGCTCCTAAATTGGGAGCACCGATGACGAAAGTGGGTTGAGAACCTGGAAGCTTTGGTGGGGTAGTGAAGTACCGTACGTAGCTTCCTTTGTTTTACAGACGGTAGGCACCAAGTCGGCAGGAACCATATCCATTACTTATAGCATTCAATAATTGACTCAATCTTACAAATATCTTCTAATTCAACTCTTTTCAACCCATAGACTAGGATCTATTGATTATGAGTCTATCGGCCAGCTATTTAAATTTTCACAAATTCTCATTGGCGACAATTAGACCAACTCCATTATGGTCCGTTATGAGTAATCGGGTTCCTACTTTACACAGCCTCTTTCAACACCAATACGAATTTCATTTTCGGAAAAGCGCAGGAAAGAAACTTAACTCGCGCGAACACAAACCTGAGGGCATTCGGAATCGAAGTCGATCCTAAGCTGGTGGCCACTGATACTAAACTTCAGCAAGGTCGGTTTCTCTTGCGAACCAGGAAACCAACTTGCCACCATAAAAATCGTACAATGTCAGAGACGACGATGACAATTTCTGCGTGGCAGGTAGTCAATAGAGATAGGAAAGTAACCCGAAGGGATGATGAAGTACTAAAGATTCTCCCACACTTGAGAACAGAGGCAATCCCAATTCCAAAAAGAGACACAATGCCAATCTGTACCTCTAACTATACGTATAGGTTATGACATAAAAGCATTGTCTTTTCTGTCAAAGAGCTTCCGATTGTTGACGAAGGATAGTCGATCAGTACCTATCTAGTCTACGATTCTCACACCGGACAATCAAGGAGCTTACTCTCTATTTCACAAAGCCTCCATGAAGCTCACAAAGAGACAATAATCTTGTTGACAGATCCTCTCTTTGATGTACCACGAAGTGAAGCACTGCTCCTTACAATATCGCAGAACAATCGCATTGACTGGGCGTAAGCTGCCATACAAATACTCGGCGTCTAGCACTACTCGATCAATCTATCTGCTTCCAAGTTATCGATTCTATTACTCTGTAATTCTAGAGAGAAGATTTGTTGAGCAGTCTTCTTTCCTAGATATCTAAGTACCTGAGTGATAGTCTCATGATTACACACACTTCCAACCATCTACTATTACCTAGGTAAAATACCGCCAATATGCCGTGCACCTGCAAACGCTTAACAATCCGTTACGCTTGCCGTCACAAGGAGCGAGAGTTTGATAGATGTTGGCGGTATCAGTTTAAGAAGGACTTCCCATGTCTCGGCATGATCGTCTCAAACTGCGAGGCCCACGTAACGCACACCACGGTACCCCGAGTTTGTAGGAGATGTTTCGAGTTCTTTCTCGGCGCATTCGGAAGGAAGGCTGCTTATCACGTAAGTAAAAAGTTCCTCGAGTTTAAAGGAAATAATGGACTCTCAAGGGAGGTCATTGACCCTGCAACGGTTCCCCCTGAGGCGTACATCTCATCAGCAGAACTAGCTACGCTAGACTCTACTACCGCCTATTGGAGTGGACAGCCAATTGGGCAGCCGTTTCATCCCAGAAGTCCGATGAGAGCAACCAGCTACAGGGATCTTCCATCGGCTGACATTCAACAACCGGAGCCCGTTGTCCACCGGAAACGTCACGGAGATCGTCGCCCGTCACGATCTAAGTCGCGGTCAAAGTCTGCCAAGGCCTCCAGAAAGAAGCCAATTCCAAGGAAGCCAGTCCCCGGTCAGGGCAAAATATCCAAGAGGGACATCTCTAAGCCAATACTCCCTATCCCAACCGGTGGAAGCGACTTTGAGTCTTTCCCAGTAATATCCGATAATACAGTGGTGGAGTACGGAACCAACGAGCCTATCGATCTTTCAGATCTCGTTGAGAACGAAAATGACAATGACCTTGATTATGAATTGATCTACCACGGAAGAGTTTCCAATCGCTTTCCCCACCAACCACTACCTATCCGCCTAAAGCCGGTGTCTAAAGAACCCCATCCTCAAGCCTCGAGTAGTTCACTCGTGAAGAGAATCACCAAAGCGGCTGAAACGACCAGGATCATGGGCTACCCAAACCCAGAGCATAAGGACTTACCTAGCGTGCCTAAGTTGGGAAAAGCGCCCAAGGTCCCTGCCTGGAGAGTAGAGTCCCCAAGCCCCGAGCCCAGCACGACCAGTGAAGACAGCAAAGGTAAAAGTAAAAAAGGTCGCAGCAAAAGCGCGATCCCCTTATCACGCACGCGGGATCTTTCACCAGTTCCCAGGCTCCCGGCACCGGCCACGGCCACGACCACCGAAACCTACCGTATGTAATACCGAGAATCATCTTCCCCCTTCTGGCCTCCAGAGCCATCTCTTAAAGAGCTTACTGACTCTTAATGTACAGTGGTACGTGGCAGAACCTCATCTGAGTTGCTTACTAGACCCAGAGCCACCTCTCTGAGTGACACTCTCCGGATCTCTCTGCCGCCACGCACGGCCGGGCTCAAGAATTTCCGCGAGAAGGGTATTCCGTCGGCGGCGTTCTTGCTTGAAGAAAATTTCGGAGAGCAAGTACAGGCTGCTGAGGATTCCCCCACGGTGCTTGTTTCTGTCAGCACACCCTCTCCAGCTTACTCGTGCGCTGTGCAATCGTGTTACTGCTCGCAGGGGGATGATGCCCAAGTATGCCCCAGCTGTCTCGAAAGGCGGAGATTGGAGCCTGAATTACAGTCGAAGTGGCTTTAAAGGGACTTAGGATAAAGGTAAGAAAGGGTAAGTTCGTTTCATACTAATGGTGATCGCGACAATCAAGGTAAGCATATTTTGCTTCGCTGGCTTCGTCTCCCACTTTCTCATATCACCCCATCTGCATCTGTACTTGGAAGCGGGACGTGGTAGATTAAGGGAGCGTGTTTAAAATCTGTTATAACGTTAAGGTAAGTATCTGGAGATAGGTCAGTAGCGTAATATCAACCCTGAAAATGCTCTGGATAGCATTTTTATATAACATACGTTTTCCATATTCTTTTCTCCATGTGATTTCAAATAAACTACTTGAAACGTGATACAATAGGTAGCCATAGTCATGCTCTCAATGGGATTCATGGTAGGTCTTGAGAAACGGTATCTCTGTAAGTTAGAAGACTGCAAATATGCCAGGGGTTTCATTCATAATCCGACAGTACCGAGGTCAGTCATACCATAAGAAAGCATTGAGGCCCGACCGAAAACATTTGGGTATCATTAAAATATCAAGGAAATAATCGTAACTTAGGTTTGGCTTCTGGAAACCCGCCTTAACTCATTTCCTTGACTAGCTTTCGTACCAACTTCTTCTGCTGTTCGATAGTGAGGTTTTTCTCATCAGTCTCCTTCACCGCCCGCCCAACAGCTAGCACGGTCTTGACTTTCTCACTATTAACCCATATCTTCCCGTTCCTACCGACGGCAGTCTCGAACGCAAGACCGGCGGTTCCGAGTTCCTCTAGGACAATGACTTTGCCCTCTTCAACGGACTTGCGCATGAGGAGCCGTCGAGCCATTCCTAAGGAGATGTCGAATAGCATCCCGCCATTCAAGGGACCCAGACCGTCTGCTTTGCCTGTGCTTGGCGACACGCATTCCAGCTCGGGATCCATGTGCCGATTGGCAAGGCAGACCCTCGCGTAGACCAGAGCCCCGGGATTCAGGTTGGGCCGCGTCTTCTTCGTGGCCATCTCGAATGCTAGCTGAGGCAGGATAGCATTGGAAGTGTACCCCGACAGCATGACGTAGAAGTAATCCACTGCCGAGTGGTGAACGGATCCAATGACGAGGTCACCGACCGCGGGTATGTACTGCGAATTTGTTTAGTTTGGCTTTGTCGTAAATTAGGGGGAGGATAAAGGTGCTTACTCGACCTCCGTTGTACTCAACCCATATCGAATTCTTCCTGTAATATGTGACGAGCTGGCCAGCGACTGTGGGGACCAGCTCGTTTGGAGGAATGTGTCGAAGTCCAGGACCGAGTCTTAGTGGCCGCTTTGGATGAGAGGGTATTAATGAGGGATCTATTTGATCGCCGGGGAGGACGAATATCCTCTCGCTCTGTTCAACCGCCATTTTGATCTTTATGTTGATGTATGAAAGTTCAGTGTCTTAAGTCTCAAAATTTAGTGGGGCTTGGTTATTGTACCCAAAGGTGAGGCTGGTTTTAGCTACTAGTTGTGGCTGGGGCGTGCTAGCTTGTGAATATCTTGGCGGTATATGGAGGGGCTATTGTGGCTAGTGTTAGCGGCATTACCATGCAAGTAAGGCAGACAAGGGTCTTATTAGGTAGCGTTGAGGGAACTCTAATTTTTTTTCTTTTTCAAGGTCAAAATTTTGGCAAGTCGCCGAATTCGAAATCTCACACCCCACCATAACCACGCACCAACTCCGTCAAACTCGTTAGACAGTCTTTTAGACATTTCTAATAATATAACTCTCCCACCCCGATATCAACAAGACGACAATTCTCGAAATTTTGCACTCATGAGTGAGAAGACCGGTCAGCCTGGCGTTTCGCCGGATGAGCGAGTTGCCATCGGTATATCTTATGGCAACTCCTACAGCTCTATCGCCTGCACGATCGACGACAGCCCTGTCGTAATTGCAAACGAAGACGGAGGTAAGAGACGGCATATTAAAATCCTAGATTTTTATTTCATAAAGTGTGCTATAGCTCACTAATTCTATGACAGACCGACAAATTCCCACGATTCTATCCTATGTCGAGGGCGAAGAGTACACCGGAAACCAGGCCAAGGCTTTCTTAATCCGAAATCCCAAGAACACTCTCATTTCCTTCAAAGACTTCCTCGGCCAAGAGTATGTATTTTCTGTGGAATATATCGCTTTTTGACTACTTTACTTACCTTTGCGACAGGTTCAAGTCGATTGACCCTACCCATTGCCATGCTGCTGCTCACCCTCAGGACTCGACTAGTACGATTACTTTCACAATCCAGGACAAGGTAGAAGGAGAAGAACCCTCGACTCTCTCCGTGAAGGAGGTATCCACCCGGTATCTACGCCGTCTCATGCAATCTGCTTCGGATTATCTCGGAAAGAAGGTCACCTCTGCCGTTATATCGGTGCCCACCAACTTCACAGAAGCTCAGAGAGAAGCTCTGATCCAGTCCGCAAATGACGCCGATCTTGAGGTCCTCCAATTGATCAACGAGCCCATCGCCTCCGTTCTTGCTTACGATGCGAGACCTGAGGCCGAGCTAAAAGACAAGATAATCGTGGTGGCTGACCTTGGCGGCACTCGCTCGGACGTTGCCGTGGTCGCCTCAAGGGGTGGCCTGTACACCATTCTCGCTACGGCTCACGACTACGAATTTGCAGGCGTTCATTTAGATGGTGTCCTTATGGACCACTTCGCGAAAGAATTCATGAAGAAGAATGCTAACGTCGACCCTCGAGAGAACGCAAGGAGCTTAGCGAAGCTCAAGGCAGAATCCGAAGCTGCCAAGAAGGCTCTTAGCATTGGTAACAATGCCAGCTTCAGCGTTGAGAGCTTGGCAGAGGGTATCGACTTCCAAACTACCATTAACAGACTACGATATGAGACGATTGCGCGCAAAGTCTTTGAAGGTTTCAACCGACTGGTCGAGGGTGTGATAAAGAAGGCTGGCTTAGACGTACTCGATATTGACGAGGTCATCCTGTCTGGCGGTACATCACACACACCTAGAATCGCCGCTAATTTCCGGGCCATATTCCCGGAGACCACTGCCATCCAGGCCCCTTCAACGAGTGCCACCGCTATCAACCCCTCGGAACTTCAGGCCCGTGGTGCGGCCCTGCAGGCCTCGTTGATCCAGGAATACGAGGCCGACGATATTGACCAATCGACACACCCTGCGGTCACGACCGTAAAGCACATCACGAACGCAATTGGTGTTATCTCATTATCCGACGAAGGTGAAGAAACTTTCACCCCTGTTATTGCACCGGAGACGGCCGTCCCAGCTCGCCGAACAGTGCACATCGCAGCTCCCGAGAACGGAGGAAGTGTTTTGGTGAAGGTAGTTGAGGGTGGTACCCATATTAAGGTTACGAAGCCCGAGCCTAAGCCGAAAGAGAACGGCAAGAAGGAAGACGACGATGAGGACGAAGACGACAGCGACTTCGATGATTCCGACGAGGAGGAGGAAGAGCACCGAGAAAAGGTGTGGAAGATCGGCTCTACCTTAGCCGAGGCGGCCATCCGGGACGTCAAGAAGGGAGGCAAGGTCGAGGTCACGATCAACGTGGCGGGCGACCTTGCTGTCACCATCACGACGAGAGAAGTCGGCGGCAAGGGCGGCGTCAGGGGTACTTTGCCGGCCCCTTGAGAATAGACTGACTACCTCCCTAATATTTTTGTGCCCCTGTTTTCCCCTTTGATTTCGGTCTAATGAATAAGGGGGGTTCTATGATGCTTGGCGTGGCGGGCTTCTAGATAACGCGAGAGATGGGAACGGATGGAATTGATGTCATGTGGAATGCGAGATGCGTCCGACGTTCCACGTTCCTGGGGCAAGAATACCTTTTACGTACCTACCTACCTAGGTAGTAGATATGAGGTAGGGCAGGCAGGCGGGCAGACAGGTTATACAGAATAGACAAAAGGCATCTTGCACAACATGAGACGATTATTAAGTACAGGGTGAAATGTTGACATGTTCCATCTATAAGCGCTCAGCATTAGTTCTTGATTAATTTCGCAACTTTGCCTAGGTATTTTAGGCGCGCTATTTTTATTCGATTCCCCTCGCTCGGCGTGGTTACATATTAAGGTAACAAACGCAGACGCAGATGCACATTCCTTACTCCCGCTTTCTATCGCGATTCCAGGCTCCTTCGCCCTTCCATCCCATCTTTTCTATACCAATATAATAGCTGAAGTAAAGAAAAAGAAAAAGGAGTACCTAGGTAGCCGAAGGAAAACAGCGCCGATGCGAACCTAGCATATATACTAGGTATATACGAACGTATGAACATATGAATGTACGTATGCCCCGTACCCGAATTACCTATGTTCCGCTAGAAAAGAAAAAAGATGCGCGCGAGGACGCTGGCTGAAACATGCTGTACGCAAATACACGAGCAAATAGGGCAAACAAGCAAGCCACCACCACCTTTTTCGCAACGTACCACACGACCCCTCCCCAGGCAACTACGCACCCTTACCTTTCGGGCTGCTGCGTTCCTACGTAACAGTCCCCGGCAAAGCCCAAGCAATCAAGTCCTCCCTCTCCTCATATTCATCCACCTCCCTCTGCCGGCGGAATCCCTCGCGCCCACGATCGCTCCCCAGCGTCGGGGTTAAGCTCGCCAGACTCTCGCTGCGGCCGCGCAGTCCTCCCGAATCGCTACCGCCAATGGGTGGACTATCGTGGGCTCCGTCGTGGGTATGCGCCATCTCGTCTTTAAGCAATCTGCCACTACCCCGACGGCCGCGCCCACCTCCGCCTAGGTGAGTGCTCATATTCCCCATCACCGTGTGCGTGCTCCCACCGCTGTGCGTTCGGGAGTGCCCGTGCGAGCGCATGCGCCGGATATCGCTCGGTCGTAGGGTGCTACCGCCGAGACCAGCGGGATTTTCGTCGCCGCTAGCGCTGCCGCTGTTGCTATTCGTGTTGCTGTGACTGCTATCCACAGACTGACGGCTGCTCCTCCTACGAGTAGGCGGCTTAGCGCCGGGCCGCGTCGTATCACTCCAGCCGTCGCCGCCCGAAAAGATATCCTCGATACACTCGTCAGCGGGCAGCTCACCAGGCTGGCAAGCCCAGCTCGCGGCTAGCGAGCGACGGTACATGTCCTGGAGCTCGGAGGCGTCGCGGGATTTGCTGAGGCTGTTGGCGCCGGGTGGGTTATTGTTCTTGCTACTAGAAGGTGGGGAGCCGTCCTCGGAGGGAGCCTCGACCTGGATCTGCTGGTCGTTGCCGGTGCCCGTCATGATGCCGGCGATGCCGCCGAACATGGGCGCCGTCTTTAGCGCGGGCGCGATGTAGTTTCGCTCGCCGTCGATTTGGACCATGAGGATCCCGATCTTTAGTGTACTGTTGATCTTGCTGTCCTGCATCAGGTACCGCCGCACGATGCCCTCCTCCGCCTCGTCGTCTACGACGTCGATTTCCTCCGGGTGAGGAGCGCTGGGCGGGCTAGAACCACCCACGACGGGAGCGCCGCTGGCGGATCTGCTGCTGCTTTGTCTCCGGTGCGATAGGCCCTGTCCGGCCCGCGCGTAGTCGAGGCTGGCGCTGGTGCGTGGGCCCCGTCGGGGGATATTCTCGCTTTCTTCAACATATTCGCTTAAGTTGAGACGAACGTAGCCGAGGGGAATCTTCTCGTCGCGACCACCGGTGGCTAAAGGGAATTCCTGGAGAATCTCGAATTCGATGGGGCAGTCTGTTAGGTTGTTGGCGCGATCGATAGAGATGCGCAGAGGCACTATTTTGGAGTAGTTGTAGAGGACGCGGTGGTTGATCTTGTCGATGGAGCATTTTGCGGTGCGGCCACGATGCTCGCTATGCATGGAGTTTGGGAGATGCCATTTTATCGTGGATGTACCAGCCACGAGGGGCACGTTGTTCAGATCATAGATGGTGAGGTGAAGCTCAAATTTCGGCTATAAGGACAGAGACGATGCGTGTTAGAATCGGGGATTATATATATGAAGGATGGATAAGGCGTATTTACCTTCCGCGCCTTATTAACTATGGGAAAATTCCGCATGTTAGCTCGAGCAATTGGTGAAATTCGCTGCGCATAGCAATGGGTATGGCAGCAGAATCAAAAGACATTATGTTTATAGGTTATCCCCGTAACTCCGAGCCGCGAGGCAGAAGACAACAAAGAAGCAAATGTAATCGAGTTGAAGAGCAGACACAGGGATATATATGGTATGGAATATGCTGACACGCACACGAGACAATATAAATTGGTCAAGAAAGTCATGAAGTTACATGTTCGCTTACTGGATGAATGCGAGACAGCGGAATAAAAAGAGAGATCGAACAAAAGAGGAATGCGGCTCAAGAAAGAGAACGACGGCGACGGAATTGGAATTGTATTTGGGGGGGAGCATGCAGGCTTACATACTCAGGGACGCCATAATAATATAATTAAAGCCGCATTCACCCCAACGGCAGAAAAGCACATGCTACCTGCCGCTTGCTACTAGTAGAAAGCGAACGGAGGCGGCGGTACGGCGGCGGTAGTATACTGGTACTGGCACTGATAACAGCATGCAGTCATGGTTTGAGACCGATTTGGGAATGATGACAGCCGATACGCAGCCTGCAGTGCGCAAGTCTACAGCCCGCAGGGCAGGGCCGACTAGGTACTAGATGGTGTAGGCCGGCTGCTAGTAAGGAATGATCAATTCTGCTCGGCTTCACCGGATCGGGAGGGAAAGGAACGAATCAAGATAGTTCGGTAAGGGGGGATTGACTCGAATTAGCTGACCATGTAGGGGATGTAGGGAGGGCTACCCTAGTTCGTCGTCATTTCGTCATGTCACTGGTTGATGTATTGATGTATTGGGAAACTTGGAAGATAAAAAGTCAAGATCGTTGAAATTCCAGAACGTGAAATGGAAGTAACATGTAACATGATTGACCCATCACCTGCTTTCGGACCCAACAAAAACGCACCTGCCTCAGCTTGGACGTAAAACAGACCTATTTCAAAGTACATATACAACAGGTAGCTAAAACTTTAAAGACGTCATCCCTTGGATATTTACCACTTAAATTTAACAATAAAAACGGCTTGGCAGACCGGTCTCCAGGTACAGAGTACAGACATAATATCAGTGCGTGAGTACCTCAGCTTCTGAATCCAACTTGGAACTTCCAATTCACTAGCGGAATTTCTACTAGCCCGGCAACCACTTTACACGTCCACTAAGGGTTAGCGAGATCAGATGCTAGTAGCATGCAAGGTCCACTTGGTGTCCCTAAACGCTACAACACTAAAAAATTACATCCCATCTTACCTAAGAAAAGCACGAGAAGACGCGAAAAGTGCTACGCGTTTAGTGGCTGAGGGCATCTCGGAATTCGTATATCGCATCGTACGAAGTCGGTATACGATAATCATGACAAGCTTAACCCAGCTCGGGCTTATAGCTGCTAGGTTACCAGTCCTATTCTGATGTTCCGGATCATGCATCAAGAGGGGATACCAATACTGGCAACTAAAACCTCGGAAATATCATCGGATCCAACGGATCTCGAATCGAGTGATTTTTCTTGACAGAGGACAAAATGCCTCCTCAGAATGCACCACAGCCGAAGCCTGCAGGGGCATCGGCCGTAAAGTCTGTCTCAACGAACAAACCAAAAATCAGACCTGAAGCATCTGAAAACCCGCCACAGTCTAAGTCCAATAAGAGAAAACAGCCACCACAGCAAAATGCAGGATCGAATAAGTTGGACAAGGACACTGACTCTGGACGAGGTCCAAAGCGTCCGAAGATGCATGAGGTTCGAAGTATTGCTGCTCAGAAGTCTCACGCTGCTTTAAAAGATGGAGAACTCAATGTTCAGTCGTTCGTGAATTCTCTATCATTTGAGATGAATGCCCTAGATGAGAGCATGAGACGTACTAGGACCTCCCAGAGTAGTCGAGCATTTCAGCGTGTGCCATTTAGGATGAGACGTAGAGCCGCTGCTCATAACTTCAGAAGAGTTCCAAAACGTCTGCAGAAGAGGGCCATTAGGGAGATGGAAGAGGACAATACCCCAACAGCTAACTCCAAGACAAGAAAGCCAAAAACCACCAAGGCCAGGATAAGAGCTGAGACAGCCCGGAGACTAGGAATCCTTGCAAAACGAAAAAGACTTCAGAAGCTGAAGAGCTCTGGCGTTGATAAGGAAACTATCTCCATAAGAGCTGCGAGGCCTAAGATACGAAGGAATACAGTCAACGAACCTATTATCACGGCTAGGAAGTTCCGAAGACGTCAGATTTCGAAGACATGGCTCCCTACTCATTTATGGCATACGAAGAGAGCGAGGATGACGCCTCCGAAGGAACCATTATGGAGATTTTCGATTCCCCTTACGCCGACACAGAAAGTGTACCGGCCAACTCATCGTATTCAATGGGAAAAAGGTGCGATGGCATGGGATATGAGTTATATGAGTACTATTGGTTTATCTGGACCTCAGAATAGCGTCCACAATATTCTCAAGTCACTAGGACTTACGCAAGAAGCCCTATGGAATGACAAGGCAAAACGTTGGAGATCAGGTGCCATGCATTGGTCCGGGACATTAACTAGGAAAAGCAACGACAGTGTGCAGATTATCGGCCCGGCGACTATTGTTTGGAATCCGGAAAAGGGGGTCAATGACGCAGACCAGCGGAAACAATTTAGGCAACTTTATATTCGTATTCACCCCTCAGCATTCTTGGAAACATTTAACGAACTTCTACGACTCGCGAAGGCCCAAAATCCCCGACCGTATATAGAGGACTTGAGGTTTGAGATAGGAAGCATTGATATTACTGGACCCGACTCTACAGAGGCTCTCCTAGGTGTACTCAAACCTTATCCTCCAAAGTCCGAAGGTGAACAATCCCACGTTTCCAAATTTGAATCACTTGCTGGTCTGAAGGACCCAGGAACCTTACCTTTTGGGTGTCTTTTGGCCTTCTCCGTCGCAGATCCTCGCCTCCGCTATCCGCCACGACAGGTAACTCTTCCAAGGGTGGATGATCATAATGCGCAAAAAGCACTTCTAGAAGCCATATCAAGTTTCCGGGGAGAGGAGGAAATCAATCCTCATCAGCTATTCGATAGAGACGCACGGTTCAAAGCTTCTAAGCTTCCATCGCAACAATCTCTTAATCGTCGACGTGGCAAAGGTGCTCCAGGAACCAACCTCAAGCCTACTACAATCGATCCACCTATTCCCATAATATTACTTGCTTCTCGCCACTCCATAGGTTCCCAATCCGCCGGTACTTGGACATTGATGTTACCATGGAAATGCGTTCTCCCTATATGGTACAGCCTGATGCATTATCCCTTGTCAACGGGCGGTAACCCTTGGTTCGGAGGTCTAGATGAGATCAGGCACCTTACCTTCGAACGAGGTCTTCCATGGTTCCCCGGAGATTTTCCAGGCACAGATGCGGGTAAAGTCTGGGAATTAGACGAACGAAAAGTGAGGCAGAAATTGTGGAATCGCAGACCCAAAGCCAAACGAGTCAATTGGGAATCACTTGACCTAGGAGCAGGTCGGAAAGGCGAGGTGGGAATAGGATGGGCTTGTGATTATGAAGTACTCTTCGGCTTCAAGAAAGCAGACGAGCCTGACAAGATGTTGGTGGATGAGAAAGATGGGGATGGAGCACCAGAGCAAAAATCACCGAATGAGACACAAGCAGCGCCTGTAAACCCTTTAGAAAGCATCACGCAGCTTTCCAAATCCACATTTACCGCTCACCAGTCACCCACATCCGAACCGCCTCCTCCAACTTCATTGGTGACGGTGAATATCAGGATTCTAGGACGCGGAATAGCAAATACCTGTGCTAGGGTCTATCGGCTACCAGACACGAAACCCGCCAGAGTCTCGACACAGGCTGAAGTACCAGCTACGAACCCTCATTATAAGAAGAATGAGGGCAAGCTGCCGCCTAACCTGCGCGATCAGTGGCTAGCACAAAAACCATCCAAAGGAAGCCCTAGAAAGAAAGTTGTTGTCAAAGAGGACTTAGACCTAGAGACACGGCAACAATTACTCGCACAGCAGCTCCTCGGCCCGCCGGAGCCGTACCCACCGCCTCCCCCTAATTCGGAGAACATCCAAGGTCATCCTCTATGTCCGGGTGAGGAAGACCTGATCGGATTTGTGACGACTGGAAGTTTCAACCTTAGAGACGGGAGAGGCGATGCAATTGGAAGTTTCTCAGCCACGAGGGTGCTGGAGGAGCTAAGGCGGTATAGGAACAAGAATGACCCCAACTCCCGACTTTGCGTGGTCAGGAACGCGGGTCAGAATATTGGTTGGCTTGCAAGGTGGGAGTTGATTTAAACTAGTCGATACCCTTGAGATAATAGAAGGTGCATTCAAATACAAAATCGAGTATTATACGCAGTAATACCCTTAACCATTCAAGTTAAACTACGTTACAGTCCAAGACCAGAAGGTTACTAGGTTAGCATTAATGTCTTTATCATCAGGATAGTCTCTACAGGATAGTCAAGCTACTAAGTTAGTTCCGAGTCAATGTTGCCATTATTAATAATATTCTGAGGAAAGAAGGTATCTTCCACTTCTCGTGCGGATACCTCCTGTTTGTTCATGTTTACCCTGCTTTATAAGGCCGGTCTCTATCCCTTTTCCCTTACGTCGCACTCACCAGAACGAGCCTATGTTGCACGAACGAGCCTATGCGTGCAACATAAAAGAACAAAGATTATTGTATTAGTCCTAATTTTCCAGTATAATTCTCTATCCTTTTAATATCTTGCTGGCGAATAAGGTTGTCAAATAGGTGATATATTCTCCAGAACGTGACACATTCCACCCAAGAGTCGTTCAGTGTAGCATCGGTCATCTTCCAACTTGGTCCTTATTTCATGCGATGCTTGGTCACACGCAGTCACGCTCGTACGCCTTCATGTATACTCCTAGTGATCGACAAGGCAAAATCTAAAGTACTACCCCAACATTTGCTACTGGTAGATCTGTGTTCATCCGGAGCAAACCACGCGTATCTATGATAGTGCAGGCCCGGTCGCTCGGCGCCGCACTGACTGCGGTATCACCTGTACACCACGTACATGTACACTGGGCGGCGTCAGAAAAATAGATGATGAAGCCGATGAGTTTCTGTTCGCGAGCATGGCCGGAGGAGGCTCTACTCCGTGTACCCTCTTACCCCGCCCGGCTTCGTCTAAGGGATTACGAACGCAGACTGGCGAACTGGAGTGCCCCGTCGCATATTAGAGAGCCGAATCTAGTCCGACGTCTCGTAGAAAGACTCGTCAAGTTACAGTTTAAAGCCCAGGTAATCCAAGACGCGTCGAATTACGGATACCTAGATAATATGCTTTACTATATGGAGGTGATTTCCCCTTGGTTTATGAAGGGATGTTGGTGCCCCCTATTCTAATTGGCTGTACCTTCACTTACGTAATGCTAGCCACATCCAGGAGACACTCCCCCGCCCTTTAGAATGGGGGATCGATGGTTGCATAAGGGATCAGGTGTATTACAGTCAGCTACCTACCTTAATTTAACTGACTAATCCGCTCCAAGAACTGCGAACAACCTCCTTACCGCAGTACGCGGTACACGTGTAAGAATAACGTTTAACTAGTACCTAGCCCACCTGTCTTAGCCATGCACCCAATCAGTGGTCGCATAGAATAGCCTACCAAGCTTTTGTCAAAAACCAAAAGATCGACACAAGAACCCTCCCTGCCTCCATAAACTCAGGCAATTCAGGGCATACCCCGCCTAGCGCGGGTCGCCCTTTCGTCACCAATGGGTCCTAGCACCTAAGCAGCTACGTAAGGTTAGCAGCTGCCTCCACTAAGGCCCGGACAGCTAGCCGCTGTGGCTCTGCGGAGGTACAGTTAGTTGTACCTGACAGAACAGCTGTAAGAACTTTAAAGGCACCTAGGATTGGCCGTCAATTCAGGAATAGAAAAGGTAAATTTTGTTCAATTGTATTGAAAATAAATGCTATAATAGGTATCTTCGGCTTTCTATTTAGTTAGAGAAAAGAAAAGCCATGTATGAGTTTGAAAGCGACATAAACCCGTCCCAACCATTTCCCGTAACGCCTTCCAATCTTTGTAATGTTCAAGACGTTCAAAATTCAACGATGCCTCATCCCGATCGTATATACAATTTTATCGTGAAAAGGTCATGGCCCTTTTGGGCATGGTGTCTGGGGGAGTCTCCGACGCGCCCGTGAAAAGACTCCGGACCCAGCACTTGAATTTCTCCCAGAGCTTGCAGATCTTATCCCAGATCCAAGACAGGCCAGACTTGAGATAGTCGAAGAGCATATCCCAAGGTATGAAATAGACCGCCGCCGCTGCCACCACTCCTAAAGCGACAGCAGGGCCGGCTGCGGTAGCGATAGGGGCTAGCTTCGTGCTGACCACCCCGAGCTCGGCAGCTGTGATGCCGAACGCGTATCTCACATCGATTCCACCTTCGCCTGCTTTCATCCCCATCACGGACTTATACGTTCCGATGACGAGACTTAATATCGCGGCTACCGTGCCTTTGATCTCGTCCCACTGGCCATTGGTACCTGCCAACTTCTCAAACAGTTGCAGTATCTCATCCACTTCGGTCTGCTTGAAGTCCTCGTGGTTTCGTACGATTCGCGACCATGGCGTATTAGGAGCAATGCTAGCCAGCTTGATGCGAACTCCTCTCTGGTACCCTAAGATGAGGGTATGATACTTGTGGCGATGCGCTTCCCACTTATCTAGGCGAATGTGGTGGTAAGTGGAAGATCCATCGATCAACAATTTCCCCTTGTCGCGCTTGGATGCACATCGAAGGACCTTGAGCTTGTCAAAGTGCGACGGCACATTGAAGGATATCTCAGGGACCTCACTGCTAGCAAGCAAGTTTAGGACCGTGCGCTTAGAAGTGGGCTTGATAGTGTCTATGGTCTCTTGCAAAGCATCGGCCGTTGTGACATGTATTGGAGGAGACCCTTTCATATTGTTAGATTCGTTCGGTAGCCCATCACATTAAATAGGACCACATACCTTTCAATTTTGACCATCCGCGATATTTGCACTCATCCCGCAATCGCTTCTTAGGAAGGTCAGAAATCACGATGGTGACACTGTGGGAATCATTCTCCTCACGGGCCACCTTCCCAACAGCTATCGCAACCGCTTCGATCGACTCCTCCACCTCATTCACGAGGGTCGAATCGGTAGATACTTGTGACATCGTGCAGAGCTGGCGGATGAGTTTAAGCCTTTGGCGATGTTTTGGGAGGTTGAAGGCTTTAAAGGGAGGTTTAGCGAAATTAGCCCCTAAGGGGCGGTGTGACTAAGCGTTGTAATATGGATGGCGGTTCAGTTTAAGACACAGGGGTTCACCACAACTTTCTCAAAAAAAGTGAGGCGTCATGAGCGTAAGAAGGGAGATGGATATGGAGGGAGAGAAGAGAGATAAGATATACTCCTCAACTATACATAAGACTACGTATGTAAGAATATGGGGACCCAGTATGGGGATGATGTGGCACCCGTGAAGATGGCCCACTGGAGGCGTCTATCAGCATCCGGGGCCAATTGAACAGCGCACTCGGGCTGGTTTCATACTATGACCTATCCAGCAAGACAACTTGGCGATGCCTGATGGGTCCAATGTACAATGATCTCGAACCAGCGATCTTCCAAACAACATGTAAGATGAAGCCACGATAATCCAATTAAATTTATACGGCGGCTTATCAAGTTCGAGCCTCCACTATGATCGCGGGTCGATTTCTATTCCCCGTTTTCACGGGCCATGTGTTTTTCTGTTGCGCTAGAGCCATCGACCAAACAACAATCGAGGCTGGCTTCGGGTCAACTGATGACTCCTGAAACTTACCTAATGCTTCTTGAATATCCGACAATCTATAGTTCCCACACCGACTCAAGGCGGCCTCTCAAAAACAAATCACAAACGACCGAATTAAAATCAAGTAGCATGTGATTTTAAACGTCAATTCATTTATGCCTAGGTACAATTTCTAACCAATTGACTCTGTAATAATAAGTCCAATAAGGGGCTTTCATTATTAGTCAGGGTTACCTCACCATCGCCTCACTTCAATTCATACCTGCTCATGATTGACTACTGCAACGACAACGCATCTGAAAAATAATTTACGCTGGCAGAGTTAAAGCATGTATGGTTTCATATATGATAAGCAAAGTCAAACTAGGTACCTATATTTCGTTACATATATTTCTCATCCACTTGAAATTCCCATGACTTTACTGGACTTGGCTTAGTCATCAACAGAGACAACTTACGTAAATTACCCCTGAACCCCTGAGTCGTGATAGACACAAAATAAATAGACCAAAACTTAAAAGAAACCGGCAATATATAGTAAAATCAAAGTCATTCAATGCTTCCTTTAGGAGACCAGATATCGACTAATCGCATTCAATCGACCTCCTTCCGGCCTTAGCAACTTGATCATAGACCAGTCCAGAGTCAGCTTCTTATCCGGGAATACTGTGAACATTCGATTGTGGCCACTGCATAGAGTAGATGTAAGGGGAGAGGGAGAAACTCACCAACCTCTTTAAAAATTTGCGTAATTACGGATATCCAATTCGTGATGGTCTCCAAGTGGCTCATACTCCTTTTTATATGTACAATCGACTACTCGGGTCGGACGCCTAAATTCGATGCCTTCCGCCATCTATTCGAAAGGTACCATATAACTATGTCCAAGATTCTCATTACGGGGTACTAAACTATGTATCTTTCCAGAATCTCTAGTTACTTAATCGATCCTTTATTAACACTAAGTGCAGCTCCAGCCCGGTTAATGTGCTGCACGGAAATATTAAATGAACATTGATATCCTAGAAAGACGTCTGTAGATTATTGGCTGCCAACGCCAAGTATCATCAACATCGGGAAGAAGCCGCGGGGTAAATGTAACGCGGCACTGCTCAGCACGACAGCATGTAACGGGATATAAGCGCATTCTCTCAAGTAGGCTATAGACATCTATCTCGGCACAGGCATAAGTGTCAGCTTGGCATTGATATCAGGGTCATACTGATTAGAGCTGTCAGCCGAAAAGCATTGTGCTGATCTAAGGGATATGCCGAATGGCAGTTAAGACCCTGATATGTATCTGCATGATGATAAACATTCATAATGGACATCTTCCGACGCTTCTATTAGACGATGTGATCCTGTTCCTTTCTACTCTGTATTCAACATGATCTTCCGTTATTAGAAACTCGGTTCCTCAGATATGGCGCGTAAGCAGCATTTAGTGCGCAGCCATGCGCACGAAGAAGATATTCCCGGGACCGTGAATGTCCAAGCCGTCGGTTAGTGTGATGAATGATTCCAATTGACTCAAATGTTGACTTACACTCAAACAGAGGGAGACGATGCCTACTATGGCCAGGCCCTTTTCCCTGTTCCGGCCGAGGACCCAAACGACCCCTTGCAAGTATGCGCTTTTCTAAACCTATGAATTGATTTTATCTATTTTCGTTCCATGACAAGAAAATTGATCAATCGCAGTGGTCGAGGGCTAAGAAGATTACGATCCTGGTGATTATGTGCGGATATTCGTTCCTAGGAAATTCGGCCCTCTTGGGCCCGGGCCCTTATTTAACACTTTGGTCAGAGGTGTTCGATATTTCCCCAGGAGATGCATCGACACTCATATCCTATCCAAACCTCGCCTATGGATTCAGCTCCCTTTTGCTAGTTCCTCTCTATCTAAAATTCGGAAGACGACCGGTAATGCTAGGGTCCATGTTAGCAGTCAGTCCCGTCCTTCCCCCTCCCCCAGGTTTTACCATACTGACTCCGGGTGAAGTTTATCGCTGGCCTCATTGGATCCGCATGCGCTAATAATTTCGCCGCATTAATGGCATGGCGAGTCATCTCTTCCTTTGGCGCTGGAATTTGCGAGGCCCTCCCCGTGCAGCTAGTCAGCGACATATTCTTCTTACATGAGCGTGGGAAGCACATCGGCTACTATACATGTAAGATGGCTTCACCTTGGCTTCTCAGGGATTTACTAACACTATGATAATTAGTCGGCATGTGCTTTGCGGCAGTAGCGACGATTCCAGCTGCGTACATGTTACCGACGAAATACTCGTGGAGGCTCTTCTTCTATGTAATGCTCGCATTCGCCATCGCTCTATTCATCCTTGCTTTTCTGTTCGTCGAAGAAACTTGCTACGATCGGGAGGCGCATAGGAGTCACAATACTTCCCCCGAACGCTCAGATGAGATAGCATCTAACGGCTCGGAAAAGCCCGACGAAGACACCGTCGAGCGAACGACGAGTATTCCAAAACGTAAATCGTTCCTAATGACACTTCGTCTGTGGGGTTATGTTGATCCAGAGGTCAATATCTTCACACTGATGTGGCGGTCCTTTACGTACTTCCTAGTACCGCAAGTTCTATGGGTTGTTACCTCCTTTGGAACCATCATAGGACTAGGCGCGTTGGCATTCAACTTCGTCTTCCCAATCAAGATCACAGCGCCCCCGTACAATTGGCCCGAGGTAAGTACTTATCCAAATAATAGATGCAACTGAGCAATTAAACTCACACTTCAACTCGTTATAGTCAAGTTCTGGCGTACAATCGCTCGGGTCCCTTCTTGGATTCCTTCTAGCCCTTCCATTCACTTCCACTTCAGATCGACTCGCAGCATACCTAACGCGACGCAACCACGGCATTCGAGAAGCAGAAATGAGATTAGGAGTAATGTTACCGGCCATGATCATAGGTCCAGCCGGATTAGTAGTCTACGGTCTTACTGCGCAGTTCAACTTGCATTGGATAGGATATTTCTTCGGATCTGGCTTGTCCTCTTTCGGCGGCTATTTCTATTACTGCTTCACCTTGGCATATGCGGTCGACTCGTATAATAGCAACACATCCGAGATGCTTATCGCAATAAACGTCGGCAAGCAGGCAGTGAGCTTCGGGTTGGGCTTTGGCGTCCTGGATTGGGTTCTAGAAAGGGGGTACGGTGTCATTATTGCAGGGGTCTTTGGCGCGGTGTTCCTGGCGAATAACCTAGCACTCATCCTGTTTATGTTCCGAGGTAAACAGATCCGACGGTTCATGTCAACATCTTGGTTAGCTAAGCTCCATGGAAGGGCAAATGGCCATGAATCACATACGTTGTGAGGCTGGCCCCTATATACGAGGTTGTGGGTATCAGCGTATTAAGTAAGTTTGCTTAAATCTTAGAAGATCATATAGATAGAAACAATAAGATCTATGGAATGATAATTGAAAACCTTGAGGGCTGCCTACTCGATTTTAATATCAATTTCCGCGAAATCATCTTTGGTTATCCCGTAAAGTACCGTTTTCTAAGTTAAATCTAGGAATACAGACGACAACACAAACACCGAGATAACCGATGTAAAGCAGTATCATACAAACAGCCCTAATGGTGCTTGGAAAAGCCGTTATCATGATCCTTTGGAAAAGGCTTGTATCTGCATTAAAGTGCTGCTTCTGAAAGAATACTGTTTACAACCACCTCACAAGTCCCCTAACAAGACCCCTTTGTGTCATTTGGTATACAGGCAACTCAAACGAGCTTATAATTGCGGTTGCCAGAAAAGAATTACCTACATACTCGTGATTCAAGTAGAATTCTGCTCAAACTACAAGTGCCATCGGTTCTATCAGCGATTGCGTTCATCAAACTCTCACCAGCTACATAATCCTCCGGAACCGACGCTAAAACATCAAGCCACTTTAGACTGACTGGACGGAATCAACTGTCGCACAATGACGGCGAAGAAACGCGTCCCTCTCCCCAATTCTCGACCACATAAACGTAAACATGCGTGCCTTGCAGATTCATCGCCGCCTACGGAAGATCCGGCCAAGTCAGATCCAGCAAAACGCAAGAGAGGGAAGACGAAAGCTATTACAAGTTGCGAGAGATGTAGGCATGCTCACATCAAGTGCGTCGCAAGGGGTCCGAGAGAGCCTTGCGAAAACTGCGCAAAGCGGTCAATAAGTACCTGCAGCTTCACGCAGCCCCTGAATACATCAGCTGTTAGTTCGAAAGCAGATCAAGAAGATGTCGAAGACTCACTCAAGGCTCAGGAGCTACGGATGATGGCAGCAACTGCCCTGGCGTACTTAAAGACGCAACAAATTTAATCTCGAACCTTGGCATCGTCAAAATTTCATCAACGGTGCTATAACAGGCGGTCCTAAAATTCATTTGCATGTTCATCGCGATGTTTTAATAGTGCAGTGGATATTTGGGATATATCTAAAAGTTTGAGAAGATCGGGGGGGATAGAATGTAGCAAGGGAAGAAGTGCGAATACATCGTGACGAGACTTTGCCATGAGGTTTTCAGGTAGCAAAAGGAGTTTATCCACAACACTGTCCATATTCACTAATCAACTACATTAAATATGGGTGGATATAAGAATATTCTCATCACATGCATTAAAGCCATATAATAGCTCTGTTATCAGGTAGGTATGATTCCTGAGTAAGCTGGCGCTAACTGCATATATCTTAGTACCAGGCCAAAAAGGGGCTTCTCTTTCACTTGATGTTGCAATGGCAGTCCCTAAATGTTGCAATACCAAGTAAACTTCAACTCAAGTAAACTCAAAGGTTCAACATTAAATATTATCTGCAAAGTTCTCATACAAAACAGCGTTATTTTGAAGTCCATTTAAAGCTCAATATTACCTTACGGCGATGCTTAAATACTACCCTTTAACAAAGACAAGTTTGATTATTGCAACAAGAGTTAATTTCTCCACTTTCCACATCAGGAAATCATGAAGCTATATTCGTTACTGCCCAACCTCTCGTCTGATGTTGCATCTGATGTTGCAATTTTTCAACTTCATCCGACTTCGATTCTCTTTAAACATCCCGAGAAATTTAATAGTGATTGAGTGGCAAGAAACTGCCTGTCAATACCTAGTCACAATTTCTCATTTCACAAATTCACAAATTCCAAAAAGCTCATAAGTTATTGGCCAAGGTAAATGCAATTGAATGAATACCTAGCAAACTAAGTACCCCAAAAAGAGAAAGATATCAGTAGCGACTGTGGCGGGAAGCTATCCATAATTGCTCATGAGTAGACACTCCCGAATTTTCCGTCTATTCCAACCCCTTTATCTATCAACATCACTCTATCATTTTATCATCCCACTCGTGATGACCAATAGTGGTTTAAACCACTTAGTTGGGCATGCAGGTGAGGGTGCCACCGTTCTCGGGAGTGCACTCTGGAGAGATTGTTAGCAAATTGTCATGGTTGAGATGTCGGTAGTAGGTATCACTCACTTCCGGAAACGACCGAAGAAGAGTCGGAAGGACCGGCACGGTACTTGCAGCTAGAGCCGTTGCCGTGGGAGCAGTTGTTGGGGCAGTTGCAGGCAGCGACTATAGAGTGTTAGTTGAGACAGTTCGACTTCTAGTTCGAAGAGAAGACAAACCAGGGTCGGTGGCGATGAGAGCGGCACCCATAGCCTGGCCGGCGAAGAGAAGGGCGATGGCGGAGATGGCGGCGGACTTGAACTGCATTTTGAAGGTTGTTTGTTTGAAAGTGACTGAGAAGTCTTGAGTGATTGTTGTGAAGAGTTGGAGAGGTTGGAATGTATTGGAATGTTGTTGAATGTGTTGATGATGATGCAGAAAAGAAAGTTCGATTATGACGGTTCTTCGACCTCTCTTTATACTTTTTCACCTCTCATATTGACACCCAGTTTCTCTTGTTGAACTTGACGAGCCAACACTCTGTTTCCCGAAATAGACTTCGACAACCAGCCTCCAACTCCCGCAAATTCCTCCCCTCAACAAGTTCATCTCTCTTACACGTCGACCTCCAAGTCGCTATACTCTATCCAGACATCGATCGACACCGGAACCCTCTGGGGCGTTACGGCGTTGGCATGTCGTGCCACATCAACGCGGTTTGGACAGTCATCCTGGCGACTTGCGTTAATAGAAGTCATGAAGACTATAGTCGTCTAATCCTCCTTGTGTATCCTCTGATGGGGCCAAACTGTAGGCGAGTTCATGCCCGTATTAGCTGAGCAAGGTATAGGCTGAAGCTGAATGTTGATCACGACGATCATAGACTTCCCCTATTGCTAGAGCTAAGCCTCCATCCGTGGAGATGCTCGATATGGAAATCAGATATGAAAATCGGTGAGTAGAGCATTGTATGTAGAGCATTGTCTTTCTATTATTATCACCGCTAGACTTTGGGAACTTAGTGGTGTCAACCTTAGATCTCTGTAGACGAAGGAAACTACGCGTCAGGCTCCCATTGTCATCGATTTACTCCACCGTGGTGGATATGTACTCAGCTAGTGATATCTGTATTAGAAGATATTTGTTCCTGATTCTAGGGCTGCTATTCATTGGGAACTAATTATTAGACGAAACAGTGAGATCTTGTAACTTAACATACCTCTTTTGGCTGTAGCTCACAAGCTAGGTATCTTCACTAGCGAAGTCTATGATCCACTACACCTTTACCATCCCAGAGAAAGCGGAATTGCGGTTTTCACCAATATACGGTTCCAGGGATTGGGGTTCAAGATTCTCCTTCTAGGGTTAAAACGATCTACATTATTTAGGATCAGGAAGAAACATGTCCTTGGGCTACACAAGCATTGGGGGATATTTTTGATATACTGTTTCATTCGCATTCGGTTTCTAGTTATTGAAATATTGAATGATGTCAGAGGCTTAACGGTTTTTTTAATTAGGTCCTTTCCATAAGCGCTGTCTTTAATGCAGTAGGTTGTATTTAGGTTTGTTCCTACCAATATATCATGCGTAGTTAATCGAAACCGACATATGCCTTATAATGGAAAGGATTATCGATATAAGAATGGTTGTTTATGTGCCTACACGGTACTTACTCCAAGTATACGTAGAATTAATTTCAATCAAACGTGTGACGACGGCGGAGTGGTAAGCACATTACGTATAAGCGAAAGTATGAAATGTCAACGTCCAAAGCGGCGGAAGGCGGAAGCTGTACCTAGCTCCTAGCTGCGAGAGCTGAAGTGGAGAACTATCTTTAGCATCCGGCATTGGCCGTCCGGGGAATTGAATACAACGGCAGAAATTGCTACAACGTCAGTGGCGCACTAGCCACGGCTTTTTGTGAAAAGGGGGCTTGGCTTACTAACCACTTGGCTCAGGTAGGACTGGTAGGACAAAGGGGGGGTAGAAGGAATGCGAGCGTTGGGCCAATCATAGCTTCCAAAGCCCGAGCAGCTTAGCCTCAAATTTCCTTCGACACATCCTGTCAGCCCTAAAAGACTCGGCATATGGGGTTAGATTAGGTAACCAATAAACCAATAGAGCCAGCCCACACCCTACGGCCATATTGTCTATTTATTCGTTTTTACCTAAAGTACCTACACACAACCATACAATAGTCAAGTACAGTGCCAACACGTGTGGGAAGGATCAGGACCCCTAGTCTCCCGCCTTTTTGCTTTATGCAGATCATCAGTTACATCCATCTATTCTGGAAAACTTAATGCATCCTACCCGGAGATATCTGATTGTTTCACAAGCAGGATCCATCCGCAACAGCCGCCAACCGAGTCTCTTCCATGCCCTCTGCTCACTCGAGCAGTCGAGCAGCTCGAGTTGCCTGAACTGGTACTAGAAATTCCTCATTAGCTTCAGGCCCCGTCGGGTCCGATATAACGTCAGCTTGGCTTCAATACTTACCGCGTGACTACGTGGGAGCTTCCTTAGTTAGATAAGTGACCTCACGTCACTAGAGAACGCGAAACCGGTGCTTATCCTAGCATTAGCTCCGAGAGCATAAGGCGGTGTCAAGGGGGCGGCAGTCTGCCATTCTAGACCACATCATCTGGGGGCTAGCTTCCAGTCACTGCCGAGCCGTAGAGTGCTAGAATGAACTGCCGTCTTCCCGGGGTTAGCATGACATTCAACATCAACCTTGAATTCCAGCTGAAGTTCTCATCTATACGCAAGTTACGTATCACTATTTTACATTTCTACATTGCCACGTATGAATTCACGCTAAAACCTAGCTCATACCGAGTTATCAGGTAATTTGCGCCGTTCAGAGTCCATGTCATCGCTCCGTGGCGAAGCGGAAGCACTGTCCGTATGCGGCACTTGACAGCGGGCCTATGAACCAACTCGCAGAGAAAGATCTGATATCGGTGACAGCACTCACGATGGTAGCAAGAGTCGGAATAATCACGCAGGCGCAGCTATATCGTTATGCCACAAATTTCTAACCGAACCACATCCCGGCGCTTTGCCACAATCTGCGCCAGAGAGGTGAGTTGGCTCAAGTGCGAGACTGATGTATCGAAGACGCGTTCAATGAACATACATTTTCATGCTCATCGTTTCTGCGAGTCCTACATTTAGAATGCCTTATAACAAGGACTCCGCGACGAGAAAAATGCTGGTGTTGCCTCCACTAAATATTGTTCGCATTCTCTACAGCTGGACCATTGAAGATGGTGTCTCGAATTGGCTAACCTTAGAACCTCCGAAGTCAACTTATGATCTCCAACCCACAGCACTTTTAGCCCACAATCGACTGATTATTTGAACAGGACGTTTCGAGGCGACGATCACAAGAGACTGTAGCATACGATGTATGTTGCCGGCGTTCAAGGCGCACAAACAATTTTGAGAAGTCTCAAATACAGGAGGGAACGCACTTTCGAGAGATCTCCCATCACAATTAAGAGTTCCGTTGTTTATCTATCTATTGGCCACGGTACGATATTTCATAGTTGCGATTTCTGTTGCTGTTCTCTGGATGAGCGCCTAATTAATAAAGATAAAAAAAGAAACGGGGTTTGGTTCGCCATGCGATATAATATTGAAACTGGGTATTCTACCTATGCAACCTTCGTCTATTTAGTTCCATCCTTTGGCCTCTGCGTAGACAACTATGCTTGGCCCTCGCGCTAACTCCGAGGGCTGAGACTAGTCCCTAGGGAATTCAGTTTCAATATCCACATCTCTATTGAAAAGTATTTACCTATACTATTGCCGTTCTCTCACCTTAGTCGCATGCTGCAGCGATGATACCCCTCTTGAGACTGGAGGTTAGATTCCCCTGCCCAGCATTATACGGGCGACGGGGCCGGATCCTTCCCACACCGCTTAAGCCATCAGGGTTTGCGTCTTTATGCCGGACCCCAATATCTACATGCTTACCCCATCATCTAGCCCTGAAGTGCGTAATTCCCATGATGCCACCACCTTGGCCCTTGCGGCTTTTGACCAAAAACCGAATATTGGGGACCGTCCACCCTTGTCCTTGATCCCGGCATATAGCGTAGGACCCTTCATCGAATAAGTGCCGTCTTCCGCTGCCTAACACTTGAACGGGAAAACGTGATAAATGCATACCTTTTACCTACGTAAGAATTTTGAAGAATTATAACTGCGCCAAGCGTGACGAGTCCTCGACGCCTCAATTCGTGAAGCTTGAATCGTGGGCTAGCTTGGAAAGAGGCAAAAGAGCGAAATGTGATGATCTACCAACATGTCGTCGCCGCAAACGACAACGCCGCCGACCGAAGATATAGTTAATACCTCAAGAAAACTCCCCTATTGAGTATATGATGTTCAATCATCGTGTTCTCTTTTCTTCAGCGCCTCGAGTAGTGGCGTGAGGCCAAGAACATTGGCAAATCCATCCTCTTCTACTAACAAACCGATTGCTGTGCCGCTGCTTGATGCGTTATTTTCAATACTTTGATTTACAATGGATTCTTAGAAATCTCTTTGCTATCGTATTCGCTTTATAATCAGGTAGTTGCTGGTGATGTCTATGTGCCGTGTTCGTGCATGTCACTACTCCCAACCATTTGTCTTCGAGTTCAGGCCGAGATATCTCGTTAAATTGCTAGGCTTCATTAGGATTTCTAGGAGTCCGAAGTATCATAGGTACATAACAGAATTTTGGAGGCTTGAGAAAGAATATGTGATCTAAACATCTTATATGTACCTACTATTGCGAATTCGACAATACCTAGGTAATCAATCTTCCTCTAAAAGTAAGTTAATGTCTTTCTATGGTTTATAACATGATGCTAATAAAATGAACTTGCTCGTTATTCCACTTCGATAACATCGTGTAGATATAATTAGATTATATCTCCAAGCAATGCTGAATCATGTTCTCACCTCGGAAAGAAATTTCAATGTACTTCTCCTGTAAAAACCCGTCAACCTGCATTCTACTGTAAAATTAAGCAACTCAATGAAAGTATGGATTGTAAAAGCAACTGATCAAACTCTAGTGATGATACGAGCATCGAGATTTCCTTTACTAACCAAATTATCAAAGAGGTAATTAAGTATCTAATATAGGTCCATCATGAAGGATTCAGCGTTCCTACCTACCTAACTAAATTAAGTTTCATTGTGGTTAAGCTTCTATAATTCTTGTAGAATTATTGCTGGCGTTTAACATAGCCAAAAACCGCAAATATGTCCTATACGCAACCAGAAAACATTTCTTAGTAATATATATTCCTCTTCCATTTTTATGTCACTTGCGGCGGCATATGAAGCCTTAAGTGAATGAAAAAGTTACTTTTCTACTACCAAATTATTACGTCGGGCATGGAAATAAGGGCATGCCAGCTAGGAAATCTTCCAAATATACCACTACTCTAGTCCCAAACGTTTCTCTGACAAGTTTGCAAGCTAAGATCTAACAGTTCCTTCATATTTACCACGACCAAGGACTTTTCTTCTCCCCCTATTCTTCAGTCGTAGGACTTAAGGATACACCACTACAAGATTCTATGACACGACTACAGATCTCTTATACAATATTCTGCCTACCTTCTAATCATATAATTAAAGTATAACTAGGTACATCTACGTTAATTCTAACAGTAGGTTAAATATTTACATTGTTAATTTCATCTCGGAATTAGGAGAGTTGTCTAACCTACCTCCTAAACTTACTCAAGGGGCTATTGTTGGCTTAGGATTATCCAAAAGGATGCTCTGAAGTTTCGCCTCTATGTAAAAAGACCTCAGGCAACATCTCATCACACACAACAATATCTCTAAGCAAAAGTACTGAGCGCTTTCTCCTTAGAGAAGTGGCTCAAAAAGTAGGTAAAGCCAACACACCGTCAACGCTTTTCAATGATGATGATGTTCCCTGCCAATTGAAAGTCGATCACTGTCAGGGTCTAATTAAGAGCAAGGGGCTAAATAACAGCTCGTTAGCTGCAGCCTATATAATATCTACGGCGAATTGGGGGCCAAAGGCCCAAAAGGGGCTTAGGAAAAGGGGTAGGCGTTAATCAAGGTCTATCACTCCACGCAAGCGAGCCAAAGGCGAGCTACCCTGCTACTCTCACCCACTCTGTGGCACAGTTCTCAACGATGGGTCTATCACTGGAAATTACTGGATTGAAATGTCAAGCGTACGCCAACATATTGAAACATCCTACTCGAATGAGGTGCGAGATAACTACCTAGTAGTTACCCTCATTACCGGATTGATTATATGTGTTTGAATATTGGAAGTATTTTTACACTGTTACTTACCAAGGTCCCTTGATCAAGGGGGTTTAGTGAAGTCTTTTCTCTATCAGGGGGGCTTATTCTACAGTGATAGCTACTGTGCTCTGGAGAGAGGCTGCCTAACTGAAACCAAATCTTCTTCCTGACACAATGCAGAAATTCATCTTCGGACATAGTGATGCTCTCTACCCCCTCTATGGAAAGATTCGAAGACAATTTAGTATAAGACCGCCCAGACCTTTTCGGGTTTGGATGATGACTAATCACAGACTTGTAGACATCGTTACACTGGGTTCTGGTGAGGGCACAAAGAAAAGCCTGACAACTTATTCCAAAGCTAAAATTATCATGGCTTGCAAGTTTATATTAAGGTAAATGTAATGCAACCCCCTCCATACGAGTATAAGGGATTCTTAGATGGGAGAAATTCGCAGACAAATACGGAGCCTATGTAATACTTCATGGGGCGGGACTAAGAACGCCGGTCAAGGGCGGCTTCCCACGTGTTGTTCCGAAGAAAAGGGGGCCGTGCATCTGAGATCTAATCTACTTATCGATAAGCAACGCGATCTGATTATTAAGAGAAGATCCCTGAAAGTTGAAGCTTCAACTGGAATTCAACCAATTTCCGTTTTCTAAGGTCACAACCCAAAGTTTACCTCCCACGATAAATCCCCGACCCTTTACACTCATTTTTCTTCCTTCAGTTTGTACACTCCACCAAACTCGAAAGTACACAAACCAGAAAAAGAACCATGTCAGACACTCACCGCGCCGACGAGCGGCGCTTCCTCGACGAGCGCGGCTCCTCGGCCTCTCTCGCGCCGAACGGCCTCAACCCAGCGACCATCATGGAGAAAGCGGTGCGCGAGCGCATCATCGACTCGTACTTCTGGAAGGAGCAGTGCTTCGGGGTGAACGAAGCCGACATCATCGACCGCGTCGTCGACCACGTGTCCTTCGTCGGCGGCACCTACGGCGTAACCCAAAAACCGACCCCTTTTCTCTGCCTCGCGTTCAAATTGCTGCAGCTCGCGCCCGATGATTCGGTCCTGGCCGAGTACCTGCGCTTCGGCGGCGACAAGTTCAAGTACCTGCGCGCGCTGGCCTGCTTCTACGTGCGGCTGACGCGGCGCGCCGAGGCCGTGTACGCGACGCTCGAGCCGTTCCTCGAGGACCGGCGCAAGCTGCGCCGCAAGGGGCGCGCGGGAACGGGCCTGACGTACGTCGACCAGTTCGTCGACGACCTGCTGACGAAGGACCGCGTGTGCGCGACGAGCCTGTGGCAGATGCCGAAGCGCGAGATCCTCGAGGACCTGGAGCTGCTGGAGCCGCGGGTCAGTCCACTGGGCGATATCGAGGATTTGCTGGAGGATGAGGATGATTTGGAGATGAATGAAGAGGGCGCGAACGGGGATGCGAGGTCGGATAGTGATGATGAAGGGTTGATTAAGGAGGAGGAAGGCGAGGGGAATGATACAAGACGTCGGAGATCGACTTCCGGGTCAAGTGGGAGAGGACGCTCGAACTCGAGAGACCGAAGCCGTTCACGGTATGGATGTGGACCGAAGTGATGGCTTGAGCGGAGATGAACGATAAGGTGACGACTACACATGCCTGCACTCTCGAACTAAAACAACTGGGCCATATGCGAGTCACTACAGAGGTCTACCGGAAAGCAAGGTGAGCTTGTTGCTTGATTCAAATAATCATGGTAAGAGCTCAAGATATCCTATATTGACAAGTCTATTGGGTATTATGTTCTATATATATCCCCCGACGCGAATCTCCGCTCAGAGCAGATAAATCACCAGCCTCGGAGGTAGGTAGATGTGAGCTCTCTCGTCCAGCCTCTAGCACCGGGATGACCCAAGGCTCTAGAAGAGCTTTCGTTGCAAAACATGGGGTGACAAAACCTCAGCTACGGAAAGCAGCCGCGCATCGTCCCAATACTGTCCAATAAGCTGGAGGCCACCAAAGTTCAGTAGCTTTTCCTCTTCTTTGGTGCTATCGATTAGTATATCCATAGGGATGCTGATTGCGGGAAGGCCCGCAAGGCTGGCTGGGACGGTGAAGACGTCGTTCATGTAGGAATCCAGAGGAGTCTGTTTCATAACATCCTCAAGTAAGGGTGGGGTTGTGGGTGCGGTAGGACACAGCAGGAAGTCGACTTGCGCGGGTCCGAACTTGTTTTCGAGCTGTACTGTATCTTCCATCTCGCTTAGGTCGAATGGCTGCTGATCTTCCAGCGGATTTGATAACTTAAAGATACGGTCGAAGTCTCTTTTGACGAGGCGGCGGACTTTTTGGGCCTGTATGAAGTAATTGTCTATAGCTTCGGAGCTGAGAGTGTATGAACCCAGCAGAATACGACGTTTGACTTCGCTTCCGAATCCGGTGTCTCTTGTTTTTGCGTATAAAATCCCTTCGAAAGAATCACTGACTTGCTCCTCGTTTCGCTGCCCGTACCGAATACCATCATATTTGGAAAGATTGGATGCGGCCTCAGCCGGTGCTATTACGTAATATGCGGAAAGGGCGTTTTTCGTTGACGGGAGTGATACTGGGATGACTCGCCCTCCCAACTCTTCAATCTTCTGGGCTGCTGTAAACCATCCTTGGCGTATGCGCGAATCGAGTTCTTCGATGTTATATTCAATCGGTATACCAAAAGTCAAGCCTTTTACCGCACCCTCCTGAATTGGATTCCAGGACCCATAGCCTCTTCGCTCAGCCGTACACCTTCTTCGAACCGAAGACGGAATAGATGTTGGATCGTTATGATCATGCTCCAAGTATAGGCCCTGTCCTATGATTGCTGAGCCTATAGGTCCCACATTCCTGGCAAGCAACCCTACCGTATCTAGTGAGTTTGCGTAGGGAACAACACCCCATCGAGACAGCATGCCATATGATGGTTTAAATCCAACGGCGCCGGTATAAGCGGCGGGCATGCGAACGGAGCCTCCCGTGTCAGTTCCAAGTGCCAGCTCTGCTTCTCCCTTTCTTACAGCGACGGCACTACCTCCTGAGCTCCCCCCAGCCGAGTATTTCTCCAGTCCACATACATTATGGACGGTTTCAAATGCAGATGTCGTAGAGTGCGTGCCCATGCCGAACTCATCCATACCGCACTTCCCGGTCACACTGGCGCCCCTCTGCCTTAATTGCCTAACAATGGTAGCATCAAAAGGGATCATATTCCCTGAGAGAATCTTTGATGCGCATGTTGTCGGGAAGCCTGTGGCAGAGATATTGTCTTTGACAGCTAGGCGAATAGTTTCAATAGGCACTCCGTTCCCGGTTGAAGAGGCTGGCTCTGTACCAGCTTGATGAAGAGAGCGGCGCTGTTGAATACAGGCCCTCCATTGGATGGAGATCACCCTATGGGCGGCTCTGAATTGAGAATGTCTGACATATGTAGACATGTGTCCGGGGCTGTTCGGCATCCATGGATAGGATCACGGATAGAATGTGGTTTTTCGTCTAACATTTGACGCTTATTCCGTACAAGCTGCGGCTTTGGTGGGCGTACTCTTATCGATTACATATGTACCTAGGTATCTAGATGTGGAGGTACTCAGGTACCGAGAGCGGACCCGTTTTTAGAACGGTAAATAAATGGACCCATCATCTAGTTATCGGATGCAACTTGTTACCCGTGACGCATCGAAAGCTTGGCAGGTACCCGGAGGGTCAGCAGCCTATGAGACCTCGCAGCTTCCCTTACCGTTGACAACTCATACTCCAACTATTATCTAATTCAAACCTTGAAGCACAACATCGGTATAAAGGTTGCCTACGCTAAGGTAACCTAAACTCTCTCTCATACATATATGCTTAAATCCATCGATGTTTGCTGGTAATAAGCATCACACAACACCTCGGATATCAAAATGATCACAAGGATCACCCTCCTTGCGTCCCTGGCGACGGTCGCCAGGTCCTCTCAACCTGGAGCTCCCGCGCCGGTCGCAGCTCCGATGCGAGATCTCGAATGGGGACAGATCAATCTCCTGCATACTACAGATATACACGGATGGCTTGGTGGACATATGCAAGAGTGAGACGGACATTCATGATATATATACACTAAGCTAGCTATCTAATTACCTATTACTAACACCTCTTCCCGATAGACCGCAGTATTCGGCGGACTGGGGTGATTACATCTCGTTCACGAGTCACATGAGACAAAAAGCGGACGAGAAAGGAGTGGATTTACTGGTCATCGATACCGGCGATCGGGTAGAAGGAAACGGTCTGTACGATGCCTCGAATCCGAAGGGCAACTACACCTACGATATCTTCGGCTCGCAGTCCGTAGACTTACTATGTACCGGTAATCACGAGCTATACCAAGAAGCGACCGTCGACCGAGAGCACAACACAACCGTGCCGAAGTTCAAGCACTCCTATATCGCCTCCAACCTCGACTACATCGAGCCCGAGACCGGCAACCAGATCCCCCAGGCCCAGCGCTATGTCAAGTTCACCACCAAGAAGCTTGGCTATAGTGTCGTGGCGCTAGGGTTCATCTTCGACTTCGACCGGAACGCGAACAACAGTGTCGTGACCCCCGTCGAAGAGACTATGAAGCAGGAGTGGTTCCAGGCCGCCATCAGGGAGAAGCCCGACCTTTTCCTCGTCATCGGTCACGTCGGTCTCCGCATGAAGGAGTTCGAGCAGATCTTCAAGGTCATCAGGGACCAGAACTGGTACACCCCCATCGCATTCCTCGGCGGCCATGCGCATGTCCGTGATGCGAGGAAGTTCGACGACAACGCATTCGCGATCGCTAGCGGCCGATACTTCGAGACCATCGGATGGATGTCCATCGACGGCATCAAAAAGAAGAGCGCGAGTGTCCCTTCGACCGAAGCCACTGTGACCTTTAGACGTCGCTACATCGACAACAACCTATTCGGTTTACACTACCACACCGGCCTCAATGAGACCACCTTCCCCACCGAGCACGGACGCAACGTGACCAAAATGATCACCGCAGGCCGCAAAGCCCTCAAACTCGACGATTCATTCGGCTGCGCGCCGCAAGACCTCTGGATGAGTCGAGCCCCGTACCCGCACAATTCGAGCATCTTCTCCTGGCTCGAGACACAAGTGCTCCCGACAGCCATCACCAACGAAGAGCGAAAGGACGTACCGAGACTGGCCATCGTCAACACGGGCGCCATCCGCTTCGACATCTTCCAGGGCCCTTTTACTAAGGACTCGACGTACTTGATCTCGCCCTTCGTCAGCAAGTTCAACTACATCGCCGACGTGCCGTACGCCGTCGCTAGCAAAGTCATCGAGATGCTGAACAGCGGCGGCCCCGTGTTCAACGGCGCGTTAGACACCAAGTACCTCAGCATCCCCGAGCAAATGGCGCCAAGCCGGTTCTTCGAAGCGTCCTTATCCACGGCAAACGAGGACGAAGACGCGCTCCCGATATTCGTAGACGGCGAAGCGTCGCAAAAGCCGCTCAAGACCGACGACCCCGAGCTGATCGGCGGGTACACGACGCGCGACGACCTCGGCGACGACGGCGACGACGCCGTGCACTCGCCCATCAAGTTCTACGCCGTGCCCAACTGCATCCAGTCCAAGATCGCGTTCCCGGCCCCCGCGCCCCCCGGCGACGGCCAGACCGAGCCCCAGCCCCAGGACCCCGAGAAGGTGGACCTGGTGTTCGTGGACTACGTCCAGCCGTGGGTCATCACCGCGCTGAAGTTCAGCGGCGGCGACTACGGGACCGATGACGTGAAGGTGTATACGAATAGCACGCTGACGGATTTGATCGCGGGCTGGGTTAAGGAGAACTGGAAGAAGGACTGTTAAGATGAAGGTTGGAGTTGAGTAACCTAAAGATATGAAGAAGGGGGGAAGGGAAATTTATTACCCCGATCTTGTTGGAAGTTGTCTTGATACGAGTAGGATTGAATGGATTGTACGATTTCAAATTGCGCACTGAACATTTAGCACGGCACGGCACGGTTGGATTTTTGGATTTGGATCGGATTATTATCATACATTACACTACATTATACCTCTATACTGTATTACGCGGCAGCGATATCATCATGAAATGAAATAGCAACGGCACAATTAGCATTAGCTACCTATACATCATATAACTTGGAGCTTGGAGCGCGGATTTCAGATATTTTTTAGAACGCAAATATCCATTAGACCAAAGCAATGTCAAATTTGTCTAACCTAGCACAAGTAGCCTAGCTTAGCCTAATTCTACTAGCTGAGTATATAAGCATGGTATGACCTTCCGATCGATCTAATTTCCAACGCTGTGAACACGATATTTGGTATTATCTAGAATAAACGTGCTCCACATCCGTACCCTTCGCACCGCCGATATCCGAATTCCAGGCACGACAAATCGATTCGCTAGTACATAACTACCGTAACGAACGAGTCTCGCTAAGAGGAGCCAAGAACCGCAAGGAAAACGAAACGACTGTATCCTGTGGGGGAGGAGCGGAACTCAGTGAGGCATATCATGTTCGGGATCAAAAGGTTTCCTGATGGACATGATGTATGCGCCTGTAATACCGAGCATTATGAGGAAAAAGACGATGAAAACCCTGTAGCCGTAGTGAAAGCACCCACAAGTTAGCCAGTTGAACCAATCAATACAACACTTGGGGTTGCAGCCTTCGGGGCATTCGAAACACCCGCAGTCAGACTTAACGAGGTCAGATGAAGGTGGAGGCGGACCTTGAGCTTGAGCTTGAGCTTGGGCCGGAGCCGAGGCCGGGACTGGGACTGGGACTGGTGCTGGGCCCGGAACCGGAGCCGGGTTTACAGGCTGCGCATTGGGAACCGGTGCTAGCGGTGCTAGCGGTATTGGCTGTGCTGGCTGCGCCGGTTGCGCCGGTCGCGATCCCGAAGCGCCATCGACCTGGGGTATATTTGGAGGTGGCCCCTGCGCGGGACGGGTCTGGGCTTCGAGGTCAACGTCCGGGCCGGAGAAACCGGCATTGGAAGGACCGGCATTAGAAGGCCCGACATTAGAAGGCTCGGCATTAGAAGGCCCGGCATTGGAAGGCTCGGTGTTGAAAGGTCCGAAGATAGAAGATCCGACATCCCTACGTTCAACAGACGGCCCGGCGTCCGGGAGTTCTGAATTCACAGGCTTCTTTGCGGGGAGTGTGGCCCGGGGACTTGGGGCTTGCGAGTCGGATTCGTCGGAAGAGGGCTCTGGCTCGCGCCGGTGTCTCCTCTGGCGACGCTGACGACGAGCATCGTCAAGAGCAAGAATTCCCTCGAGTCGCGCAATTGCTTGTTCTTCACGGTTCCCATCATATGTCTCGAAAGGGCGGAAAGAAGTATAGTCCGCAGAATTGCCAGGCTGAGGAGCCGATGTGGACCCTTCCCCTTGGCTATCAGGAGGTACATTGTGGCCTGGGCCAGTCTCGGCCTCTCGTGACGTCTCGTTGGCAACAGTGGGGCGTTCCGTGTCATTTACAAAAGCCATGAAGCTAGATAACGCCCCAGAATTGACGGCAGTTTCAATACGGTTCGAGGGTCCAGCAGAATTAGAGGTCCCTTGAGAAGGCATATAGAGGCCATTATGAAATGGCATCGGCCCATTTTCACCCAATCCTTGGTGATTGTCAACAGGGTTAGATATAGAAAGTGGATGAGTGTGTTCTCTTATAAGTCGCCTCTGTTGGCGCCGTCGTCTTTCCACTTCAGCTTGAATCGAGTCCAGTAACGAGTGCTCAAAAGGCTCAGGAGAAGGTAGAAGATTCGAAGCAGAAGCAGAAGGAGTGTGTGCAGGGTAAGGAGAGGAATAGGGCCGAGATATGGCGGGATAATAAGGTCTTTGCAGAGGGCGATCGTAGCTTAAGCCCAGAGTAGCTGCACCAGGCCTTTGATTGAAATAACTGCTGTAATTACATCCATTATCAACCTAGGGAACGACTTAAATTGACAGGATGCTGAGTAGAGCTAAACTAACCGCTGAGTCGTCCAGCCCTGGGTGGATTCATGTTCCGTCCCGTATAACTCGCTATTCTGATTGGAGCCCCCAAAAAAGGAATGGCGGCCGTACGGACTCGAGTAACTGGCAGTATTGAACTCTCCCTGAGGCCCATATAAATTTTGAGATGTTTCTGTAGAATAATCTGGGTACTGAGAGGAGTGTAGAAGGGGTTGGTCGCGTAATACTAAGTGAAGGCAAGGCCGCGGCTGAACCGTCGCCGAGCCTCCGGGTGTAGGTTCACCTTGCAATTCGTCGGAAGACCCATTCTCGGCGTGCTGCGAAACAGAGGATGGAGGCTCCTCGTCTTGCTGTTCATATTGCTCCTCAGGTTGTTGCTCTGGTTGTGGCTCTGGTTGTTGCTCCGGTTGTTGTTGTTGTTGTTGCTGCTGCTCCATTCCGCGACGAATACTGTCTCTTATGTTGTCTAAGTGGTTTTGTTGGGTGGGATACATGAAGGGCAGTGGTAATATTAACGAATGATATACCGGGAGTCGTAACGAAAGACCCAAGAAAAATGCTAAGAAATGTAGCTGGTGATCTTGTTTATGATTCTACTCCTCGATGTGTTAGTTGAGAGAAGTAATCCGAATGACTCGAGGAAATATGTAGGTCCCTATTGGATTTGGTCGAGAAGTTTGCGCCTTCTTCTCTCGATAAGTTCCTGTTGCACCTCCTCCAGAGTAGGTAGCTCCCAGCCCTTGCCATCTCCCGCGTCGCCAGGTAACGGCTCCCATCCCGAAGGAGGTTCGGCCTTTCCCTGATTGAGAAGGGCCTCGAAAGCTTCGCGCTCCTTCTCCGCCTCGTATTGTAATAGCGCATCATCCTCTTCATCGGGTGCATATCCGTAATACTTGGCGTCAACTGCTTTCCTCAAATCATCGCGGCTCTCTAGCGGCTTCTCGGAATCCTGTATTCTTTTCTGTGCAGCAGCTTCGAATAGTTCCTTGACTCCTGGTAGCTCTTTTGCACGCCCAAAATATCTATATCCTTTCCCGCCTCCTGGTATTTCCCTGCCTGTTTCGTCATAGATCTTTCCACCGCCACGCATATAATTGGGACCTCCTAGATTCCGTATCTGGACCTCCCACATGTGCTTCTCGCGCATAAGCTTGTTAATCTCATCATTAAGGTCCCGGATCTGGTAGTCGCTAAGGGCCGGGTCCTGGATGCGAGAGACTTTCCGACTGATTTCTTTGAGTGTTTGGCCTCTCCATTTCTCACATGACGGGATCGAGTCGACTTCGGTGATAACCTTGGGACGCCGTGTTCGGCCTGCGTCGATGATACCTAAGTCTGCAGCTTGAGCCTCGCGAAAGCGAAACAGCATAGACTGGGCTTTCTCCGAGTTACGCGCCTGTATGACGGTCAATAACGGATTCCTTACACATAGAAAACATGCAGCGCAATTTCCCCTTACCATTTCGATTGATTATTACTTTTTCTCGAGTTTCTGAGTCCTAGAAAGGTCGATTCAAGGGAAAAGCTTTTGTTATTGGCGAAGAAATTATTTTTTTTGAGGGTTGGGTACTGACAAGCTTCGGACCTTAGGAAAATCAAGAACATCAGCCTCGTTTCTGTTGCGGCTGAGGGAAGAAGAATAAAGTGGGAACTAGTGGCTAGTATGAGCCAATCACAGAACTTCGCACGCGACGCGGATTAGCGCCACCCGCGTACCTACTGTACCTATATCTTGCACCTGCACTTCCACTTTCGCACATCAACTTTTCAACTCTTCGTCTTCTAAAGTCAACCTGTTCATTTTCAGGACTGCAACTATTCACCTTCTATGGACTCGTGATGCCAGTTTGCTCATTATTGATGTACTCTTTGCTCTAACGATTGAGTCATCCATTGCAACGATAAAGTACTATTATCAGTTCCCCTACAAATTCGATGTACCATCGTCCAATTTTCAATACAACTAGTATTACTCACTCGACACCTAACAAGGCACCCAATTTCAACGAATCTTTCAAAAGCAACTATACTATTGCGTCATAGGACGCTCTGTTTCTTAATGCCTTTCAATTTAATCCACCCCATTTCATTATCGTGATCTGACGGGACTAGTGTTACCATCTTCAACCTACGGATGACTCATCATTCACGACACTCAAACGACTAGCAGTGAAGAAAATCTCATGAAGAAAAATGTTAGAGCCACAAGATCTTAGATCTACGGTGCATGACAATACAAAAGAACAGAGATCTGAGCTAGGAGACGTACACCTCTAGCACGGCATTGACCTTCCATCTCCAAGATTATGCGGGTCATCCCACGCATTCAAACGCAGGCAATGACGACAAACCGCACATGGCAATGATGAATGTCACTCATTCGATGATGTCCCATAGTTTTCAATCGTAGCCTTGCGGGATGTCTGTGGACTTGCTTAATCTTACGACGATGGGATAGTTCATAGTTGCTGATGCTAGCAGGTTGCTCCTTTTTTTTTCTTTTATCTTGTTAGCTGCTATTGCAGCTATACAACACAAGATAGCCCGGTGATGACCAAGTATCCAAAAAGCCAAATTTGCAGGCAGCCTGAACGAACCTCCATCATGTCATAGACGGGGTAGGAGTTAGGGAATGGTTGTCCATGAGAACCTGAGAGCTAATCTGAGGGCATATCCATTGTTGAATCAAGTTACCGTTCACAATTCACCATCGCCCACTCCACTACCCCTTTTTACCTTACTCCTAGGAAGTCTTGGCAACCCATCTTTGTCTAACAGTAAACTACGCCTACACAGTACTTTTTTTTCTCCACACCATCTGTCTACAGAATGGATTTTTCTTATCAAGGTTTACTACTCAGCTCCTTAAGTTTCGAATGCGAAAAATTGGAAGGCCTCGTTGGTTTAATTGGCTATCAGCTTTGGTACAAAGCGTTGCAGGCCACTTGTGGGAGATCTATCTAGCCAATTCTCCAACATTCGTCCTCGTGGATCAAGAGGTTGTCACTACCACGAAGTTTAAAGTATTGGGGACAACTTATACGTAGGGCTGGGCAAAAGGCCTTAGCTGCTACACAGGCGCAGGTGGGAGTATATTGCTAGCACGTTGTATCCAGTTGGCCAACGTTCCGGAAAGGGGGAAGCTGATGGGGTCCGTAATGTATCTAACGCATTTAGCTGAAGCGAGGAGGGTTATATTCGGGTAGGTGTTTGTTTTCCGAGTAGGTATGTAATAGATACCAATAGCCACTACTCGATCGTCTGGTTACGCTACAATCAACCTTCGATTTCGTCACACGCCGCACGTAACTCACTCGGCGTACTCATCTCAGTTATAGTTCACAATTTAATTCGCACCACTAACACCTTAGATACCTAGGTAGGTAGTCAATCCCGCAGTCAAGCCAACTAATGGCCGCGAACCCAACGGCATAGACGTAGTCTAGGAGGATAATTAGATCTCAAACGATTTTATTCATTTCGTTATCTGCAACCCATCCGAGCAAATCCGTGTCCATGTCTCGCGTCCATATCCATCCAGGTATGTCCACGCATTTTCAGACACCGTCATAAGCCCACATATCCCTTTTGTTGGTAAACCTCCCGTTCCCTGTCCTCCCCTCACTAGGCGCGTATGCCTTTTAACCTTAAGTTGGAACTTCAGCTCCCTTACTGCGTCTTCTTGCTCTCTTCTGCCTCAGTGACAGGTTTACTATACAGCCAAATGGCGCAGAAGCCGAGCCAACCCGTGACAGTAGCGCTAATACCCGCGAGCCAGGGCCAGGCGCCGCTGATGACGTAGCTGCGGGGCCATTCGTCGTGGGCGAAGTGGCGCACCGACACCGTTACCTTCTCTTCGACGTTGGTAAGGAAGGGTCTCTTGTAGTTGACCTTGAAGTTAAAGATGCCGTGCTGGTCCGGTAGCTTGAATGAGACCGAGTACACCTTGCCGCTATCTCCGTCGTCGACTGTGGGGGCGAGGTTCAGACGGTGGAAAGGAGACAGCATGCTGAATTCGAGTTGAAGCGCATCGGACTCGGGTACAGCGAAGGGGACGTATTTATCCCAGACGTACTCGGAAAGAGAGATAGAGTAGGTCTAATAGGTATTAGTTGCTTCATTCGTCGTATTCACAAATTAGGACACGAGTGGAAATCACTTACGACATCGTTCTTGATACGGTAGATCTTAGGGTTACTAGCGTTGCTCTGACCAGCCTCGTTCAAGTTGTGCGTAACCGAGTTCACTTTCAGGACGCCAATCTCCTGGAACGTCCAACCCGACAGCAACTTGGCGAACTCGCGATTGACGGTAGCGACCTCCTTCGTTTCGCCGACCTTCTTCACCTTGGCGTCGAACCACTTGTCGCTTAACAGCTCGGCGGAGCCGAGGACGGTGAAGCGGGCGGAGTTACGGGCTTGCATGGTGCTAACGAGGGACAGCTGGTCGCCGCTTGCGAAGAGGTCGTCGATGGTTTCGGCTTGTTCTTTCGGATTGTAGCTGTAAGATGTGGAGGGAGCGCGCAAGATCGGCGTGAGGAGGGAACCCGCTCCGAGGGTCTGGCCAGTCCCGCTAGGGAAAGCGATGAGCTCACCGTTTGGAGTTGGCGGGCTGAATAAGTCTCTAACGTCAGGTCGTAGAGCTCCAGGGGGTGACAACAGCAGCACATCGTGCTTCTCCGGAGCGGACAAGACGTCGTAGTTGAAGTGGTCGACTACGAGTCCCTGTCGGTCGGGCGGTAGGTGGATGTCTAATTCGAGTAGTAGAGAAACAAGTGATGTTGGAGCGGGTTGAGAGGCCGAGAGGGCTAGGAGGATGTTGCCATCTGCGTTGATGAAGTCGAGAAGAATCTTGGGTGTTAGGTGTGGACCAAGGCCTATAGAATTGTCAGTTTTCTTACGTATAGAGCTACCTAGCACATCTATGGTAATAAACACACCCTTAGATTTGGTGGGGAAGAATAGAACGTGGTCGTAGGACTTCTCGCCTAGGTTGAACAATCGTAGGCTGTCGCTCTTTGGTGTCTCGTAGTTAATCTGGAATCCTCGGCCTAGTAGCAACACAGCATCAGTTAGCATACGACAATGAGCTATTCCTTTAGAAATGGAGCATTGTACGTACCTTCTAGGTCGCCCAGGAACTTAGAATAACCTTCTTTCTCGGCGACATCCTCGAGGACGACCAGCAGCCTATCCCCGCTAGAGCTGATGGCGTGGACGAGAGCGGCCCAGAAGAGGACGACGAAGGAGATTAGCGACTTCATCTTTGCGATGTCTCAGTGGTCAATTGGATTCAAAGAGAACAAGGGAAGAAGAAAAGGGTCGCGACGGCAGGAATCTCGCCGCGCATGGGACCTGTGTGGTGGTCGTGATCGTGAGTCGTAAGTGTATGGATGGTTGTAGAAGGTTAAGATGTAAAATGTACAAAATAAATGTACAAAAGTCCAGCTGTCAGCTGTCTCACTTAAGGTTACGAATCGCTACGAACTTTTGGAGGTCTGGCATACGTAGCCCGTACCTGCCAAGCAATTTAGACGTTCGTTATACAAGGGTAGGTCGCTCTAGCACCACGCTAAAACGGTAGATGATATTCCGATATTCCGGATGTTCAAGCATGACGACGACATGTGTACCTAGATACTTTTAGCACCTCTTACTTACATATACATGTATATGCATATAAGCAAATGCACAGACCACCAATGTCATATCCCAACGTCCAATAATCATAGAGCTATTAACCTCACCTCAAAGCTTCACCAAATCCACGGCCACTTTAAACATCCCACCATCCACCCGTCAATTGCCAAACTGTACGTACGTCCACAACCCGCTCTATTAACAACCTTTCTCACAATACTCAGCATCTAGGCACCCGAATATCCCGAACAGAAGCAACATCAAACATTTCAACCATGGCCGGACCAACTGGCGGCAGCCCACCCCCCCATTTCTACGCCGGCCCGCTGAAGTACTGCCGCTGGGCCGCCCGCAACAGCCCCGCGTACTTCTGGTCGTGTGTGCTGGGCGCCGTCGGGCCCATCATGGTCCTGACCGTGCCGCCCATCCTAGAGAGGCTCGGCTACCAGCGGACGCCGCCGGTGCCGTTGACATATCCCAGTATGTTCTTTCTACTTCTTATGATCCGCTAAGCCGGTCCGCCTGCCTCTCTTATATATGTCTACATAGTAGACTACTATATGAGAAAGTAGTTGGGTTAGACAAGAAGAAATTGGATGGATAAGAACGCGATGCTAATACAACTAAACCTAACAGTCCCCGCCGGCCCGAGAAAGAAGCTCACCGGTTACGACGACGAATAAACCGCACGCATAACGGCGGGGTAGGAAAGATTGGCCACTAGGTATTACGGATCAGGTCACAGATCTGTAGGCTAAACAAATGTACATACGAAGAGCACCCTTCACGTCTCTCGGTTGAACACAAGGCATATCAGAGGCATGGAGCAAAACGAGGAAAGGGAAGTGTTGCACAGTAATCCTCATAGAAGGAGTAGAACAAAAAAGCACGAACTTCATAGACACGGGAGCTTCATCAAATATTGACCAATCAATCAATCAACCAATCAGCCAACCAACCCGTTTCGTTCGTTCGTGTATTTGTTTCTTGATTTTTAATCTGTCTGCCACGACCAGCGCCACACCATAACGTAGACTCCAGTCTCCAGTCCTAATCTAAGCAGGTAGTTCTATCCTGGAAACCAAAACAGCACAGCACACCCTAAGATGGTTTACCCACGCAAGTGATAAAAGCCTCCATCTCCCGTCATAACAAGTCATCGCATGCTCCTCTCTCGTCTCCTAGAAGTTCAATGTGAATCTTAAACGACAAACGCCACGCCAGTCTATGGACAAGAACTACTCGACCGCATCTCCCAAAACTTTGCGGCTGAAGACGGGCTTTTTGTACGATAGTCGAGACTCTATCTCTCCCTTTGGATCAAGTTCCATTCGTACTGTTATGGTTAGTATTGATGTGATTATTGGTTTTAGGGGATGTGTCAACTTACCACTCTCCCATCGTCGTCACCCGTATACACCAATTGTGGCATGGGCGTGATACACGTGATCGCAGCCTCCGAATTCGCACCCGTATCGCTCCGCGTGTCGATATGGTCCAGCCGTCTCACCAGTTCCAATTCCCATTTGCCATCCTTAACAACCCTTTTCCAGATATTGACCCGTCCCCGTCTATGTCCCGTGAAGATGAGGTAGTTTTCTAGCCACTCGTTCCCGGAACCTTCGTAGAAGGCGCACGAGTACACGTAGTCATCGTGGTCGATGCATACGCTCTGGTCGAGCATCAGGTCGCCGTTGATTGTATAGAGTGCCACGTTGGGGCCCGAGCACAGCATGATCTCGCCCGACACGTCGTTGATGCGCGCGCACTCCACAGCCCGCGTGCTTGGCAGCTTTCGCACGAATTCGAGCCGGTTTAGGTCCCAGAGGAAGGCGTGCCCGTCTCCGGAAACCGTCACTAGGGTGCTGAAAGCCTTGGACACGGCGATTGTCGTAACGGGTGTCTTGTGTCCGAAGAGGGAAGACCGGTGTTGCAATTCGACGGGCTTACCGGATGCAGTATGGATGGTAAACACGGACACGACACAGTCTTCACCAGCAGTGATTAACGTCTTGGAATCCGCGATGACGACACAGGATATTTGGCCAATGTGCAAGTTTTCGCTAACCCCGGCGCTCTTGCGGTTTTCCGTGTAAAAGAATCGTAGACTGTTATCTGCATAACCCCATTCAAGGCACTTATCAAAGAAGGGGGGCAGATTGAGGCGGAATGGAGATGAGCAAAGCATGCGATCTTGCCTTGGCGAATAGATAAGTGAGGATACCCGTTCGCGACTTTCCAGGAGAGGATAAGGTATTCTTGCAAGAGAATGACTACCCGTATCTAGCCTCCTCGCTGGATATGCGAAACTCTCCCGAGCCGGATGGGGTTTGGTGAAGACTTGATGAGGCGTCTGACCGAAATTGTGGATGATACTAGTGGTGGCGTGTCGCTCATTCGAATCGGTGATGTTGTCGAGATCTTTAGCCCCATAGTACGAGAGATAGTGGAATACGTTCAGATTCTCCACAGCAGCCTCGCCTCGCTGTTTATTGCCGAATATCAAGTCAATCCATAGATGAAGATGTTGGCTGACGTAAGGACTCTCTAGTGCCTCGCGATGCTTTGCGATAAATATTTTCGGGTCTCCTTTCGCCCATGGGGGTAATTCAACGTGGTTCACTCTCCCAGCAGAACCTTGGCGATCACCGAAGTTATATCCGTTGACGTTCGTCAAAAAGTCAGGGAGATAGAAAAATTCGGGTATGAGTTCCCGTACATCAGATCCGTTGTCTTGAGATGCCGACTTCCACGATCCTTCGATCGAAAAGAAAAGTCGGTCCGCGTGATCGAAAGAACCGCCTTGTAGGAGGATGAAGGATTGCACGAAAGGAGGTAATCGGATTAGGTACGATGCGACAATCATGGCAGATGAGTAATGCGTCCCATAGTGGAACGGCGTCTCACCAATCTCAGCTAGACTTGTATACCTAGATTGGTAGTCAGACTGACGCCGTGCAGTTTGCGCACCCATAGGCTTCGACAGATCTCGGAATGTGGTAGGATTATTTAGATCCAACTCCTCGCTGGTATAGTCAGCCAGAACCCATGGGAACACTGGGTATTGCGTTAAGTCGTTGAATGTGCGACCCGCCATTGTGTTGACGAGCATTAAGTAGTGGAAGTTGGAAATCTCGCCTTTCTGCCATCGTCGCATGAGAGGATTCCAAGGAGATGAGTTGAAAATGCTGCCAAACTTTGATCCAAATGTTGGAGCGGATTCTTCGAAAACCTTGAGTGATTCTAAACGCCAGGCATCCTCAGGATTTGGTAACGAGCTTGCGCCTGCGGTATGCGGAGTCTTATTACTGAGTCTGGCAAAAACTTCGTCTCTCATCGTAGGATTTCTAGCGGTTAAGAGATAACTGCGGCCATCCGTGAAGAAGATTTCGATAGCCACGTCGCGAAACAAAAACCGACGTTTCGATATACTTATGACGTCTTGCCAATTCCAGCTACGAGAGTCTTGAGCACTACGGCTTGTTGTCTGGTGGCTTTCACTAGATTTCTCCCCAGTGATGATTTGAGAAAATGGGTCACGCTCCTCAGTTGGCGCTTCCCAGACGTTGACTATCTCTCCATCCGCACACTGGAAGAAGCTGTCCATTATATATAGAGCATTCTTCCCAACTAGAAGAATGCCCTCGAACGCCTCTAGACCAATGACACGAGACACGTTGTAAACTTGCTGCACGGCGTCGCCTGACTGTAGACGCCTCATCACTCTCCGATTCTTATCTTCAAACCCGTCGTCGGCTTGATCGTATGGGTCATCAACCATCTCGAAGTCGTCCTCGGGGATGGCCGGCTTTGCAGATTCAGCACCAGATTGCGCATCAGTCGGTGGACTATCCACATCATCCTCGGCGCCTTCGCCATGGCTACTGATCTGCCCGTGTGCCATAGATGGTGGCGTAGCTTTTATTGGCGCAGGAGAAACAGTTGTATCCGGCTTGGGGGCGGGTGCCGAGGGTGGATCCATCGTCCTTCGCTTTGGTTGGTACTGGTCGTGGTCGGTAGTGAGGTCCGGCAAGAGTCTTAGACGCATGCGATTGCGACCTTCGGTTCTATCAAGTTTCCATTTCGTAGGCTTCGGCGTGTATAGTACGGCTCCCGGCCGATCAAGGTCTCTTTGCATCTTTAAAAATGAAGATGAAAAGAAAGTAACATCGTCCTGTTGGTCTTGCATGAGGCGCTGGTGCTTAAAATGCTCAGAGGCATATATGGACTTCATCCAGGCGGAGTTGGCCATGTCATGACGCAGCAAAATATTGTCTCGCTCCACCATCTCCGAATGCCATCGTTTCAAAATTTCCTTTCGTTTTGTCAGTCGCGATTTGGCTGTTTCTAATGTGCGTTGATTTTCAACTCCGACGAACTCTTCCCAAGTCCGCGAAATGCCACCGTAAAACAGTGCGTCAAGTGAAGGTCGATGCCCATCCACCCAGTCAATGAAAGTGTCCGTGTCGAGCTCCGTTAATTTTTGAAAGTCCATTGCCAGTTGAGTTTGATCCGAGGTCATGAATAATCGGAACAACGATAGGCATTCCGCGGGTTTCTGGACGAGCATGATGCGCCAAAGATTAACAGCAGCGAAACGTACAGCTGGCCTAGCATCAACTAATTTAGTGTAGAGCTGATACCAAAAAAGCTTCATATAATCATCGTCGGGAGATAACGATTCAAACACAGCCGTCTGCCAGTAGAGAATCTTTTCCATCGAGAAATTAGCTTCTACCTCGGTGGTTTGCGGGTCGTCCATTTCCGAGAGTCTCAAAAGAACAAGCTTAAGAAAGGAACCTCGAATAGTCGATACTGCCTGGCTACACAATCTCACGGTTTTCATTTTTGCAATTTCTGGTTTCTGGAGATATTCCAATAAGAGCCCAGCGAAATCTAACATGGATTCAGTGCCGTTCATGAACCATCCCTCGAAAATTGCCTCGACCATGTGAAGGCTAAATCGAGCCATGTTGGTAAGTACTTTCGGCTCGTTTAGTGTCTTCCAGTCGAGCTTAATTGTCGTCGACATGTGAACAATAGTACTTTTTAGCACATACGACTCGAAGTATGCCTGATGCTCTTGGAATCCTGGAGGTACCTTCAAAAATAACCCGAACCCAGGAAATTCTTTCCGCGCCAATAACTGATCTATGAAGACATTGATAATGAGTTCGAGGATGCCTTCCACTAACCCATGACCAACATTTTGATCAGAAGAGTTTTTCTTTGGGGGCACCACGTGAACGAGGCGGCTTAGGCTAGGTTGAGAGGACTTCTGGGAGGTTAGAAGGATGAAGGACGAGGCCTTCCGTAGTTGGGTTCCTCGGTGGGTAGTTCCATGGGTTGGTAACGATTTGTCAGTCGTAGCAGTTCTAATCACCGGAGCAGCGCTAGAAGTCCCGCCGACTGGACGAATGATAACATCGCCACCCTCGAAAGTGAGCATCGAATCCCTAGAGTTAAGCTCTGTTTCGGGGTTGACTGGATCTGCGCTTACGATAGCTGGATAAAGGGTAGATAGAAGTAACCTTACATAGTCGGAAGACAGCGCAAAATCTCGGAAGTCGGCAGATCGAGCATGTAGATCTGCCATGAATCTAATGACAGTCTGAAGAGCAGCGCCGTTACCAGCGTGGCGTTCAACTCGTGGCTGGGCGGTTTCTTGAACAAAAGTCAGCTAATTTCCACAATAAATAGAACAGGACTTACGGCGAGATTCTAGCTCCTTTTTAAGTGACATTGATCGCGCTCGTGGCCTTAGACCTGGTTCGGGCCTAGCTACTTTAGGTTCTGTCAGGTTTAAATCCCCTAGAGGGGGAGAAGCAGGATCCTCTTGGTCCTTGAGAATGTCTTTTAGGGCATGTTGAATCATAGCCGTGATAATCGGAAGGGCATCGGGATTGACAATTTTGCACTTTCCAAACGTTTCCAACAAGCTAAAGAAGTCGAAATTCTTCTCGAAGTCTATCTCTGCTACGTCGTATCCGAAGAGAATGCTGAAGCAGATGGGCCAAAGAGTCGACATATCCCACCACCGCTTCAGGCGGTGGGCCATGATGCAAAAGCCCCCAGTCTTCCCCGCGAATTTGTTGGTATAGGCGGTGCCGTGCGTGACTAAAAGTCTAGCCAGTATCTTGCAGCCGTATACTACAATTTCCGGATCGTTTTCTGTGAGGAGGTACAAAAGCCACTGAACCATCGTCAGTTTAGAATCACTTCGCGATGGCCTAGCGTCAAGTACCTTATTTGTAACAGTTTTAGCAAACTTTCGAATGATTACTAAATTTCCCTTTTCGCATAGCAGCTGGCTATACACATCCAACAAGCGGATACCGACTTCTCTCTTCGTAAGCTGCCGTTCGTCGTCGCCATCCGGTCCATTCGTCAGGACCAATGGCCGCAATTGAACATTATGCGAGGACCGTCGGGTTGATGGTTTTGGAGTACGCGGAAGAGACCTTGACGGAGGATGGAAAGCATAGGTAATAAAGAGGGCAAGTGATTGGTGCACTTCTGTGTTATAGTTGCACTTCACGAGACTCTTGACCGTACTTATGAAAAAGGGCAATACACTTTCTGATAGAGGCTCTGATTTAACGGCGTCGAGGAGTCTCTTTACAATTCCTGGAGGAATTATGTTAGCATAAATCGGGATACTTACCTAGAACTCGAAAAACTCACGCATTCGAAGCAGCCTGCGATTATTGTATTGGTGATACTTGCTCATAACGGCAAAATCCACAAATTGTCTGTAATAGAGCTCTTGAACGATAGGGCCGCATTTTCTCCAGCCATCAAAGTCGACAAGGAGAATGCGATACGCTAAAGGATTTACGATGACTGAGTCAAGAGGATTCCGATGTTTGTATCCAACAAAACCTAAGACGAGGCTAAGGAGTTGAAAACATAACTTGTTCCTGTCAGAATCAGAAAGCGACAGCTTCTCTGTCACAGTTTCACTTGCAGAACTGCCATAGCCAAGTTTGGCTTTTAGTAGAATTCCCAATATCGCATATCCTCCATCTTTCTCCATAGCCTCGCTATTTCGCCAACTTGAGTTAATGCATAAGAACACCATCTCAACAGCACGTACTAGTGTTTCGGCTGAAGAAGCACGTTCGATCAGCTTCAACGCAAGTGGTGTGAAACCCGCGAGTTGCCAAAGGGCATCGTCGAAAAACTGGGGCGTTGAAACAATAGGGTTCCCGGTTAATACTGCGACACCGTTTGAGCGAAGAAGAGCATCGTTTATCGAGGGCAATGCGGTATTTATAGCTATGCCCGTGCCATTCTTAAGGACCATCTGTACAAGAGTATGAGCAGGCCCACGGGATAAAGCACGAAAAAGCTGTGACTCTCCGAAGTGCTCCTTTTCCCGAAATACAGAGGACGGCAACACGCTAAGAAGGATTTTATGCTCCGGTACCACATGGCTTGCTTTATCTCTAATAACTTTCATGATATCGGAATCTTCTTTTCCAGTACTAACGAGATCGTTACGAAGTCCCAAAGCAGCAGATGCCGTGTAAGTCTGGAAACCACCGAGACAATCTTGAAAATTCCCTTGGTAGTGAACGCCCAGTCGACTAGGTACTGACAGGAAATCGTCGCTTAGTACCTCATCAAAAAGATGAGCCGTACCAAGAGACCATTTGGAGAATATTAACCCGGCACCTATATGAGAGGAGAGCTCTCTCGGGGTTCCTAAGAATGCTTGGACGGGCATTGACTTGTTGCTTGATGAGGTGAAAGAAGCAAAACTTTCTGTGCTGCCGCTCGACATTGGCGGAGATGCAGGATAAGAAGCACGTATTTGTTCAACGAATTCGCCATTGACATATAGAGAAGCCTTGCTGGGTGTCATTGTCTTAGGTCGTCGGTGGACCACTGTGATATGATACCATCGCCTTTCCTTAAAGGTGAAGGTTCTAAATCTGACACTGGGTCGTTGCGACGTTACTGATGTCTGTAAAATGAAGTTGTGCGTATCTTTTTCAAGATACGCGAGAACAAAACAAGTCTGGGTCGAGTCAAAGGCACCGAATATTGTAGTATGCGATTTTGGATCAAATTGGTCAATCCGTATCCAAGCAGCAAATGTGTATCCGGCAGACGACTGAGGGGGGAACGGACGGCCTATACTAGGTAGTTCGATAGATGAATGTCCATATTGGGATAAGTCGAATTGTATAAACGGAGGACCGCTATATTTGTGCATGACCTCCAAGCAAAAATCGGATGAGTTCAATGAGGGGCTGAGTAGAAGTTCTTGTGCATCAACAAGTCTGTTCACACCAAAGGGCATGAGAGATCGACACAGGGTTAGAACTGTTTCCCGCTCGGCATCATTGAGGGGTGAAGCCTCATCGAAAGCGAGCTTCAGAAACCGAGATAAGACACCAGTCTCATGAACAAGACACAAGTTAATGTTGGAAGCATCTATGGTGGCTGCCAATATCTTGAGCACGAGCAACGATGCCGTATTCTCCGGACTTTTCTTATCGCGGGGTAATGATTCCCAGAAATCCACGATCGATCGGACGACCTCTGAGTTATGTAAAGTCGACTTAGGACTAATGGTCTTTTTTATAGCCGCTTCGATCGATGCCATTTGAGCATCTAAGCGCGCAATCTCGTGATCCTCGCTCTTCGTGCTATCTTCACTAGTACCGGATTCATTCGGCGCTATCAAGACCCAGGGCGTAGTGTCGTCTAGCACTGCAGAGCAACATAGTTGATCTAAAGCAGGATCGTTGAGTGCCAAAGAGAAAAGCTTCCCAAACAACTGGCAGCTAGTCCAAAGATCTGAGTCGCTTCCTCCAAGGCCAATGCTTGCTATGATTTGCTCCAAAGCTTCCCATCCACCCCCTTCGACCCGTGTGCGAAAATACCGTCGGTTGCCAGGATGGCCACGGAAAGCTGAAGCTAATACCCCGAAGACAGCATTGAGGAGGTCGAAGAAGCTTTTCTTCTCGTCGTCGCTTCGCTTCTGCAAGTTATAAAAGCCGGAAAAGGACCTGAGCACGTCAAACAACCTATGAAAGCCGCGAAGGTGCCTGAAATCATCTTGAACGGAGCTTGGCGGGGAAGTCGCGGACAGATGTTGCTGGACCTGATGTATCTGGGCTAATAATGGATCGAATGTAGGGTACCCATTGCTGGAGGTAGTCGAAAGGGAAGAAGATATAGCATCGAGGAGGGACTGAAGAACTTCGGTAGCTTTAGATATGGCCGGCTGAGTAGAAGTGGAAGTGGACGAGCGATAACGACTTGGCCGCAAGGACATCTTGACGTTGATGGCGATTGCGACTAAGGGCTAAGAACTGAGATTGAGCGAGAAATCAAATTCATTCTTCTTTCATATTATACAGCTTGAACGTGCTAGCACCCAGCAGTTGGGTTCTAGGCTGCCGTTTACGGTAGAGAGCATCGAATAGTTGGCGGATCAGCTCTCGCGACGGAGTTCGGAACGAAGCAAAGGGCTGTGACGGTAGAGCGTTTGCAAGGGAAGCCTTGGGAGATCTCCAGATCTCTAGATCTCGAATTGAATCGTAGATTAGGAGTTGGCAATTCGAAGCCACTTCATAGAACCCCTCCCAAATCCTACGAATGAGACTGAGGGTTGTTGTCCTATGGATCCGAAGCTCTTTCAACTAACAAATCCGACGTCAGTCAGTTTTGGAAGTTGTCAGCCTTAGGACTTGTACCTGGGTACATCAGCTAACGCGCGTTGTGGCTTGGGCATTTAGCTCCTTTAGTTGACGCCTAGCGGCGTAGCACAACCTTAGAACTGCATAACCCGGATATCTATAAAATTCCTATCTATTTATAGTGGCTATGCATCAAAGCCGATATGGATGTCTATTATCCTAACGCATCTAATCAGATCTCAATGAAGCAAGCTCTAACTCAATACACAATAGCACAGGCAAAGGTTTTGTTAACATCCAAGGAATCCAATCTTTGAAATCTTCACATTCTACTGAACGTAGCAAGGCTGTATGTATAAATAGGATCGAAACAGGCTTAGAGCCTAAGTGTTATGTCGTATCATACCTGCGCCCTGCCAGACATGTAGGTCAAGGAACCACCAATCACATCGATTGAGAGCCGCATAGGCAAACATGACTTACATCTTATACCCGTTCAGAACCTTAGATCAGTATAATCTATTTGTAATGCAATAGATTAAATGAGTCGGGTATTTGTCTTTAGGTATCTTATAACATGCCTAGGTACCTATTAAAGAGGTGGTAGTGAAATGATTCCGTTAACGCAGCCAAAAATTGTAGCCACTAACAAAGTCACCTAATTAAGGAAAAAGGGAAGGCAATTCATCTTTCCTCAAGGTTCTATAAGATAAATGATCATCAACACATCTTTTCCTTCTATCGTAATAGCTTTTGAATGACCTTTCATTCTTCATAACATCTTAAATAACTTATACGCTCTCATAAGCTCTTTGAAAAGGGCTTCAAAAGCCTCAAAGGCTGCGAAATCTTAGCTCGCTCTAAGGGCATCATCCAACGATAGATTTTCCAAAACTACCTTATGTGGCGGAAGAGCTTCTTAAGTCTAGTATCCTCATCCACGATCACGCAATAAGCTTCAGCTTAAAGTATCAATGGTTATAATGGATATAAATAAAGATAATGCATACAAGACGAAAGCTCTTAGTCTCACAATAGGCAAGTGATATATTCGATCTTCTAGCGTTACACAATCCAGGCTTCACCCTCGAACTGGGTTGAAAGGATACCCCGTAATCTTTCCGGGACGACTGGCGTCAAACTCATGGTCATCGGAGTTAAGTTATGGAGTTTAGGTCTGCCTTGACTCATCTCGAAAGCGTCAGTATCACACACATGTACCTACATATATCTCCGCAACTTAGGCTTCGGGGAAATGCGAATGTCAATTCGACAAACAGGACTCACGGGCAATGTTGTTCAACTAGGTACCACCATTGGCTACCGTTTGTGTTTAGCCAAACGGAGCTGCGCAACTTATCCCGGGGTAGATTCCTTGTTTAGTACTTAACACGAGTTTGAAATGACTTACTTCATGGTCGGTAGCAACGAACCTGGCTTCAAAAACGCCACTCAAGTCGTTTGTAGGTATCTATTTAGAAAAAGATGAACTTGATCTACATGTTATGTCAATAGTTCGTTCTGTCGACTCTTCGAGAAGTACGCCTACGCCAAGAAGAAACCGCCACTACGGATACGCACCAAGCCAATGCGGATCCTATGCGTGGGGTTTCCACATTGCGGAGCCATGAATCTCTGGAATGATTGACCAGAGCTAGACCGCGATCATACTCACGATGGATCCGACGAGGGTCTTAAGGATATGGACGAATTCCCACACCAGGTCCAGCGGTGTCGCAAGGAGCGAGTCCCGCTCAAGTTCACCGACATATTTACCCCTAGCTGCCCTAGGTCAGGTACCATAGTCTCACCGTAGTTTTGTAGATGATTCGGGGAGCCGGACGGCTAGCGCCGGCCCCTGCGCTCCGAACGCCGAGTCCGTACTCGACTACACGATCGCCGTCTTATCTATCATCGGCACGGTCTTAGCGGCCGATTTCATCGTCGTGCATCCCGAAGCCAAAGTCATGCTTACCTATCACCAGGACATACAATACTCGATTGTAGGTCCGAAGGAGCCCTAGAAAATGTGGTTGAAGCCGTGCCTTTCCTCTAACTGATTTCAGGTGTGCTCACCACATATATACTTCACATACCTTGGTTAATTACAAGCGTAATGCGGATTTGCTGCGTTGAGTATGTAGAATACGCCTAGCCTTACCTTGCATATCTGAATGCTTCCATGGTGTTGTAGATTAATACATCCTAGCGTACGTCTGCTGACATGTAGAGTTCAAAGCGTAATGACACAGTTCGTGATGCCTCCCTCTTCGTGCCGTCACAAGATACCTTAGGTACAATCGGCTTATAGTCGAATACGCAATGCTCTATTGACTTTGAAATAAACCGAAAATAAAAGCTCCGGTCTATCTGATATGTTAAAATTAAGAATAAATTATCATAATGCCTTGATAGACAATATGACGGGAGCATGAGCATGAGTGAGACATTCGGATTCGTCGTAAGTCAGGTGAGCTGCCATCCATGTCTTTGGGTCATTTGCGAAGTTTGGTGGGTGTATTGTTCCCTAGTTCTGGTATTAGATAGCAAATTCAACTGTAGTTCGAAAGACATCGGAAGTATTTGGCACTGTAACATATGCATCTAGCTTATGAATATGAAGATGATGTGTTGTTAATGTTAATTAAATTGATGAAAAAGGAAAAGGGGAAAGAGTTGTTGAGTCGAGGCTGTCGAGACTCGAGCCGAATTGAGTTGGACCGGAGTTGGACAAGTAAGAGAGCACGTGTCGTTGCGCCAAGAATGGGTTTCGAGTCAAGTAGGGTGCAGCTGATTCCGGGTCACTAATTTGAGCTTGCAGGGCAGTCAGGGCTAGCGGAAGGTTGAGTGGATAACAGAGCTCCGAGGGAGCTGCGAGGTTGGATATGGTGGGATTCGTTTGGAAAGCAGGTCCTAATCCAATCAAGCTCCTATCTTAATCCTAGCTCGATTGTGTCATACCATCGTTATCTGAGGTGAGCTTCCAACTGTCGCAAGATCAACTTTGGAAGATGCCTTGCTTATGAATACGGCATAAATATCTGTCTCAGTAAATGTCTTCGTAAATTAACACAAAAGAAACTAAAACACATTAACTGATTTAATTGATTTGTTTGATAGGGTGCACTATCTAGCAAGACTCCGAACAATAGAGTCCTTTGCACCGGTGGCAACAACCTGTAGCATCTGATTCTCAGGGTCCAAAGGCTGCATGCATTGTAGGCAGCTCATACACGTATGAGGTATGTTGATAGGCTGTTCAGTACCAAGGTTGATAAGATAGGTCCCGAGTGATGGGTGGCGTCCTTATCAATGTCCAATTGCCTCCGGGACTCAACAGATTCAAAAGTTGACCATACTTATTTAGGTGTTCATCGGCAACCGCGTGAACCGGAACCGATTAGGATGACCTTAGTGCTGTCTAGCTGCCTCCATTCTCCATCAATGGACAATCCATTTGTATCGTACCTATACTGTACACACGTCCTGTACGGAATACCTATCTCGTAATACCCTTTCCGGTCATCTTACCTCTTCGTCCCTGGATTTCAGAATGCTTAATGCCTCTTGTGAGACAACATTGATTGGCAAAGTTGTATTTAGTACGTACGAAAACGCCTTGGCGCGATTAGAGGAAACATCCCACGTCATGAACGGACTAAAACGAGGGCATGTGAAACGCAATATGCTCAATAAAGCAAAGTAAAGCATGACTGATTGATTGCCGTCTTTTAAGGTACACAAGGGTACACAAAGTTCGGGGGGTTACCACCAACATCAATACTCATCTAACTGGCTTAGGCTAGTGGAATGGTCAGCCTGTCACGCTAGTCCTGGTGGGTCTTAGCATTTCCGTCCTTATCTGGTTGGCCCGGCGGCTGTGTGCGTCACCTGCGCTTGCTCCACGCTGGGGAAGGCAGCCATTGAACCATAATGTACCCTGCGTACCTTAATGTACATCCCTAGCCGGCTAGAATCTGGTACAGTCATCTTGTACCTGTAAACTCCACTATGAGCTCGGTGCATTGCTGTGGCAGCCACCCTTTATCTCTTCCCGCTTTCGCTCTCATCGAGCTTTCTTCTCTTCTTCCTCTTCCTTCCTCATCTCTTGATCATCCCAATCCTCCATCATCAATCACAAAGTAATTATCAACTTTGTGGCCTATTCACTCTGAGGCATCATTCGCTTGATTCCTCGGGTTTTTCCCTTTCTTCGGTGATTTCCTCCATTCCCTTTTCGAGTCGCAGGTAGACTTATCTTTCCCTCGTGCGAACCTCAAGTGTACTATCCTGTTATCGGGTCGTTACCATCTAACACTCATCAACATCCATCAATATGAGGGGCTTTATCGCTCTTCTCTCGCTGGCGGCTGCTGCCGCTGCGGCGCCATCGTTCAGTTACGAGACCATCCATCACGGAGCCGCTCCCGTCATTTCCTCTACCACTGCTGAAGAGGTTCCCAACTCATACATCGTCAAGTTCAAGAGCCATGTATCCGAAGCATCTGCAGCGGATCATCACTCTTGGGTTCAGAAGATCCACGGTGATCGCGAGGATGAGCGATTAGAGCTTCGAAAGCGAGGCCAGATCCCTCTCATCGGCGATGTCGTTGACAGCTACAAGGGTCTGAAGCACACCCTCAAGATCGGCACCGAATTCCTCGGCTACGCCGGTCACTTCGATGACTCCGTCATTGAAGAGGTCCGAAGACATCCTGATGTAAGCATCTAATTTCATCACCATTCTTACACGTTCATCGTATCTCGGGGATATTTATTGTGCCGATCTATTCTGAGTTATAACTAAATGCGCATTTACTAATATCATCAATCACAGGTCGAGTTCATCGAGAAGGATTCCGTCGTCCACGCCCTCGGAGATGAGGAGCCGGACCTAGAGAAGAACGCCCCTTGGGGTTTGGCCCGAATTTCTCACCGCAAGCAACTCTCCTTCGGCACCTACAACAAGTACCTGTATGCCGCCGAGGGTGGTGAGGGTGTTGATGTGTACGTCATCGACACCGGTACCAACATCGAGCACGTTGATTTCGAGGGACGTGCATCTTGGGGCAAGACCATCCCTACTGGGGATGAGGATGTTGATGGCAACGGCCACGGTACTCACTGCTCTGGCACTATCGCTGGTAAGAAGTACGGTGTTGCCAAGAAGGCCCACGTCAAGGCCGTCAAGGTCCTCCGATCTAACGGCTCTGGCTCTATGTCCGATGTCATGAAGGGTGTTGAGTGGGCTGCTGAGCAGCACTTGGAGCAGGTCGCCAAGGCTAAGAAGGGCACGCGCAAGGGCTTCAAGGGTTCCGCCGCCAACATGTCTTTGGGTGGTGGCAAGTCTCCCTCTTTGGACCAGGCTGTTAACGCTGCTGTTTCTGCTGGTCTTCACTTTGCCGTTGCCGCCGGTAACGATAACGCTGATGCCTGCAAGTACTCTCCCGCTGCTGCTGACAAGGCCATCACCGTCGGTGCTAGTGCTCTTGATGACAGCCGTGCGTACTTCTCCAACTGGGGCAAGTGCGTTGATATCTTCGGCCCTGGTCTGAGCATCCAGTCGACCTGGATTGGCAGCAAGACCGCTATCAACACCATCTCTGGTACCTCCATGGCTTCCCCCCACATTGCTGGTCTCACCGCCTATTTCCTCTCCCTACAGCCCGCCTCGGACTCCGAGTACGGTCTAGCCCAGATCACCCCTGAGAAGCTGAAGACCAACATGGTCACCATCGCCACCAAGGGTGCTCTCTCTGACATCCCCAGCGACACCCCCAACCTGCTCGCCTGGAACGGTGGTGGTTTCTCTAACTACAGCCAAATCGTGTCTGAGGGTGGCTACGTTGCCGAGACCCCTGCTGAAGGTTCTCTCTCCATTGAGGAGCTTGAGAAGGCTATTGAGCACGACTTCAACGTTGTCTCTGGCACTGTCGTCAAGGGTGTCTCTTCCCTCTCTGGCAAGGCCGAGAAGCTCTCCAGCAAGATCCACGAGATCGTCGACGAGGAGCTTAAGGAGTTTTTCGAGGAGCTCCGTATGTAAGGTGGCATAGATTGGCAATCCTGTCTAGCATGTAGTATTTTTTTTAGACCTGGGATATTGGCAAGTTTCCAATCGAGCATAGGTCATGAAGCGGTGTTTATTGGGCAATCGGCCATTTGGCCTATCTATACTTGTACACGATGCAATGGTCTTTCGGTAGCATGGTAACGTTTATTAGACCTCTCAGATAGTAATGGGTCGTATTGCAATCTTTTCTTTGCCATAAGCGCTTAATGACTACTTCTGCTCAGTGATATGGTGTGTTATATGTCCGTGTTCTTGTTGAATTTTTTATTTTATGATATCGTTGTCGTTAGTCGTTAGGGAGCGGTCTAGTAGCTCGGCTTTCCCCCAGTGTGCGTTTGATAGTAATATTTACGTAGAGCGTATATGTATAATGCCATTTGTAGTTGACGCCTATCGTGGATTGTCTAGATAATTATAATACTAGTGATTATGAAGTAACTTAGCTAGAAGGAGCAACCCTCCCGCCTTTTCGTCACCTTCCATCTATTGAACATGATGCCAGCCATAATGTGGCAAAATTGTAGAAAGTACGATGCTCTCGCATATATACCTTCCTCAGGAACACATGGTGTTTCCATCTACTTGAGCCATGTTCTATATAGGGAAGTTGTCTTCTATCGCGACTTCCAACTTAACATGCCCTCTTACTCCCTATCTGAGTTGGGCGAGGACATCCTGGATGAATTCCGCCACGTAACATACCTTGACCTTCATCTTCACATATTCCATCTTATCACATACATTCATCGTGATTCAGCCCTATCATTTCCAATCAGGATCTTTGGGCGCTGAAGAGCGGTGGCTTTTGGTTAGATTATATTTGACATGAGCTTCTGAGGTGGCCCATCTTAATCTTTGGATTCTTCAGTCCCTTGGTTTCCCTCGTAGACTTCATCGGCTGTCTCTTGGTTTTCTTTTTATTCCCATCATATCCATATTATCCAATCGAACCCGAATCATCATGTATCATCGAAATAGTACAAAATTCAAATGCATCGACCGTCGAAAGTCGACTTCGACGAAAAGCGTCTATCTCGAGCATATTCGCCCTGAGACGGCTGAACATCATGCTCAAGCTGCGGCTATGCAAGCATTTACAAGGGCCAAAGAACGTTCTTCTATTGAGACAACGCTGTGGCCACCACCACGGAACAACGACTTGAATGACGCGAATAGCTATGACGGCACTCCTGGTAGGGGACGTACCGGCTCTGTCATCAGACGTCAACAAAGTGTTCGCTTCGTGCGGGACAGAGCTCCGCGGAGCATGGAAGGCCACGCAACAGCCGATAATACGACGCTCGATTCCAATACGAATAGCATGAAGTCAAGAAACGCTATGGATAGTATCGAGCCTCGACCGATTACTAGTGCCTCCGCTGTCGGAATGGTCTCTGCTGCCAAAGGTACAGCTGGCGATTACATCAACGCTCTTTTCATAGGAGAGGAGTATTATACACCTGAGGATGACTTTGCCTCAGCTCCTTCATCATATCGAAAGATTCGGAAGTCTAGGTCAATGTTTACTTGCTCAGAAGTGAGCATGACCTCTAGAAACCACGTTCGGACTCCAACTTCAACGACGATGAATCAAATACCTCCATCATCTGCGGCCTCGGTGAACATGGATGGAGAGGGAAGCATGCGCTCAATCAAACTCAAAGCACCGAAATCTATGTCGTTCTTGAGAGGACGTCGTGATCAACCAATGCTGTCTTTCAAGCGTCGTGGTAGCGCCCCTATTCCGCCGCACATGGATGGAAATGCTGGATCTCCAGGCAATAAGGATAAGCTTACGAAATCTCTGCCACCGTCTTTCCTTCGCTCGAGGTCTGGTAACACGGACAAATTCATCAGAAAGAGCATGAGAGACGTCAGCAATGACACCATACTAATCAACGGAAAAATACCAAAAGATGGTAGCTTGAGAAACCGAGCTCGGAAAGTCTCGCATAACTTTAAACACAAATTGAAGAGTCTCTTTAGTTTGGTCAAGGGGGATTCTGATAAGGAGGTGTTTCCTCCTCAGCAAATTGAGGCGTCAAAGTCACACGTCACTGACGATGATTACATGAGGATCAATGAGTTCCAATTCGACTCCAGAAGCGATGAAGCTGCCATTTCTCGTGTTCCATCTGGTGTTCCATCCTTGCACGCAGTTCCTTCGCATCAGCAACTTCGCTCGCGACAAGGGAGTGTCGAGAGCCTCCGAAGCGAAAGACGAGCCTCGGATGAGCGATCTCGGGTAACAAGCTGGTCGAATTCGGACACCAACACCATCAATACTTTGAGCAGTCGTAAGGGAGAATGGGAACGGCAGCGCCTATCTGTCATAAAAGAAAACGGGATGCACGTCTCTTCATCGTCGGCAAGATACCCCGGTGTTGCGGCCCATGTCACGAACACGAATAACAGTCCCCACTCCATACCGCCGCCGATACCGATACAACCAGCAACGGTTAACAGCCAAAGAATCTATTCGGCACTTATGAAGAGGCTAAGCGATACCAGCAAACATTCGAAAGGGAACGAGTTGAAGAGAAAAAAGACTGTTGACAACTTAATCACCGCAGCTGCCGTACCCCCAAGAGGTAGCTCACAGCACCACGAAGGCAGAGGACCCAACTCGCCAGCAACCATTCGCTACGTCGTTTCCGATGGTCTATCTAACACATCGTCAACGAGAACGATTGAGAGAAAGCCCGTTGCAAATAGTAGAAGAGTTAAGGCGGAGCCAAGTGAATCTCCCTCTCCTGTTGGGACATCTTCAACTAAACCGGGAATCCCGTCCTCGGCGTCGATGCTGTTGGGAGACGAAGCGAGTAAGTCGCTGAATACCGATGGTTGGAAATCTCCTATACCGCGTATTGAAGAGCCTACACCTCCAGCAAGAGCACTATCGACTCGAAGTTCGGCCTTCTTTGCTAGCCCAACGTGCCATCTCTTCCGCACGCGGAGTCCGTATAGACGTGCACTCCAAGATTCGATCAAAGCGGAGTCTCAAAACACGCACCTTAGGTCTCCCGAATGCAACCCTTGGATGCGTTCCCTAACTAGTTTACCCATCCGATGCCCGAGTACATGCGATACGGAGCTAGACATGAAGATGCAATACGCCGAAAGCGTGTATTCCTCCACCGACGACCTGGGAACTGGATCTTCGACCGACCCATCAAATGTCGCCGACAAGTTCCCAAAGCCGCCAAATAACGTCCACGGAGATGCCACCATATTCCTCAGTCCCCCCGTCTACCGCCCCACACCACCCTCCCTAGCCAAGCACAGGGTCACTTCTTCCACAAGCTCCGTAGAATGGAAAACATGGCTATCGGCCAATGTCTCTAAGCTCGAAGGCACAGGCACACCTGACCGCACTGAATCCGGCGTCCTTGAGTATACTATCCCGAGAACTGCACCCACTCGGCCCTCAGGCCACATCCGGGAAAAGGCCCAAATCAACGACACTGACGACGACGACGACGACGATGAGGAGCAGCCGCCCCTGCCCTTCCCCTGCCTCTCCAACATAGAAGTCTACAAGCCCACGCGCCCGGAACCAGACACGGCGCTCGCACCCATCGAGCAAAACGCAATCCCGGTATCTACGCCGCAGACCCAAACCCAATTTTGGAGGCCGGCAATGAAGAGAAAGAGCACGTCTCCCGCCCCACACGACGGCAACGGCAACGGCAATGGCAAAGAGAACGAAGTCCCCGAGCGCTTCACCATGACGCAAGTTAGGAACGCGTTGCGCGCCACGCCATCGCTAGCCAGCATGCAGTCCACCAACCCCGCATCCGAGCCGACCACAAAAGGGCCTTTCGACTCCACTCGTCGTAAATCGCTCGCGCACAGAGCGTCTGTTAACACGCTCGCGGGAAACGGAAACAATACCACGGTTTCGGCGCCGACATCGACGCTGCGATTGGTCAAGCGACAGCAGGGTTCCGGTGGGGCCAATAAGAATAAATTCGTCACGCCGACGCCGAGTCCCGGGCCGAAGGCCTCGGCTGAGAAGCTGGGCGGCTCGACGAGTTCAAGGCGTAGGTTCGCGCTGGTGAATGCGAAAAAGGCGGAGAATGTTAGCCCGAAGGATGTCGAGGGTGAGAATCTGCCGTATGGTGTGAAGGGAGCTGGAGCTGGTGGGCTGAGTCCGGAGACGGATTTAGGGCCGAGTTCCGCTCAGACTTTGGGGAGTAAGAAGATGGTCGATTTATTTCTGAGTAGCAGGCGTAGGCGCATGGCGAGTGATGAGGAGGGCAGTGTGTTTATGTGATTTTTTTTTTTTGGTCTGTTACTGAGTATTGGCTTGTTTTGGTTCGTTTTGGGTTGGTTTGACTCAAGGGAGTTGGTAAAGAGTGAATTAAACTTGGGCTAGATGTGATGTTTGGGTGGCTGTGAGTTGTATGGAGTAGAGTACGTTATGGATAGGATAGGAAGTTCAATGGCATCGAGGGAAAAGGGGTCGTTAGGGGCTGTTAAGTTAATTCACTATCGTTTAGTATTAATGAGAAGGAATGGCTACCCGAAGCTTTGCGCTGGGGTAGACGTATAATTGTAATGAAAATAGTTTTATGTTGAGAGAACTTGGAAACGTGTTAAAATTGGATTATCGTAATAATGGAATGCTTCATATTAATATCGTGTATAATAAACAGGCGCATAGGTGCTATCCCCTGATTTTTATCTGCTTAGACAAATATAGCATCCATATCCTTATAAACACCCTGCACTCTTTTCCACTTCAACTCCTTCGACTTCACCAACTGTAGCCTCATCTTGTCCTGAGGCTTCTTCCACCGTTGTTGATCCTGCAGTCGATTGATATCATCGCAGACCAGATGCTCCTGGGCTTCGCTCCCCTGGTGCTCGACCACCTTGAGCTCTGTCCCACGCCGAGCGTCTAGACATACCAACGCATGACCGCGAGGGGTAACGACCTTGAGCATGATCAATCCGCTTAGCAGTAACGTTGTCATGTGTAGGGGACAATCAATCGAGAAACCCTCGTCCGAGCCGTGTTGCAGAAAGACTTTATTATACGGCCCTCGAGTCTTCAACACGCCACCGCCGCGCTCATCGTGCAGGAGCTTGGCTATGATGAACTGCTCGTTGATACCGGAGATGGCGTGCAGCTCCGACACGGATCGGCAACGTACGCGAAAATGCAAAAAGTCGCTCCACGGCCAGTCTTGGACGAACCGGCTCTTGCACACTAGCAGATAAAAACCAGCTACGACCCAGAGATACGTCGATAGATTGGAAGGGTCCACGGCGGTGATGCGGTCGCCCGCTGCGATGACCGATAGCCCGCCAGCGGCTATTAGGAACGCGACGAGGACGATATAGCAGACCTGGAACTTGCAATTAACGGTGATACCTTTCTCGTCAATCACCCAGCCGTCCATCTCCCGCGACATCTCGGTCATCTTTCGGGCTATCTTTTTGGAGCTTTTGGAAGTATCTCCGCCGGAGGCCAGATTGTAGCGAGAGAAGACTTTGGCCTTAACTGCGTCAGACAGACGCATGACGTCCCACGCTTTGCTATCGACCTCGAATTTGTCTGTGTACATACGGAAGAAGGCGTTGTAGTCCTTTTCCTTGAATGGCTGGACGACGTCCTTAGCGTCGCTGGTTAGCGCCATCATCGTACGGTACTTGGTAAGGTTAGAGACGGCGACAGGGCTGGTGAGGATTAGAGGAACCATCACGGTGACTATGTCTCCCATTGAGTCCATAACGGCTGTGCGCATCTTATACTGTGACAAATCGCACATCGAATATTCCGCTGAGAGATTACTTCGTGGCGTCTTATCTTCGGCTTCACAATGTCCCCATTCAACCGTTGTCTGCAGGCGACCAGGAGGTTTGCGGGGAGCGTCCTGTTTAACGTGTTTCAAGGCCTGGTATAAGATTTTGAATGCCGAGTGAGCAGTATTGATAGTGTCCTGGTCTGAAGAGGCCGAATACTCCAAGTCTCTGTCTTGGAAGAGGAGAGCCTTGAAATCCTCAAATCCAGTTGCGTAAACCATACCGCAGATCTCAAATGATGTACCGTGTAGTCCAGATCGATTCTGGAATCTGAGCGAGAGGAGTAGGTAGCGAAATATTGTATCTATTCCGGAACGGTTCCGGTTCTGATCAACGCAGTACCGGGCGACTTCTGCGTTCGCTGTGGTGGTGAGGCCTTCCTTGGTTTCGGTGTCGATCATACGGAGAACTTCTTCGCATTCTTCTTCATCAAGGATTCCATTTGAGAGCTTACTAGATAGGCCGGTCCTATCGAGAGCTGCCTCGCCTGCTTGGCAAGAGATCAGCGTGTTGGCATTCATGTCAAGCAGCAACACTTTTAGCTTAGTCACACGCTTCGTGAGCACAGCTAGCACGTTGCCGCACCAAAAATTCCCAGTCGCTGATTGAGAGATCAATCTGGCCAAGATAGCGGAGATATAGTCGATCAACGAGAATATGGCGTCCGAGGTTTTCTTTTTTGCCTGGTCTCCTTCTCTGTTCTCCTCCCACTCGCCATTCGTCTGGCTCACTTGCGCCTGCTGAAGGAGCTTTTTGAGGCGGTCCCTGTTGGCAAGGGCCTTGCAAGATTCGACATTAATGCATTCGTTGTCCATCAGGCAAAGTGAAAAGGCAGAGAATACGATCTCCGCCAGCCTACCAAGGTCCTGGTACCCTTCTTCACCATCTCCGCTGAAGAAGCCTTTAGGGTTGAAGACCAGACTTGGGTCGTGGCTTTCCACTATTCCCTTTAGTCTAGTAGCCTCGTCCTTCCAGAGCTCTGTGGCACTAAGGCCTGCGGGGAGATATGCACGGAGATCATCGAATTCAGGTAATTTGACTGTTTTCGAACGATCCGAAGAGGATCGGACGCACTGCCCTCCTGATGAAATCAATTCCATAATGGTGTCCAGATCACATCTGATCGGCACGGCGTCTCGGTCCATCGGCTCGCCATCATTCTGTCGCGAAGATGTATTTGAAGTTTGATGAAAGTTCGCTCTTTTCAAACGTTGCATGCGGCGGGTGAACTTGTTCTTCTGGTTTCTGGTAGCACTGCAGAACGTCGCGCGGCGCGAGAGCATCGAGTTTACACGATTTGGCCCAGGGTAGACATGCTCCTGAGGCTTCTCATGGCCGTCTCTGGTCTCTGCCTGCGAAACGCGGCTATCCATGGAAACATCGCGCGTCGAGGAACTGCTGTTGACATTGAGCTTGTCTTGTTCAGTCGACATGGTGGTTTTGCTTGTGTACGAGTAGGAATTTTTGGCTTGTACGAGAAACGAGAGGAAAGGGGACGCTTGCGTTCTAAGGTATCTATAGAGCAACACGCCTACGACCTACTGGGGTCTATGAGGTTGTACACCATCTCGGTGTAGGCCTCATTCGCATATTGCATAACCCTGCTTAGGTATTCAGTGTTCACCTAAATGTAAACATAGAAAATGTTTTGCCACCGCGGCGGTCGATGCCCGACTGAATGCCTAATGGAATGACTGCATAAGTGAGGCTAAATAAGGTAGGCTGTACAAAATATTGAAATGAGGCAATGTGTGGTTGCAGCCTACCTAGGTAGAAATGGGCGCGGTCTGCAACTTGCAAGCTGAAAAACGACTTAAGAGGCCTCCTGATCGAAATATAGACATGATATATCAGCCCATTTTTATGTAGCTTCAGTGCCTTCATGTTGTGAACAACACATTCTGCACACATTCATCATGACCTTAGATATAGCCAGTGCAATTAACGCCTGTAGCGTTGATCGCTACCGGAGCGTCATTCAGCAATCATATTCACAAGAACAGGCTGATGCTTCGGTGACGCCGCAACAAGCTCTTAAACATGGCATCAACCATAAACTCGACACTCCTACTAAGAGCACTGACAAGGTCCAAGAAAGCCCCATGGGGAAGTTGAAAGTGTCTCTGGGGGAACAAGAGAAGATAGAAGAACAAAGGTATCTCTACCTCTCGGACAGTAGCTCCGCAGAGACGCCGCACTCTTCCAGTGGTCGAAAGAAGAATTGCTCCCGGAAGAAGGCTGCATCTCGGTCATGCAAGTTGACAGCCAATCAATGCCGGAGAACGGGTCAGCTTGGTTTGTGCGACAGCGAGGAAGAGTGCAATGCATCGGATACGTCCGCTAGCAGTTTGGACTCTGAACCTAACACTGACGATCCCGGCAAACGAACACACGAGCAGAAAATGAAGAAGTGGAAAAAATTAGCCCGAGGGAAGTTCGAGGAGATGTTGCTTGAGTGTATTGTCAACACAGGTGAGTAACTTCACTCCCTCGACGGATGTTGTATCGCTATAGTTATTGATTCATTTTGACTGCGTTAGACAATATTCCCCCAGATTATGAAAACATCTTCCTTGACCGTGAGGTGATTGAGAAAGTAGAGAAAGCAACGGCACTTGGTCTTAAGAGACCCAAGGCCTTCAGCCACGGCGTCCTCAAGAATAACAAGGTGACCGGAGCGATTCTATACGGACCTCCGGGTACGGGAAAGACTCTTCTCGCGAGAGGAGTAGCGAAGCAATCTGGATTCAACATGCTCTCGATCTCAACGTCCGAGGTATGGCAGAAATGTCACGGTGACGACGAAAAGATGATCCAAGCCGTCTTTTCCATGGCGCGCAAGATGTATCCGACCATTGTCTTCATAGACGAAGCAGACGGCCTATTGGGGGAACGAAAGGCGGGCGAGAAACGCCACTTACGAGCGATGCTCAACAAGTTCCTTATGGAATGGGACGGGATTATGAGTGGGACTGATTCGCCATTCATCCTCCTGGCGACCAATCGGCCTAACGACTTGGATCCTGCAGTAATGCGACGTGCCCCCGTGCGTATCCATTTCAATCTACCGACCAAACAGGAGCGGCTCGGTATCCTAGGTCTGCTTCTCAAAGATGAGACGCTGGGCCCAGACATCACTCAAGCAACTCTGGCAAATCTCACGCCACAGTACACCGGATCTGATCTCAAGAACCTCTGCGTGACTGCTGCAACGGAGTGCATCTCGGAGCAAGCCGAAGACAGCGACAGGAGAGTGCTCGGACGTCGCCATTTCATGGCCGCTATGCGAACCATTAAGGCTACATCGATTAGCAAGACGAGAGAGCAGGATCTTCAGAATTTCCAGAATAACCGACAAGAGCAGGCTGACGAGTAGGAAATTCTTTTTTTGGTAGAAGGGCTCAGGCACTGTCGGCTGTAGTGAAACAAGTAATTCTCTTCATAGGTAACCTTAGATACTGTTACGTTCAAATTGAGTCCGTATTTATCCCCACGCCTATAGAGGAGTCTCAAATGTTGTGGAGATGAAGATAATTGATTAGTGTACGAAGTATTGATCTTGTATGTGGAGAAATTAGCTCCAAATAAGCCACAACTATAACCCCACGTCCCCACCACCCCAACCTGCCCAGCCTCACGAGGTATTCATGTACCTACCCCTGAGTCCAAAACGTCGACAAACGGGAATATTTAATTAAAAAGATTAGATACAAGTCTTTACCTGAGCTACACTTAGTGACTTTTTACATACTGTCCTTAACTTCTCTCAAAGGATTCAGTGCCGAAGAAGAAAATGGCAAAAAAAAACAGGTATAAATTCCCTGCTGTACTACTATTTACGGTTCTTACGGCCCTATGGAAAAGCTTAATACGCGTTGCAATCTACTGTATGCGGGGAATTGGTGGTTGCTGATATGATTGGCAGGAATCGATATGATCTACGCCAATCGTAACAGTAGTTGGGTGCACAGCTGGGAATAAATTCCTGCAGGCTCGCACTTCACAGCAAAGTGCCGGCTTGCCCTGGTCCAATGAACGCATCGTCGCTTCCATAAGCACTCAAACTAGGACAAGGTAGCCCAGGCAGGGCTGAGAGTTGCCTTACTTTTTATTTTGAAGTAGCATGGAAACTTGCGAAGGCTGATACCAATATTGGCTCTGCGGTGGCAAATATGCAATCAGTCATCAGCCTCGATGTGTTGTGTACTCGGCATGACCGCCGACGAAGCCTAACTAGAATGACAACTACTCAAGTTTGCAAATATGCCTTGGGCCCCAACCGTCTTTCGGGGAGGCTCAGGTTCGGACTTCTCCTGTAGAACTCTCTTTGTCAGAAGCACGGATTGGAGGCCTGATGAGCAGGTAGACCAAGGCAACAACTGCTAGGCGGCGTGCATATCCGGCGTTTGGTTCAATCGCTTTCGGCTTTTGCTCTATGCTGCCTAGACACTATACACTCGAACTTTCGACTGGACGCGATGACTTGCCTACGCTTGCTCTCAGCCTCGTCAAGAGAAAGAGCGGCCAGACAACGGCCTCCAACCTAACTCATGCCCGGTCACTTGTCTCACCATGACAAACCCTTCCCTTAACTTATTACATTCCGGCCGGCTATTTCATATCGTATCTGGTTCATTGACTGTCAAAAAAGAATATTCATTTCCGTACCCAAATCGACTTCAAGATTGGAGGATATCGTGTTTATATCATGGCCCCGTTCCTGAAACCTGATGTCGATAACGACGAGGATGATTCCCAAAGCTGCACCAGTGGTGATTGCAGCATATACTCGTCATCAATCTCTTCGTCTCCATCGATATGTGTTAGTATGGATTCTGCTTCCACTCTGAAGCCCTCTAACTCCACACAGTTCAATACTAAACCTCAGCCTCTCAAAGAGAAGAATGAGGGCACTGGAACGCAAAACACGCATGGCGACTGCACGAAAGATGTCACTTCGACCATTTCCGACACTACCAAACAGATAGAATGTGACATGGTTCGCCCCCGATTCCACTATCGGTCTCGATCTGCGCCCGGCTTTCCCCATTCTATCCCTCCAGATGGTCCTACAACTATGATCGACGAAGTTAACGACTTGAAGTCTTTCTATCAGACCTGGAAGAAATACGCCGTGACAGAGGATCCAGAACCAGACGCCATCAAAGACGAGAAGGATGAACTGGAAACTTTTCCTACCGACGACGCCTTCGTTTTCCCATTTTTCCATTTGGATTCTTCGAACTTTGGATTCCACAAATACCCTTTTCGATTCCCCTTCTTCCACCTAGACCCCTCGATCTTCGACGCACGCCGACGGCGAATAATATTCCCGTTTTCTCACTTGGCGCCATCTCTCTTCGAATGCGAACCAAGGTCTATGAGAAAGCCAGGTTCACCTCTTGAGAAGCTCATGAAGATGATCGGGCTAGAAGAAGTCAAAAAGGAATTCCTTTCCGTTCGGGATCGAGTCAAGGCAGCTAAAGCTCGCAAGGAGATGCCTCCATCAAGGAGTTTGAAATTAGACCTAATAATAACAGGAAATTCCGGCACGGGCAGATCAACCATTGCCAATATTTACAGAGATTATCTTTATTTTCTAGGTATTGGGCCGGTGTGTACCTCGATGGACGGTAGACAAAATGACAGTTATCGACAAATGGTTAGTATCCATAGCGACACTACCTAGAATATGTAGCTGTTTGACTGATTAAACTGTTCTAGGAACGCATGATGCGTCATCCCATGTCTTCTTTTCTAGTCCGTGGCTTACCAGACGACCTTAGTGACTACAGCTACGACCCGTACCGGATAAACGGGCGTAATGACCAGGATTCTATCCTCGTAGTTGATACCGACAACGAAAAGCTCAAAGGAATATTCAGCCAGCCAGAAGCTCATGGTCGCTTTTCTCGACGGCTTAACCTCAAAGATTACACCGACGACGAGCTACTCGCAATCCTGATCTGTTTGTTGAAGAAGGATTCCTTGAAGGTCAAAGGTGGATTCGACGCGCCGTTCCTCCGCATGTTTGCTAGAAAGGTTGGACACGGACGAGGCCAAAATAATTATAAGAACGTCAACACGCTCAAAGACGAGATAAAGAAAGTGCTTCACCGGCGCGCTGAGCGTTTAGAGAAGGCAACGCAAGGGGAGACCAACATGATTGTGGGCATTCATAACCGATCCTACGACTTGACGGAATCGGACTTTTTCGGAAACCCTCCGATAGACATCTACAAGGAAAGCGAGGCATGGAAGAAGCTTGAGAAGATGGCTGGCATGGAGAAGATAAAGAATACCATAAAGGGGCTGATTTCTCGACGAAATATGAATTATACTCACGAAAGGGCCGGAGAAAAACCCTTGAAAACTTCGCACAACTACGTTTTCCTAGGACCGCCCGGAACGGGGAAAACAACCGTAGCGGCACTCTTCGGTCAGATAATCGCGGAGCTTGGATTTATCGACAGCAGTGAAGTGGTCCTGAAGACGCCATCGAACTTTCTCGGGAAGTATGTTGGACACTCGGAAGACGAGACGCGAAAAATCCTGGAGGAAACGGAAGGCAAGACTCTTATTATCGACGAAGCACACATGTTCTACCATGGCTCGGAGTATGGCACAGACAAATCGGACATATTCCGAAAAGGCATCGTGGATACCATCGTCGCTCACGTCGACAACGAACCTGGGAACAACCGATGCATCATCCTAGCGGGATACCCGGACCGAATGAAAGAGTTCTACCGCAACACCAACCCCGGATTTCAAAGAAGATTCCCCCTAGAGGATGCCTTTGTGTTCGAAAACTACGACGTCAAAACTCTAAGCAACATTCTCGACATCATGCTTGGCCAAGATGGCATCATGGCTACCGACGAAGCGAAATCCGTCGCGATGGAAATCCTCCAAAGAGAACGCGAGCTGCCGAACTTTGGCAACGGAGGCGCGGTCCGCAACCTAATCAGCCGGGCACTAGCCTTATATAACAACCGAACGTCGTCGATTTCAAGAGAACACCAAGACGCAGACAGCGAAACGAGCCGCATCGTCCTAGAACCCCGCGATTTCGACCCGGAGTACGACCGCGGACTTCGGAACCAGAAGGATTACCGCTCGCTGTTCAAGGACCTGGTCGGCTTTCAGGACATCATTTCGGTCTTCCAGGGCTACCAGACGATGACGGCGAACATGCTCCAGTACGGCCTCGATCCGCGCGAGGAAGTCCCGTTCAGCTTCGTCTTCAAAGGGCCGCCAGGTACAGGAAAAACCACGACTGCGCGGGCCCTAGGCCAGATTTACTATAGCATGGGGCTCCTCTCCACCACGGAAGTCATGGACTGTTCGGTGACCGACCTCGTGGGGACCGGGACCGGGCTCACGGGGCCCAAGGTGCAGAACCTCCTAGAGCGGGCCCTGGGCAAAGTCCTGTTCGTCGACGAGGCGTACCGCATGGGGCAGACGGACCTCGCGGGCGTCTTCATCAACCGGTTCGCGCAGGAAGCCGTCGGCGAGCTCGTGGACTGCATGACGAAGGAGCGGTTCGCGCACAAGCTCGTCATCGTGCTCGCCGGCTACGAGGCGGACATGGACAAGCTCATGGCCACGAACGAGGGCCTGCGCGGCCGCTTCACCGAGATGGTGTTCCCGAACATGCGGCCCAAGGACTGTCTTCGCCTCCTCCAGAAGAAGCTGGAGAATAAGAAGATCAGGATCCTCGGCCCGAGGAAACAGGGGTCGCTGGATAAGGTCGTGGACCTCTTCGAGAGCCTGAGCGGGACGGAGGCGTGGGCGAATGCGCGCGATGTGGAGACCATTTCTAAGCGTATTATTCGCTTGGTTTTCATGAAGAAGTTGCCCGCTGGGGAGCATGCGGAGTTCGCGCTGGAAGAGGTTGCTGCTGTATTGAAGCAGCTGCTTCGGGAACGGGGTGGTTAGATGGGTCTATCGAGCTGTGGGGGTCTTCTCATAGTGTCCTTTTACCCTCTATGCCCACCCTGATTCTTTTCCTTATCATACATACCTAGGTGTATAGCCTACATGGTATACTCGGTTCCACCGGCGCTAAGGCGGGTCTACCCCTTAACTGGCAGATGGTTATACCCCTTGTAAGTGGGATAATGTACGTAGAAACTTGGCTAGATCGCGCTATACCAGAGTGGCCAATTGTGTTTCACGATTTCTGATGCTACCTGCATGGTAAGTCGATAATTACATAACCTAGTAGGAAACTAGGAAACTAGGTATTCTCCATAATAATGAACGATAACGTGCTATGTCGATGATCTGTGGACATCTACCAGCCGAGAAGATATAAGCTCGCGCACTTGCGCCGGGTTTAAACTAGCATCTCAGGCGGCTAACATACACTAGATGGTGCGTTTTGATAAGCGCCAGTGAGACTAGGGACTGACGAACAGGTATGCTAAACTTAAAATTGACATGGTCCGGATAGAAGCATTGTTCTTTGAATCCTTCGTGGATAGGTCCAACGCTATGATCTCGAAGGATTCCTGGTGGCGAACCCTTGTGGTAACAGCTCAAGAGTCAGGACAAAGAGAGCAAGGTGAATGCTATATCGGGCAGGTGGCTCAATTCAGCACGTTGGACCCTGAAACTCGTGAGTCTTGAGATTGATTAAAAGTGGATGGATCAAATTCAATGCCAGCGTTATTGACGATGGTCTCTTTTCGATGTACAGTAGGCATAGGTAAGTAGTAGATGGCCTGCCTGTAAACCCTTTCATATAGCAGATTTCTAGACAACTCAACTAGTTGAATCCTTCATTCGGAGTTTTTGTCCCACTATTTAGATGTTCGAAAAAGCGCCTATTGTGGCCCGTGCTGAAAGCCATCAAGGTTAGTGACGTTCAAGATATCGACGGCTCCTCTTCTAATAGCTAAAACGATTCCTTCAATATCAACTTCCAGGTTCCAAGGTCACGAAGCTATTAGACGAGGTAATCTAGCAACTCGAGGACATTCGATCCTTCTTTAATCATTTTCTACTTGCCTCTATCGAGCGTCGACGTCTCACTTAAACTCGTTTGAGGAATGGCTCAATGCGACCTTGCGTACCTGCTAGATACGTCGTAAAGGTGGTATGTATTAATACTCTTATCGTCCGATGCACGGATATATCTACGTGCAGCGCAAGTTTCAGAATTCTCGCTGCCTATCCGAAAGAGCCAATCTCGAGATGGTTTGAGGGGAGGGTATCGAATCCCCCAAAAAGAAACAACATCTCGATAGGATTCCGTGATGGACCTCGGCGGCGCTATTGGCCCGTTTAGCTTATCCATCCCACACGTGGTTACATCAACGAAAGCTGCAGGCAATACCCCTTGCGTGCGAATTAGGTTAGATCGTCGGAGATCTTCGCGTGGAACCAAGATTTCTTCCTCGAGACACCCACCACCAGCTCCGCCTTGCCCTGACCGGTGGGATGTAACCCGTCTGTCTGCACCGTTCAGCCAGCCCGATCGATGAGCCACGTTCTCGCCGTTGACATGGATGTGCCTGGCTGTAATCACGTCACATAGCCGATTTCAATAGATTCGACTAAGCTTCAAGCGCAACTCTGTGCCGCACGTCGACGTCTCCCTTGCAGGTCTCGGCTTTCAGCTTCGTCGTCGCACCGCCGCTGCTTTTTTGACTAAGAAGTTATTTTAGCACATGAACCAACCCATGTCACCGTCCTTGGCCGCATTGGGAATTTTCTTTCGATGAGGATTCCGTAGTGTTACCTTTCGGAAACAAATTGAGATGAGTGGCGGCCGCCAGGGGTCGGCTGGAGGTGGAAAGGGGACAGACATGTGCTGCGGGATTTCCTCTCCCCCATATATGATGTGCATTGCTCCCCCCCTTCTGGCATGTCTATGGACTTGGCTCTAGATTTTGCTTTCTGGTCCCCATTCTGCTTAATCCTGCGTAGGATCATGGACGAGACGACGAGGTGCTTATGCAATAAACCTACGTAGAATCATATACGCCTATGACTAGGAAGGCTCCTCCTACCTAAGAGCCTCGATGGAAGACGATTCGAGTTTCCGGTACCGCGTGAACTACAGCGAGAACATTGCGCCCAAGTACCCGGCCGGGTATCCCGATGGCCTTGAGGTCGTCCCACATGCCACGCCGGTGTACCCCTTACCGGCGCACCCCCCGAGCCATGTGATTGGGAATAGTCCGGATGCAGAGGAGAAGTGGTCTCCGAGTTCAAGAGGGTGGCCCGATGTGCCTGGATCGGCGGCTACGGCGTTACCGCAGTCACCGTCATCCGATGTAGAAAGTCATAAGGGAAAGGAGAAGAGACGGGTGCTGGGACTCACCGTTCCGCTGTTTTGGACGCTGGTCGTGATCGTTTTTATCATCCTCGCAGCAGCCCTAGGCGGCGGTATAGGGGGTGGACTGAAGGCACAGCAGCAGCAGAAGCTCACTAACAATGCCTCAAGGTTCGTGCTATTCTGTGATGCTTGTAATGTCTTGTGGACATATTTTCGGTTACTAAGAAATCCAGCAGCGATCCTGTAACGAACGGGACATCATCATCTTCTTCATCAGCAGGTGGCGCGACACCTACATCTTCGCAACCTGCAGCGACGACGACGGTGACATCAACGGGTCCTATACCCTCAGATAGCGGGTGCCCGTTAATCAATGGCCAGACGTACACACCTTACGCCGTAGACGGGAGTGACTTCCCGCTGCAGTCTGGGAAGGAGGGGCAGCAATTCAAGCAGCAGTGCTACACGAACTACGTCTCTTCCGCGGCAGCGCAGACACACGATATTCTGAAGATATATATGCCGACGCTGGAGAACTGCATTATGGCTTGCGCCGCGGTGAGTTTTCTTCACCAAAATCCCCCTGCTTTGAGACTATCGTTCTGAAATTTAGCTCGTACCTCGGGACATGAGGAACAGGTTACTAACGCCGGCTCTTATAGTACAACGAAGCGTACGCCTCGAATTTGGCGAATAACACGGGTGTTGGTGGCGGCTACTGCGTGGCCGTAACGTTGAATAAAATCAACGCTGGATTTTGTTATTTAAAGAATGGCACTACTACTAATGACACGATGGGACATCCGGACTTATATTCTAGCGCTGTGCTGCTTAACCTCGATACTTCCTAGGCGTCTAAGTTTATTTTGTGGGTGGTGAGATTTGACGGCAGGGATTGATAAGGCGTATACGATGAGATATCCGGAGCCTTGTATCATAAGATCCTTGTATAAAAAATTCGAATTTCTGATAAATTTTGATAAATTACAGGGCCGATGAGTTGCAAACTTGAATTGATTCTACATCTTGTCTTTGGGCTACGCTGATTTATTCGTTCTGATCAATTGCCCGCTACTTCGGGGGAAACATCGCATTAGAAGAACAAAAGCTTTTTTCTTCCTTTTCGGTGAGTGAATGTCTATGTCACCAAAGTCAAAGAGCGGCTAAGCAGGCTAATTGTACAGAGACATGAGGTATGATTTTTGACCTTCCATCGTGAGCCGTGTCCACTTGCCCCATCTAATCCTCTATTGCTATCGTACAAGCCACCATATCATCCTCACAAGCGGTCAGGCATCGCAGATGGGTTGAAATTCATCTCCCTACGATATCATGAACGCACCATCATGAACTTAAGATTGGTTCTGACCCTGACTCTTGCTCAACTCACTCTGAGCCGTCGAGGTGGGTCCTCCCTTGACGCGTTCACCGCCGGTGACCAGCTTCTCACCCTCGGTGATGTCATGCAGGGTCTGGGAGTTGATTGGCTCGCCGGCGTGGCTCTGGGCTTGTGCCGTGGGGCCGCCTTTCACGGGCTCAGCTTTACCCGTGATTGCCGCCTCCGCGGACGAAATCGCCGAGATGGTCTCCGAGTCTAGACGGCCTGTGTGCGAGGATACCGGGTTGGTCTTCTGTGACGGGAAATGTTAGAAAAGCTAGTTAACTATTCGACCGATGGAAGACGAGGAGAAGAGTTAGCACTTACGGATGTAGCAATGCTCTGAGCGAGAGCGGCGGGACCACCGTGGACGGGCACATTACGGCTAGTAACGTGCTTTTCGCCCTGGGTGATGTCGGAGATAACTTTTCCTGTGACAGGCTCGTTGGCGTGCTTCTGAGCTTGAGCCGTGGGACCACTAGCCACAGGTTTGCTCTCGCTCGTGAGCTCCTTCTCTCGAGCGGTGATCTCGGAGATGACTTCCGAGGTGACGGTTCGGTCACCCATGATGGAAAGCCTCTGAAGAGCAGGTCGTTGAGATGAGATGAGTGGGTTGACGTTGGGTAGTCTAAAAACCTTGATGAGTATGGATCGAGACATGATTTCACGTTCTATGTTTGCGAGATAGTAGAGATAATAGTAGAAAGCTCACTTACAGAGTCGAAGCAGATCTGGGAGTTGTGCCCTTTTATTCGGATGAATTGAGGGTCTTTTTCAAACCTAACTGAGAGAGGTTAAAAGTTCTGAAGATCAGACTGGAATGATTGGTGATTTTATAATCTATGATGGTTTGCATATTAAGTTTGTGGAAGCAACAACTCAATCTCTGACCTCATCGATTTCAATCGGTGCTGTTGCTACCCGCTTGTACCTGCAGTAGCGCCCCGGAACAAAGTGAAGACTAGGTAGGTAATTTGCTCTACTTTTGATGGCAGCTTCTATATTTGATAGTATTACCGGAATATCATCGCGGATTGATCTCTCTGGAGTTTATACATATTCCATAAAGAAAGTGTTATTTCCCTGCTAAGATTGTTTTTGTTTATGGATCCTTCTAAGTTCCGTCGTTACACACATATTAGATTAAAGTCTTTGTTGGGATATTGATTACGTAAGGTAGTCACGTGTGGAGGGGTTGGCCACAAAGTGGCCAATTAGGTAGGTAGCTAGCTTATTCGTACACACACTTAACAAGAACAACACCAAGAATCATCGCGAACCTTGTTTTACCTGTGCTATTTAGCAAACCACCCACCCATGGCCATACCAACAGTCTTAGCAAATTCTTATACTAGTAGGTATAGCTTGGTTGGCATTTATTAGAACAATCATTAATTTGTTATCATTATAAAATTTCTAGGTTTCTAACTGACAAGTTTTCTAAGAAAATACTCTTGTGCTTGTGCCTGAATTTTTATTTTATTTTACCTAGGTTATTGTAGCACCTTTCTTTTCTAGGAATTCCATGTCCCGATTATGAAATCACCGTTTACTTCTCCTGTGTGGTTTAAGCAAACTGGCAGACCAGAAAGCGGTAAGTAACCTCCAATGCATGTACTGTAGATTACCTAAGCAGTTGTTCATTGGCATAAATTGTGGGTTGATACTTAAGGTCAGAGGGGTAGAGGGAAGGGGAGAGCGGTTTTTTGGTTTTTGGTTTTTTGGTTTTCGATTTTTTGGTTTTTTGGTTTTCGGTTTTTTTGGTTTTCGATTTTTTGGTTTTCGATTTTCGGTTTTTGGTTTTTGGCCCTTGTTATTTCAGCCGGTACCTAGGTAGCTTTCAATGAAATTTCACTTTGTAGGCATTTGCTGATGATCCTTACCCGATTTCAGTCACATTCCTGTTGTGTAATCCCACTTGACATTTGATTGGATACATCTACCTCTTCGTAAACGTGGCACACATGAATGTGGCATCGAGACAACCGAGTGCATTTGACATTTTGAATCAAAGCTGTCTCCGCAGTCAAGTCACGAATTATGTACCTATTCATTGTCACAACAAAATCAATCATGGCAACATAGGTAAATAAGGCCCTGGTACGAAGGCCTTCAAGTATAACTTCAAGTCAAAACCATCAAGACAAGCCAGGTCTGCTCTAAGACATCAAATCATACGCCATGATGGAGTTCATTGCTAATTTGTTCAAGTCTCTCTTAAACCACCTCCCCGCTAAGGTTCAAACCGACCACGATGTTATTTGGCCGACACGGCTCGAGTCATTCGCTCTCCGTCAAGTCCAGGGCGGAAGTCTCATCTTTTTGAACGGGACACACCTACCACGCCATCTAGAGATTGATGGACGAGAACCTCAAGCAATTGTGTTCAGACAACCACTCCCGTCTGACCATGAAGAGGCTTTGCTTGGCATGAACCTTAGGAAAGTCAACCCAGCTGTCGACGTTCTAAATGACGGGCCTTGTAGCGGTATGTAGCTCCAGCCTAGTTTATCTGGACATGACTAATGTTTTCAAGGGATTGTGAGAGTGCTTGCGACTTTCATAGACTGTTTTGGACAGCACTGGCTCGGCAATGGATCAGGAGTGGTCATTGACAGTGAACATGTCATGACTGTTGGTCATACTATCTGGCATCGGGAATACGGGCTTGCCGTGTCAATTACCATTTGTCGGGATAGTCGTGCCGGCCCAGATATCTACCATGTAGATGCCGGGGCTGTTCATTTCCAGTGGGCCGAGGCATCTTCGGCGAAGAATGACTTCGCCATTCTTCGTACTTCAAACCGTTTTCAGAGTGGGATTAAACCCATGCGCTACACAAGGTCACCAACTGCTCTAGCCACTACCAATGTCAACGTCTATGGTTTCTCTACCGACATGCCCATGGACCAAAATGGTTACTGGCATCCTCATCTTAGTTACAGCTACGCCACGGTTGAGTGCGTGCCTGATACCTATGGCCTACTTGGTCACAATGGAGATACATACCAGGGTACGCAACAGAATATAACTCTCTTAATATGTGGTTGCTGACTATGTTGGCTTATCATAGGTGCCTCTGGTGGCCCTGCCGTCGACAATTCGGGAGTAGTAATTGCCCTTCATAGGGGAAGCTACAGCTCAGGTAACGACACGAGTAACAGGGCAGTTGCCGTCAATCAACTTGGGAATGATATCGAAAAATTCAAGGAGGCGCTTGCAGTTATGACCGAGGGGACACCGGTAGGAGTATCGAGGATCACGCAGGGTGCTAAGTTCGGGCTCCGTGGCTGGATTGGGGCTTGTTTTCGTTGGGAGTAAACCGAAGAACAAGCAATGGGTACTGGGCCAACTATTGGTCGTAGTTGACGATGCTTATGAGAACTATGATGCGAAGGGATAGGAGCACGGGTGTGGATCGGTTGGGTTTGGGTGAGCGTTCATGAGGTACCTAGGTACGTATAAGCAATTAGGCGCCTAGGTATGTATTTAGAGATACAACTGAGAAAACATTATCTTTTATTAGCTAGGTAGATAGTTGAAACATGAGTGGGATTCCTACAATAGACTCAGAGCTGCTTACTTGACGTGCAGTATGTTACTTGCTATCGTACCTATGGTAGGTCTTAAGGTTCTGCTTTAACAGATCATCCAATCTCACTTCTACATCAATTCCAAGAGAATCTCTAGGCTAAATACCTAGCGTAGCCTCAACTGAGAGCCTGTTGACTTCAACCTCAGTACCTATATTTATAACATAGATTAAAAGACTTAGCCCCGCATTACTAATACTGTTTACATATTGAAGTCGTATTTAAGGACATTTTCCATCTTACCCGAGGTGTTCTAGATTATATACGGGTATGTATATATATAATAAACGTATGGAAGCGGCCCCCATACATCTATATTACAGTAAAAGTCCAGAATTGTGGTCGTTCTTGAGCGAAAATGGCTTATGGAATTCTTTTGAGCGTCATCGCGCTCTTCGCCGTGAAAGGGACAATCGCCAGGGACTTTCCAAACTGCCAATCCGGACCTGTGAGTATATGAAAAGGATCCCATAGCCCCTTATCATATATCCCTAGCTCACAATAAGACAGCTTGCTTCGAACCAAGTATGCAACACCACACTTGACCCATGGTCTAGGGCGGCGGCGGTAAGAACATGACTACCACCTTAATACAAGATAACCAGTTGTTCTAATCTCATTATTCAGCTCGTTTCCCAATTCAGCAGTAGCGAGAAGATGTCCAATTCCTGGGATAACTCGCCGGGTGTCTCGCGTCTAGGTCTCCCATCTTACGAATGGTGGAATGAGGGTATCTGAATCCCTTCCCCCACTTCTTCTTAAAAAGGGGTAAATACCTCCGAGCTAACAGATATCATCAAGCTCTCCACGGAATCGCCCGCTCCCGCGGCGTCGAATTCGCGAACTCCGGAAACTTCAGCTACGCAACGTCGTTCCCGCAGCCCATCACCATGGGCGCCGCCTTCGACATGCCCTTGATCCGCTCCGTCGCCGAGACCACCAGCACCGAGGCGCGAGCCTTCAGCAACGCCGGGCGCTGCGGTCTGAACTTCTGGACGCCGAACATCAATCCCTTCCGCGACCCGCGCTGGGGGCGCGGCCAGGAAGTGCCGTCGGAAGACCCGTACCACATGAGCCAGTACGTGATGCAGCTGATCCCGGGGCTCCAGGGCGGGTTGAGCGCAGACCCGTATTACAAGCTCGCGGCGACGTGCAAGCATTACGCGGGGTACGACATGGAGAATTGGAAGGGGAATCGGCGGTACGCGTTTGACGCGAAGATTAGCAGTCAGGACCTGCAGGATTATTACCTCCAGCCGTTCCGCGCGTGCATACGCGACGCTAATGCGCAGTCCGCCATGTGCAGCTACAATGCCGTCAATGGTGTGCCGACCTGCGCCGACCCCTGGTTGCTGCAAGATGTATTGCGCGGGCTGTACGGCTTTACCAGCGAAGACCGCTGGGTCACGGCCGACTGCGACGCGCTCCAGAACGTATGGACGGACCACCACTACGGATCTTCGGCGGCGGGCGCCGCAGCCGCGAGTATTAACGCCGGGACCGATCTGGATTGCGGGCAATTCTGGCCTCAGAACCTGCCTTCGGCATATAATTCCAAGCTCTTCAACGACACCGTGCTAGACAACTCGCTAATCAGGCGCTACGCATCCATGGTCCGACTCGGCTGGTTCGATCCCCCGGCCCAACAACCGTACCGCCAACTCGGCTGGGATGCTGTCGCGAAGCCCGAGGCCAAGGAATTGGCGCTTCGCGCTGCGCAGGAGGGCCTCGTGCTCTTGAAGAATAACGGCAGCGCGCTGCCTCTGACCGAGTCGATCAAGAAAGTCGCCGTCATCGGACCTCTAGGTACCGCCACTACACAAATGCAGGGGAACTACTACGGTATCGCGCAGAGCATTTCGACGGTGGTCTCGGCGTTCAAGGCGGCCGGTTACGACGTGACCAATGCTCAGGGGTGCGCCATCACGGGCTCGTCAAATTCGGGATTCTCCGCTGCCTTGAGCGCAGCGCAGGCTGCAGACGCAGTGGTTTTCGTCGGGGGTATTGATACAAGTATCGAGGCGGAGGACCGCGATCGCGAGCAGATTACTTGGCCGGGGCAGCAGATACCCCTTATTAAGCAGATAGCGGCGGCAAAGGGCACGAAACCCCTCGTGGTGGTGCAAATGGGAACTATGATCGATAGTTCGGAGGTTGTCGCTGAGCCCGGCGTCGACTCATTATTGTGGGCTGGCTATCCGGGACAAGACGGCGGTGCGGCGGTGGTAAGTATTCTGACTGGCGAAACGGCGCCCGCCGGTCGACTGCCTGTGACACAATACCCGGGAGACTATGTGAACCAGGTCCAGATGACGGACATGAACTTGCAGTCCGGTACTGGGAACACCGGGTAAGTAAATCCCCTTATTTTCCTTTTCTTCCGTGGGGGTTTCGGAGAATTTGACTAATGGGGCTCATAGCCGAACGTATAAATGGTACACCAAGGAGCCCGTATTTCCCTTCGGCCACGGTCTGCACTATACGAGTTTCAACGTATCGTTTCCCGAAGACCTCCCCACTACGTTCTCAACAGCAGACCTCACGTCGAATATTTCATTCACGGATATTGGTCCCGTAGCCTCGGGCAACTACCCTGATCTAGCACCATTCATTTCAATCCCCGTGTCAGTAGTAAACACAGGGAATGTGACGTCCGACTATGTCGTGTTGGCATTCCTAAAGGGAGAGTATGGGCCTGAGCCCTATCCAATCAAGAGCTTAGTAGCGTTTGATAGGATCCATGATATCAAACCAGGTGAAGCTGGAACGTCAACATTAGATGTTAAGCTAGGTGCTATTTCGCGCAGTGACACGGAGGGTGCCTTGACTTTATGGCCTGGGAAGTACACGTTGGTGTTGGATATCGATGACCGTGCGGCGTGGGACTTTGAGATCACGGGAGACCAGGTGGTTCTGGAGAAATTGCCGCCCAAGAAGTAAGCGTGAATATGCCTTTCACAATAACATGGACATTATATATGCGTGCCGCAATGTGCTATTAAACTGCGAAATTCGTCATGTTATCTTGGTTGTTGGTAAGCCTACTAAAGTCTAGGGAGGCTCGGATTGATATTGCAGATGCTCATCGCGTTCAAGATGGAGGTATGAGATCGGTTAGGACCGCACGGAGTATATGGGTTAGGAAGATAGGTGTCATTATGGAGGACGCCATAGGTTCTCCATCCTGTGATGACGGCTGAACACTAGTAGTCGTTATATGCGGATTATCCGGAATGACAGAAAGTTCTTGCAGGAGCTTCTCGGAGAAGTTTTCATCTGATTGACTCCCTGGGCCGGAACCAGATGTCGGAATATATGATTTTGTACCTCCCTGGGAACTGCTGCCCGCTTTCCGCCTCTTATTTCCCTGAGAAGGCATTGCCGTGAGCAGAGATAGAAATGAGTGTAGATAGGAGCCGAAAATGGCCTATCATAGTTAGCAAGAATAGAGATTACTTCCTCGGTAACAATGCTAAATCATGGGGAGGATAGGGTATCATAAACTGAGCTACGAAGTAAGGCAACACGGCGCAAGATTGAAGCGAACGTCATATACCACCATGACTGATATGGCATGAGGAATGTCGATCTTTCAAGGTGCGGCAGCAGGTTCCATTGTGGCTCAGCCACTTTCGGATCTGAGCTTCTGATTCGCTCGCTTTATGTCCCGCATTCGTATTCCTCGTTTAGACAAACTTACCTAAATAGGTAAGGTGAATGATCATTTCGCATATATTAGTAGTATCCTCACCTGGACCGGAGTAATTATCATCTTCTAACAGGGCTCTAATAATGCCTCCAAGTGTCATTTTGAAGAAGAGAAGAAGATGAAATTCCACAATGGCTACCTACCTATATATTTAGAAAAAGGTATCAAGTGCCCCAGAAGAATGTGCCTAGAACTCACCACATCAGAGCTAGTAGATGCCGAGGAGATGGTCTAACGCTAATGAACCCCACGGCTTCGAGAACCACCTTTCTCAATTTCAAGCAAATAAGCCTAGAGGTCTCGATAGAACTCTGCGATAGAACTCTGCGCAGGGGGACGACACATTAAGAATTTGAATAACCAATGGGAAATTTCGTGACTTTATTCACGCTCAAGTGACCCGGAGGATGGGCTTCACTACTCGTCCTAGTCCAAGTTGCAATTTTCATTCGGAAGCCTACCTTCAACTCTACCTAGGTAAGTATGCGTTTTACTTGATATTCATACAAATCTAAGTGGTTTGATTAACCGCCAGCCCAGTTTATTTTCTCATTTGTGATGGAAATGAAGAGAACAGCTTATCGTGCGATCGGTAAGTTAGGTAGCCATAGGTAAGTTACGGCAAAGTTGCACATTAGCTGTTCGAGTCACACAGGCAGAGGACAATATGCTGTCAGCAATCCTCCTGCGGGATCTGCGTGTTAACCATCAGCGTGTTATCGCGACATTGCGCAAAATGTACTTATTGGTTCGAAGTACCTAGTCAGCGAGTCTCAATCCACTGTCACGTTTCATTATATTACCTAGAGGATAGCCTTCCCTTCTATATAGGTAGGATGATTGCGTATATCGCAACTTTTCCATACCTCGACTTTTCTCTCCATTTCTAAATCATCAAAATCATGTCACCGTCGAAAGTCTTCGTCACGACCGCCACCGGAGTCCAAGGGGGAGGAGTCGTACGATATTGTCTTCGTGATGGGCATATCGTCTACGCTCTTGTCCGAAATCCCTCATCGCAGGCTGCCAAATCGCTCTCAGATCTAGGCGCAAAGCTGGTCGAGGGATCCTTAGAAGATGTAGAATCTCTAATCAAAGGGATGCAGAACACGGACGCCGCGTTCCTTAACCTTCCCGGTAGCGGACCTCAAGGGATGCCACCCAATGTCGAGTACACGAAGAACTTTATCAAAGCCGCTCACGCGGCCTCTGTACCCTGGATTTTCTGCTCTACAGTCGTGAACGCTGGCCAGCACGAGTCCATTCCCGGATGGGGCCCGGACAATCTAATGTATAAGTACTGGCTCGTCAAAGACGCGGTCGAGAATCTCGTGCGGAGCTCCGGCCTTCAACGCTGGACTATCCTTAGGCCAGCCACATTCATGCAAAACCTTCAACCACCGTCTAGTCAATTCCTTTTCCCGGGTTTCGATGAGCGAAGGGTCTTGAGGACGGCTTACGATCCCGAAGCGAAAGTGGGCTGGATTGACGGCGCGGACGTAGGAAAAGCGGTTGCGAAGGCTCTGTTGGACCCGGATAAGTACTCGGGCAGGGAGATCGATCTCGCAGCCGAGAATTTGACGATCGGAGAGCTGGCTGAGGAGATAGGAAAAGGTCTTGGGAAACCGGTTACTATAGAGCCGTATACAGACGATGAACTTGCGAAGATGGGACCTAGCGTTCAAATCACGGCTCAGAGATGGGCAAGCGATGTGCCTACCGGTCTTTCTGCCGAGACGGCTGCTGTTGAGTTTGGGTTGACTTCGGTGAAGGAGTTCTTTGTTCGAGATGGTCAGTTTTGAAAAGTTCTAGGCTCGACCGGGGCGTAGCATTTCAGTGGTATTACAACACATCTCAGGATCACCTTCGGTTCTCGGGGAGATAAGTTGGGCCTGACTCCGATGTTATATGAACGTCAAACTAGGTACCCTAATCTCATTTCCGGTCTAAGCGGTTCGTTTACTTGTAGGATAAAGTGTAGTCTGGGTAACTTCGAAGCTAAACACCCATTCGCCAGACCATCAAGCTAACAAGAATTACGCCACTGTTCTAGAGTCGCAGCATCTTAGTGAAGTCCCATGCCGTTATATTGATCATACGGGCCATAGCCCGACTTATCTAGGCGGCAGTGTTATAGCTGTTTATGACTATGAACCTAATCCGGCTCACCGAAGCGATAGCGAGCCGCGGCTGGATGCAACTTTGCGGCGTAGTCGCGAGAGTTTAGAGACATTTTAAGATCATAAATCCTTCCCTGCCAGGTTTTAAATTACTTCATTATATTCCGGATAGAAGCCTACCTAAATCGCGTGTAGGTATCAACTTCAAAGAATGCGCTTACTACCGGACCGTAGCGTTAGCTTTCGAGAGCTTATTGCTTATAAATAAGGAGCTATAATGTCTCCCGTTCCCTTGACCTGATTATGTGATACCCGGGTCTATGGGAAGGAAACATGCTATCTGGATTACCCCTTTTCTCGTCACGTGATACCCCTTAAAAAGTCGGCCTGCCGTTCGCTGACGTAGAATGGGCCATGCGTACTCTTTCTACAAGAAAATAAGACATATTGATCGGTAGTGTGACGAGGTAGATATGGAGTATATCCCATTCGACCAAATTGATCCTAATGGCTACAATTCTTGTTGTAATCACATATACCCAGTATGGGTCAGAACTCCAATGCCTGAAGAGAGTATCTTATTGATGTATGTTGGCTCTATCCATTTGAGCCTTGGGATTTCTCTTTTTACGGTCACCAGTTAAAGCGTTAAATGCAGCTGCAATTAGTGAGTCCTGTTATGCATCACACGCCCGGATAAACTGATCATCATCCATATCATCCAATAGGTGTTCGTCTAAATATCTGATTGCCTTCTCAATGTCTGACGACCCAGGTTTGCGACTCATCACACGCAAATGCTCATCAAACGCTAGCTCGAGCTCCGTTGTATTCAATGCTTTATTTGTTCTTTTAACGCTACGATTAGTCATTGCCTGGCGTATTAGATCCTGTTGTATGACCTTCCTTTTTATAGGAGGGGCTGAATCAGTATCAGTATCAGAATCGTCAGAAATCTTGTCAATTAGGTCGGGATCGTATTGCTGGCTGTGACGTTTGTGTTTAGGTCGACTAGGTGTATCCGACCCGTAGGGGCTAGAACGTTGACGGCTCCCTAGGGTGAGATCTCCTTCTTCCCCAGCCTGCCTGATGTAATTTCCAGTCGATATATCTATAGAGAATGTTTGAGCGTAGAGCTTCTCGTTGCCCCGGGGGGTTTTCCTGAGCCATTTAGCACCAGGATGCTGTTTTATGAATCTCTTCCATTGTTGATCAGATAAAATAGAGCACCCATTTTCGCTCACGTCGGCACCGTTACTGTAGTCACTGTTGATCAATGCTTGGTATTCTAACCACTATTTCTTTTCAGACTTGCGCTTCATCCTCATTGATTCGATGGGCCAGGGTTTAGTGGGCGAAAACTTATTTAATTCGTCAAGAAGGCGGAACCATGCAGGCCGCCAGATAGTCCAATGATCGGAATCGAATAGACCCTCGTTGGTGAGTGATGCCAAGTGTTCCATGTAGACTGCAGTTTCTTCTCTTGTCCACCTTGCTGTAGATGTAGGAGACGCAGCAGTCGATTTTATAGGAGCTCGGGAATGGTTGTCGTTAAGTGGTGGTATATGAGGTGTTTGTGAATCGTCAGGTTGATCCGCGGATTTCTCGTCTAGTTCCCTAGATAATCGATCAGCATTAGGGGAGGCAAAGTCCCTCCCCCTATTAGTAGGGCCATGCACAGCAGCCGAATTGGAGACTCGGCCCCCCAATTCACATTTAAAAGACCACTGGAAAGACATTGTAGTTGACAGTTTAGAGGATCAAAAACGGTTTAAATTCAAAATTCGTGAAATTAAAATCCCAAAGTAGAATACCCATTGGGCTTAGTTCCGTGGATACAGGGGAAAGAACGGTACACGCGGAGTATACCCACTTTGTATGGGTGGAATAGGTATCATAATCTGCCAAGATCTCGATTTAGCAATGCTCCAACCCCACCAATATGCACCAAGATACTTTTTCCATTAGAGGTAACGAAGGTAGAGAGATAGATCAAACCAAAAGCATAAAAATTAGCAAAACGTACAACACCGGGGATTTGCTGGTCGTCACCGACCCAACTACTGATCCGGCGATATTCAGTTTATCCAAGGGAGAGCGGACGGGATCCCGAGCTTTCTAAATCCTATGGTCGTACGTGACAAATTTAGTGATTAAAGGTATATATATCCCACTACCACAACTTAAAGCATGTATTACATAATCAAGTACCCACCCCCTAACCCCTTTTTTTTCCAAAAAAAAGGGGGCGGGGATGACATTTTGCTTAACAGCATCACACTGTCGCAGAAGCCATTCAAGATGCACATCGATTTGATTTGACTTGACTCAATTACCAATAGGGTTTACGTCTAAGTGGGATGCAATGTTTTTCAATTATCCAACTGATTTGCTTAATTTACTTAGACATTTCAGCGCAGCATGTCCGGCTTCAGACCCGTCACATTGCGTACTCAGGTTATCGCAAGCTCAATCTCCAGATCATAGGAGGATCAGTGATGTTAGCCATAGCTCTAGCGTGATGAAAGACAATATGAACACGCCCACAGCAAGCAAGCAAGCAAGCAAGCAATGGAGGGCGTGCAATGCGCCTTCTTGGCCTCTAGCCCCTAACCCGCACACAACGGGCCGACCAACAAACACGGCTGTCGTCATATCTGCTCCAGTGTGGATGTTGCTGTCAAACAACACTTCAATCCGAGTTCCGACCGCAAGCGTAACCTCGTGTAGAGCCTCTAGCGAGCCTTGGACCCCATCGTACTGCCGACCTCCGTGATTCGAAACAATAGTTCCGTCGACACCGGCCTATGCGGCAAGCTCAGCGTCGGTGGCGTCCTAGATGCCTTTCACTAGAATTTTCCATTCCATTCCATTCCCCACGGAGCCATTATGATTCATGTCAAGAATGCGCCATATCCAGCTCTCAAGTTAGGCAACCCCCTTTCTAAACAGTCTTAGCCCTATTAAAGTTGGAGGAAGGAGTAATAGGGAAATATTTCAAAAGTCGAGGTAGCATATGAATAACAAGGCGTATACCTAAGCAAATGGTATTTTCTCACTCCAGAGCACCATTCAACACGTCTTCGATACTATTTACTATGATGACGGCACCCACAATAAACATAAAGCCCTTTGGTTGCTAGAAATTTCGTAAGCCTTTGAGAAGTTTAGTGTTCTATTGGAAGGGGTTGACGTACTGTTGACCATGCGTTAGGGCTAGTTTGATTCGCCGCTGGGACAGGCTGAGACTCGAACGAACTAGCCATCATTTTCGACAATCACAACATCCATTGTAGGAATAGCATAGAGGAATTAAGATCCAGGGAGAATAGTATTAGATACCTAGGTATGGCGCCCTTGACCAACCTGTAGCAATAGTAACTAGATAACAGGCAGGTAGATAGACTATTAGAACTGAACGACTGCTGCAAATATCCTACCTTCTTAGTACCTATCAATGCAATTAGGTCCAAAAGGCGCTCGTCTAGAGTGGGTTCCACTTAAATAGTGTGGGCACCCGGGACACTTGACATTTCAGTTCACTTGGAGACGTCAGAATATTGGTGCGGCACACTTTCGTACTATCCGGACCATTCTGGAAAGGCTTTCGTCGATTTGACAAGATAATTCGGAAAGCTCGCGTAAAATCTCAATATGACATCTATCAACTGGAAATTTATCTATAATTTTTTTCCCCCGAGTCTTAAAGAACTAACGTTTTTAAGACACATTGGAGACGATAACAAGGTCTACGATAACTCTGCCAGGAGCATCAATATGCAAGGTAAGGGGTTGTGGTTCTTTTCAAGAGAGTTGCATCCTAATTTACTTGTCAATCCACGTCTATTAGACCGTGATTGGTGTCAGCAGCGGGGGACCTAGTGATTTCTAGAAAGCTATTGCATGAAGAGAGGGGATATGATTCCAGAGCAAGCCAAGACTTTGAAACCCTCCTTTGAAAAGTAAATACTACCTATGTATTCGGTAAAGGGAACTTTTATCAAGTTTGTGTCACGAGGAAAATTACGAGCAAGGGTCTAATGGCAAGTTTTACGTCTTGACCCTAATAGGGAAGAGTAAGAATAACCGACCCCGGGTCCCATGTGCTTGGGCTGAGACCCCGGACTCTTACGTGCGGTTCATTCCTCCATGATCGACAAGTCTAACCTCAATGGGAACTCCGAAGGGGTATGCCGCTTTTCTAATATACCTGGACATGTATATATGTAGGACTAGTACTACGTAAAACTTCAAAACTTTCGGTAGTGGGGATGATAACCGATGTAGGTGTGCCCTAGGAACGAGAGCCAACACGGTTATTCGCTTTATTAAGCATTTGGGTTCTACTATGTAGTAAAGCAGCATCCGGCTACCTAGGCAGGGGTAGTTGAACACATAGGGATCCAATATCAAATATGATACCATTATGCCGCCATCGTCAAGTTAGATGGTAGAATATGACGAGCCCATCATAGGCGGAGAATCTGACATAAACATTTATCACCTATGTAGATACCTAGATAAGCGAAAAGCGTCAGGACAAACGGAGCATGTATGAATGACAGTCCCATAGACTGCGTAGCCAGTCGTTCCATGTATCACCCCACACCACGTGTGGTAGGTATCTATATCCCTACCTAGACAACCCAGAGGCGCAAGACATTGAAACCCACACATGCTTACAATCTTCCGAAAATGTGCTTATGCAAGAATCTCGTCATCTACTTAGCCACGTAGTCGATCCTTGTTGAAAATTTATAGCTAGAGCCCTATCGACATCCGACAAGATACTTACCGATGTAAGGACGAAATGCACATATAATCGTATCCGGTAGTTGATCAAACTAGCCCCCATGTCACATCACACATTCTGGGCCACCTGCCATTCTAATCCTTCTGAGCTACAAAGCGGAGTCGAATGTAGTTGACAGTAAACGCCCCATCGTGCTGACGTCTCCCAACTCCCTCCAGTACTTCGATAACTTCTCTCACTGCAGCTTCGCGCTGGTCATCGGAGGGTAGAAGGGCGAGAAAGTCCGCGCCAAACAGACGAACCCTGCATATTTTCTGGTCAGCCGGTGCATGATTTTGCTTTTTCGTGGCGCGGAGATAAACGAAAAGCACGTTCTCACCATCCTCCAATCCCGCCACCTTCGTGGTTCGTAAGCACCGTCTGTCGAAGTTCGACTTCACCTTTGATCCACCGAAACCCTTGCCCCTCAACCAAAGTTCTCATAGCTTCAAGGCTTGGAAACCACCATGGAGATGCCTTTCTTGCTACATCAACCAGGATACCTCGATGAACTAGGGATCCAATGATGGCTGCGTGGACCTCCGCAATGTTACCAAGGCCTCCCAACTCGCTGACAAAAATACCGCCGGACTTGAGCGCATCATAGCAGCCCTTAATGGCGTTTGCTCGGGTACTCTCATCACGGAGAATCCAGTGTAGAGCAGCGTTGGAGAATATCTTCGTGAAAGAACCATTACACAGCCTTGCGTCTCTGTCAAGGTATCGACAGTCTACAACACGAGCATCGATGTCAGGGAATGTCTTGTTGAATGACTCGATCATATTAGGTGAACCATCAACTCCGACGATGCGTTTCACATGTGGCGCAAGCCTTGCTGTCAGGACGCCTTCCCCGCAGCCAACGTCGAGGATTTCATCTGCAAGGGAAGGTAAGGAAGTCAGTCGAGGTCGTATGCCGCGATCCCTGGATCCTAGAAGCCTACCTTGCGGCTGAGGGTCCAACCACTCTACAACCTTGCTCGTCAAAGCTGCCACGAAGGGAGCAACCGTTGTCCCGTATGTGTTAGCTGACCATATGTCTTTCTTTTCCGAAGCTTCCGAGACCATTTTCTCGGTAAAGTTAATATTATTAGGTACAATAATGTAAGTAAGGGTATGTAACTATAGGTGGTTTATTAGATGTGATACGCGGGTGCCTCGCTTTAATAATGAGTTTCGACGACCGAAAACATCCAATCCCGCGGGGACCGTTACACTGAACCAGTTGCTTGTCAAAATCAATCCATCCGTTCTGCAGAATGCGGAGAAGCCTGTCTGTTTCGAATTACGTAAAAAGGATATTGTCTACATCCCCCCCTTTTCTAAGCCTCATTCTGTTTACGAACAGGTCCTATTACCATCAACGCGGGCTGGCTGCTGACATGGAATGTGTTCATCGAAACCTGCCAGAATGTATGTACTCGGTCTTGATCTTCGTCAATTGGCCATACAGATGCGCCAACCCAAAAGCAATGTGAATCGGATACTGAGCAGCCAATGGCGAAGCCCAATGTGCAGAACCTTTTGCTAATTTATGCCGAAAATGTTTTCACGCGTCCTTGATTCCAATCTATGCCAAGTTCTGTCACTTCTTCAAGTTGTCTCAAAATATGCAACTAGCCTGGTAGCACCACATGGGCCTCAATATGGAGACACTATATGTCACCTGTCCTTCCTAATTAGACAGTCGAGTGGGATACGAGACTCACGAGCGGTATTCTAACGGTCAGTTAGGGTGTATGTACGCTTGAATACAAGTGAAGCAACAAACTTTGTTGGATCTTTGACCATATTGAGATTCAGCACATTTCTATAATCCTACCTACCTAAGGTATGTGACGCCGAATCCTTGAAGCTCTCACCATAAGCCCCATATTTTCGTGTCTCCCTGTCTGTAGGGTTTCAGGTAAGCTTTTAGTAAAAAGAATATGATACTTATCACTCATGAACACCTGCTCAGGCGTATATAACGTGTCTGTGTAGCCATATCTTAGCTTCTGGAGATATACAACAAAAGCTCATGTTCTACGAAAGATTCATCAGAAAGGTTCATTTTCTATTAAGGTATAAATTGGATATTTCCTGAGGACCACACGTTCTTAGTTATTTGGTTAAACCTCAATAACATCCGTACATTATGATTGAAGCCATATACGACACGTTCTCTACCTCCGGGTCAGTATGGGTTCTCCTATTGGCTCCTCTGTTTCTGGCGCTGCGGTATGTCTTAAGAGCCTTCAACAAGCCTCAGCATGGGAAACACTTTGAGAAACAGGACATAGAGCAAGAAATCGAGCCTTTGGAAATTTTCGATTTCCGCAAGGAAGCCCCTATCAAATATCAACCATATAAGACACAAGGCCATGTTACAATGGGTAAGCAGGATTCCATATATGCCACTTTTTGATTCTCGAGGCTAACCAACATACAAGGAATCCAAAAGCGCACTCGTTCAGAGTGGATTCGAATGGATCGTGGCTACTTAGACCGAATTAATGAGCGTTTGCCTTTAATTCGAGGGAAGCCTGAGTTCACCATTGGGACGGGCGAGAAGGTCAACCCGGCTATCGAGGAACTATACGAAGAAATTATGATCAAACACCTACCCGCCAGGTTCCCGACTATGTTCAAGGCTCGTGGAAAGACAGTCAAGAACTTAGCCACTGGTACCACTTACCCGCTCACGACTGCCGGAATAACCCACGCGCAAATGCTTGCATACATGGGAGAGAACGTTGAAGTGAGTAGCTATCATTTGAACTATTTGAAGTTCTAGGCCTTGACTTCGGGGATCTGCCTTCCCGGAGCTTGGGTGGTAGGAGGGATAGAGACGCTAGTTGCTAATCACCTCGTAATTATCAGGAAGACTTTTACTTCATGTGCCCCGACCATGACGGACAATACCGCTTGCAGGGCTACATCGCTTGTTTCCCTGGTGGTTTTTTGAGTCCAGCCCGAGTTGGTGAGTCTGTGCGGGAGATCCACAAGCCAGTTCCAGGCTATGAAAGGAAGCTTGGGCTTAGTGTGGATCGGTATTTTGGTCGGATGATACCTGGGGACTTCATTGGACGTATGAATGTAAGATAACCCTATCATGTTCTTCAAATTGCCTTTTATGCTAACTAATCGAACTAAAGTGGTCGTTACAAGTCGATGGAGCTGACTTGTTCCGGACGGACGGAAACAACTACTACCCCGGAACGGAGCAGGTAGTCTCGGAGTACAAGGAGGATCCGTCCCTCGACGAATGCTACTTGCGCGTGGAACACCAGACGCTCACAAAGCTACCACGGACAAGCGCAGTCATATTTACGGTGCGGTCTTACATGACCCCACTACACCAAGTGAAAGCTGAGGGAGATGGAAAAGAGTTAGCAGCAGCCATTCAGTCCATGCCTGAAGGGCTTGGCTATTACAAGATGCGCCAGTACTGGGGCAGAAAGGTACTTCCGTGGCTGATGGAAGATATCTAGTTTTTCTATGTTGCCAGTGGCAATGAAAGACGTGGAACTTTGCCCATCTATAAGAATCTTGATTCTTAGAGTGGGGTTAAAGCCGAACCTTTGCTAGTTAGTCAGGAAACATTACGGGAGCAAGTAAAAAGAAAATAAAAAATAAGAAAAACATATAAATTAGGTAGGCGTTCATTGGAGTGCTGGATAATAAAGCATTGTAACTTAGCGTAATTGTTGTTTGAGGTATGCCCCTTGACCATTAGCGTCCCCATTGAGCCATCGTTATACTAGACCCTTCATAATCCTCTTTAAAGCATCCAGGAGTCTCATCCTATGTTGTGTAAAACTACGAGTTATTGGAAATTACGTTACCATCAAGAATAGTCTAGTTCTTATTGTAGGTAGCGCTCCGCGGACAATATGAAAGCTCTGTGTGGTTAGGGTTAAAAGTGGGTCGGTAAAAAAGGGGTAAACATCAATAGGCTAAGAACGAAGTAGTTAGGTACTTACGTCTCAACCTTCACTAACACACCAGGCGGTCCCCAGGAAATAGTCACTTGAGAATTTCCAAGTGAAAGATGATTTCCAAGATCAGTTCACCAAAGTCTAAAATAGTCACCAAATCCCACCTTGACGCCCTAGTGTTGTATATCCCCCACACCCACGATATCGACATACTCCTCCGCATCCCCTAATCCCATCATGTCAACCCCCTGCTCCATACACACACCTGCGTCTCCATCCGTAGCCCATCCCATCGTCATCGTCGCCCACAAATCATGAAAAACAGTCGGCTTCGCAAGCCCATCCGCGGATCCCAGTCCAGCCGCCGAGCCAGCCAGATTCGCCGCCGCCGCCGCCGAACCCCCGTTCAGCGACGACGTCGCGTACGATGAACCGGCGAAGTTCATGTTACTCTGCTGCCCTTCCCATAGGGGTATATACTGATCCAGACTCCCATCGAACATAGGACACTGACGCGCTCTCCTGCTCTCCTCCGCCGCGGCCGCCGCAGCCTCCAGGTCCGCGCTCTTCTTCTCGAACTTGGCCCTGAGGGATCCTAGGACGACCTTAAAAGCGGTGACGACATCGACTTTCTTAGAGTTCTTATCAGTAATAGCGTCTTTTCCGTCGCCGTCGTTGTTGTCGATGGTAGACAGTTTAGCCAGGACGGCGCCGAAATCGAGTGTTTTCCTGCCCTGGACGTAGTCGTAGCTCGGACACGACGGAATGGGGAAGGAGAGCCGGTATGCGAGGATGATGATTAGGATGAGCCGGCCGATGTCAACGCTGCTGAAATAGCCCATTTGCTCTGCGGAAATAGTCACGGTGTAGTCGAGGAAGGCTCGCGTCGTGTATGTGGCGGCCTGCAGCTTGGCGGCGTCGATTAAGGGGTTCTCGGCGTCGCTTGAACGAGGATGGAAAATCTGCATTAGCGGCGCTGCGAGGATGTAAGTATCGGCTGCGAGTGACGACATTAGAATATTCGCTACGTTATATCTCTGTTAGTGGCTAAATGAAATATAATGATAAGGAGGGATCCCACGTGTAGTCGAGAGGTGGCTAGGGATCCTGCTCTGGAAATCCCGTAGCTGTGTCTCGAGGCCAATGCGGACGAAGGTGCGTTGGTGTTCATTCTGGTCAGAGGAGCTGGGCTTCTTATAGCTTCTATGTAATCCTTCGTATTCGTTGAGTATGTGTTGCAGACGGACAAGCCAAGTAAGGATATGATCCTGTTGTAGGTCACTATTTTGCTCAAGTAAATCGCAACATTTGGTCATCCATGACGTGTATGTTAAACTGTAGGGTTTTGACCATGTCCATGAAGAACTGCACTAGCGTTAGACCTGAAGGAGGGGAGGCTGAGGGGGAGTTGGCGATAACTTGAACTGACAATGAGACATTGTAAAAGCATGCAAGGTATGCCCTGATACCCTGAAGTTTCATTTCTCTTCGCTCGGGTGAAAGCGCCGCAAGGTTCATATCTTTCTCCTCGTCTAACTCTAGGTCATGAACTATGTCAACAGCCATGCGCAGGTATTGCACTAATTGTCTGTTCTTTGGGCGTAGATGAAACGGGTACCTGTTTCGTATGACTCACTCATTAGAATGGCCAACCTCGTGTTGTATAGGACTCAAACGAGGCCAAGTCAGCTTACCAAGAACAGTAGATAATTAGACCTTGTAGTAGCTCAACGGATCTTTCACCTCCGGCGACGAATTTCAAAGCTAGAATCTTACGAAATTCATCGTCGTAGAGACTGTGACCCTGTAGGCTCGTAGAGCAACTCGTCACGGCGAGGATAGCTAAAATCACGAATGGCGTGTTGCGGGCCATAGATCGAACGTCAGCGTCATCGGGCAGCACGATGCACGGACAGTACGGGAGCGTAGACCGGAATGATTCGAGCAGCTTTGCCGCCGAGTCGAGGTTGAACTGCGGCTTAATAGCCAAGCTACTCACCGGCCGCGAGTTCGTCGACGTCGTGCTTCCCGTCGTCAACGACGGCGTTGGCATCGAGAGGTCGTTAAAACTGAACATCTGTCCGGCCGACGGTGACATTATCGCCGAATCATCTCCCAGCTCTTCGTCTTCGCTAGACGGCACGAGGCTGTCGATGAAGCGTTCGTGCTTCTCCCTAAGATCGTCGAAATTATCGCGCAGGTCATCATCCGCCGGCATGGTGAAGTCGATGCTGAAGGTCTTGCTTGGACCAGGCGGAGGAGGAAGAGCCTCTGCGTCTCTGATACAATTAATATCACAGTCGACTTCATCCAGATACTGAGCCCAGGTTGAATCAACCAATGGGGTCCCCTTAATGACGGATACAAGGGGGGAAAGGACATAGTACTCACGGCCGTGTCGAGAGCTTGGGCCTCCTGGTTCGCGGACCGGTTCTAAACACGCATTCCCGCTTGAACTCGGAGCAACTGTATAGCACGAAGTCACATGTCTTAGCCTTCAACTAGCACCTTTGACGACCAATGAACTAGTAATGATGGCGCCATACCGCTTGCATATCCCTGGTTGCGAGCTAGGTTGGCATTTAACCTTGGAAATCCGACATGCCTCGCAGGCGTAATTCATTTTGCTAGGCTTCGGCAGGGCCCGCGCTTGCGGGTTATTTGATTGCTCCATTGGAATAAAAGATCTTGTTGAAGATTGTGATGGCGACACGATTAGCTACGAAGTAATGATAGCTAGACTAGATCCTATGTATACAGTTGGAAGACAGGAATGAAGTTGACGTCGTTAGGGTGAGATGAAGGAACACTATCGAATCTGTTAGTAATCGAGAATTTCCCATAGGATTAAAGATCAATAGTAAGCTGAGTAGGTAGGTACCTAGCTGAGAAGTCTGCATTGGACTATAGACTCCAATTCAAGATGGATGGTCAGCCTCAGCATTTTTGCGTTGTCGGAGGGAAGGAGAATCCGACGGCAGCCAAAGTCCGGGTGCGGTCGGCGTTAGATTTTAGTGGCGGACCCCACCCGGGGTTGCATCTTCCCGAACGGGATATTGCGGATCGGACCTTTGTAGGATGCACCTGCTTCGACGAATGCCAGCAGTCTTTGCTAGGTTTAGCTCCCGTTGACCAAATCCTTAGCGTCTGCCGCTAAATCCATCCCCCCTATTCTGGAGCAAACCTGCGAATGATTGGCGGATGATCAACTTCAATCTTTCCTCCGCCTCTTGTCGTCGCTTTTTGATCCCTAGATCGACATCACGTAGAATAGCGAAATACATCTCAGATAGGTGGAGGTATTATATTCCGAGGTATAACTTACATCAGCTCGTCGTGAGACGAGTCCCAAGAAGGTGTGCGCGCACACGGTGTCTATCTTACCCAAGGCCCATCGCGTGCAGCCTCGTTGGCTAGGTATGTACATATAATATAATTGTATACTTACACGCAAACAAACGCACACCTACCTCATCGCACATACATCTACCTCACCTTCCATTCTTTTTCTTTTCTTTTATAAGGTGTATCATAATGTTTCGTAAAACCCCTCTTTTGTTGCGTGAGGGGGTCGTCAAGACTATAACGCCGCTGAACCTGTCACCGCGAGATATACCCCGACGGCAACCCCTGCGATGATCATCATTAAGGCTGCGCCAGCGGCCCCCACGGCCGCCATCATGATCTTCCTCTTCTTCCGCTTGGGGGCCGTCTGCCACGCCGTGGTCCCTCCTTCCAAGCAACTGCGCTTCTTCTTCTTTTTCCTATCGCCCTCCGGCTCCGGGCTGCGAGGAGGAGTGCCAAGAGGATCTGTCGGGTTGTAAACTAGCGGCGTCGTTGAATCCACGCGCGAATTTGGTATGCTGCTGGTATTGCTGTATCGTTCTGGAGTGCGCATTCCCGGTGAATACGGAGGCGGCAGCGATGATGGGGGAGGAGAGAGTGGTGCATCTGGGTCTACTACCGATTCTCTGAATCCTCTAGAATCAACTGTATAGGAGCGTTGTCGCCCTCGGGGAGGCGTCATGGGTGTCTCCAGTGGATTTGACGGGACCAGTTCAGGCGCTTCTATGGGGGGATCCTTGACTTTGGCACCTGCAGGCACTTGGACACTCTCAAGGCCGTTTGTAGCGGCGATGAGGCTGGCCAACTTCATCTGAGTGGGAGTTGGTGGCAGAGGCGTGGTAGGAGGCGGTGACGGAGGGGAGAACCACGAGTTGACCGATTTTACCGACCGCGACGTTCGCGGCGGTGAATCTAAGCACGGGGTTGAGGAGTGTGAGGTTGTCGGCGGTGTGTTGCCGGGTGGCAGCGGAAAAAGTGACGGTGAAAGTGAGACAACACTGTTACATCTGGATGATGCTGAGATTTCCGAACACGTTGAGACGCCGTCTCCACTTTGGTACTGGAAATCGACGGTAAGTGCATGAGGTCCGGCGAGAAAACTATTCGATGCACCATTAGTGCGATTTTGAGATGGCACGGTCAACCTCGGGAGCGCGGACAATTCGAGGCTCTTCGTCTTTCCCTTCGTCTCCTCGCCCGATATCTCCTCACCCGACATCTTTGCGGACAACGGGTAACTCTATGATCGGTTCTCCAGTATCACTCGATGAGTGTAAATTCGTTGATTCGAATTAAAATATATATATTATTAGGTATGTTTGCACCAATCTCGTTTGTTCGAGACAGTGACAAGTCGGATTCGTAAGGAGGGTTAGGGTTTCGGTTATCAAGCTGTTGTGTAGCAGGTGTGTGTATATATACGACGTTCTAGACAATCGTTTCTCGTAGATTCAGACCAGATATAATGAAAGGCAGATCCAAACAGTTCGTAAAACTCAATTCAAAGGAAGGACGATATGACCATATTCATCATTATATCATCATCATAAACATAATCATTTAAAAGAAGGGACGTAACGGTTGAGCGCGGGCGAGGACAGAAGTATCATGATCTTTCTTTCTCGCGTTGTTTCCTCTTTTGCTCAGAACCGTTCAGCTGTAAAAGGGTGCCATATTGCCGGGAAGGAGGGCTTAAGATATAAAAGTCGATGAGATATGTGAGTCCTGACAGATCGACCCGTGCGACCGCCTCGCTTCATGCAAGGCACAGGGGAAAGCGGATCGTAAAGGAAAAAGAAAGAGAGCAGAAAAAAAAAGTTACTGGCAAAAAGGAACGGTGAGGTTTCTTCGCACGGAATCCCTCATCCTTCCCAGCTTTTTTTCTTAGCCTTCTTTTTTTCTCTAACGGCTCTCACATCATCAATACTACCTACGGCACAGTACAAAAAAAGGAAAGGAGACCTAGGTACTAAACTGAAGAAGAAAAAAACGCCAATGCGGTCATCAATAGGCAAAGGGCTCCGCGTACAGAGTTACCATGCTGCCATGTAGCCCCGGCAGTTGGACACTAGATCGCTTCAGCTTAGGCTGCCCAGCCCACGCGGTCCACAGGCCCTACCCCTGCGGCCAGCCCAGACCCCTGGCTGGCTGGGTCGAGAGATCATTCAATCACAAATCGTAAAAGCCCCCAGAGTTCCGGACCGACAGGCATTACACCGCATCTCCTCAGCCCTCCAGGCCTTTCATTTTTCGACCTGTCGACCTCTTCAAGGTTTCTTCAGGCCGTAACACGCCACCCGATTGGGCCCCGTAAGCCTCGTAAGCAGCCCTGGACTGCCCTGACTTGCCCTGGCTGCCCTGGACAGCGCCCTGGGAGAGAAACTTCTGTAGTCCCCCAACCCCGATGGATATTTGGCGGATTGGTAACCTAGAACTGGTTTTCCGATGATGAACTACCGTGGCTGCTACGACAGCCGCTGGCTGCCTACATGCGTACTGCATGTACTTGAATGAGACTCACATATCCGTATGTCTAGGACATTACATCCCATATGGATCATATGGATACCTTCATCCATGATGTCTTAGCACTGGCCTCGCATTGGATATCTACAGCAAGTTTTTTTTTCCAGCACGTCTCTAGCACGTCTCCTAGCACGCCTCTAGCATTGTCCCCAACATGTCCCCCAGCGAAAATGTGGTGTATGCGCGCCTATCGTACTGCCCGTACCGCCTAACTTTTGGCTCGTACCTTACATACGAACCCACCAGCCTGCCTATGACTCCCTCGATACCTAACACAACCCACCGCACGGTTCAACTAACCACCCAGCCATTCCCGCAGGATCTCCCCCGTTCCGGTGCGTCTTGCGCGTGTGAAAGGTTGTGCGCGTGTGAGGTTCAGCACTGTACCTGCATCTAACCCTCTTAAATTTTTTTTCTCTCAAGGGAAAGAAGAAAAAGAAACCAATTAGACTACACTATCCTTCTCAGGTCCCCATCGTACATCCCTCCCACATTATCTCGCAAACCGCGAGCAAATTAATATTCAGTTAAGTAAACCTGGGACCGCCCCCCCCCCCATGAAATCAGCCCAGCCCCAGCCCCGACCCAACCTCCACGAATCGCCATCGCGATCACAGCAGCAAAGCCCCCAGTCCCCGGGCACGTACCTAAAACGTGCATGCCGCATCTCGCTCGCGAAGCAAAGCAAGATACGAAAAATATCCATAAAGACACATATGTAAGCATGTAAGCCTACATATGTAGGATGTACATAGTGTGTATCTGTGTATCTCTATCCATCTATCCCCATAATGGAGACTGGAAAAAACGTGATATTGTACGACCAACTGCGTCATCGTCGTCGAATGGGGGAAAAGACGGGGCGGCGAAATTCGTGAGGCTTTTCAATAATTTCCGTCTTTGGAACCTCTTTCGACATTTCAGCGCAGCCGCATCAATGCCGACTATACCTGGGCCAATATTTCAGGCCAACCTTCCCATCCGCTCGGAATAGCTTTTATTCACTAGCATTGTACATACGTACCTAATACGGGCAATGCAAAAGTTCTGCACAAAATGCGAAGTGATTGTGCACATACCAGTCTGTACGCTGTACTCCTTCGTATCTGATCACAAGCGGAGCTTGTGGTCCACATTATACTAACTCTGCGCAGCGGATCTGACTAAATAAGTCTACCTAGGTACGCTATGAGCTTTCTCGCGCCGCATGCCTGTTATACATACATAAATATGCACTGTGCTACTGCACTTGCCATGCCGAGTACCTCCACCTAACCTTGCCTCAAGTCAGGACGGGCGGACCACCAACAAGCTTGGAAATGCTGCAGTAAGCACGGAAGTCATCAGACCATTTTGAATTCAATTCGATTAAACATTGCCTCGAAAGATTGATCGAGCTATTTACGAGTTATCCCCTATCTACGCCGGCGCTAAAAACGTCATTCCTTAAACATGCAATTGGTCTTTCGGCGCTGCTCATGCGTGAAAGTCGATAAAATATTTGTACAGGAAGGCCGAACCTTCGGGCGGTCTTCGTTTGAGAAAATAATAGAATAGTCATCCGTTCAGCACTCATGGGATCCATAGATCGGTCTATGGCGTAATGCGTATCGCAAGATTGCTTGCTTGTTCATGCTGTTCATACCGCGCCGTGCGGTTGGAACTTTTTTTTTTATCGTTCGGTCGTCCGGAAAATTGTTCGGAAAATAGGAATATGAAAAGTCGGCGAAGTCCGCTCAGCCGGTACGGCCACCGACTCTTCCGGCGCCTACGTCGACGAATAGATTCACGAAATCAATCGTGTTCCCCCCACCGACGGTGACGTTCGTTGCTTGATTGGTCGTTACGTATGAAGTTGTATTCCGATCGCTCTCAACGCTACTGAAGAAGCTTTGAACTGAGGTCTGAGCGGTCGATGCATCGGCTAGGGTCTTTTCCTGAAAGATATACAGGACTGCTACGCGAGCAAAGTCGGCAATTTCTTCAGTCACCTTGAAGGTGGAGGTCGGCATGGCCGTCGTACTTGGGCTGATTGAACTGGTCGTTAGTTCCGATGTGATGGCCGGGGCCGACGTCGGAACCGGAGTAGGAGATGATCGTTTGGAGTTGCTACTACCTGATATGGTTGTAGCAAAGATCGTAGAACCGGAAATTGTAGTTGGCGCTGTTAAGGTTGTCACTATAAAGCTCCCAGAAAATCCACCGGTGCCTTCCGGATTGTCAATTGTCAACGTGATGTCGATATCCGGAGACACGCTAAGGGTAATTGGCACGGCAGCCGCGACTACAGCAGCCTGTGCGAGTTCTGAATCCGAGCTCAGATCAGATACCTCGGCCGAGGCGTCCTGAGTTCGAAGTGACTGTCCATCGAAGGTGACCAATGCATTTTCCGTGTTGCAGGAAAGATTTTCTTTGTTGAATTTCGATTGTATTACGGTGGCGATGAGAGGGACTGAAAAGTTAGTCTGAGCGTTTTGGATGAGACGAGGTATTGCCTGGCCGATGGTAACGTTGTTGATATTGGAACCTGACGTGCTGATTGATGTTGTAGTGCAGCCTTGCGAAGTAGGAATCGTGCAGGTTGCGCCGGTAAATCCGTTCGAACATATGCACGAGCAGACGCCCTGTAGGTCAATGTTCGTGCCGCCGTTGGCACAAGTTAATTGCGCCTCGCAATCTGAGATGTCCGGCTGTGCTGTGCTCTTCGCCGCCGACTTGTCGATGACGAGGAGTTTGACCGGGATCACAACTGCAGCTGCTATTATCACCAACAAGATGATGAGTAATACGAAACAAGTCCAAAATGGCAACCCGCAACAACGACGCTTCTTCTTCTTTTTCGACCCCGTCTCTGAATCCACGGTTTGCTCTGTTGATGCAGGGGGGCCACGGAAGGACCTTCGTCCTAACGGCCAAGCCGTTGATGCTCTGCTTTGGCGTTTTCCATTTCGACTTGCAGGGGGCGGAAATGCTGCTAGCATATCAGACAAGCCGGACTGGTGCCTCGTTTCATCTACGGAATTAGTTAGCATTAAGAATATGTAGGAAAGTGAGTTATACGAACAAGAAGGGTCCTTGTCAGCTTCATTACCGTAGACCTCTTCTGGGAAGTCGAGTTCGTCAAAACGACTCGCTGGTCTACGGCCCCTCTCCATCAACGCCGCCAGTCTTGTTGCCCGTCGAATTAAATCTGGTAGACTCGTCAAGCTCCCTCTAGCCTCAGCTGCTCTCACTGCATCCATATCCAAGCGCGGCGGTCGTCGAATAGCGGAAAACCTAGCCGGCCTTGGCGAAGGAGTAGCTCTTCGTATTGACGAAGGATCCATGGCACTGGCACCCTCGAAAGCACTCAACATATTATCCGCAGTCAACGCGGTACCAACGGCTTCTCTTGAAACATTTCCAGATGAACTTGATGAGCCATCGATATATCCAGTGCCATCTCGGAATGGCCCACCTTGGATAGGCATCGGCGCCGGTCGCGACGTCGAATCCCTCTTCTCCGCACTTCCTGTAGTTACTAGAGCCGGTCTTCCTCTTTTTCCTATGCTTGCACTACTCACTAGACGGCTGTCATCTGCGTCATCACTAATGACAGACTCTTCTGCAATCGTACTATCGATAGACGCCGCGTTCGGACTGTACACTACCGGTGATAAACTACCAAAGCTTTCCGGTATTGCCGCACTGGATGCGTAGGACGTATGTGACCGTGTTCTAGGACTCTCTTCTGGGATTGGCGATACGAACGACGCGGTCGAATAAAACGATGAAGCTCCTCGTCTTGAAGACGGTGGCGGGCCCAGATTCACGCTTCTTCTAGATGGTGGCGGCAGCGGAGGCGCAGCAACCGGTAATGGAAAATCCGGGATGGTTCCAACCGAAGAGTTAGTTGATTGCCTCGAGGACGTGCTTTGTATCGTATCGGGTGCTGACAGCTCTGATTCTCTAGCGTTCTGAGGTATGGACTGGAAGATGGGCGTGGGTTCTTGTAAATGAGAGCCGTCCAAAATCGAAGGTACTCTGCTAGGCCGTGGAGGGCGTTGAGGTGGTTGTGATCTTCCGGGTGGCGGTCGGTATGGCTCCGAATCGGCAGCAGGCGGTGCTGATATAGGTCCACCCAGCGGCCACTGCGGAAGTGGTGTCGGTCTCGATATCGCCATTCCAATCTGACCCTGTCCATCCCTAAACTGCATCCCAGGTGGCGCCTGAGGCCGTCTTATCGGAGGCTCTGGAAAAGCTGATATATTCCTCCTCGGCGCACCCGCTTCAGCTAACTCCCTCGCTCTTTTGACGGATCCCCCCATGCCGGGTGGTCGACCGTTATTTCGTCCATTTTGGGATTGACTCATTTAAACAAACACTTTGGGAGGCACAAGACCCGAACCAGATCTTCGTTCCACTCTCCCACTTTTTCTTCCCAGTTCCTTCACGGCCTCTGCCGTCTATATGAACCGCATACGCGAGTCTAAGATCCACCATACAACTCCGAGTTCGTACAATGCCGGTAACCGATGGCCCGCCGGCAGGTGGATCGAGAGTCAAACGAAAACGAGCTCGGGAACTACTGGCCTCGTGTTCACCCCGGTGACACGGGAAATAACCTCGGTGTAAATGAAATAAGGGTGTCGCAAACGGAGAATTGGTTCAGCTCGCTCGACGGTCGTGGAACCAAATTGTCGTTTTCACTCTATCCAGAACAACGGTGAGGGAACCAAACGCGGTGCCGATCCTACTTTTTACCAAAACGAGTGGCGAGAATGAAAATACCTGCAGTGCTAAGCCGGCCGGTAACTTAAAATTAAAAACACAAACCAGTCACTTCAAAGTGAAGAGGATTGTTGGTTGAAGCTAAAATTGGCTTGTTAGCCTACACAGAACAGAGAATGGAATTGGTTGAAGTGGGATGTGAGGCGAAAGTACATGGGAATGAAAGAACCATAGGTTAAAAGATGACAAATTAGAACCTCAAGATACGAGGCCATCCGGCTCCAGAGCCAAGAGAACGTTACAAGTACCAATCGGAAACTACCACAGTGTGGTTTTGGTGTACTCAATCCCACAGCCAGCAGCAGTAATAGCCGGCGAGGTATATTTTGGCGGAAAAGTTGAATGGATATGGTGTAGAATAGGGGGTCACGTACGTTTGACGTTTCGAGAGATACTAGCCCTTCCTTGTATCAACCCGATTTGGACCGGGGGTGCTTCAACAATGAATTGACTTAGTCCCAGACCGTGAGGCAACCCTCAAGATTGATACTATTCAAACAAACCGAATCCTAAGGCAGTTTCCGAAGTCTTCCAAGAAAAGCCAAGTTCCATACACACGGCCGAACATGCGATATTTGCCGACGGGATGGTGAATACAATGACGAAGCTGCTGTAGTCGTCGCACAAGACGTCTCCTAATTGGGCGAGAGTGGGGTGGTATGGCGAACCAGATTATGCGACCCTGAAGCCTTAGATACTGTTCGCGTTTCAGATTCGTGGACGGAACAGGGTCAAAAAGGTCGGAATGACGAGAAGACAGCAGAGAGCCCAAGGCAAAAAAGGCTTGTGCAATGTCTAGAAAACGGCGATCAAAAGACAATCAGGCGAGAGACTGCCGTTTGCGCACTTTCTAGTATAAGCTAATTGGCAATGTCCGACGGGACTTCGGGACCTCGGGAGTCTGTTTGGAAGACGACAACAAGGTCGATGATTTTGAATAACGAGAGACGCGCAGGAAACCTTGTGTCATCAAGACAGGATGAGATGTCCTGCGATTAGAATATTAAAAAAATGAGAGTAGAAAAAAAGAAAAGAGAAAAGAGCGGTAAAAAGGCAAGGGCAACAACTGCAGCGATGTGAGACCAGACGACACTCGGTCGTGAAGTGAGATATATCGTGAGGTTGGCCGAACAGAGGTTGAAGTTGGCAAGTTCTGAAATTCTGTCAACCCAATCAAGGCGGACAGAAATCCCGAGCAAACAAGTTCCACAAGGAAAGAGAACTCGAAAGGAAAGAAGCAAGAGTAACGACAACAATAGAGAAAAGAGGAAACAACACAACGAGGTAGCAACTACCCAATCTTCCGGGCGTGACCCCGTCTGATTTACTATGCAGTACGTACTTCGGGGGTTCAGTCGTGCCTGGCATTAGCTTATGTCGTCTACGGGAAAATGTGGGGAAAAGGGGGGCACGGGCTTAAACTGGCAGACCGTTAAAGCTTCAAGATGGCCAAAATGGCCAGAATAGCCAGAATGGCACCGAACCAGGCATGGACACCCTGGCAATCATCGCCAAAATCTGAAAACTTCATTCCAAATCCCTACCCCCTCGAGGCCGATTTTGAACAAACTCATGCGCAAGCCATACACACGGACCCCAAATTAAAGTATTCCTTGGGCATCGTCAAGGCGACTTACAATCATGACTGTACGAGTCGCATAGATCTTATTTAAGATGCTGAAGACGGGATAGTCCCCTTCCACCAGCTGGGCCGTGGCTGCGCTCTGGTTAGATTTTAGCCAAAAGACACACCTAGCGGCATGAATTCATGGGATTCGTGGACGGCAAGATTCAAACACGACGGCCAGCGAAACCCCTCTATACCCCTGTTCGTGTCTAGAACCCCTGCAACCACCAGAATTTATAGCGAATCAGCAAGTGAGGATGAGTGAGCTTCACCATTTAGAAACACTAGCGTCGTTACTTGCAGACGGGTCAACGCTCGTCATCCTAGACAGAACCCACCCCTTCTAGCCAATCCTGGTACGTATCATAGATTCTCGTCACGAACTGAATTGGTCCGGCGGACAAGCGAGCGAGTCGGTCAAGAGCGGAGATATTTCAATTGTTGGCTAAGAAATGAAATTTGAGCCCGAAAACTGATAAGAAGGTAGGCACCTAGACAGAAATATATTGATTTGTTTTTAGGAAGAGACCTCAAACAAAAGTGATTTATCATGTATTTAGTATTACCGATTCCCCTTTCATTTCGATAAGTAGCACGTTCTGTCATACGAGCCGACAGATTGGGATGACAGCGGCTTTTTCTTCTGTTTGCAAAATATTAGATTAATAAGTACCTACTAGAGCAGCTATCTATAAATGGATATGTCGGTCAAGTTAGACAGATAAAGTAATATGTATCTGTCGAGATGTAACGATGGATTATTATTCTCCACAGTGAAAAGTGAAAATATCAATGTGATACAGAGGGCTGATGACCCGGGTAATTTAGTTCTTCCACGTTGTCACCAAATTCAAGTTCGAGGTCCTCTTCGGTCGGGCGATAATATGTATTAACTTGCTTGCTTGCCTTTCGGAAAGTTCCAGTGGTAAGGCTACTGTATTCGCGACCCGTGCCTTTGCATCGATATTATGTACAACGATGACCCAGTTAGTCGGACGATGATGTGGTACTTATGGTGACGTTGAGACCATATGCTGTGACCTGCGACTGCGATCGTCATTACTAGTCTATTCAGGGGTTGTAAAATCGCCTATTGGTCCTCCGCCCACCACTCTTGAATAATCTCGTCGCGCCCATTCTTCAACGCGTATGTCTGTACGTCTGCAAGGCGCTTGTTTGTCCAGTTGATTTATCAGTTTGCTTAGAATAAATCGAACCTCGCCGCTAAGGAATAAAATGCACGACTAATAATAATCTTCGAAAATCCTTCGAATTGTTTCGAGATAATTAGCCTCCCTTGACTCACATTACACTTACCAAGTACGTACCAAGCTCTGCTGCTTCTTCTGCAAGCCACCCCATATTCTGCACCTCTTGCAGAAAATAATCCCGAGACGCTGGACTCCAAAAGACAAGTTCCGAATTGGTTCCAGCCTTTTCTTATAACGGACAAATTCGTCCATTTGGTTTCAGGTCTGTCAAATCTTGTTCACTTGTTCCATACGACGCGGTTTCACTTGTAATCCACCTTCACCTGCCGGTTCAACCTTCCTCCGTCAGCCGAAAATCGAGTGGAGGTGAACCCGGCCTTCCTTTTCACGCCCTGACATCGTGAACTAAACATTCAGGACTCAGGAGTCCCACTCGGACTAAACTCCGGATGAACAACTAGACATCGACAATATACATATTACAACGTACAACCTTGCAACACAAGGCTGAATACTGAGTACATAACCTAAGAATTTTCATGATCTTACTGGCTTCGAGCGTACTTGAATTTCAATGTAGGTACAAACATGATCTCCATCTTAGACAACAAAATCATGCTTTGCTTAAATTATGTCGATCACCCAAGAATCGGAAGATACCGTCGGTATGGCAATCAATCGAGTTTGCTTCTTTCGCCCGAGCGGAATCATGACAAAATAAAGGTAGGTAGGTAATCAAACTGGTCCTCCCTGCGTCCCATCGTCATGCAGACAGATAACTTATGTCCGTCGGCCGTCGCTTGATTCCCGAGTTAATCACCGTCCTCCGCCTTCCAACAGGCCTTGCCCATGAAGGGAGATGATATCGCGGGGTGTCCTGCGCTGGGTTGTTTTCCGAAGTAACCGTACCCCATGTAACCGTTTTCTTGAGCGGTTCGCGATGCCTGCGCTCGCTTTTATCGTACATGAGCGTGAGAATGCGATCCTCGATCGTGTCACCCTTGTATCCGTAGAAGAACGCGAGCGCGAGCACGACAAACGTGACCGGCAGAGCGACGGTCCAAAAAAATCGTTGGTCGTAATCTGTATCCCTGATATCGGTCGTGTTCATCCCGAAGAAACTCGAAACGAAGGACCTATCAAGTTGACGTTAGGCTTGTGCTGCTTAGGGTCTTCATGAGATGAATGGCGTAAGAAGACTTACAAGGGCAGAAAGAAAACGGTCACAATAGTAAACACCCGGATAGCCTTCCCATGGTTCTCCTCGAGGATCTCGATGGTTTGCTTGACTTGCTCCTTGAGGAATCCCATCCTTTCACGCTGAACCCGAATCTCCATGCTCTGATCTTGAAGCTTGTCAATCTGAGAATCGATATATCGAGATTCGATCCGAAACAGTCCTTCGCGGGACGTATCCGTCACTCGAAACGAAGTTGGAGAGAGAAGCCTCTTATAGTTATCGAGTACCTGGATTTGCGATAGGACGACATTGTGCAGTGCTTCTAAGTCTTCTTGTAGTCTGTGGATTTCTAGAAATACCCGTCTTCTTGGTCGACGATACGTTTGATATCGGAGTTTTGCAGTGTATTCATGATACACTTGAAGCACTTCCGTACCAGTATCTGGAAGCAGCGGCCTATTTTGGAGGTTGATTGCCAGAGCAGCCGCGAGAAAATGGGGACCAACGGATTCTATTCCAAGAGTATCAGGGCTCTGTTGGGCAGTCCCGGAGAGTAAGATATCTTCCTTTGAATTTTCAAGAAGTTCACAAGCCTTGATGAAAGAAGCCTGTGCGTCGGACTCCAATGACCTGATCTTGCGCCAGTAAGGCCCCGCTTGCCGCTTTTCAAAGCTGGATTGGAGAAGATCGAGCCCGTTTATGTACGAAAGTTGCCTTGAAGTGAGCAAGTACATGCTTAGAATTTCTTGGAAAGCGTAGAAGACATTAGTAGGGAGATATGGCCGGAACTCGGGCTCTCCGCTTTGATGAGATGTTGTAGCGACAAGATAATGAAGTTCCATCGCTAGATCCTTAACATTTGCCAAAAGTTCAATGAATTGATTAACCGCAATGATGATGTTCTTATTCTGTGCCCGGTTGATTTGAGAATCACCGGATCGCCTTAACCAAACGAAACAGGGGTCATCATACGGTCGTTTGCTGTTTCCAATACTCGTGCATGTTAAATGCTCAGAATGCAGATGGTCAAGAGCCTCTACATGAGAAGCATAAATCTTTCTCCCATTACAGTCCTCGCAGTCTGCGAAAGTCTTCTTGTTGGTTGGGGCTCTGGGCAGGGCCTTAGAAAGCGTTGAGTTAGGGGTAAAGTTATGTATCACCCATTGAGTTTGGTCTGACCCATTCCCTAGGGACCATATTATATGCTATTAGATGTAAGAAGCAGTCATCCATATCGTATTGTAGTAATGATACTTACTCGAAATATCTCGTCTAGCGAACCCCAGAACCGCTTACATACCCGTTGAAGGGGTGCACTACCTTCTTTTGGGAGGAATGTTCCAAGAAGTTCTTGGGATAATTCTAAAAGACTTTCCATGGCGGCTTGATCGGTACCTGGCAGCCAAACAGGCTCCTTTTCCTCCTCAGCTTGGATATCTTCTTGCACACCTGGGGTCAGACTACTTGGTAGCGTCGCTCGAATGCCTGGGGTCTCGTTGTCTGGAGCTTCGTCGGCACGTGCAACTCCTTCCGCATTGAAATCAGTTGCTATAGGCGCAGATCCGTCTTTGTCATTTGCTTGCGTGTTGCCAGATGGGGGTTTTTGATCGTGTGTAAGTGCTTCAAGGGGTGACTTGGTCACTTTGATGTAACCGGCATGCCTGTATAAAAGATCATCTAAAGTGCAAGCATAGACTCTATTATAAAGCTTGTCGGAGCGGAGCAGTTGGTCAGACTTCGCTAACATATCAACAAGAACAATATCGGCATTGGTGGATACAATATCAGAGTCGTTTTTCGGTCCAACTTTCCAATGGAAGAACGGCAAGAGCCTGATTTTGGGCGATGTACTAGACTCGGGGATTCGGACAGCAGAGCCCCTAGACCTGCTCCTGGATTGAGACGAGTCAGACCCGGGATGCTCGAAGCGAACATTCGACTCCTCTGTTCTAGTTTCCGCTATGAAAATTTTAGTAGCTGCCCATCATAGTCGACTTTTCAACAAAGTAGAACATACCAGTTTTGTACTCCTCACTTAGCCGTAACAGTTCATCAATTAGTGGGTGATTTAACGCTGTTTGAAGCACAATCATATCACCCTACCATGTCTTAGTGGTCTCTTGAGAAAAAAATAAAAGGGTTGAGCAACTTACCTCATGGACAAATGGGTAACCAAGATCAATTACTGCTCGAATGGAGACGAGCTTCGCAGGTATCTTCGTCTTGCCTTTTCTTGGGTATCTTTCAGTTGAAGCTATACTGCTGGCATCTGTATCTGATGATCCCGCATCAGATGGCTCTGAGAAGCTTCTTGAAGAATTCCCATCTCCCTGTCTCCACACTCCATCCGACGCTTTATACCATCCTTGCCTTTGAGAAGGCGTCGACAATCTGCGCCCTCGGTTAATTCCTGTATTGTAGTTATTCGGCGAAATAGAGCGTGGTATGTCGGGTTCTGAATTATCAGACTCCGTATCCTATCTTGTTGTTAGGTAACTAAGTTTCATAATTTCTCTTCAGTGTTTGTCTAGACTTACTAAAGAGACTGAAGAGGATCTCCGACTCTGTTCACCGTCTGATAAGTCCCCAAGGCTTAAGAGATTTGGCACCATGACATTATACGCAGTATCGTTGATAACGATGTTGGGTCCCTGAGGAGGGGATCGTTGACGTTGTTCCTGAGATATGTACCGAGAATTCGGTTGATGCCTTCGTTGTATCATTGCACTATCAGATCTAGTTCGCCTACGAAGGTTAGGCATATGTGGCAGAGGAGAGAAATATTTATAGGGTGAATCCCGCTGTGATCGTGATAATAGTGAATTCCCAGAATCCCTTCGTTTATACACAGGAGTGTCGATCATTCCGCTAGCAGTTCTTGTGTATGTATTGGCTCTTCGCAAAGCGACTTGCATATCTTCAGCTGCATACGGCTTATGTTGAGAGGTGGATCTTGTCCGCTTAGGCCTAAGCAAATCGTCGTTAATATCAACCCCTCTAAATTTATACACAACATACCATCTGTTTGGTTCCTCATCGGCCTCATCATTTTCTTTGTCGACTTGATCTTTCCAGGTAATCAACTTTCTTCCAGTGTCATTTCCCCTTGATGCTTCATTTAGGTTTTTAGAATTGTCCCCCAAAGGATTTTGTTGGTACTTAACGAGAGCCCATTTCTCGGGATCATAACCTGACCTAGGCTCAGGCGATGTCGTTCTATTTTCCGTTATCCACTCACGACTAGAAGCAGCTGGACGTTGAATCATCTCATTCATGACGACTCTAGATCTGGATCTAGATCTCTTGGTCACAAGAGATCTCCTGCCTCTATTAATTGTTAGAGGGTCGTTGTAGGATATGTCCTGTTGCAGTTTTCTAAGCTGTGACCGTGATCGTGATCGACTGTGGCTTTCACGTAATTGTCGTTGCTGCAATTGAAACCTTGGCACGATATAAAATATTGTATCTTGAAGCCTTCCCTGTTGAATTAACGTGAGCCATTCTTGTGGAGTAACCAGGTCACGATTCTCATTGAGCAGTTCATAATCCGTCACACAGGTTCCTGTTCCCTCTTTAGCTAAAGCGAAGATGTGCCTTAGAAAGTCCTTCGTACAAAAAACAGTCAGTAAAATAAATATAGGAGGGTCCATTGGTCATACCACGTAATTGCAATCTGCATCAATTACAACGCTATGAGGTCGTCTATATTGATCTAACACCCTCACAGTGAGTGGTCTTCGTAGACTGGACATTCTCTGGTCTATTTCGATGAGATCTTTGGTCAAACTTTGTACTGGTAGTTCAGAAAAAGTGATGAGAACATCTATATGAGGTGAGACGCTTGCATTTGCCGAGGGAAAACATCATTGGAGATTGGCGAATCTTACCATTCCCTACTAAGAGACACCATATTTGGGGAACATGCAACGTGCCTTTTGATGGGTCAAAGTTCATTCTCTTCATGAGCCCAGTATCTTGCCTGTCGCTCTCAACATCGTATCCATATAAGCTTTCAAGCAGACTAAACATGCGTTGTCCTTTGTCGGCATCTGCGAGAGATGGTTTTTGGTTAAGTAAAAGGTAGGGACTCGAAAGAAAGATAACTGGTTGGTTTTGTGAGTTCTTGCTGGCACTGTAATCGCTGGTGCCACGTAAGATCGAACCAGACTCGACATAAGAGCCTCCGACTAGCTTGCGAGATGCTTTGTTTTTGACCTCACTCAAGACATTCAAGGCCACTATCCTCAGGTCGTTCGAAATGTAAGGCGAATTTATAACTAGTTTCTGGACTTTGTTTAGCCTTTTACTACCTTATTAATAATTGTATTTACATACGTTTAAATCATCGAGTCGTAAGAATGGTCTTTGTATATGCCTGTGTAATACTTGGTTTAGCTATGTCGAACGTCACTCTTTCCTCAAGGACACTCACAGCCATCTAAATTGCACCCCTGATGGGCTTGGTTCCGCAGGAGGAGGTCGATCGGGGCACATGAGTCGAATCTTTTGCCTTCCATCTTTATTTAAACTATATTCTGATGCGTGTACGGCAAATAGGGTTGAAAGTCCATCCTCAAAGGGAGCTTCTGGCTGGTTCCACTCCAGGTGCGCCGTGTTTGCGTAAATATTCAATGGTAAACTGGTATCTCGCGGGGATTTAGGAACGATGAAAGTCTTTGACAGCCCTTCATTTTCGACTTCCTGGAAAGTCAATACAGGATTTTCTTCGATGAGGCTTGCGGTTTCAACACCGCTTTTGTAATCGTCCTCATTGTCATCCCAGTCATAATAAGTGCTTCTACTAGCTGGTCTCGTTACCCCTGGACGTACTGGAGGTGGTGATGGGCTAGAATAATACCGCGCTGTGCGGGGTCCGGCTTCATATGTGTAACTATCATCACTGTCCCAATCATATGCGCTCTGTCGTCGCCTGGGTGCGGAATAAAAGGATCGACGTCTATCGGGACTAAAGTTGTAAGTCTCCATAACGATCCGGAGGACGCGTGGAATAAATATCAGCCATGTAGGGACCTAATTGTAAATTTGAAATATCTGCTTATGTTTGACAGAAATCAAAAAGAGTTTATGTAGATTGATTTATGTAGATTGATTTATGTAGATTGATTTATGTAGATTGAGATCGAATTTTAGAGCTGAGAAGGGTTGAGGTCAGCTAGGGTTACATTCAATTCCATAACTGTATTAGCATAATATTTGGGGGCCATTCCTAACAAGCCACCCAACCACCCTTCCTCGATGGTGAGTATCATCTTCCATATGACATCAATAAGCCTCAAGTGATCACCTAACTAATACAGTACAAACCCATCCACACCTAGCCGTTGACCTGAAAATCAGCCAATCAAAATGAGACCGCCAATTCGACTTCTCCAGACTTCATCTGTCGCTAGGTACTGTCAGATGGTACCATTTCCAGGACAGGTGGTTCGTGTGCTGAATCTATCTGGCCTGAATGGTTGACTATGCCGTCCGCCGTCTCTTCTCCATTTGATGCCGTGTTGGCGGGAGGCGTCACCAAACTTGGTACTGAGACAAGTCCGCAGCGTCCTGACATGTCTATAACCAACCTTTCCCCAAAAACAACAGACGCGCTAGGAGAAGCCGTGTTTATCAACTCAGTCAGAACCTGGTTTCGTTGTCCATATCCCTTAACAATCTCCTGCAGTCTATCGCACCCTCGGCCCCCACACGGAGTGTGTGGAAAGTGTACATCACATTCCCAATGGTATTTCCGAGAAAGCCTGACCGGATCTCTCCCGTACATGGTGGCTAACGGCTGAAGGCAATGCACAGCAGCGACTAAATAGTCCCGACCCGCCGGCGGAGGGAACCAGGCGTTGCATGTCTCGTTGGTGGTAGGCACTAGTGGCTGCGAAGTGAGCGATAAGAGACTACTGCAGAATAGAGTCACTGTCCTAGACGGGTCGTCCACCGTCGGATCAGTCCAGTTGCTCTCTAGCATATGTTGCCATTTACCACTATGTGTCGTGTTAATGTCACGTTTGATGATCGAGTAATTCCTAGGCATGTGTACTAGTTTGGCGAAATCTACACCTGCCAAGTACCTCTGCGTCGGCCTCAAGCTTTCGTTGTGCTGCATCGCATATAACATCTTCATAAATTGAAAGAAAGTCTCTTTCAGTTTGAGGCCGTCCGGGGTAGCCTGCGTGAGAAACTCCTCAAAATTCCAGTCGTTCCGGATTATATCCTCAAATGCTGGGTAGTTTATCCGTGCATTACGATGCATTCCCCTTATCCGGCTCTGAACCAAGTACATCACGACGCTAACCATAGGTAACATCCATGCAGTACTAGCACTAAAGTCGTATAGAATAACAGAGTCTCTCTTAGCAGTGTGAAGCATCTGGCTGTCGGTTTGAACTTGATCAAATCTGAACCGACGTTCCTGCGCTTCTCGGATTCGGATACCGGTTGAAAATCCAATCGAAACAATGCCAAACATCGGAATTTCGATTGAGCCACTGATGCTTCTATTCCATTGTATGAGTGAGCGGAAACGGGTTTCACGTAGATGACCTGAGATACGCGAGATATTGCCCGAGACGGATTCGTTCGTGCCAATGCGTATCCTGGAGAATTCATACAAGCCTAAGAAGTGACGCTTAATTTGCTGAACCGCCTCCCAAAATCTGTCTGAAGGAACTTCGTCTGAAGGAACTTTGTTTGAAGGAACTTTGTCTGAAGGAACTTCGTCGCTAGGAACTTCGTCGCTAGGAATTTTCGTCGCTATAGGATGTAGATCTTTCGCCCTCCTTTCAACTTCTATCATATACAGCCGGTTCTTTTCGCTTGTGAAGAGATGCCATTGTATAGCAGACGGAGTTCCAGACAGATCTGACTCTGAATCAGTGTGGATCGGAAACAATGCGTTTTCCCACCCCTTAAGCACATATCCGCTTTTGTATTCGATGGGGTATTCGACTCGAGCGAAGGAAATCATCACGGATAATGGCAACTCTAACCCACACATTTTTTCGGGGCGAGGTGGAATAGGGAAGCCGACAGCAACATTGAAGCCCGAGAAAAGTGAATACCAGCATGTACCGCGGTTCCCTTCACGGCTTCGAGCTGGTGTATCGTCCCTATGGCATATCTTGAAGCCTACGCGATCTTCGATCTCAACCCAATCTATGTCGGCTCCAGTGAATGATATACCTTCTTGTGTTGAGGGTTGGTGAAAGACTGCCGTGATCCACGCGAGTTCTGATGCGATATCTGCAACTAGACGATGATAGTTTGTCATCGTGCCTTGAAGCCATTGAATATGAATCGGGGTGTATGTACGACTTCCATGTAATTCGATTCCCTTGGCACTTTTCAACTCTATTTCGGCATAGCAGTTGTCATCCTTACCACTGATAGGTACTAGAGCAGTTGTTCTAACATCAGTATATACTTATCCCAAGGCACGTTCCAGAGGAAGATAGAACTCACGTTTCAGGTTCGTTAGGCACAGAGAAGTAGCAATCAACGACACCCAAGACAAGATTTCGACTCCTCTTTGGCCCCAACACCATCTGACATAGCGAGACGCTGTATCCGCAAATGTATTTTGATGCAGGTGTGATCCTGTCATGGTTAAGAACGAGTGGATCTCATCATCAAGCAAGGCGGACAATCCATTTAAGTCGACCCAAATCGTGACGCTCCACATTTGGAGTATGGTTTCAAGTTCTTTCTTGAACAGTTCACATTCGGCGCTCATGTTCCTTATACTTGGATTCGAATGGTTTTGAAAGATTTCGAGGACTTTCCAAGCGACCGTCAAGATTTCAGGAAACATTTGATCCAGCTCGGAAGCCATCTCCTTGTATCCCTCGTGCCCCGAAACCTGATCAATTTGCTTGTAGAGCATGGTTGCTTCAGCTTTTTCATTGCTGGTCCCAAAAACACCCAAGAGATTCCGAAATATTTTCGCACTGCGATATATAGAGTTGAGCCCTGCCCGAAGCCTTGTTTCGAATTTTGTGGACCGTTCAAACCATTGCTGTTTGCTTGAAGTAAGACGGAGTTCTACCTCCTCGACTAGGAGACATGAGGCCGTATCACCAGAACCACTAAAGTTTCCCGAGGTGTTTCCTAGGGTTTCGACGTCTTGGTGGAATTTTGGCCGATACGCTTTAGCCAATAGTTGAACCCATTCAGGGCGTGCTTTATGGCTTTGTATCAAGTCCTTCAATAGCCCAATTGCAGCCTTACTCCGTCCTTCCTCAACACACGCCCTTGCTAGATCAGATTTCAGTACACTTCGATCTTTACCTTCTTTCAATGTCTGTTCCACGTCCCGAACATGTTTTAATATCTCGAGCGCTTCTCCTGTCCGTCCTTTACTTAGGCAACTACTTGCATGCATGTACCGTAGTTCCAGCACTTGACGCTGTTCCTCGGCTGACATGTTCTTGAATAAATGCTGGACGCGTTCAAGAATTTTGGTCGCTTCTCCATTCCGTTCAACTTTGAAATATGCTTCTGCCAGGTAGAGTTCTGACATGAGTCGAAGACCATCCCCAATCTTCATCTCGTGTTCATTCACGACCCATTCGAATAAGCTGATAGCGTCTTCACTCCTTCCAAATTCCATGTACGCCTTTGCCAACTGATGTTTCGATTCTGGCAAATTGAAGTCATCGTACGCTGGCGTCTTCTCTGCTGCTGCTATAAGATGTTCCAACATCTGAATTCCTTCCTCTGTCCGCCTCCTTTTCAGGAATGCAGTCGCCAGTACCTTCTCTACCCGTAGTTGATATATGTTGTCTTGTGGAAGATCTCTCTCCCGTCCTATATTGTAGGCCTTTTCCATAATACGTTGGGCTTCATCGAACCTTAGACTTGCGTGCAAATAGGATCCAAGTTGGCATTGTAAATGATACGTGTCTTCACTTATTTGGATCTCTTCAGACACACGTAATGCATGCGGGAAGCACTCTCTCTGTAGCTTGCGGTTATTTGTGTCGTTAGATAGGAAAATGGATCCTATGGCTGTTATGTGGCTAAGAGCGCCTGTCGTTATGTCTTGTCTGCGACCAGACTCTTCGACCCAAACACACGTTGCCCTGTGCACCGCATCGTGCATATCATACATATTCTCGCACTTTGTTAGGAAAGCATATCCACAGAGCATGCGAATTGCATGCTCCGTTCTTTCGGATTGTATATCCGGGAAAATAAATTCCGGTATAGCCTTTGGGCGGATGCAGGACAAGAATTCTAGTAAAGATGTTGCAACGCTATCAGATTTGCTGATCTGGTTCAGAGACACAATCAAGGTTCTTGCGAGTGAATTTCCGGACATATAGTGGCCACGCTGAAATCGCCAAGTCATCGAATCAGCAAGTTCCTGGTCCGTCGCCTGCAGAAGACCGAGATACTCCGCGGTCTGTATCTGGTTCTGATTGATATATGCAGCGGCTTGAATGATGGCTAATGGAAGACACTCAAGTTCTTTGAGTAGCTCCATGGTCATTTCTTCATCAATGGATGGCTGTCCGGCCAGGGCGGTAAAAAGCGTGGTCGCTTCTTCCGGAGTCATTACACCTAACTCAGTTATTCTCTCTTGAGGTTCGACATCACGTTGTAAAATATGATGTATATCCGATGGTGTTGTAGTAATAATGGTCAGTCCTTGCTCGCTGGCGGGTAGACCAATACAGGAGACAGCATCGTCCACTATTAGAAGCCACCTTCCAGCGGCATCTGACTCCAGGTACTCCCGCACCTGCTGCTTGGGATTCTTCTCTGTCCCATCGACCCAAACGCAGAGCAGTTCTGCTATGTTGGCCCAGTCTTTGGAGAAGTCTTTGGAGGAGGCCTTAGGATCTTGCGCGGTCACCCAGAAAATAGAGCATTCGGGGTGCTTGTCTTTTACCAGATATGCAAATTCAAGGGCAACCTGGGTCTTCCCGACTCCACTACGACCAACCAGCGTGTGCACAGAGTGCTCATAGTCGGAATGCTGTTTACTGTGGTTATCCAGCCATTCATTGAGCTCATTTAACACAGTTTCTCGTCCGGTGAATACATCATTCCGAGGAAGGGGGATATAACAATAAGGGAGACGGTCATTCGCTATTACGTTTGTAAGAATTAGTCTTAGAACTTCTATTCATGGCATGGAAGAACTCACTAGAGGGGTCCTTTGAACCAGTTGCCTTCTTGTAGAGTTCTTGAAGCTTGCCTGCTACGAGCTCAAGATTGGCTTGGTCGGTTTGACCTGGTCCAAAATTGCACACGTCGTTATGATTTGCCGTCAACATAACAAGGGTTTCGTGATTATCAGGTAAATCTAGCCGTATGCTATCTTCCTGCCTCATCTAGATAACAATAGAAGTTAGAATATACATGTGCTCTAACACGGTATGTCACTTACGTTGTCCAAGGTACCCCAGAAAGAAATGATATCGTAGCCTGATAGTTGACGGCGCCAATGCTCTTGTGTGAGATCTGAAAAGATGCTGCCTTCTTTGAGCACTTCTACCACACCATCGCCATCTGGGAAGCCCGCGGCGATTGCAAGCTTAGCAGCCAGTTCTTCCACAGTTCTAGATGCCCTGTTGCCACCAAGTGTGTGCACATCACTACGTGGTGTGGCAAAGAACACTAGACCAGAGGTGGCTGCTCTAATTGGCGTGTATTTTGGGGTTTCCTGTGCATTGATCAATGCTTGCTGGATTAGTAACCCCCCCAAGCTATGTCCCAGAAAGATGATCGGTCGTGAGGAGATGTCGTCTCTCTCAAGTTGGATAGCTTCAAGCAGCTCACTCGCCTTACTGGCGAACGTGTCTCGGTCCTTTCCATAAGCCGTGGCGGCATCGTATGCGTATAGGTAGATTCGTGAATCCGGAAGATATCGAGGAAGCTCGTAACGAAGCCACAGATGGCCCTCCGTGGAAGAAGACGTGCCCCAAGTGTCCCAAGCGTGACTCTCGTAATCCTTATTTGGAGGACCCAGGCCATGAACGGCAATGATACTATTCCCATAGAATTAGCCTGAATATGCATTATTAAACGTTGACGGAGCATGTACTCGACTTTTGCTGGTTTCCCAGCCTTGCTCTTTGGATCAGGATATAACTGATATAGCGACTGTATTACCTCGTCAGCCGAAATCAACTCCATCAAAGCTTCTGTCATACCATTTTGTTTCGCGTGCTAGTATACTCAAGGAATCGTTTTCTTCACTAAACGGAAAATTGAAGGGAGAGGGAAAATTACAAGTTAGAAGTGTCGTAGGTAGCTATTAATCATATTCCTGTGGTGGCCATGAAGTGGCCAGCCCCACATGCGCCTCATTGAGCCGGGTCCGAGTAGGTACGTAGCCTCTTATAACTACTGTGCTGGCTGCTTCTGATGAGTTGTGGTCGCTACCTATGTAGCCACCGGATCGTCAACTACATGGACAGTGAAAATACGGCGTACTTACTACCTAGGTAAGTGTATAGTACCTACCGGCGAAATAATGTAAATCATATGTGTTAAGTTTATCATCCTGATATTAATGTCTTCATGAGAACTGGTAATTCGTAACTACCTACCCAGTAATAGAGTCTACACATTAGTACCCTGTAGTTTTGAACTATTGCTCCTTAAACAGGTTAAGGTATCCGGTACCTACCCGGATCCGAAGCACTGTGACACAGCATATAATGCAGTCTCTTTTGCTAGAATCGTCTATGATAGAACTTAACAGTGTAATAGGTGGTTCTTGTCTCTTAAATAATGGGTAAGGGGTATTGTGTTCGAAACTCGTGAAGTGTACCTAACGACCTCCGTATTAACAAAAGTTTCCTAATGAATTTAAAGATGGATGATTTAGTGGGCTATGCAAGAGTATTCCAGAGAGTTACTTATATACCTATGTAAGCGCTGAATAAAAATCTACCTAGTTAAAGGTAGACTTAACCCCAGCCCGTTTTTCTTGAATTCATTTCTCCTTGGGCATTTCTTTAAAACTACCCCTTGGCGTTTTCATCAACATTCGCGGTCTTGTACCTAACGTACTTCCCACGTAGCAGTTCTCGTGAAACATATCCATCTGCCGGCCGAGAGGTGGGATGTTGTCGAAACCGCTGGCATGACTAGGTACTAGTATAAATGCTTAAAACATATTTCGTTAGGTACGTAGGTACTTAAGTCAAATGATCCCCTTATGGAGGGAAACTACTGTGTGTGGGAGGAGGGGCGGGGGGGTGGTGATTCAAATTTAATAGTCTTCGCGAATAGCTTACGCGTGTTGTTTTTTTCTTTCTTTTCGAAACGCCTATTAGCTACAACGATTGTGATAACCGGCACTATCTAGGTAGTGCGCCGGTGATTGCGCCTACCCCACAGTAGGGCACTGACTGAGTCAATAGCAAGACCCCTTGGCTCGACTACGCGGCTCGCTAGACGTAGACCAATACTAATGTCAGAATGCCGATGAAGGCTATGGGATCATCTGGCATTTGTCGGTCATCGTGGCGGTGCATGACGCCACAATCAATATCTTTCCGCCTCTGCACTAGTTCCCGTCTTACAGACTCCACTCCCTACCGTCCTCGGAATTATTCCTCGGATTTAGGATGGAGTCGGATGATCGCTTTCTTTCACGGAGCCGTCGAGGACCCGGATCATCCTCATCTAATCTCCCACAGCTTCCTAACGTGGACGGCCTGCTGGTTACGGCGGACAACCCAGCCCGCGCCGACTTGTTAGGGAACCGGATGGACCACGCACGATGCGCAGCTCTCCACAACCACCTCGTGCGCTACGCCTGGCTCGCCGAAGGCCATGCACCAGCTAGTCTGCAAGGTAACAACACCAACACCTTTTTCACCACCCACGGTGCCACCGCCGAGGCTCTCCGCCCGCGGCTCCACCCCTCGCTAGCAGCCTTCCTCGACGCCGTCATGCTCCCTCCCGCCGATGGACCCGAGCCCGCGCCCTTCTTCTTCTGGGCCAGCGAGCTCTCCGACCCGGACTGCCTTTTCGCCGACCAGACCGCCGACTTGTTCGACCAGCCGGCAGACAGCGTAGTGTGCTTGTACCTGCCCAACGTCGGCCAGGGCGGAGAATCCGGCGGCGGCGTATTCTACCACCAGGGCTACCACCGCGCCGCCGTCTTCATGCACATGGACGACCATGACTATGCCCTGCCCGTCGAGGAGCATCCATCGCTTTGGCATCCCCTCGAGACCGTCCTCTCTAACTGGATCGACCTCATCCGTCTCGGCAAGGTCGTGGCCTCACCTAGGGACGCGCCTGCCCTATTCGGCAGCGAAAAGATCGGGCCCTGGGAGTGGCGGCCCTATGGCGAGGCTCAGGTCGCTGCTTGTGTCTGCGCGTGGGATCGGCTGTGCGACTCTATCGAGGCGCGCGTCATTCCGTTGCTACCAACTAGTGCTACCACCACCGGAGTCGAGCCTAGACCACTGCTCGCACCCTCCGTCTTAGACGCCGCGTCGGTACCCTCCCCTTCCTTCGCACGCGCCTTCCTATCCCGCGCCCGGCGCCCCCGATTCCACCACATCGCTCCAGGCCTCCTTCTACCCCCCGCAGACGCGCGCGAATTCGCAGCGTCGCAACCCTTCACCAGGCTTCCGCGAGGCCCGCAGGCCATACCACCGGTCCGCCTCTTCCCCACCGCAAGAAGCGATCTCGAGGCCGACTTAGCGGGCCGCTCAAGTCCGTCCTGCAGCGACTTCCGCGCGACGTCCCGGGTCCCTGCCGGCGTCTACAGCGAGTCTGTCGAGAGGGACGCGTACGACAACGCCGAGGAGGGCTTCCGGCTGCTGTTGCCGTACGGCCTGGATGGCGACGTCGGAGACGACGACGCGGGTGCGGGCGCGCGGAAGAGCGATGGGTCGTTTGTCGAGACGGGAGCGGTGGCTGAGCTGTTTCAGCATGGATATAAGCCTTTCGGCGGCGACTATTACCGCCCTCAGCGTCTGGAGCGCTTGCTGGATCATTGGCGCGGACTGGTCGAAGAAGGCGTTTGGTCTGTTAGCCCACAGGGGGTAGAGGGCACCATTGATACTTTCAGGCAGGCTGATACGGCGGCGCACTGGAGAGATTATGTCATTTCGCCGACTTGGTAATGAAGGGTGGTGTTCTTTGACTGGAAATCTCGCACCCACCATCCCTAGCCCCGATGCCACACTTCCCCCGGTATACCGCCGACTTAGGGATGATTATGGCCTCCGTCAGACCGGTGCATGGAACCATTGAAGTATGAAATTTCTGATTATGTCTACCGCGTTACCAGGAACAAGACTTACGTTGGCACCCAGTTCAGCGTATGTGACTCCGCGTCCAGCTTCAGCGGGAACTCGAGCGATTGTTGCTCTGGATCTACTAATTGTTACAGCGGCGCCTCTACGTTTTGATGATATTGCGTTGTGGGAAATTATTTGTGTACCCTTTTGCAGTGATACCAATACGTCCTTTCTGACCATCCACCAGAAACTCGTAGTATTGGTTAAGACATTCGATGTTCATATCGGCGATATTTAAGCCTCTGATGCTATGAACATCCAAAGAGTTGGTAATAATACCTATTATATATATTAGGTATCGATTTTTACAACATTCCCTCACGTTTCTGGGCCCCATTCGAACTTACCATAAAACCCACTAGGTCAACTGTGGAGCCTAGCCCCTATTCAACACCCACTATACACGCACCACACCCACAACCCCATCGTACCAAAATCGGCGCAAAAAAGGAACTGCTTACGCAACCACAACAACAACGAAGGCCACGATAGCGCCAAATAGGTAGCCAAAAGGAAAAAAGGGCTTGGCCGGGGATTGAACCCGGGACCTCGCGCAAGCAATGCCATAGGTTTTCCCTAAGCGCGAATCATACCACTAGACCACCAAGCCTTATCCAAGTCTCCCAGGACTGAATGCGAGTGACTGGTTCTTCAATTGTCGAAAAGGCGGCTTGTTGAGCCTTATGTATCAAAGTTTGTATCCACTCTGTTTACGTAGTTTGTACAAGGTCCAATAGACCCATCTGTCGTATGGGGGCAGATGCGAAAGCACCAGGTCAGTGGTTTCTATGTGGACTAAGTGGTCCGTAAGAATGAAGGTTAAAGAGGAGACAAATGCAATGGCTGTATTGGGGATACATTGGCGTTGGTGATTGAGGCAGAATTCAATTCTGAATATTTGCGTTGTATATCATGTGCTCTCTACTTCATGAGTCTTTCATTCCTCACATCTCTCTCATTTATCGTCATAGACTGCGGTTCTTGCATATCTCCTAACTTGCAGACTGGTGTCGCTCTCAAAATTGCTCAATGCTCTGAGGCACAGAAAGATGTTTGAAAGTCATTGTTAGAAGATGATGGTTTTGTTGGCAACTGGAATCGAAGGGGGGCCAGGGGGAGAAAAACGATTTCAGCTTGCATAGTTCCAAAACGATCACCAGGTAAACAGATAGGAATCTCATAACCACTATGGTTTTTATGGTACCGCCTACCTATCTACCATGTATACGCCCAAACACATTTATATCTATATGATGACATCTACTCTTTTTAAATGATATCCATAGAAGTAAACATCAACACACATCGCGAAACGAGACAAGCACCTACGAACTCCAAACCAAACGCTCATGAAGCACCCTCATCACCGACCCAAGGACATGCCACCAACTCTCAACCAGAGCCATAGGTAGGATAACGAACAGTTCCCTAGCCCCTACTCTGCCCACATCAGACATATCCCCCCCACTTCTAGAACACATCATATCACCCATATAGCCGCCTCACGAACACGGTCACCATCACACACCACTGGGAACATCACATAACAGACACAACAGCAACATAAAGTAACTTAGATGCATTTCTCTCTTCTCTCCTCTTCTCTACTCTCCCTCGCTTTCTCCCCTCACCTCATCTACAACTACCTCCACTCGACTTCTCACATCATCCTACACTTATCCACCACCATCACCACCACCTTTCTCCTTCTATACACATCGCATCCCCACATAAACAGGAACGCAACCGCAATCGAAAGAACCCAACCGCCGAACCCAAATCCCATGCCCTGTACCGCTGAACCCCTCTCCCTTAATAAAAGAAAATGCCCAGAGATAGTGATAGAAAAAGGAAAAAGACAAGAGCTCATTCGGGAAACGGCATCGTTTCCCAACCCAGATATCAAACGCGTGATTCGACACGCGCTCCGTGACAAAAGCAAGAACCCAAAGCTCAGCAGATGTATCGTAATCGTGAATGCCGTGTGCCCCGCGATGATATGAGTAAAGTAGCAGATGAGACCAACCAAAAAAAAGGAAAACGTGACTGGTGTTGAGGCTAGGGCCTTCTTGCTCTCCGTTGAGCAAAGGCCGTATGCATAGATAGATAAATAGACAGTTAGATAGGTAGATAACAATGATAGCTCCAATCCCAGATGTTGAAGTCGCGTCGCTAATATTCTCGTTGGTTCGGCTGACACCTAATTACGAACCCCCTCCTATCGATACATGCCGGTAGATAATAATAATAATTGGAAGTGATCCTGTTTGCCCTCGTAGGCTATATTACTTGATCTTCCGGGCGTCGAACAGCGTCAAGCTTAAGCTCGTATCGTTCTCGCCCACATTAGGGGTGGGTTCGTTGAGAATTTCCCATCTCCTGAAGACGAAAGGGGTTAATCTTTCGGGTATCATGCTCATGCCCATTGCCATCGCTCTTCTTTCATGGATACCGGAGGGCTGCTTGTCCCGGTGGGCCAACATGAAATCCTCTGCTGGGTTCGGAGCGAAGCTAAATAGATATTTGAGTCTAGGGTCGGCGGTGGCGTCTTTCACCGCACGCACGCATGATTGGCGCGCGTCTTCGGATAAGCTATCAACGAGTGCGAGTGCGATATCGAATGCCTGCTGGCCAAGATTGGAAGATGGGTGGTTGTCGAGTTCTTGGACAAGGCCGGCAAGAACGATTAAAGCGCGGCCACGGATTTCGCCTCCCTGTAATGCTAATCTCGAGGCGTCTATTGCGCTCGCGGATGGTGAGGTGTAAAGAGTCAGGTAAGAGAAGAGAAGGGGAAGCCAATGCGAAAGCACAGCACTTCTCAATGAGGTATATTCGTTGGCCCGCGAGGCTAGAATATCCCACAGATCGGCGAGCTTGTCCACCAAGGCGCTGGAGAGCGGAGACACCTTTGACCCCGACCCTCCGCGGAAAATTGAGTCGATAACTGTTAATAAATTTTCCGCCATATGAATATCCTTATAACATAAGGTCTCATCTGGGGGATTCTTCAGAGACGGAATAATATCGAGAAAACGTGATTCCGCCCGGTTTCTCATGTGTTGCGTAATGTCAGGGGCAAGAGAAGGTAGCATACCCGTCCACATGATATTATTAGCGTCGATGGCGTTGTCGAGGGCTTTTGACAGCAGCTCGAATTGCGAGTGAACCCTCTCGGATGCTTCCAGACCGCTGGATTCGTCGATTGCAAGGTTTAATGAAAGCTTGACCTGACAGAAGGGCAACGTGAATTCGTTTGCCAACTCCAGAACCTGCTCAAAAGATTTTTGTCCGCCACCTCCATGGGGAACTAGTAGTTTCGTAGTCCACCTTTCAATAAGTGTAGCTAATTTTGGTTCGGGACTTTTCAGCGAAACCACTCGACTGGCAGCACTCGGATCAACAAGCACTAAGTCTCGGAAGAGCTCGAGGAGGCGATCCTTAGTTTGCTCATCCTCAAGCGGTTGTTCGATCATGACTTGCTGATTGCGAGATTCTGAGTATTCCGCTAGTGCATCACGGATTAGAGGCATTAACTCCTTCGCATGGTCGCGCTTGGCGTGATCTTGAATGATACGGAAGCGATAGCAGTCCTCCGAAGTCATGATTGGGCTGGGGCTAAATGGCGTCATCAACATTTGCAGTATTTCCTGCATGTAAATAGAAGCAAACCCCGCGGCCCTCGGAAGCTGGTTGGTTTGGCCACGTGACCTCGTAGCAGTTGAGAATAGGATGGGAAGAGTCAGACAACCCGAACTAAAGAGAGGCGGGAAGAGCTCGGAAACGGGTCGTCGGTTCGGTAGCCTGCGTATATGTTGGACCCAGTCCCTCATGAGCTCCTTAAAATGGTGGATGTCGAATACGCGTAGTCTCATAAGAAGGATACAGCAGAGTCGTTGACGTTCGTCCTTTTTACCCCAGTAAGACTGTAGTCTCTTCGCGATTGCGTAGAATAGATGTTCCATCGTCCGCTTGTCGGCGCTCGAGTAAGTGGCAAGCTTCTCTATCTGCTCGCTTAATTCTGTCTCCACGTCTTGGAGCTGTGTAGCCATATTATCAGACAGCGGAGATGAGGCGTCAGCGGCGCTACTACGGTCTAACCGAACTAAGTCATTGTGCAATTGCGCCGACACGTCCTCGAAACCAGTCAAGCGTGGTGCCAGGTTGGCAAGAGAAGCAAGCAGCGGCCGTGCACCTACGCCTTGCTGCTCTAAGATAACCTTGAGTCGGTCATAAAGAATCTGGAAGAGCGGCTTGGCCGCCCCAGTTGCGGTGAATACCGGTAGATGAAGGTTAATAGTGTCTGTGCAGCATGCGAGAAGTTCAGCATTGGAACATGGTGCAGCCAGCTTCAAGACATTTTCCATCATAGTATAATCCTCGGCGGCTTCAAGCAGCGTCCGTATCGTCTCAAACATTGTTTTAGGCAATTCCATGCCCCCTTTGGCTGACTGTAAATTATGAGCAAAACTGCCGACAAAGTTGTTGCTAAGCCACGAGGAAACGGTCGTTTTGAGCGAACGGCTGCTCAAGTGGATTAGTCTCGATAGCTTCTTTAAGCTCATCGGCTTTCTTTGCAACGGGGCATCATCGGGTCCCAGGGGAATGGAAAGTGTGCCCTTAACACAACTTATTGCCATTGCAATATCCTTTGCCTCGTCCTCTACCGAAAAACATGCCCTTCGTAGTAGGGTCGCCCTTAAGTTTTTCATGGACTCGTTCAAAGAATGGATGGGAATCTCGACGAGAAGTCTAGTAATGCAAGGTCCATCCGGCGCCGTTTGACTAGCATCCAAGAGACCACCACGCGCTATGAGCCATTGTATATATTGCGGGACTAAGAAGTGGCCGGACCGAGCGAGCTCCGATACAACATGATAGACGAGGTGCTTTCGAGCGATTTCTTGGAGCGGGTCGGCGTCTAAAAAGTCTAGGACGGCTCTGGTGACATCGATATCGAAGTCCGTGGACGAACGAAGGAGCGTTGTAGCAATGTACACCTTAGCAACTCCAGGTCGATACAGCGAAGTACACCATTCTAAAATAGTCCTCACTATAGATAATTTATTTTCACTCGTTTTCCAAAGCTGCTTAGGGATCGCATCGTCAAGGGGCGTTCGATGTATGCTGTCAAGTAGCTGTACTACTATACTTCGGAGGGCAGGCTGAGATTTGGCATTGGAGCTCGTTAAATAGTCATTACGCAGGTCGATCGCTTTAAGCGCCCTCGATCTCGATTCGGTATTATTCGCAGCGGAGGCTTCGGCTAAGGAGTCACGAAATTTCAACCAAGTTGCGGGGCACACAAAGTTCTCGGGGCTGGTTAGAAGTAGAGATTCTACTAAAGCTTGTAAGCGTGTAGCAAGAGGGAGCAAGATGTCACGGTCGGGGTGATAATATATCTGTGCGTATGGTTAGCTAGTAAAGTTGAAAAACATGCTTAAGGGGGCATACAGATGAGTGATGTGAGAGAATAGCGTTTACTAATCGTCGGCCATGTCTTCTTAATTTGAGGATATCTTTCCAGTATATCTGGATAATCAGAAGCCACATGGGCAATTTAGCTTGGTTACTATTTTCCAAGCCGGAGACCAGCCAGTCCATATAATGGTCGCGGTCTAAAAGGTGTTCGGCGTAAAGGTGCGTGGCGAGGCGGATGCTGTAGGTAGTTAGCGCCAGTACTACTGAGCCATCACGATGTTGCGGGACAGCACGGGATAACGTTACTACTTACGCATATGTAACCTTCGTCTTCCAATCTTCCTCGCTAAACGCATTGGTGACAGATTCGACGAATTGTTCGACAAACACGGTCCAATCTCTAATCCACTTGGCTTCCCCGCCCATGACGAATGTACCATTTACCCCTTTCCTCTTAAAGGCGCGAATTTCGTTCGCCCCGACGCACTTGGCGAGCCATACAGCACGGTCGGTGGGAACGTTCTTATTCAAGCATTGCTCAAGCAAGATTTTGCCACGAATACCATGAGGTATGGTTCGACTAAGACGCCTGAGGGATATGGCAGGATTGGCGAGGTCTTTCAGCCAAATCTCTCGTTTCGTATCGGTTAACGTGACACGAGGTGGGGGTTTGAAGGTGGAAGCGGACGTGATCTGGCCACTATGTCGCCTTTGATTCAATATGCCAGTGAATAATGATGATAGCGTATGAAGGCCATTTTTATGTTTCATGGCGGGAAACAACGGGGCCTTGGCAGATGCCGGTTCCTGCGTGGACTGCGCCGGTGCCTTGTCGAAGAACCCATGCCTGATGATGCTATCCGTAAACTGGTCTTCGGGATGCTGTCCATTCCAAGGGTAGAAATCAGCGAAACCTGCGCATAGGTCAGTAGACGCACGAGCGGTATCCTTAGTTCTTGTTTTACCGGCCGGCTCTGGCTTGCCCATACTTGGGTAGCGGGGAGCGATCGATGGCGTCTCGAGGACGAATGGTTTCGGACGAGCATCCTTCTTAGGAGGCGTGCTCGTCATCGTACTCGAAGGTTCCGGGCGCTTGGCGGGTACCGCGAGCCGGGTTCGATGAGGAGGCATGGGCAGCGGGACTGAGTCATCATCGGCAGTCTGACACCTCGACGTACGCGGAGTCATATCACCAGCATCGGAAACGTCATTCATCGACATTACTCGCGACGGAGTGAAGACTTTGTTGGCAGAAATAGCATCCAGATTCTGCGGGGATTCGCTGAAGCCCGGATGTTCGATGCCATCGTTGGCGAGCTCAAGTTTGAGCCTCGACCCTCCCCTTCTGGGAAGGGTATTATACCGATTCTGTGCAACATCGCCTAGGTCGGAAGACTGCTCGCTAAAGGTGTCCGACTTTCGTATAGGGGATTGGGGGAGGTATTGCTGTGAGAGGGTTCGTTGGTGGGTAGGGGATTGCGACAACCCCGAGCCGCTCAAAGTTCTCTGAGGCTGTCGCTGAGGGACGGCCATGGGGGGCCTAGAGGTCATCGCGGGCGAGCGATTTGTTGATGCGCCATTTCTTCATGAAGTCGGAATAGGTGTTGGGGAGGTAGTTGGAGGTATTTGGGTTCGGAAGCGAATTCGAGTCTAGGGATGCGATTCCGCGAAGGCTCAAAACGCAACGTGAATTACGACTCGGACAGAGACTAGCAGAAGCGAGGGGAGTAAAGCGAATGCAAGCTAGAGAGGATGAAGAGCAAATCTGAAGTAGATTTCTGGAGTATAGTGAAAATTTGGCATGTGCGTATATGTAAATGTAATGTAAGTATGCAATATGTAAGGTAAGTATGATATGTGATGTGGTAAGATGGTTGATGGCTAGCTAAAAAAAGAGCCCTGGAGGTGTTTCTGTGATTACACACACACTTTCCGCCTCACGCTCACGCCTCACATGGACACTTCCGTTGCGGCGAATACGGTGGTAGCGGCAAAAGGTGATCGGGGTTGCGGTTGCGGTAAGAGTGCGTAGTGGTGCGTAGTGTGCGTAGTGCGCAGTTAAGACCAGTAAGGTAAGTGCCCGTTAAGCCAGTTGAGAGCCAGTTGAGAGCCAGGAAGACCCAGGACTATCGAATTAGCACGGGAAGTGGCCAGTGAGCCGTCAGAACCAATGGAGCCATTGGAGCAATTGACCGCATTCTGGGTCGCTCTTGGGTCTTTGGCTCTTGGGGGTGGTCCTTAAGGTGATCAGTGTCAGGGTGATCCAGGCAAGCAGGGTCTGGGTGAATACTGTAGCAGCAAGCAAGGTTGGGGCTGGTTGCTGGTTGGGTTCTCTGCTGCTTCTGGTTTGGCATGATCTGCACGATTGGGATCGGAACCGCGGGAAAATATGCGAACTGACACCATCGCACCTCCCTACCTGTGAATCTGTCTATCCGTACCCTCTTCTTACACATCAAGTACCTCTACCGCACGTCAACCTGCCATTACCACGCTTAAAATGCGAGAGGAGGTACGGTGCATAACTTGCATTTTATCCATTTATACATGTTGATCCAAGTGGTACGTGACACAGTAATAGCGCAGATTCGCTAGATGAAGTGGGTCCCCTGCCACATTAGAAAAAGACAAAAGCCAAATGTATCCCAGTACCTGGCCTATCCGAACTTGACAACATTTGAATGGGAAACGAAAATATTCAATTTTGGACAATTAATACATAAAACATACATACAACCGACACTTGGCAGCCAACTCAAGGGATTATTATTCTATATTCAGCTTTAATCAAACACACAGCTTTAGCAATGCTCAACGGTTGTTACCAGGCATCAAGGACGTATGTAGGTAGGTGTCCAACGAGTACAGCATGTTGGACGTCTCGTCAATCCTTAATAGGACCTAATAATCCCTAATGACCCCTGATAAGAACCTTACCTCACTTAGGCTGCAAAGGCGCTGTTGTTGTAGGCCTTAGGTATGTTGCTGCGGCTATCGTGGAATTGGAATTCGGGTTATTACACGTATAGTAATCAATCAAGGGCTTCCAGTTTCAGCTGGACGTCCTCGGCTTCCTTCCACGCCGCAGCGATCCAAGCCTCTAGAATACGGGTCTCTCTCGGGGCTTCGGCGGCTGAGCCCGTAAGTGGTTTAAGTCCGTTCGGTAATCTTGGAAAAAAGATCATGTAAGATGGGAAGATTAGGAAGATTAGCAACAAAAAGCTTACGCAGCCCAACCGACGGATTACAACCTCGGATTACACATCGCGGGACATCTACTCTCCTCGTCGACCGGAACTTTACGGTAGCCGGAGTTAAAGAAAAAAGATTAAACGAAACAACGATGAATAAGAGAGAGGAAGGGGCGAAACCGAGGCCCCGGACAACCTAATCTGTTAAGTTCACCGGGTTGGCCGGGCCAGACCATAAGATCCTTTCTCTTGGTAAATATAGTTTGCCTAAAACGTATTAAGGCTAGTCAGTCACAGGTTAGCCAAACAAGAATTGAGGTAATCGGTAATCGGTAATCAGTAACAATCGTCACCTGAATCACACCGTGGGACCTGACTGAGGTCATATCGTAGGCGGGGACAAGATCGGATTGGAGCATCATGAGATGATGGGATGTTTCTACGAATAGTGCCATCCCAACAATGACAGCAGCAGCAGCATAGCATCATCAACAAAAAGAAACAGCAGTTGTTGATAAACTACCTAACAACGATGTCCAAGACGCAAGGAGGAAATCATGAGATCGAGTACCAAATAATCTTCTTTGTGTTATGCGCGCCGAATCATTAAGTTCGGGATATGAAAAGGGAAAAAAGGATTGTAGGATGTTCTGACAACAGCTGCGAGAGAGTAGTAGTAAGGACTAAGCAACTCCACCCCCGTCTCGGATGTCCTATTGGATCACCGCCGAAAATTACGAAATTTACCAACCTTTCCCTCGCTGCTCGAAAATACTAGTAAATGCTTCTAGAGGCACGCAAAAGGTCCAAGGCCTGGTCGACCCTATCAACGGCGGTCCAGGCCAGCCCCAGACGCAGGTCATCAATAACCCGCGTCGACCATTGTATCTCTGACAAATGGTTGACCGAATCTCGTCCGCCCTTCGCAGGCAGACCCCCGCAACCAATTGCCGGAAAAGGAGTGGGATATCGACGGATATCGAAACTTCGCCTAACGCCTATTCGGCCGTGAAGTTAACCTACATAATACTCTCAACTGCTTCACGCATTTTCTCAAATGCAGGATCGATTCCTTATGTGTAACATCTCGACGGATTTCACCTATTCCTATCTTATTACAAGGCATGTACGTCCATCCATCCCACTTCATGTGCATATTTAGATGAACAGTGACGGAAGCAATGAACATATAATAATGCAACCAAAGCCCAGCCTGCCCAGCCTACCTTACCAGTCCTTCCCTATTTAGAAGTTGCCAGTCTGTTGAAACTGCCCAACTCGTGTTGCTGTTGCTCCGTCTCGTTTGTCGGGTATCCTGCAAGGGGAATGGCCGCTCGTCCAATCACGACGGACCGCGAATGGCCCTCACCTAATTCGTCTAATTTGTCATTGCATAATAAGTCGGGCAGTACCCGGATAGGCTAATAGACGAGATATGACGTTGTTCTTGTGCATTCAACTGAGGCCGATTTCCGCCAAGGATCGTCAGTTTACGTTCGACGTGAACGGGTGAACGAGCGACATGTTAGGCGGTAGATAGATTTCGGGATTCTTGCAGTAGAGACATATAGACATATATTTATCCCCTCACGGACTAGTGTTGATCACACAAAAGCCCAATACTAACCTAATTACGAACCGTAAGGATCATCGGAGACGCAAACCCCTCTGCAGTTGTCTCACGACTACCATAGGTAGGCATCTTCCACATCTACCACCGCAATACCTAGGTGGTTAGTAAAGTGGCAATCCTCCGAACCCCTTCTCCTCTTACGGTTATTCCTACTTTATCACTGCATCCCATCGGTGGTATCTGTGCCATAGAAACACATAGACATATAACACTAAAGTAAGCCGCATATATGAATTGCGTTGGAGTCCGTGAACCAGGCTCTTGGCCAAACTGGGCGTGCCCTTCGTAGGGCGACGTTCAACGTCGCACAGCTAGATTGATAGATTGATTGAGAGGACGGTTTGGGGTGTGAGGGCATAGCAGAGTCCCACTCGATACCGATACTATCTATATTGCACGTTAAAACCCTACATATAGATAGGGAATAAAGCCCCATCACACATGGGACATCGAAAGTGCCGGCCGGGCTACAAGGCTACTCCGCCATTTCCCGCCTCTCAGCTGTCGTCGGTATTTGGCTCCCTCGTATGCACGATGCACCATGGGTGACACGGACATCGAGCACAAGTAGGTAACACGTACAATATGACAAAACGTACAATAGTTGAGTAGTGAATAGTGAGCAGTAAGTAAAGTAGTGAGACGAGACGAGACGAGACTAGAACCTCGAGAGTTACCTCGACGAGCTCAATATGTGTCTATTATGTATGGATTGTACGAAGGCGGAAGAAGTAGGAATAAGAACCGGACGTGTAAGAATATGCAAAACCTTGGAACTGCACCGGTGACGTTCCGGGCAGGATCATTCAATGAAATGTGCATGCATTCTGAGAGCCGACTTGAAAGAGGTTTAGGGTAGGTAGGTGTAGGATAGGTACGTTAGTATTTCGTACTTACCATCGCTAAACGCAGATCTGGCTGAACCCCGCCCTCCCCAGCGCCCGTTGCCCGTCGCCCGTGTGGCTTTATCGCAACTGGAAAGGTGGGGAAAGGGGGAGTGGAGAAAATCTACCTACCAAACCAGCTAACCAAGCTGCGCAAGCGCCAGAACCGGCTTAGCGTTCGGGTGGACCCCGTCCGGGCCCTGCAGCAGGCCATCCATGGGAACGCGATCGAAAAGCAACGACATCGCATCTTTGCTCTCTACACTACCTATCAGCCCTTTTCCGAAGCTCGGTCGAAAACAACATACATTTACGTAGCGTCGCACACCGAGTAACGGAGGGACAATCCCGTCGATCTCAGCGACGCCCGGCTTATCCGGCATATTCTCGAGAGAAAACGGTAGAGGAGGAGAAAAAAAAGTTAACTGAGGAAGAAGAATAAATATGGCTTCGACGAAGAAGGACATGCGACGGCAGGACCTGGGTAAGCAGCGTTCTCACCCATGCATCGCGTCGCGTCGGCGACTCACATTGCATTCGAAATCACTAACACGCACCCACTAGTCGTCCCGTACCAGGAGCCCGGGCCGAAGGCAGGCGACAACGCCGAGTTCTCGTCGACGCTATCGTCAACATTACCCATGGCCGCCATCTTCACGCGCAACCGGTACATCGGCTGGGCGTCGGTCGTCATCAGCATCCAGAGCTGGCTAGGCGAGGGCGAGGACGCGAGCAAGAGCAGCAGCGCCACGCCCGGCTACTTCACCGTTGGCATGTCCCGTAAGCTTTCCCTTCTCTTTCCCTTGCATTCCCTTCGCTCCTCCTTTCCAATTATAATATTCTGCTGTATGAGAATAGACGTACCTAACATAGGTAAAACGACAGTAATGGCCCTCGCCGTAACCTACCTCCCTCTCTTCCTCCCCCAGCCACCAGGCCAGCGCGCCACCGGCACCGAAGCCGCAGCTCCTGTCCCTCAATGAAGCATCGAAGTACCAAAAATAGCATAATTGTATGTGTAAGAGTAGCCAGGTGGGCAAAAAAAAGAAAAGATTCTAATAACCGAGTGTGCGTGTACGTTGTTGGAGTCAAATAGACGACGAATAATGGAAAATAACTGATGAGTCAACCCCCCTTGAAACTACTACACCTGGGGGATCCGAGCCTTGTACATATAATGCACATAAAAAAAATCATCATAAAGTGATAACACCAGTGATGACATCCAATCTCGTAATTCTAATATCATTATAAACAGTCCCAGCCCAGCCCGAGCGTAGCCAACCGCCGGCAGCTACCTAGTAAGCTAAGCAAGAACGCGCAATCTCGTGAAGCGGTATACTACAGCAAGGAATCATAGTAGTAGAGAGTATATGGGGAAAAAGGGCAGGCCGCCGGGGGAATAGACGTATACGCGCGCCCGTACACAACATACAACCTTCAAAATGTTATCCCTCCCTAGTCCCTCCCCTTCCGCCGATCCGCCGCCTCCCTCTCCAGCCTCCAACTCCATTAGATAAAAAAAAATTTTACTCTTAGACAATAAGCAATAAGGTTAAGAGCGATGCGTAGCCGCCCTAATGCCGCACAGCAGTACACTCATACAGCCGTACAAGCCTCGTACAAGCTCTGCCCCCTTTCCCTCCCTCCGATAGAGGAATCTAATCCTCATCGAAGATCTGATACGTATTCTGCAGAATCGTATCCACGACCCTAACTTGCCATCCGGCATCCTGAATATTGCTGCCGGGCGCGGTTCCCATGAGCGTGGGACCGAACACGATGGCTAGGTTCTGAGAGTTCATCCTGTTGACGGCGCTGTGCTCGATCACCCTATGAAGATGGAGCGTCAGCGCGCGCAGTGTCGCGTAATTCGGATCCGGCAGCGCGTTGATAATGGCATGCAGGCTGTCCCTCCTGACTACGTCGTCGTCGTTCTTCGCCGCCTCGATAAATCCGGCGTAGTGCTCCGAGGTTAGTAGCGGGTCTGGCAGGTCCCGGAGGAACTGCTTCAGTAGACCCGCCACGCTGTTCACGTCGTGGAAGAAGTTCTCCGGGTTGCGGAAGTCGAGGATCGGCGCATCCTCGTCTATTTCTAACGTTAGCCGCTATCATACATATGAGAATATCAAGGGTATGAAGGAAGAGAGGAACGAACTAGTATCAAACAAGTGCTTCAGCTTATTCACGTGAGCTGTCGATCCGGACAGTCTGTAAATACCCTCGACGGCAAGACCATACAAGTCAACAGCTTGAATGCACTGATATACAACCATCGGTACAGGTCCCTTGCTGTTCTCATATAGCCTCTCAAGAGAGATACCAAAGACGGGTCCTCTTGAAATCGAGCCATCCGTCTTTTGCGCGAGAGCACCAGGCGGCGACGTCGAACGCGCCGAAGACTGCTCGTTTTGTGCCAAGGCCTGGAAACCTTGAGGGCTTTGTTCCCTCACTGGGTTGCTTTGGAATGGCAAGGCTCCGAGTTGTGGCGCTCCGTTGAACCGTGGTTGAGTGGGGGGAGCCTGTATCGAATTTCGCGTGTTGTATTGCTGGGGCGGCGGTGCGCTGGCTTGGTTTAGCATTGCGCCGTGACTAAAGCTTCTCTCGTGTCCTGGACCTGACGACGGCCGCGATCCTGGCGCCATTCCAGGAGGGGTGAATCCCCGCGCCGGCCCTTGGAACCCTGATGGTGACGATATTGTATCGTAGCCTCCAGTTCGAGAACTCATTGACCCTGGTGGTTGCATTTGCGCCTGCAAAGGAGACTCTTGTCGCTGAGTTTGCGATGGCGGTCGTTGTTGTTGTGGAAACTGTGTCATCTGGCTCGTCGACGTATTCTGTTGAGGATTAAGCACCTAGCTTAAGTTAACATTAAACATATCTAGAAGCTATACGATTCACACATACTGGGTTCCTTTCGTATTTTGCTTCCGAAGATCTGGCCGGAACCTTGCTATGGTAACTAATTATATAGTTTTGAAGGTCCTTCTTGTTGTCGATAGCTTGGACAACCTCCTTGAGACTGCGAGAGTGCTGACCTGGCTGAGTGGTACCCTCAAGAGGGCTTATCACTAGACCGTTACTCAACAATAGCTTCTCGTTGAACGACGCTGATGAAATGTTAGTAGATTGCGTAAATTCCCACGATGACGGTTGGCAAACGCTTACCAAACTTCTGCATCTGTAAGGTAGTACCAGAGTCACATTCTCTGATGAGATCTTGCAGCGCTTTGACAGCTTCCGGTCGTGTGGTTGATTCTATAGTTGCCTTCTCCGACTGATACGTCTGCACCTTTCCCATGTAATCCGTGTCGGCTGCTTGCACCTTGCGCAACAAATCCTCCTCGTGTTGCGCAGCCGACTTGGGGCCTTTGATGCCGAAAACTCTGGGACCTTGTCTCGCTTCACCAGTTCTCACCCGGTCATACTCCTCGGCCAGCGAATCGTACTTTGTCTTAGACTTGCGCATCGCATTCTCTACGTCAGTTAGGCGTTGTTCCGCGGCTAAGCCGTTCTGCTTCCACCCTTTGCGGTGCTTCTCGGCTACCGCGGCCACCTCAAGGAGATCTTCATGCATCTGGTGCAAGGACAGTGCAAATTGTATTCCGTTTTCGGCCATTCGGTCGTGTATCATGAGCATCTCTTCGTATGATTGCGCAAACGTCCCTTGCCTATGGTCGTGGTGACGAATGCTATCCTGTGTCGATCTGCATAACTTCTTCAGCCCTTTCGCGTGTTGGTCTTCGAGGTCCGATCGTTTCTTCAGGAATGTGGCAAACTCCTACGAATATATGATGGTTAGTGGCCAAGAATGAGTAGAAGGCAGAGTACAATTTTAATGCAATGGTATCTAACCTTAGCCGCCGTAATACTTTGCTTGAGCCTGTTCAACATGGTAGAAACGCCAATCTACACTGATCAGTTATACCGTCTCTTAACATCGAGAATATCCGGGGTTCGTACATCAGAGGCCAATACATCTTGCACTTCCGTAGGTATTTCAGGCTCGGGTTGGATGGGACTGGGCTCGAGAGCTTCAGCTCCGGAACCGTTCGTCGAAGAGATGGGGCCGGGGCCATCTTCTGGCGGGGGACTGGTATTATTTCCTAGCGACATGTTGGCGATTGCTTCATGGTCAACAAGGTGGAGGGTTGGCAGTTCATTGGACTGGCGGCCGTAGTCTGCCATATTGCACGTTGGCGGTTCTCGATATTTTGTGGATTTGCTTTTTTTTTCCCGGATTTGCGTAGGATTGATTAGCTTCAAGGCTGCTAGCTATAATATCACTCTTTTTTCCAGATATTGATCCAGGATAGATAGGTCATGGACAAGCTGCTCATAAGCTTGGTTCTTGTAGGGAGGTGTTGTGAAACGTTAGATCGGATTGGACTTTCATGCGAGTTGGTAGTGAGTTGTGAGTTGTAACCAGGTGTGTGGTGTCAGGCATTCATAACTGCTGCCTCTTCTCGGGTCGTGATCAATTATGGAACCGTGCCGTATGAACCACTGAGTAGTACGATTTCAATTATTCTTTCCCTCTCCCGGGGTTATGCGGCTAAGCCGGCTATCAGTATCGTATTCTAAGATTGTTCAAATTCGGGTATAAAGTCGTATGTGTTTATGTCACGATATCGCATATCGTCGTCTGTATGTCGTTGTAGCAAACAAAAACCCAAGTGCGGGCACAAACTTCTGTGGCTTAGCAGACCAAGCTACGTAATTCTTTACCGTTGTACCAGAAGCCAACCGTAACACAGTATTGGCGTAAACTACTTGCACTGTACCTATTTAAACATTTATTGAGTTTAGTGCACGGGAATACAAGCGAATAATTGGCGGTTGCAACTGTGATTGGTCGCCTAACCACATTCGCCCCAAAGCGTTGAACTTCTCTTGGTCCGTGCGAACGTGTTATTCTTACTACGTAGTAGTGAGACATCCCTAACCGCGTCGTTGGGATTGGCTAACGATAGCTCAGAGGGGCTATTCGTCGTATTGTTAATTACCTACTCGTGATACATCAAAGTAACTATATTCGATTCCGACATAATTAGGGACCTCACATGTCATTCTACTTGGACCTTCTTTATGAAAGTTAAATAATTCTAATGATCTCAAATCAGCAACGAGGTCGTGGGGTGACTCCATCTCGATTCAATGTGTAAGGGGTTTTCTGACACAATAGGAGTTCGGATTGTCACAACGTCATACCCTCAAACCCCCAATTATCGGGGACCCCTTGTCGTTCATCTCAACAATGCCTTTATGGAGTAAGCAGTTCGAGATCTAAAATTCTCCTATGCATCTCATGCCGGTTGCAGATTCACTCGACACCTTTAACACATACCATCCGATGTATTGAAAGTCTGTGCCCTCGGGCCGCCTTACCGCAGCATTGCATGGCATATGGATAGTATCCATACTATCTTCGACATGTGGAAGTGGAGTCCCGGCATGCTTATAGTCTAGTACACTAAATATTTGCTTGTGCTTCAACGTCAAATTTATGTCAGAGTTTGCATGCATCGATATCTACAAAATCCTTTTCAAACTCAGTAATGTACCTACATTGCCTCCAAAGAGGCAGGTAGTACGTGTGCAAGGAACATCAAGTCCGACCTTTAAACGAGGTAATGTCCAAGATATACACCTTTATTCTCTCCTGAATGTTGACAACATGCAAATATGCATCTACGGATGCCTGCGGGGGTGTATGTATATCGAGTAGTTAGTTCTTGGTAAAAGGGTTTGCGAGAGGTGTAAAATAGTGAGTTGCGCAATATACGAGATCATTAAGCAGACAAGAGAAGATAATAAAAAACAGGTGATAAACAGTTACACTGTAAATGAATCCGAAGTTGTCATAGTTAAGTACATGTATGTATCCCCTCATTTAGCTGCGTCCGGTCGATGAAACTAGTCCCGTACTACTCATACGTTTGACCGGGTATAACATTACTTAAGCCTCACCAACTTATCAAGGTCCACTTCTTGCGGCATGTTACAACGCTAAACCATCGTCTCTTGATCAGCTAAGTATCTGCTTAATCATCTTGCATTTGCTATGTTCCTCGTTGCCATGCTATATGTACATAGTTCCAGCAACAGCTTGTCGTATGCTTGTTCAACCATGTCGTCCGGACAGAAGAAAACAGTAGCCTTGCTTCCGAATGGGTATGGGTATAAAGTGTACGCCCATCAAATAAGTGGTATCATTTTCCGTCTGTAAGAAGTAAATCCCCGTAACCTTAGTCGTAACCGTTGCCTAGTGTCATAAAATGCTATCCGCCATTATCCCAAATCAAAATCAACCTTGTCTCAAAGTGCCGCAGATCCCCCTTCAACCAGTTCATCCTTCAAAATGACCAAGGAAATGCTTTGAAATAATGAATGCAGTCCCAACAAAACTGTTTTAACATAGAATGACCCGATATGCATTGCTACAAAACAAAGCGCCGAAGATGCAGGATATCACGAGTAAAGTTCGAAGACATCGAAGGAGACAAATGTCCCACAGAAGATTATAGGAAAGGTTAAGGGAAAGTCCTTGTGAGAAGTGGGGGATGTAATTCATCGCCAAATTGGGACGTTGCGGTAGGCGGGGGAATTATAAGAATGGAGAACTCGATAAGGCATAGGATTCCCGTATTGGTCTAAACTCCGGTGCCTTTGATGACGCCGGGGAGCGTATGGAGGGTGCCGAACAGGCTGGCTGAGTTCTTGGTCCCATTGCTGCGGCATCGACATCGATCGACCACTCCAGGGGTCAGAAACAACTGCCTGCCCGTTGCGAGGCATCGATGGATAGGGGCCATTATCTCTAACGCAACTATCTTGAGGTATGAGGTTATATTCGTCGTAGCTAGATCGATGATGTAGTGATGGTGGATTAGAATGTGAATACTGCTGCTGTTGAAAGGAACTTGGGTCTGTGGTCGACGAGTGTTGTTGACTAGACTGGCTACCGAATGAACCTCGACGGTTATGTAGGTGATCGGAAGATGACGGTCGGGAAAGAGTAGGTCCGTGATCTGCTTGAACATTCCAATTTGGCACTTGTGCTTTTACAGCATCGAATCTCGAACTCATAGTTCGCAGATTGTTCGCTGTGGGTATGGCAGAAGACTCGTCGCCTAATTGTGCCGGATCAAAGATACGTAAATTTCCCTGGCTATAACTCCTAGGTATAGCAGCATGATACAACGTAGAGGTACCAATAAAATCTGAAGTTTCCACATTGCCTTCTTGGCTTTCCCTGCGAGGATATGAGGGCCGCCCTGACCATCTCATCTCGGGCGGAGTTGACTGAGGTCTTATAGGGGCGGAGAACCGTCGAGATTTCATGTTCCGAGTCCTCATACTTACCGGAGGAGGACTTTTAGAAGATTTAATATTGGGTACGGCTGGTGGAGGTTCAAGGAATGTGAGTGGATGCGACTTGCCCTGAGCCAATTCGTAGCCGTGCCTAGCACCGGTACTAGTCGTCCCTGATTCCTTCACGTGGCTTGCCATAGCATTCGGTCCCGTTAGCCGAGGAAAAGATGCAGAGTGTCTTTCTCTTTTGCCATCTGTAAGATGGCTAGAACCATCTCCCTCTGTATCTTTTCCAGTAACCTGAGTTGATGTAGTTTGACCTGTTTCGTTCTCTCCGGAGCTTTCATCGATGGCTCTCGGGGACGTAGTCAACGGCCCGGTTACGCTAGAATCATTGATTCGAATAGGCACAGGCTTCCGGGGAATCGGCTTTTTTGTGGAAACTGAAGTCGTATGTGTAAGTGTCGATTTAAGAGAAATCGGTTTTCTTTGAATCCGATCTGAAGTCCATAGTTGGCCAACTGAGCTTTTTGGAGACACATCATCATCTTGAAGGAGCTCTGCGCTTCCTACGCTCAGTATGGTCCCGAGTGTCTCCTTGCTAGCTGCAGACTTTAAAGTTAGTCTCCGCAATGACATCGGCGTGGATCCCGTATGCGTCTGCAGTCTAGCTTGCAAGTCCCTAGAGACAGCAGGTACGCTTGCGTGGTCAGTAGGATGCGTGCTATAAGCAGTAAGCGGTGCTCGACTTCCACTTAAGAACCTTTGGAGTTTCCCGGGTTTGCGGATACCACTACCAATTCTCAAGGAAGAGTTAGACGTATGCAAATTTGCTCGATAAATCTTCAAATTTCGACTGGCTTGAATTTGGATGTTACTTGGCGATATGTTCCCTTTTGGCGCCAGAATATGGTTCGAGATATCCGGTAACGTAGGGTTTAAACTTTTCTGAGCAGAAAGGGACAGGTCACAGGTTCCTCTTGGGCTAGCTAGAGCTAGAAGATGCGGGTCTTTAATTGGAACAGGTGGAGGGGAAGCGTCGTCGACTGGTGTAGCGGCAACTACCGCAGTAGTAGGACTCGCAACCCTCGATTCCCCAATATCTTCGCCTTGCTTCATATTGGCATTATCCAATGCTTCAACTTCTTTCTCCGAAGCACGATCCTTTTCGGCAGCCGATGGCTTCGAAGAGAGCGATCGAAGAGAAATGCTAGAGCTATAGCCAGAATCTGCCTTAGACAAAGGCACGTGCGAATATTCTGACGCCGGACTTGCGATACCACTATCTGCTCTGATAATTTCTCTCGAACTTCTCTTCTCGGGTGCCACCTTTGGGCGCGGAACGGATTTCGCGTTCGTATCTATCCGCACATCTAGAACTTCGACGGAAGAATATTCGTTTTGTTCATCGTCAAACAGCTCATCTTCCATAGCCGTATGCTTGCTGGTTACTTGCATCTGAGGAACCTTGAGCTGTTCATCATGTAATAGTATGCTAGATTGATGATCAGCTGGAAATTGGGGACACGCCTCAGGTTCAACAAAATTCGGAGGCACTGCTGCATCTGTATGGGAATTTTGAGATGGAGTCGAAGCTGTGTTCGGGATATCAGGATTAATGCTCAAACTAGGAGAAAGTTTCTTCGGTTCAAAATAATCGCCCGTCGGCTCACCATCTAACAGCATTTCAGTGTCTCCGAATTTCATCTTTTCATCAGGTTTACGAGCAGGACTCCGTGCAGGACTGCCATTGGTAATTCGGAGGGTGCCGAGCTTAAAAGCACCTGTTTGCTTATATTCTGCTTCGCAAGGAGTAAGAGCACGGGGTATGAGATTCGGGTCAATCGATAGAGCAGGAAAATGAGCCTCTTCGTCACCCAACGACTCTATAGAACGCCGACGCGCCGGAGTTGAGGGAAGGCTGTGCCTCACCCTCGGCTTTGAAGGACCTGGATCCACCGGTACTTCGCGAGTGGCAATGCCCGGAGTCATCAAGGACCGTCTCCGCATCGGTGTATATAAAGAAGCCTCGGAGTTGGCTCTAGTCATCTCTGGGGTCGTCTCAGGAATTGATGGTCGTCGCCCTCTAAAGTCGCCATGGATTGATTCCGAAATATACAAATGATTCCCCGAAACTACAGAGCTATTTTCGTAAGACGGTTCTTCGACGAGATTCAATAGTCGTTTAGCTTCATATGACCCAAGATCATAATTCGACGACGTTCGCGATACATTCACCGACAAGCTCCTAGTAGCGGTATATTAGCTTATGCCTTTAGCGAGATGAGACGAAAATCATTTACTCACCCTTGGATGGGAGTTGGGTTGTAGCTATATCCATCCTCAGGCCCATTTATTAACGAACTTGTCCTACTAGACCAGCGTTCTTGCTGAGAACTCGGCACATCGATGCTTTCGCTCCTCTTTCGGCGACCCGTCAACTCTTTAAAAGTATTAGAGCGGAAGAGTTTCCTTGATATGCGATTCCCCAGCTCTAACCCTTTCTTCTCGTCCAGCACACTTGCTGGAACCTCCGGCACCTCCGGGACTGTAGGAACCGTTTCGGGAATCACTGGTGATGCCGTCGTGGGTGAGGGAGCATAGGGTAATGAAAGGCGTCGCGCTCCGGGTGATGGACGTGTAGAACCCGAGAGACCAGTGGTACTCAACAGGCCAGCTGCGGTAGGATTGCCTGTCTTAGGTTTGGACAATTTCTGAGTTGTCCGTTGACCTCTCCCCGACGCTTCAGCGGAAAGCGAATTCCCCATGATGTCAGGAGTAGACAAAGCCGAAAGACCGGCACGATACTACTACTATACGAGCATCGATAGTTCCATTGCTAGAAGCTCCAACTGAATATTAGCGACTAGCAATTCACGTTACTACCTAGGATAGATCTCATCTAGGTAAACATATGTGGGTAGTTAGAGTTAGAGGGAGGGGAAGACGGGTGGTATTCTAAAGCAGATCAAGTGTAGGATTTAAGATTGCTAATAAGCAAGCATGAACTATGTTCTAGGGTCCGGAGCTACATGTGTGAATGAACAAGAGATCATTGGTCTAATCGTGAGCTGGAGAGGTTGGGGAGAGAGATGCGGGATGGATGGTCTAACGGACTAATAGGATCACGTATTTCAACGTGTCTGTCTCAGTCCGTATGTGGCAAGTACCTTAATAGGACGAAGGGGAATTAACTGACCGAGTACCAAACTTATACACCTAGACGAAACGAATGCGGCAACATCAGCTCAGATGTTGCTTTATTCATGTATGCGGCCTGGGGGAGGGATCTGCATCCATAACCCACGTATATTATGCGGGGGAGGTAAATCAACAGAGCTAGCGACGCAGACAAAGACGAGAGAAGAGGCGCGAGTGAGTACGCAAGCTATGGTGCAGCTATGTGGTGGAGGTTGTGTACACCTACATATATGTATGTATGATACGGTGGAGTTGAACAAGAGGTGAGAGACGGAGAACAAGAACAAGGCAGAACAAGACAACCACGAGCTGTCCGTTATTGGAAACCATTAGCCGTGGGCTGAAGTGTTAGATGCGGGTCTTTGAAATCTTGACGCAGAAGAAACCTGAATTTGGAACTGATCTTGACTAGATTGAATAGGCCATCGAGATCTGGAGAAATAATAGAGGAATATTAGAAGAAGTATTAAGGAAGATTACGAGAACTAGGAGAACCAAGAGAGAATTAAGCTGAGACTTGAACGTTACTTCTGCGCGGCAACTGAGACGGGCAAGTAAAGAGCGATTCAAGAGCGACTTTCCCATGCCCACCATGTCACGAACCCAAGTAGATTGAAATAAGCGGGACGATGCCCAAGTACATCGCTTGTAAGCGTTTAGCAGTTACCTATCAAAGTACCTAGACAGCTAACACCACCTCCACCTTCCGCACCAAAGACCCCGCCAGCTACCTCCTGGACCTGTCTGATCTTCATACCCCTGCAATGGCCATTCCTTCCATCACAAGAGACCGGAATAGACCTAACTTGAGCAAACTAAAAACAAACTAGAGTGGACTAGCCATCTTCCCAAGCTTTATTTACTTGCACCATGCCTGATAAGATGAGAAGATAGAGCTAGAGTTAAGCGGATGGAAGGACTAGGTACGGACCTTTTGATAGCTAAAGCTTGAGCTAGTGCGATGCGGCTACAACTTAAAGTAATTGTACCATGCAAAGCTAAGTAAAAGCTAAGTAATACTGGTAAAGCATCAATTATCTATCCGAAGCTACCACTTTAATATTAAGCTTATCCTTGCTAATATAAAAGAGGAGATAAGTATCACGTCGCATGAAAGAAAGCTGATTCCACGGCAAATGTTCACTCTTCCGTCAGATCGAAGCATTTCAAGTATTGTACCATGCCAGCAATGCTAGATCTGGAAAGTCCTTCATCAACCACTTTCGCTCACATCTCGGAAGTACATGGTTCAATCCCGTCGCTTCCGATTCTAACGATTTAGAGGGTCGACAATGAGGCCGAACTCTTGCAGTTACTTTTGTCGGTTATGTAACTCTTACACTTACACTTACAACAGGTAGGTACGGTGAACCGCTCATAGGTACCCCATTCCTGCCCATCATATTATCATCACAGACATACAAACGTACGCGTCCCCGAACTAGCTTGAAGCCATTCCTAGTAGATCTTTCTTGTTTATATCAACATACATCTCTAGTACCTACGCACCTACGATACTAAAGGCCAACAAGCACAACCACGGTTGGTGTTGCATTTCGCGGCACGGTACCAAGACCAGCCACAATGCCGGGGGTGAGGATATTACAAGGGTTATACCAGGGATCACCGCTGCAAATACTCCGGTCTCGATTTCCGTGTTTCCAAAGCCGAATTCTCTCAATTTGACCAATTCGACCTTAATTGTCTCATTCCAAACCAATGTTACTTAGGTAATCAAATGAACACCTTCTTTTTCGAGCCCTTCCGATATTGCGTCCAAGATGTTGCGATATCATGTCGTCCAGAAGCCATCGATGATACAGAGGACGTCACTCACTAGGTTCTAACGCGCCACGCGTTTACAAAACACAGGTGGTGTTTTACCAATCAAAAGACATCTCCCTCTCGATCAATCAAGTTACCAGTCTACACTGAATCCTTGAGCGAATGAGGTGATAGGGAACTCGATCCGGTAACGTCGTAATCGTAATTCCACCCCACTCGCTTTGACCCCGGTCAGAATATCCAGACTACCAGATATCACGGAGGATTGATTCGGTGTCGAGCTCCCGAAACTTCACCTCCTTCCGACGAATTACATATGCCGATTTGTTCGGCGTTGGCAGATGTTCGTCACCGCCTTCTGTATTCGACCGCCATGTGTTTCATGTATGCGGTTGTGGTTTGCTACAACTAACGCAATACTTACAAACCATTGATATCCGTGGGATGCTTTTCTTTGGTATCTGCAGGGTTCTAAACAATACTACTAGTATTTTACTAGTACTAGTACTAGTTTGGTACTAGACTAGTATTTTTTTTTGCAAATACTAGCCTAGTAATACTAGTAAATACTAGTGCTAAGCCCGATTAGGAAACTGGACCCATTCTCTTCCGAATTGGGACAATTTTCGAGGAGAAGTGGGTCTATCTTCTTAGTCACGTGATTTGGTGTCGAACTTTGAAAATTACGTAATATCTTATGTAATATAGACATAAATAGTTGATTATATAAGCATATTATATAATTATTTTTGGAAGCTTTCCATCTAACGCCAAGGAAAGTCACCTGAAAAGCGGGGGCCTCTAGCCATATTAGGCTTAGCTGTGCGCCGCTAACCAAATTAGGCCTAGGACTAGTATTTCAAACTAGTACTAGTATTTTGACCATGAATACTAGTACTAGTCTAGTAAGACCCACAATACTCGACTAGTCGAGTATTTTTAATACCCTGGGTATCTGCGGGATCTGCGGGCCTAGGCACCTGTCGAAGGCGGTCAGGAAATCCCCAACTCGACGTTGATGCCGACGCGAGAAGATAATTCAGGTTTATTTCTCCCTCCACCAGATAACGAAAATCCATATAAACCTCCTAACGCTATCCACGATGTGCAGCTGAGAGCGCACGAAACGCACGATTAGACCCTTGGCGCAGCTCACAGATCAAGACATTCTTCATCCTCGCTTGCAGTTATTGATTCTACTGCTGTGCCACCGCATACTCCACGCATGGTCTTACGCAAGCTTTGATGAAACCCCGCAAGAAGAGCATGCGGCTGATCGAGTATATTAATTCGAGTTGATCAAGCAAACAAAGCTGCAGAAGGGCACGTGGGGAAACACTTAAGGTTAATCTAACTATCAAGCCTGCTCCGGAGAACGAGGAAGAGTGAGCGTCATATAAGAAACTCTCACAAACTTCGGCTTCCAAGCTCGATGCTTTGCTATCGTTTACTCATGTTACGACGCATTAGGAATAAGCCAATGCTAGACGACAACATCAAATGTAGGTTTCTCCCAAAGTAGATAGATAGCCTGTTACCCAACAGCCGCCACCGAGCAACAACTCCCGAAAACCTGAACAAATATGCGAATACTGAACACGTTACATGTCATACTTAACCTCGCGGCATAAAGACAGCCTTCAACTCACAAATACAGTATGTAAGACACCTGGACTCGCCAGTCAGCAACATCGTGACACGGAACCTTTACAAGATCGTCGTTACACTCCGACTATGGGCTTGCAGCAACCAGTCAGCAAACATATTTCCACGCTCCTTAGGTGGATACTTAGTTATGTCATTCGCAACGTGCTGTTATGATAGGATTACCTGCTGGCCTAGGTAGCGACGTCGGGCCCGGCATCACGACGCCAAGAGCATAAGAGTTCATCGTAAAAATTCAATGTAAAGTTTGCTTGACGCTCTCGGCACGACCCGATCCGGTGGACATAGTGTTCACGAATCCCCGCCGTCTCAATCTTTCGAGAGTTCTAAATTGCCCCAATCTTGAATGGTGAGACCGAGGGGCAAGCCAAATGTTGCTAGTTGGTAACAACTAGCTTGCATCCTCTTATTCCCATCTCAGTACTAAATTCCAGGCTTTTTATTCCCTTCTGAATGTGACTATAAGGATTTACCTCAAGCTTCTCCCCCAAAACCCTACGTGCTAACCTAGAACCAAGTTCCCGCGTACCTTCAACTAATAAATGTCTTACAGACATGTCTTAGGACCACCAACATGTCCTTGCTACAGGGTGGAATTTTCCAATTCTAGAGCCTCCATATAGATATTCATCATTTCGTCACCATATCCCGACACGAGAACATGAACAGGCTAATTGGTGGCAAACCTACCTAGCGATGCCTGAATGCAGGTTTCACATAAAAGACGTCCCAAAACACCGCCACCACACTGAATTGAATACGGATTGAGCGCCTAGGCATTTCGAGTTTTGATTTTATGGACTAATTGCTACCTACGAAGTAGCAGGTAGACGTCTACCGTGTAACGACTGTGCTTTGCGTGGCTGCCCCGCGTTAGCCACCACCATTTACTGTGGCTGCTTATTATCCCCGGACTAGCAATTGACATTGTCGTTCTGGCAACTTAGCACGGTGCTCTTGTGTAAACTGACATTTATTGCCATTATGGCAAATGGAGAATCTATGTTCAAACGAATTACTAGCTAATCTAGTACGTCCTATACGAGAACTAGTCGAGAGGCAATCATATACTCGTACTTCATAGTCGGACTGATGAGGAGGCATAAACTACTTTTGCTCCGAAAGCTTGAATGCCATTTCGCTACCTTACATATGACCAAGTCATTATAGGCGAATCATTCTCCGATGACGTAAGTACATCCCTCATTCCCTATCCAGACCTCATGGACGCGGCCAGCATCGACGTCAATGCGGTCGCCGACGATATACGTCTTCTTCTCGGGCTTAGGATCCTTCGGGTACATGATAGTCAGCTGGCCAGTGATGATCAGATGCGTTGTCAAGCCAGCATGAGAGTGCGGTTTGTAGTGAGCGTTGCTGTCGCATGTACAAGTTAGCAGTCTCGATCTCCCCGTCAGGCTTCGTCGCATCGCCTTAGGCAAAATAGATCGGGTAGTAGGTGGACAAGGACAAGGTACGATCTAGGCAAGGTACGTCGAAACATACGGGCCGTCTGTCCAGGTGAAGACGTGAGGAAAACCCCACGATCGCACCTCCGCCTCGCAATCCATGCGCGTTTTGTGTGACATGGCCGATGCTTTTCTGGTCAGGGCCACTTAGTATCGAGCGACGCCGATTCGTTGTTCGATTACCTAGGTGAATTGGACGATGAAAAGTCGTTTCATTTGCCAACGCACAGCATAGCCCTGGGGAATAACAGTGATTCAGTGAACCTGTGGGTGTGCGATCAGGCGTGGCTGAGCGAAAAGTCGAAAGTTGGGCAACTTCCAAGGTTGGTCCAAAGTTGGTTCGAAGTTGGGGTTTTCGTCTTATTTGGCATGGTGACGTCGATTTTCGGTCTGCAGCCTTGTGTTGATTGCCGCAAGCGGACCCATCATGCTATGTCGGACGAAGATACCCAGGTAACCCTCCCCCCTTTTAACCGCCGATTTCACGTGTCGCCCGCTATTCAAAGGTTTCGTACCTACTGTACCTGTCTAGTCATACTAGTGCCTCCTTCCTGCGCCAAACTGCACTGCGACTTCCATCTGCAAGCACAGCGCAATTTGCAATGCCCTAGGCTCAATGTGCTTACATGTACATACATACATACAGACTATTTACGGACCCCAACTCTCTAACTTCATCCTATCAACATCTTCATCGGCATCTTGAACGATCCGTGCAACCACGGTTGGAATACCGAAAGAGGCGCAGCGGATTGATAAACACCATGGCATTCTAGCATCTCATTCCACCTTGCGGTCGATCGGTGCACAATATGCAACTTCAGCCTCGGGTCGTCTTACCATATGAGACATTCTCCATCTTTGTTTCTTCTTTGCTCCGGAGTTTGTCACTTTGAACTTAACATGTCGTACTTATCGAATTCTGTCAAATCATTCCCTTTCAAACCGTTTAAGCTTCTGAAAATTAATCATATTATGCATAGAGTTGCATCTTACATTTCAGCTGTCCTTGAACATCCAACGAGCTAATGGTATCGTCACAATGGGTGGAGAAGGGTGTCGATGGTCCATTCAAACACCATTGCTTTGCATATCCACTCTGCCATCTCCAGCTGTCAGTCATCAATTGGGGGCCAATAATTGATAATGAGTCCTCAGGCTCCGCCTCCCAAATGGGCCACGATCACGGCACGGCTGACCTAAACCCTTTCGATAGTAGCGGTCTGGGTCCGTGGTAGGGTTGACCAATTCGCCTACAATCTAATTGAACCTCTCGCCTCGTCTCAACCTTTTATCTTTCATTTCCTCCAAGTTTTTCAGGAAGTTTTAAGGTGTCCAAGACGCAAAGTGCAAAAGGCCCCATATTACAAGCGTGTGTCTGGTGTGTCTTACTATTATTACATACTAGATCTCTTGGGTGGTGGACAAACCAAGACACGCAGGGCCCGGTCCAACGGTACCAGCCCTACGAATGGTAGCTTGTCTTCAGGGATCTGCTCGCCCTAAAACGGTCGGATTGGCTCTGTTCTAGCCTCTCAGAGCTGCTAAGTAGCGGGGGCCCCGGTTTGTGCTTCTATTTGGGACTGCTGGGATGAGGCTACACCCATGCCCGTAGCTGAACCTGAAGAATCAATAACTTGAACCTGGACCCTTTAATTTTTGCATTTCTCTTCATTTCACAATCCCTCCTTTGTCCTACTCTCCCATGCATACATATCTTATCCTTTATTTGTTCGAATCTGTCGTCCTTACATCTATCTATCGACTCATATACCCATAGCAATCTCACTCTACAAACTCATCATCATAATCCCCCAAGCATAGACTATCCTTATCTTACTTGGAACGTGGATTATCGCCTCGAAGCCCTTCTGGACGGGCGACGAACCTCCCACCCCTAATGGTCTTTAACGACCCCTTCTCTTGCTCAGCGGGAGCACAAACGAGACAATAGCACCTGGCATATCGGGGAATAACTTAATCAATTCGTTGTTACTGATCCGATGTGTTTCACTGTAAGTTGACATCATAACTTGGACGCAGGATTTCCTTATTTACGTCATATTTGAATACGAGCTTATAGGCGAATACTGATCAACATATCCAAGATGCGTAAACGACCGACCGAAGCGACCCCGAGGCACGCGAATACGATGCGTCGCCGCCTCACTCTGAATTCCGAACTCGGTACCAATTCGATGAAAGCTCTTAAACGAGCAATTGCTTTGGCTTCGTTTGTCGCGCCAACCGTCGTACATTTTCAAGGGGGAAAGAAGGAGGTTTACCTCAGCGCCGCCATCCAGCGACACTTGCGGAAACTCTACGATTCATTACGTCGAGGAGAGTCCACTCTATCTCGCAAAGCTTTTGCGAACTTCCTCGAGGGTGTGCAGGGCGAGAATCTTCCCTTTTCAGACGTTTTAACAGAGGAGAAATACAACTTTGAGAAATTCCTTGAAGTATGGTGGCTCCAATTTAGCCTCGAAGCGGAAAAGCCCGCCTGCCCCGAAACCAAGGATCTCTCGAAACCTATTAGCAACTATTTTATTAGTAGCAGTCACAATACATATCTATCTGGCAACCAATTGGCCGGTCGGAGTACAGCAGACGCATACAGACGCGTCCTGAGAAGAGGATGCAGATGCATAGAGATAGATGTATGGAATGGAGATTCGCAAAGCTCAACCCCCGATCATCCACGAGACGCGTCGGCAAAACCAGTTTCGAGATTCGAACATGTTCGTCACCTCTCCGGCGGAAGTTTACATACTGCTGCTGCTCATTTTAAGGGCACAGTAGAAGAGACAATTGAGAGGACTCGACAGAAGTTAGGGGTTGAGAAAGTTCACAGCCACAGCCCTAGATGCAGCAAATCCGAACTGACGCCGCCGCCCTTCGGCCGCGAGATCGGCGGTGGTCTCGATCCAGCTTCTCTCGCTCGCGAACTCGATGTAGAACGTTCGTCTTTAAGGTCTAGGCCATCATTACCCCCAGATGAACCAATTGTGATGCACGGCTATACATTTACTGCACCCGTTGGGTTCCGCGAGGTGTGCAGGGCAATTCGAGAAGTTGGCTTTGAGACAACCAGTTTACCCATCATTGTGAGCTTAGAAGTCCACGCTGATCAGGAGCAACAAGAATCTATGGTGAAAATAATGAAGGAAGAATGGGCCGGAGTACTGGTCGACCAGCCTTACGAGACCTGTCCAAATGGTCGGATGCCCAGATTAGAGGAATTGCTCAACAAAATACTCATCAAAGTCAAAAAGGCATCATCTTTAGATCCAGCGACCATGTCAACGTTAGCTCCGAACTCAACAATCGACGACGATGCATCCGGATCAGAAGACGACAGACCTGCCTTCCCTAATGGCGCGAAGAAGCCTAAGGTGCCTATATGCGAAAGTCTCAGCGCTCTTGCTATATATACCCACAGCGAGCACTTCACAAATTTTGAATCGCCTGCTGCCAAAAGCCCATCACACATCTTCTCTATAAGTGAGAATAAGATATTAGAACTCGTGGTTTCCAAACACCACGAGCTGTTTTACCATAATCGACATTTTTTCATGCGTGCCTATCCTAAAGGCCTTCGTTGGGACTCATCTAATCCTGACCCTACACAATTTTGGCGCAAAGGTGTACAGATGGTGGCCATGAATTGGCAATCTTGGGATGAGGGCATGATGCTTAACGAAGCTATGTTTTCAGGCGAGCACGGATGGGTACTGAAGCCGCCCGGCTACCGCAGCGAAGACGTGTGGCCGGGCCAGGAAGTTGATCCTCCTCATCACACTTCCTTAGATCTAATGATTACGATACTCGCTGGCCAGCACATTCCGCTACCTGAGGGAGTTGATAGCAGCAACTCCAGATCCTTGAGGCCCCTGGTCAAGTGTGAATTACACGTCGAAAAGGCGGAAGAACGGCTTGGGTCTTTTCTCGAAGGGAGCGGTAAGGTGCGCGAATGTGACCTCAAGCAGAAAACCGCGGCTGGGAAGACGGATCATCCGGACTTCAGTTCCGTCAAAAACGATCTCCAATTCTTGGGTGTCCACAAAGTCATCGAACAGCTCAGCTTTGTTAGGTAAGGATTCCTACCATGCTCCCCTTTCTCTTTACGTTTTCACATTCACCAAATTTCCCTTACTACAACATCCGGCCGGAAGGATACCTACATATCCGAAACCGAGCGGTCGGGTTTTCATATTGCATTTATACGGCCAATGAATCACGTGTTCCGAGCCGGGGACGAGCCGGCGGCTGAACTTGCATGTGCAATCACCCGTCGAACAACGGAAGTGAGAAAGTGAGATATGACAGTCCGCCAGCAGTTCTCATGGTTCTTCACGGGAACGGACCGAACCTTTTCAGCTCCCGGTTTCCAGCTTTAGCCCCCATCTTCCAGTTGCCCATGTTCATCGGACTGTTCTTCTTAGCGTCTTGTTTGTCGGTCGTGTAACTTGCGGGTCCTTTCTTAGTCTGTCACATCCTGGGGCGTTCCTGAAGATCCCGATTTGTCCACGAATCCTAGCTTACGAATATTCTATCTAGGTTTAAGGTCGAGGACGACGCGCGGCGGCTTGTGTCACTCCACGACCCTTCCGCTGGCTGGGCATGCATCCGCCTTGACCGTCTGGCGACGGGTTACCGCTTTGTTCACCTTTTGGATGCCAATGGCAACAAGACCCAAGGAGTTCTCCTCATCCGCGTGGTGAAAAACTTTCGTTAACCCTGTTTCGCGTAGACGAGCGAAATCAGAGGTTATAGCAAAACAGTCGTGTACAGCGCCGACCGCGGGTTATCAGTTTGGCGGCTCACGGTCGCCTTCCGTGTGTGACCGCATCTGTCAAAAACCACGAGTCATATCTTTTTCTTTCTTTCTCAACATCTCGGTGTCCTATTTCCGAGTTCAAAACCCACCTTCACCCAACCACTAGCAACCATTCAACAAACCACGTATCAAACCCTGGGGGATTAGGTTCCCGGCGAAAATCTGTGGTAGATTGTATTGGGAAAACACGGTTTGGGCATCACAGCATTTATTCTGATCGGCGCTTCTTTTTCTCTTCTGTTTCGGGTGTAACAGGACTAGTTAGGGTATGTCAGGCGTACAGCAGCCACAAGTCCGGATGCTGCTAAAGGGATAAGGAATCAGCATTATCAGATGATATTTATTTTATTTTTCTCACGTATGACCGCAAAGGTTCTTCACCCATTTTCTTTCTTCTTCGTCATATATCTGGAGTCGCATCGGCAGTGTTTGGATAGTTATTGTTTAGTCCGGACTTTTGTTCTAGATTTTTTTTATATCATCGCATGATAGGGATACCCGGAACAACGAAAAACGTTTCTTCTTATCGTTGGTTTGACGCGTGCCGTTTCGGGTTGGCTCGTGTCGACAGACCAGACCAGACCCCGACGGAAAAAGATGGCTAGGCTTAGCTCTCGTTACCTCGTGAAAGGAAGAGGGCAACACTTGGAACGAAGCAAGAGATAAGCAATGAATAAATGGATGGGGGAAGAGTAATAGGTTCGATAGGACAGGATAGGGCGAATCGGTAGATACCTAAGATAAGAATCGCTACAGAGCCTCTTCCAGAACATGCGCCAGCTACGTCATGTGTGCTACATGATTCCGGGAATCGTCACTTCAGCTTTCGTCAGCTTGGGTGACTAGGTAGGTAGTTGCCTATCTCTGTGCTTCCGTCTATCTAGTAGTCTATCTTCGCAAACTATTTAGATGCCGCCTAGATACCTGGGGAGTACATACATGAAAAGGGGCTGGCCCGGCATACCCTAGATGGCTTAGACATATTTACGATCATGCCATTTCATGACAGGCCTCGTTGTCATTAGCAAATAGGCGCTTTCAATGACTTTTATCTAGATAGGTACCTAGGTTGTTCGATCTCAAAACACGGGGGTAGGATAAGCACGTAGGACTTTGTACGCCTCTGGCGTAGATATCGACGCCGACCTCGAAAGGAGGTAGTCATCCCATCACAAGGAAAAAAATCAGAAGTTGAAGTCGACGGCATTCTAGGCTCGCAAGGTGTTTTTTTTTTTACTTCTTCCCTCCCAAGCTTATCTAACTACCTACCTAACCTAACCTAACCTAGGTTATCCTACGTACGTACCGCAATTATCACGCCATTGCCGACTCTTCGATCTCGGGATCCCTGGACGCGGTTTGGGCATCGGTTATGTTCAACATCCCTGACTGAGCTCGATTCGCGTTTTTTTTCTTTTTTCTTTGCTAGGCCTCGTCCGCTATCGAGCGCCTGCCCTCCTTCCCCCCTCCCCCACCTCGCCGGAGGTGTGTAGTTAAGTATGTGCCTACCGATTTGCATATCTCGAGCCGACGACTTGGTGAGGGACAGATCTCAAGATTTCGATCGCGGATGGCGTACTTCATCCGGGCCTTGCGCAGATATCATATGAGGACAGCCCAAGAGACATGGGAATCCATGTGTATGAGCACGATTCCTGTGTCACGGAAATGTGCTTGTTGACAGGCTTCGCTGACTCTGATTTGACTACTAACGATACTAGTAATGGGTTTTGGTAACAAGAGGGTGAAGGGGAAAGAGAAGACGGGCAAGGAATGAGCCCCAGATCAATCTAGACGTACGTAAGACATAGGTAGTTTTGAGGCTCGACGCGTTTAGCTTAGGTATAGTGGGGGTTCGTAGATATCGCTGTCGCCGCGTGTAGTTGGCCTGATCGATGGATATGAAATCAAGTTTGCCGGGTTCAAGATTTCAAGATTTGGGTTAACGAAGTGGCAATGGCGTTTATAATCTGCAGGAGGGACGACTCTTGATTAACACTCCAACCACGTGGTCGGCGGAAGCGAAATTATAGGCTCTAAGAACGTCACCATCACTCACTGTATTGTTCAGTAGGGGAGAAGCTTCGGTTCGAAGTAGTAAATCAATTCTTGTCAATTAACTCCCCATAACCAGTTCTAGGTAAATCTGATGCATTTAAGACATGTAATAGGTAGATAGGTAGGTCTGGAGTATGTAGTCGAATCCGACGCTGCCAATTTTGACACGAGGTTTTCCTAGCTGCCAAGTACTACGACGGCTTGACCAAGCCCCCTATTTACCCATAACATCTTGGCTTATTAGTTATTATACTTCTTACGTCTTCTTCGGTGACACCGGGGAAGTAGGATGCATGCCCCGACGGTCCTACGTGCGCATGAATACGATTCATCGTGCTAGGTACTCGATAGACAAATCTAGCGTCGAAGTTATAGATCTAAGTGTATCAATTCTGGATATCTGACTTGATACTGTGGGGAATATACAGCAAGTTTAGCCGTAAGAGCGTATCTAGGTACCTGCCTAGGATCCTACCAATTCTCGGGTAGCGGGTTACTTCATTCGTGTCTGGATCTTATTTCACCGTCCCCTACAGGGGCTGGCTGAGACGGCGGGTGTACCCGTTAACCGTTAGAACCCTAACCCTGCGAAAGAGGGCGGTGGGACGGGAAGAATAGATGAGTACGATGGGTACCCACGTCTGGGCTGATTAATAATCTATTTGCTTTTTCTTCCCTAATTTCTTAGCTTGGTTTCCTTGTATTTCCTTCTTCTAGCGTGCTTCTTGACGATGTATTTGAGGTCGGAGTTAAGATGTGGGTTCGTATTGCGAAGAAGCCGTTTGTTCTTTAGGAGGCAACCAAGTAGATGCGAATGAGACCTGGCATCCGTTGAGGCGTTGGTCATTGCCGCTAGCTTAGTCCGTAGTCGATATCTAGGGTTCCCTTAGCTTAACTATGCCCATGAATGCTTCATAAACTACCAAGAAGTCTAGGCAGCCGTTTGATATAGGGAGGCTGTTTACAACCCTTATATCAAGGGTCCTCCCTGTTCATGTGTAGATGCATGCGAGCGATGACAAGGAAACGATTTCCGTGTGGCGGCCCGCCCCCATTTCGGTGAAAGATAGAGGCGTTCAGAAACAGGGTCCTACCACGTCATGAGGCTCACATAATGTCTACTTCTCTTCCGCCATATTTCCCCCTTTCTTTTCATTCGGCAGTAGTTCACCTTGTAAGTACCTAAGTAACAACTCGAAATCCCGTCTCGCAAGTCATTCGCACGTAAGGCTCCGATTACACTATTCGCAACCAACCAGCGCCATCTGTCTTTCGCGGCATCGAGTGTTCGAGTTGTTCGAAGTCGGTAGGTATAATCTCGCGATGTCCCGGTACAAGCATATGCATATGCGTATGAACGGGTAGATGTATGCTTCACCTTAACGTGATATTCCTATATCGCGTCTCGTTCCTGTACGTGAACATATTACATATGCAACTCTTTCGTTGGTTGGCGGACCTCAATCCGACTAATGCTTGCTGGACGTGTATTATCAAGACCCCTGGTATATGGCGGGTCGAACTTCGTGCTGGCTGATGCAGCAACGTTACGATGCGAGATCTCAGAGGATCTGGGCAGAGGGAAAACGTCAGTCGGTCGTGAACCGACCACTCACCGGCGTTCGTGTAACCAATAGATGCTGCTTGTTATATATCAGGTCCTTCTTCTAGAAACCAGGGGAAGTCTAAAGATTTCCTAGGGTAGATCAACTGCTACGGTAATCGAATAGCCGAGCTTAATGGTGGGTTGGCTAGCCTTAAGGTTAATTGCTTTCGCCATGCTACTGGACGAGATGATACCCCCAGTTGCAATGGCTGACAGGTACGGTTTAGTATTTTTTTGACGCCTATTTCGGCACGAGCGAGAAGGAGAGCGGGCCTCGGTGCGTGGCATTCGTCCCTGTCATGGAGTTGATCACCGAAAGAAAACGTTGCTTTTGAACTTGTCAGCACCGCACTGGCCAGCGCCTCACGTCAAAGCGACCTTATATTTCACAAATCAAGCTGCCTTGGCACATCCTAGTTGAGACATCGTGAAGGATATCGACGGTGGTTATGTCATAGCTAGTCTAGGTTAGCATTGCCATGGCTGAAAACGGATCCTGCAAGTAGGGACTCGGTCGATGACAGCGGAATGGCGTGTTGTAGTAGCAATGCTTATATTCTATCCAATCCTGCACTGATTAGCAGTTTCTGTTGTGAGTCAATTCGTGACAACACTCCGTGCTAACGGCTGACGAGATCTGCATGGAGAAAATCATCAAGAGAGACACTACCCAACGTGGTAGAC